TATTGTTTGCTTAATAAAATTATATGTCTGTGAAACTGACGCGTAAGCCTGAGCCTAAGCCTTGAAAAATAAAGTCGCGATTTTTGCATATCCACGACACCAAAACACAGCAGATACATATACTGCGTGGTTCTCTGATCTGTGACACTTGGTGTTATATTGCGATTTCCGATAAGATAACAGGACTTTCTGGTTTGAATTTGTCCATTATGGATTTTAACGAGGTGAATTTGGGAAAGTTTCACGAGGAAAGGATAGTGGTCGAAGACAAAATCAGTGACCTAATACAGGTGAATACATCTATTGTTGGCGCTCTCGCAAAGACACTAAAGTCTGATGAAATTCAGGAATACCGAAAAAAAGTGCAAGCCATATTAGAAGATTTGATCCCCGCTGTCGAATCTGTTGGTGTGGATAATGACTATCTGGTTGAACTGGTGGATTTGGTACTAGACTCTGATAACCATAGAGTCTTCAGTACGGCTGTCAAGAATAGAGTTGTCAACAATGTCATGATACCGAGACAACCTGTTACGCCCGAAATATGCCTTAAGATTCTAGCATCCATATCTTTGGAGGTTTATTCGGCAGATGATACACCCAATCTGATACCCCGAGTGCAGAGAGGCTTGCCTCAAACGGTCCAGTCGAACATTCTCAAATGGTGGGAATGTCTATGTTTTGATCTAGTAACCGAGAAGACTTTTCTGAAAATGCTTCCACTGATGTTCACTTATCTGTCGTTTGCCTATGCCAGATCTCACATCTCAATGCTCATGATGTCGATATTGGCCAGCTATACCAAATACGACCGCCATTTTAGTGCGACGCGATTTGCTTCCTCTTGGAGAATGGATGTCTTAAAAGCAGACATCGAGAAATATCCAGCAGATCCATATCTTGCGGCTTTGTATCTTTTTTTATCTGACCACAAGCCAGATACCGATGCCGTGCTGGTGGATTACAACATACCGTCAAGGACTTTTGCCTATCCAGATATGGCCTTTCTGAAAAAATTACTGGTTGTCAGAAGAAACGACATTCTTCTTTCAAACAACAGTAACTCAATCATGCTGCTCGCACACAATCCACAATTCTCGGAGTTGGTCACGAAAGTCACTTCACATCTCCAATTTCTGCAAGGATTGAAGAGATCTTACTCCACTGGCTCTGACCAGAGAAAGAGACGCAAGCTTGATCTTGAAGAAACGGATGCCAACGGAACTCTAGATGTTCTTGTGCATTCTGCAGTGACAGTTGAGATTCCTTTGCCTTTAAACACCAAAGAGTTGGCGTCGAGTCTTAAAGTTACAGGGCAGATTGGACAAGGTTTGTTCCAGTCGTTGTTGGTGGACTACGATAACTTGCAGCTGGCATCTGCCTTTATGTCTGATATCTTGCCTGATGGGCTCGAACACATTTTGACGGATTCTGCAATAGACTCTGCAAAAGTGAAACACCTTTCATTCTTCATGCTATTATTACAATCGGATGGCGATGTAGGTATAACACTAGATGAATGGCTGACAGACGCTTTGCTGGAACGATCCAGTTCGGGATTCCAGCTCACAGGATCCAATAGCAAATCGAAACAGGAGCTTTTGGAAGGACTGAACTGCTATGCTCAGCTGACGGACCTGGATCTCACTTTCACAAGAACTCTGTTCTTCGACGAGAGCACGAACATGGACAAATCCTTGAATCTGGCCCCTATCTTTTCACATCTGCCAGCTTCAGCCATACCAGATTTCAATAACGGAGTATTTGGAATTTCCCAGCTGGATACTGCAGATACATTCACATACATCACCACCTTGGATGCCCTGCTGGATCTGTTCACCAATTGGTCGGAGCTGCAAACGCCAAACTACAAGGCAATGAACGACGTTTTCAGCAAGGTTATCTATGCATCCGCATCCAGATTTTCCAGAGATGTCGAGGCTGCAGCAGACCAAATTCTGGAAAAGCTGGTATTCGTTAGATTCTTACGGTTTCTGGCTGATGCTCCTCCGCGAAAGGTCAATCCCGCAACTCTGTGTCTTCCTCCCGAGTTGGCATATTCCTTGTTCTTTTCGGCAAATCCCATACTTTTGAACGCTGTGTGTCGCCAAGTGGTAGCCACGAAGACGTACTACAACGAAACTGCTACGCAGGTGCTGTCAGACGAGGACATTACCTACGAGATCCAGCCTCACCAACTTAATGCGCTGAGGGAAATACATTACTCCTATGTAATGGACTATTGCAACGTGATTTGGCGAAACAAAGCGTTCCACAGAGCCAGCCAGGGCCAAAGTGCAAAGGGATTTTTATTGGGCGGGGAGTTTACAGAGACATTGTTGAAACGGCGTTTCCACGTTCATGGCGACGACTTCGCAGACGATGACGATAGGATAGTTGATGAGGCAGGAGAACGCTCGGAATTCAACATCTTCCATTCGCCTCCATTCGCCAACATCATTACAAAAATCATCAGACAAAAAGAGGACGATTCTGCCAGCTGTGAGGTGCGTTTGGCAGGACCATTTACCGTTAAGCAGTTTACCAGACTGAGAGACGCAGGCAACTGGCTGGGCGACGAATTTCCAGACGAAACTGGCTTTGAGTCAGCAATTCTGAAACAGCTCGGCGACAGCGGTTATGAAGGAATAGTGTCGCTGCTGGTTTCATCGCTGAAAAGTCTCTTTAATAGATAGGTCGCTTTTTGTACCATATGCGAAGCGTGCGTTCCCCACAAACCCCCTTCTGCAAGCCTCTTAGCCCTTATCACGTGGAGAAATGCAGCTTATCATTGCCGAATAAGGAAGGAAGAGCCACTACTCGTCCAAATTGGTAGGGTACACCGCATCTGCGGAATTTATTTGTGTGTGCGGGTCTTTCCCTTTTTACTCAAGGTAGACAAACTACAACAATGTAAGGAATTTTTCTAGATCCTGAAAAATCGTGGACTTTTTTCTGCCCTTCACTGCATATAACTCTTTATCTCAACTGATCTTATCTCGCTTTTTTTAATACGTCGCAGCTGAAGTTCAGTTCGCCTTCTATATAATGAACAGTTCGGATACCTTCAAACCTGGGACGGATATTCTTTCCATTGAGGACCCGGATCTGGAGTTTTCGCATCCGTCCCACAGGAAACTACATGAACCGTTTCGTTCTGAAAGCACCAGCGATAGCAGTTTTGTGCTTGAAGAGTCGACTGAGGCAGATGAATATGAATTGCAGGATTATAATGCCCATTCACAAAGATTCAGTGTGGATGAAGAAATCGGCTCAAAAGATGACTATGGTGATGAGACAAAAGTGTATGAATTTGAAGGTCATCTGGTTGTGGAGAACTCCAAGAATATTCTGACCTCAAGAAAGCTGAAGTTTCAGGTTATGACCATATATGCCTCGTTTATGATATTTGGAATGAGTGATCAGACTCTGGGAACTATAATGCAGCAATTGCTAGACACTTACCACATAGACAGATCCCAGGCCTCTCTGCTGTTTATCTCACAAGTTGTTGGATACTTTGTGGCCTCGATGTTCAATGGTTTCACGCATAGTAACTTCGGATTTTTTGGTGCTTATGTTTGTGCACAAACCTTCCAAATTCTGTGCTTTTTGATCTACTTCATGCGCCCTCCGTTTGCCGTACTGATTGCAGCATCCGTGATGAACGGATATGGTGTTGGGACGTACGACTCAGCATGTTCATTGTGGGTTTCACAGCTAAAATACAGTAACGAAATAATGGGTCTAATGCATGCTTTCTTCGGACTGGGCAGCATGATATCTCCTTTCGCGATCACGAAGATGTTGCATTGGGGGCTGTCATGGAACGTTTATTATTTGGTGCTGGCCTTGGGTGATACTGGAACATTGATCTCGTGCATTTTGGTTTTCAGAGACGAGACCAAATGGAAATTTAGACGTCGTCTTGCGGAATCTTCTTCGGATCCACAGGGAACCACTTGGGATGCCATTAAAACACCCCAAATCTGGTTCTACGCAACGACGCTTTTCATCTACTGTGGTGGTGAGCTGACTGTTGGTGTTTGGATGTACAACTACTATACCACCATTTTGCACCTCTCCGATAGCTACAGCTCGTATATTACTTCGGGCTACTGGACGGCTCTCACGGCAGGCAGAGCTATTCTGGCATTTGTAACCGGAAGGTATTTTGATGGAAGAGAGCATATTGCAACGCTGATCTATGCTGGACTAGGAGCAATCACCTGCACTCTATATGCTGTTCTCCCCAACTTTCCGTTGCGGATAGCATCGATGTTGGCGTTTGGCTTTTTTGTGGGTCCAGCTTTTGGAACCACCGTCATGGTTGCCATGAGATTTCTGCCTCCATCCCTGCAATCTAGTGGGCTTGGTTTCATCGCTGGTCTCGGTGGAATGGGAGGTACCGTCATGCCATACATTGTTGGTTATGTCAGCGAGCATACTGCTGGTGGAAATGGTCAGGGACTCGTATATTTCCCGGGATTGTGTGCGATATCGTTTGTTTTTGCATTCCTGCTATGGATCGGATTTAACATCCAAAAACGAGGAAAATCTGGTGTTGCTTACGAGAGGTTGTAGACTGGAAAGGTCTAACCATCCTGCATCAAAAAAGTACTCATATTTAAACTTAAGAGCTAATGATACACTGGTGTGGTGCTACACACTGATTGCGATGACAGCGTAAATATCGCTCTCACTTTGTAGATATCACTCCAGTTGTTACCTCAAGGATCTCTATTGAATTCCCTCACTTGATCTTCAAATTCGACGGGGGCTGCAAAATGGGAACACTTTTTTTGCTGGTTCCGCTTTACTTGCTTCATGTTATTTGCGAATCGTTCTGCAAAGGCTGGGCCACTCGATTGGTCATCAACATAACTCAGTACTGCCTCTTTTGTTCTTCCCATTCCGAACTCGTGAAACCCTTTTGTGTGAATGCATGGATCTGCGAGATTTCATCCCTTAATGCCGTATTCACCATTCTGTGGCGCATTAGCTTGTTCTTGCCCTGGAAAAGATCGCTCACGATGATAACGGCGAATGCCTGGCCACATCCCCCCGACATGTCCTGAACCTGGACAATCGATGCTCCTAGCCTTTCCCTGATCAGCTGTTCCAGTGACTGCGTGGTCAACGTACCAGACATGTGCGAAAAGTATCCAGAAAGATGGAGGACAGAACGGACTAGCGGGTACGATGAATAACTCCGACGAATATGTGCCCAGAGCCCCTCCGAGTGACGAAGCCGTGGAGCATAGACGTGCGGCCACCGTATTGGGAAAAACACTCCCTTTTGGGAAACTCTTTGGAGAAGCCAACAGAAGACCTGGATATCATCTGTTTCGTATATAGTAGCACTTATATTCCGCCCATGTCTTTGACCTCTTACTCCAAACTCAGAGCCGCAGTGGCGGCAATTGAAAAACTATATCCTACAAGACTTGCGGATTCTTCCTGGGATAACACCGGGTTGCTAGTGGATGCCTCTTCCAAAACTCTCACTTATGAGACGCTGGAACTGAATATTCTGCTAGCCATAGATCTCACAGAGTCAGTTGTGACCGAGGCAATTGCAAATAGGGCAAGTCTTGTTTTGGCCTATCATCCGTTCATCTTCAAGGGCCTGAAAGCTATCGGCCAAGAAGATTCCCAGCAAAGATCTCTTGTCCGACTGATACAAAACGGCATCTCGGTCTATTGTCCACATACTGCGGTCGATGCCGCCAAAGATGGTGTCAATGATTGGCTAGCCAAAGGAATCAGCGGAGATAATGGTGCAGTCTCTGTTCTGTCGCCTACTGCTACCTCACTGGAAGGGGAAGGAATGGGAAGACTGGTGACTTTCCCCACACCTGTTTCTCTCAAAGAGCTCGTGGAAAGGGTCAAGACCAGCTTGGGTATTTCCCAACTACTCGTGGCTCCAGCCTCTGGATCCTCTAATCCTGTTGCCAGTTCGGTTGCCATTTGTGCCGGCTCCGGAGGAAGTCTCTTCAGAGGAGTCAACGCGGATGTGTTCTACACAGGTGAACTGTCTCACCACGAAGCTCTCCATTTCAAGGAGATGGGTAGTTCCGTTATTGCATGCAACCATTCGAACACAGAAAGAGGATATCTGAGTGTAATGAAAGAGAAACTGGCCAAGGAGCTCCAAAGCTTTGACTTGACCATAGAGATAAGCAAGACCGATAAGGATCCATTTGAGTTCTGGTGAAATACGATAAAATAGCACCATCCTGTAATTGCACAATATAGGACAGTGAAATCAAAGCAAATAACATGAGCCAATCAAAAATAAAATATAAAGTACCAAATAAATCGAAGTTTAACCAACGCTGAACCAGATTTTCGAATTTTCATGGGTCAAATTTCGTTATCTAGTGGTCATCTCGGACTCGCTAATCTAACCTTTTATGGAAAGGCAGATGAGATGATGCCCCTGATCTGTAATAGGCGAGACTTTGAAATTTTCAGTCCACTATTCATTCTATTCAAAAGCGGCGCAAAAGACTTTCCCGCAAAATATGTTCTCAACTACATATACCCATGGCGATTCTGCTTACAGCAGAGACAAGTCTGCCTTTGCGGTAACTGACACTGGGGTCTACTTCCAGTTTGGTGGTTTTGATAGTGCTGGAACGAGTAAGTGTGTTATAAGTCATTAGAAATGCCTTGATAAGTCAAAATTCTCTAACAACGTCTAGTCGATACTTGTGTTCATCTCTTAGATTTGTCAACGGGAAAGTGGGAGACCCGTGAGAGCACACAGCAAAGGGAAGGCCACACAGCGATTTTCATAGGAAACAATAGAATGTTGATCTTCGGAGGACTTGGAGATACAGAGGGAATACCCGAGGCTGATCTGGATAACCAGCTGATTATATATGACATCACAGACGATTCTTGGTATGCACCTGACCAGAGCCTTTTGAACAAAGAACATGCACCAAAAACATTCATCGCCAATCATGCGGCTTGCCTTGATCCCGTCAACGGACTGGTGTACATTTCGGGTGGTCTTGACGTCATGGAATGTTCGGAGGAGACCAAGTACACTCCACTTGTTGATATGTATGTTTACAGTCTGAGTTACGGGCAGTGGGTTGCGCATTTCCCATTTGTGGGCAGGTTCTCCCACTCGATAGCATGTTACGATGGAAGGATATGGGCTTTCGGTGGATTGGACGGGAACATGGCCAGACAGTCTCGAAAAGTATCTTCGATAGACCAATCAGGTGGTCTCGTCTCGTCAGTGCAATTTGACTTGGAAGATATTCGGGTGGATCTCACTGGCAGTGAAAAGATAATGCAGAGTCCCAGTCAACCTCATCACTTCATATTCGCTGATTCTGAACATGCAAGGATTGAAGTTTTCTCAGCACGGGGGTGTTACTGGACAGAGGGATATTCTTTTGAGGTACCATTTTCGTGGGTGCAATCTTTTGAGCTTAGCAATAATCTTTATTTGATGGGGGCTGGTGAGCGTCACCCAAATCCGTCCATTGAAGCAGATCTTGGTTACTATGTTTGCGTACCACTTGTCGATACTGTTCCAGCCATATCATATATGGAATCTTCTTCAGTTCCAGCTCAACGTCTGGCCCAAGACTTTGAGTCATTCTTCAACCATCAACAGTTTGTGGACTTTGATATAACTGCAGTGGAGACAGGCCATCGTCTTCCCGAAACCTGTTCTTTTCTTGAGAAGCCTCTTATGGTTACAGATACCGAGCTTGAAGACGGTCATTATTACAAATCTGATCCAATTAAGTGCCATAAGGCCATTCTGCTAGCACGCTGGCCTCATTTCCGAACACTATTGAGTGCCAACATGAGCGAGGCCGTAACGGCAACCATGTTCATTCCCGAGCCGAAACTGTGGGTTTCCATCTTTATCAGATATCTGTACACTGAGAAACTCGAGGACCACCCTCCTTTGGTGATGGCTGGAATATTATCCATGTCGCATATCTACTCACTCCCCGAGCTTCGACAGAAGTGCATACAGAATCTGATGACGAGGAACATCGGGGTGGAAGATCTTCTGGAAGTCTGGCAAGTTGCTGATATGTTGAATGAGGAAAGTTTACGCGACAGAGTATTGAACAATATCTTCAACAGTTGGGGAAGAATCGTGAAGCTGGGAGTCTTGGAGCATTGCGACAAAGAGGTGATACTTCAGTTGTTCTCTCTTCTAAATGCCGAAAGCAGAATTCTGGTGAATCCCCATGTTGCCAAATCCAAGTTCAACAGGCTACCTTTGCGGAGTGGATCACCAATCTCGAGAAAGCATTCGATGTCGTCATTCGATGAGGTTCCTAGAACAGATGATTCTGACTGTCGTATGTAGAGTTTGCGGCAGGACGATTATACCCGAGCGTTTTAAATGTTTAAACTATGCAAATTTTGACAGCTTATTTGATGTTTAGCGACATATGCAATTCCGGAGCTCAAATTCCACCAGCCTCTCTATACCATCTGATAGCCCTATCTAACCCAACCACAACCAGGCCTTCATTAGTATCTGTTCCTGCACCAGTTCTTACTCCCTTTTTCAGGAATTTGAGAGAGGATGTAACCAGATTATCAGATTGGTCCTCCTGATCCACTGCTTCATCCGCAACGTCCGTTCTTGAGATTGTGATTGTGGATTCTCTCTCCCTGGTATCAACGTTCCATATTCTCACTTTGTCGTCGTAACCAGCAGTTGCTAGTAATGTACCCCCCTCGTTGAAATCAATAGCCAGACACCATCCTTCGTGGGTGTAGCCTCCAACGCTGACGTTGGAGGAATGTGTGGGCACAGAAAGAGTACCGATCGTCTCACCGTACTTGACATCATAAAGAGCAACAATTCCATAAGCACCAGAATCTCTAGCTACTGCCATTAGCTTGCAATCTGGCGAGAAAATAGCTTTTCTCACCGTCGACAAAGAAGAGCCGGTGTCGTCCTGGTCTAGACGCACTCCCAAACTCGGAAAGGTGTAGATAAGCCTCAAACTTTTCAGATCGTAGAGATACACATTTCCATTCTGATGACCCACTGCAATTGCAGAACCTGAGCCAATTCCAATGGCGGTAGCGAAAGACGTGTCATTGGTGTCTGTCTTCCCCGTGTATACCAGCTGCAGCTCGCCTTCTTCAGGTACGTTTATCTTGAAAACATACGTAGCTCCCACAGCAGTAGTGGCTGCAAAGTAAATTGTTTCGTCTGCAATGTCAATGTGCAAATTTGGCGCCCAGAACGAAATCTTTGGGGAAGACAGTTCCGTTGGCAAGTTGGAGTCAAGCTTGGTCACCTCGTCTGTCTGGCTATCATATTGATAGAGATAGCATCTGCCGGTGAATGCCACAGTAGCTATAATAACAACACTCGAACCATCCCTCACCTTCTCTATAGCAGAAATGTGGTGCAATCCGAGTTTGTCCACGAAGATCGCCTTTGAGGCCTCTTCAGTCACTTCTATCTTGTTGTCCCAAAACTTCAGAAACCCATCACTAGAACAGGTTATTGTGTACCTATCGCAAACTGCAACATCAAATATGTCAGATTTATGAGCCAGACCAATTGCGGCTGTCGTTATATATTGTTTTCCCATGGTATGTTGTGTATGTGGTGTTGTAACAAGAAACCAAGACGATACTCTATAGCAGTGGAAAAAATGGTAGTGCAGTTCTGGTGGGCATGGCATGGGCATCGCCTTCTGCGGCCCCAAACAAGCATTGAAAGTATACAGATTTGGATCATTATTCTATTTGCTGGCTAGCTAACTGGCTTCTCAATCGCTCTATTATTTTCATTATTGTCGTCCCTTCAAGAAAACGCTTGTGATGGACAAATTCGAAGTTTCGATATATTCCACTTCGACCACGGAATCGTACACCGTGTATCACATACGGCTACTCCATGGCGTTAACGTGTATCGGACCTCCAAACGATACAGTGACTTTGTCAGACTAAAGTCCGATCTGGAAGGTCTGAGAGGTCAGGCAATGCCATATCAATTGCCCCGCAAACATTATATTACGAAATCAACAGATCCTGGGCTTATCGAGGAAAGACGCGTTTCCCTGGAAGAGTTTCTAGGCTTGCTGATGAAGGATGAAACCTGGAGAGATAACGATGTTATGCGGTCTTTTCTAGGATTGCCCAATTCGGCCTTTCGCCAGGCCTCTGTTGAAAATGCCGTTGAAAAGGCTGAAAATTTGAAAGGGGTCTGGAAGAGTGATGCTGCTGATGGGCCAATGAGTCCAAATGAATGGTTCGAGATGTTGCGCGATTGCAAATCGTTGTTGCAAGATTGTCGCTCGAGAATGTTTTCAGGATCAACTGTGGAATGTAGAAAGTCACTCAGTTCCACAAAATCGCGGTTGGTTAAATTGCAGGAGGTGATGAATGATCCTCAGGGCTGGGGCAGTCTCGGAGCTGGGGAGCTGAAGAGAAGACAGGATTTGTTGGTTGAACTGCAAAGAGACTACGATGATTTACAGACATTGTTGACTGAAATGGCGAGCGATCACTCTGCAGTGGGAAAGCATCCTCTGAGCAGTTCCGGTCGTTCTGAGGCGTATACGCAGTTGTTTCAAGGCAGTAGCCCTGTCTCGAAGAGCAACAGGGTGCTTGGAGGCAAGCCGCAGGAGACGTCAGTTACAAGACAATTGGATAATGGGAGTTTACTTCAGTTCCAGAAGGATGAGATACAAAACCAGGATCAGCAGCTGAACTCGCTGAGAAGCATCATACAGAGACAGAGACAGATTGGGGTGGCCATCAATGAGGAGCTGAACGTGCAGAAAGATATACTAGATGCACTGGATCAGCAGGTTGATGACAGTACCGCGAAGATGAAAAGTGCTAGGCAGAAGATTGGAAAGATTTTGCAATAAGTTAAAAAAAAGTTTTTGAACGTTTGGGCACGATCAGCACGCGCCTCTGAAAGAGTGGTGGGAGTGCTTGTGGCCAGCTTGAGACTTGCCGCGTGAATGCTTGACAAATTCGCCGTCCTCGTCACGAAGGGATCTCAAGTGCATCAATTTCTCGTTTCCGTCTGTAGCGAGCGAGAGCAGAGTGTTGTACACGGCAACGTCCTGGATTTCCAATTCCCTGGCATGCTCATGGTTTCCTTCGACACGAGCAATTCCCTTCCTAATGTTTGTTCTCACCACGTCGACCGAATCAACCAACAACTCAGTGATTTCGATGATATCATGCATCAGTTTATCCAAGAGCTGGAGTGTCAGGTTGTAGCGAACCACGATTCTGAGGATCTCATTGTTTGTGCCTTTAGCTGGTGGATGAGTCTGTGTGGGCAGCGGATAGTTTGGAATAATCCAGCCTCTTGCTCTGCACAAAGTGGCAATGATTGACTGTGGAATCTCTGGATATTTTGCCGAAAATTCCTCTGTAAATTGGAACGATACGACAGGCAGCGCCGGGTTGAAGGCAGCATGGTCTGAGAGCGAGGCAACATCGTCGATGGATGTTTTCGCACCAGCAGAGTTCACACTGACACCCACAGGAAGGTGCAGATTGGAGATGCACCTGAAATAACCGGATTCCTCGAGGAAATAGGACAACACTCTTGCGTTGATAAGGGAAGCATCAAAGATGGTGTAAAAGCCCGCCTTACCCAGAGACAAAAAGTTGTAGTATTGGTGAATGACCTGGAAGCCGGGTCTGGAGAAGTTCAATGTGAAACTCTCCTCAACCGAGCCCAAGTACATCAACTCGAACTTGAGCTCGCTGGGCAGGAAGGTCTGGTCTCTGAAGACGAGCCATCCCAGACCAGCAGAAACGAGGCCAAATTTATGGCCCGAGGTGTTAATCGAGCAAACTCTGGGAACTCTGAAATCCCATTCAAGTTCAGGATAAAGAAATGGGGCCACAAATCCACCGGAAGCCCCATCCACGTGAATGGGAATACTGACTCCAGTGTCTCTCTCTACCTCGTCCAATATTTCATTTACCTTTTTCACGTTTTCAAAACCGCCAGTAAATGTAGAACCCACAATGACATAAATACCGATGGTATTTTCGTCACAGTTCTGTTTGATTTTGGTGAGATCCAGCAAGTAGTCATCATCCGAGACTGGGATGATTCTGGCCTCAACATCAAAGTACCTCGCAAACTTCTCCAGAGCAACTTGGGCACATGAGGCCATCAGAATGTTGGGATTTGAGATATCTTTTCCAGCAGCCCTCCTATTGGCTTGCCATCTTTTCTTCATGGCTAGACCTCCAAGCATGATGGCCTCGCTGGAACCGGTGGTTGCGGTGCCGAGTGCGGCTTTCAGCTCAGAGTCTTCCCCACCCAACTTCTTGCCAACTGGAGCATGCCACAGATCAGCCAGCATGGAAATACATCTCTGGTGTATTTCCAATAGCACAGGATATTCGTCGTTATCGGCAAGATTTTTAGTCAGATTCTCCATAATCAATTTCCTTGCTCTATCGTCCACGAAGGTGTTAACGAAACTAGCAAGGTTCAGGGTTGGGCGACCATCTAGAGTTAAATCATCATGGATGGACTGGTAAGTAGATTGTGCATCCATTGGCTCGTCCAGAACCTTGTACTTGCTCCTAGTGGTGGCATCTGCGATCCGGTACGATGACAATAGACCCTGGCTTCTCTTTGTGGAGTGTTCATTAACTTGCTTTGCCTTCTCACTGACAAACTTTGACACCAGCTGATGTTTCTTCTCAATTCTGGCAATCACCGAATCTTCCAGAACATCTGGGTCGATATGTGTAGATAGAGTCATTTTTCAAAAGAATTGTTCACAAATCAATGTTAATGTTTGGGAAGAATCAGCAACGATGATTTTAAGGAATTTCAAAAATTTGGGGAAAGTTAGAAAAATGTCACTCATGCGAGCCAAGCTCATCACTCTTATTAGCGGCCCAAACAGGAAAGACCGCAACCTCGGGTATCCGCACATTCCGCAACGAATTCTCATCCGAGCAGCTAATAATATAAAAAATTGAGATAATTTACAAAAACAATAAAATTCGGCGCAAGTCATAAGTATAAAGGCGTAAAAAGAACTAAGGAAATAACTAACTAAAATTCGAGTAAGAGATACGGTCAGGGTCATAATTGACGTAGTATGCACAGGGAAGTTCTGACCGCAGGAGCGAGAATGTGCTTGAGAACACTTTGTTCAGGCGAAATATGGTGGCGGAGTATCAAGACTCACAATTCCGTTTGAATTATGCGGATGTGTGGGTCCAACACTAAACTTCGCGGCTTTGGAGTTGGAGAAGTCGGAAGCTCCGTATTTGAGGAATAAATTGAGCATTTCTCTTCTGTTTGTCCCTTTAACTTCTTCAGACATCTTGGATTTGGATGGAGAGTTTGTAGAAGATGAAATGGTTGAGGTGGAACTGGAGGATGCAGCAGATGCAGTAGAACTTGATCTGGATCTTGAGCTTGAAGCTGACTTGAAGACCATGGCGGGCCCTTTCAAAGAGTCAAAATATGGGTTTGCAAAAGGCAGCGGCTTCTCTTTTTGGTAAGATGACATCGAACCTAGATTCAACAGAGGTGAGACCTTAGCAGAGGCAGCAATTGGGCGCAGCAAAGGAGGACTTGGCTCACGTCTAGAGATTGGGCCGACAGAAGAAGACTTCTGCAGTGTATTACCAGACATGGAAATGAAACGCGAAGCCCCGGAAGGCTTCCGTGACCGGGGAAACAGAGTAGAGCTGGACCAATCGCTTTCTTCGCTGGACATTGGAACATCGTGAACGACTTCTGGAAGCTTTCTGGAGATAATGCGAGCAGGCGATGTCATTGCCGAAGCAGGAACAGACGCAGCAGGACTGGACAATACAGACGAACTTTCGCTCTGTAGAGAGTTTTGCTTTGATTGATTCTTCTTCTTTTTCATCTTGATAACCCGCCTCTTTGGGGATACACCATGATCAAGGAGATGATGTGGGTTGTCTCCATTGTGCTTGTAGTATATCTTAGTTTGGAATTGCCTGATCACATCCACATTTTTGTTGATGTTTTCGAAATCCGACTCCGACAAACGCAACCTGTTGAAGCTGCGCTGCACAATGTGGTTCACATAACTCTTGGTGAGAATATCTCTATTCATTCTGTCCGCAGACAACTTTCCGCCCAATGCGAGGGTCTGTCTTGCAGTGGCCAAAGTTGTAAGTCTCATCAAAGAACCAGGAGAGATTCCCATAGGGGCTTCTGGATCGATATCCTTGAAGTTAACTCTCTTGTCGAGTAAATCATCTAGTTCTTCCCGCAACAGGTCTTTGTGGAATTGATCAAAGCTTTCCGTGGTGTACTTGAGACTGAACTTATAGAGAATACTGGGCAAGAATTCTTTAAACAGCTCTCCAATCTGAATCTCAATCTTTTTCTGAAGCAGCTGAGCCAAGGGCTTGATTCTATCAAAAGTGGAGTTGATCGATATCGACTCCAGCGGGTCGTTTTTGAAAACAAGAGTCAAACCTTTGCTCTTGGTGAACACAATGATGATAATCGTAGAGATCTTTATCTGACTCAGCGTTAAGTTCAGCGGTATACTGAAACTTTCATCGGCAATCACAAATTGAGGTTTCACAAAGTTGGCCAGCTCCTCAACGCCGTCGCTGTAGGAGGGATTGCTGCGTTCGATCAGGTCGTCAATCACATTATCGTTATAGATTCTCAGAGGGTTGGCTTGAACCTTGGTCCTCAGAGTAATAGACGCGTCGCCATTATAGTTCAGCTTGAAAATACCTCTGAACCTATCAGATCCCAAATCACCAATCTCCAAGATTTCGAAGTCAGGGGCCTTCTCTCCAAAGTTGAGGTCTTCAATCTGGATCTCTGAACTTAGCATATTGGGGCGGTCTCCGGTGTTGAGTGCATCATTGAGCAGCTCGGTGGACCAGGAGGACAAGGATCCCTTCTCAATAGCATTCCAATTTATCCTGAATGACATATTGAGAGCATGTATCGAGTGTGGTCTTGGTTGTTTGGTGGTTCACAAAGTCAAGATTTGCCGCTGATATACCAACAGGCTAAACTTGAACGACAGGGTGATATTCCTTGAGATAATTCAAATGCACACAATACCAATCGAAAATACAAGCGATACACACAGTCTTTTCTTAGAACTTGGAGAAGCAATGCTGGCGTCAAAGGCTAAAGCAGTGGTTTGATTCTTTTTTGCCTTTTCTCCCATCGAACCGAAATCACAGGCCAGATTACCGGATTGGGCGAATTTGTAACACGACCGTACACGACAAAATTTAGCTTTGGGAGTACACTACCAGGTCTGCCTATTCCATCGTCAGACCGACAAGGGCCAGCTCGTCAGCCTGAGTACAAAAAGGATTACACGTGGCGAAGTTGAGGTCTTGTGGAGCTTTTCATCTAATTCGCAAACCTTCGGGCAATTTATTTAAATATCGTTTATTGGCCGGTCTGCTAGCTATTTTGCAGCGTTAATTCCGGTAAGTGCACCGACATCTTATGGGGAATACTCTTTCGCAGGACAACGCAGAGACAGGTCACCACGATCACCACCACCATCATCGTCACCATTTTCAACACTCGCAAACCCCAAATTTAGAACCTTTGAAATCTCCAAGCTCACATCAATCTCCTGATCCCACGGATATGCAGCGCCCAGGGTTTCCAGACAGCTCAGTAAACCTCCCCGAGTCCCAGCATTTTGAGAACGGGTCTCCATCCAGCGAGGACGTCCGTCAAATCCCCTCAAAGGATGTTTCGATGGTTGATGTGTCCGGCGATGCAAGACTTGGCTCTTCGTCGAATTCTGGCTCCAATTCACGTTCCGGATCTGCCATGAATCTGGACTCAGCTGATGAGCTTGCAGGGCTACAGCCATTGAGAAGAAAGTCCACCTTGATTTTGACAGATGACATTGATTTTGAGAGGCTAAAACTGGGCCAGAGGCCTCCTGAGGACGATATGGTGATTGATGACGATGGTGATCTTGGTCAAGTGCCTCCTCCGGTATTCAAGCAGGATGATGTGGGGGATGAAAATAGCAGTACCAGCAACGACGTACAGCAACAGCAGAGTGGACGCAACGCACAGAGACCACCTGAGATTGAAAAGGTTCCCACCGTGATAAGATGGACCGAAGGCGGCTCGAAGGTCTACGTGACCGGTACGTTTACTGGTGGGGGAAAGATGTTTGCGTTGAATGGCCCTAGTTCCAAGGACGGCTCGTTTTCCATAAAACTGGACTTGGTTTTGGGAACGCATAGATTCAGATTCATTGTGGATAATGAGATCAGGATCAGCAACTTCATACCAACTGCCACTGATCAAATGGGTAATCTGGTGAACTACCTGGAAGTGGTTTCAAGACACCATGAAGAGCGCTCCTCTTCTATATCAGACAACAAGTCGAGGTCTTCCCTCACCACCATGGACTCCAAACTTGGTCTTACCAGAGATGATGACGACATGGGAGATGGTTACTCGAGATATCACGACGAAGATGAGGCATATGTGACTCCCGAAACGGTTTACACCACCTCTGTGCCTGCTATTTTCACTGATCCAAAGGTCATGGAGCAATACTACCTGACTTTGGATAACCAGCAAAACGGAACCGGGAATAATAACCAGCAATGGTTGATTCCTCCCCAATTACCTCCTCACCTCGAAAACGTGATCTTGAACAGCTACAACAATGCCGATAAGGATAACACCAGTGGTGCTCTCTCTATCCCCAATCACGTGGTCCTCAACCATCTAGCAACAACCAGCATCAAACACAACACCCTGGCGGTTGCAAGTGTTGTGCGGTATAAGAAGAAGTATGTGACACAAATTTTGTACGCTCCATTGCAATAAAAAGCTCGAAATACCTTTTAATTCTCATATCGTAAGGACTGAAAAACTTGTGTGCCTCTCTGCCAGATTTACAGGCGTCTCCACAAAGGCGTGTACTTACCAAACTATTTGCCGCGCGCAAAAGCAGAGATCGCATTTGGACGAAACGTAAACAGACGAGCTTAGTGTATCTGTGGAGACTTGAAAGTACTGAGTATCCTTACGTCTTCAGTTTACCGCATTTCCTCATCAATTTGTTTGACAAAGATAGTCCATTTGAGAAACAGTTCTCTAGATACTCGAAAGCTGAAACGGAAAACTGCGGCCAGCCTAGCGTGGGGCATCTGCAGTACATACACTCACGGCAATGTCTAAAGAGTCCACAATAACGGTCGCGGTCAGGGTCCGACCTCTCACAGATTCCGAGAAAGTCAGATTGGAAACGGCTGATGAAGGAAGTCAAAAGTTTCTGGGAGATGGCTCCCTCGCAACAGATGAAACTTCTAACCAGGTGAAGGTCAACACCAGAAACACCAACTGCAATATCCGGAAGGTTCTGAGTGTGGTGGATGACAGAATGTTGATTTTCGATCCACCAGAGTCCAACTTCTTGGTGGAGAAAGACAGCAACATCTTGGGGAGGCGGGGACCTGAAAAGTTCAAGACCAACAATACAAGAATGAGGGAAAGAAAGTTCGTTTTTGATAGATTGTTCGACGAAGATGCAGACCAAGGCGAAGTATTCAACAATACCACGAGACCATTACTTGACAGCGTGTTAGACGGGTTCAATGCTACTGTTTTTGCATATGGTGCCACCGGCTGCGGAAAGACTCACACTATATCAGGTACTCCGGACGATCCTGGGATCATCTTCCTCACGATGGCAGCCTTATTTCAGAAAATAGACGAACGCCGAGACTCCCAGGTGATTGAGCTCACTCTCAGCTATTTGGAGATATACAACGAAACAATTAGAGACCTACTCAACCCACAGACCAACGGGAAGCCGTTGATATTGAGAGAGGATAAACAGAATCACATGACTGTGGCCAATCTGACCAGTCATAAACCATCTTCTGTGGAAGAAGTCATGGATATGATACTAGAGGGAAACATGAACAGAACTGTTTCACCAACTGAAGCCAATGCGACTTCTTCCAGGTCCCATGCTGTATTACAGATAAACATCACACAGAGGGCAAAAACAGCAGAGATCAACGAAGAACACACGTTTGCAACTCTTTCAATTATCGATCTGGCTGGAAGCGAGAGAGCGTCGGTTTCCAAGAACAGAGGTGAAAGGTTTCAGGAAGGTGCCAACATTAACAAATCGTTGCTCGCTCTGGGAAACTGCATCAATGCGTTGTGTGATTCTCATAAAGGATGTCATGTTCCCTACAGAAACTCAAAACTGACCAGACTTCTCAAGTTCTCTCTTGGTGGTAACTGCAAGACGGTGATGATTGTATGCGTTTCTCCTTCTTCTCAGCATTATGACGAAACCTTGAATACGCTCAAGTATGCAAACAGAGCAAAGGAGATCAAAACAAAACTGGCAAGGAACCAACACAATGTCAGCAGGCACGTTGGTTCTTATCTGAAAATGATAGAAGAACAGAGACGAGAGATTGCAGAATTGAAAGAGAAGGAAGGAAGTTTACTTCGAGTTCAGTTGGAAAAGGAAAAGTCGCAGCAGTCTTCTTGTCAGAAGCACCTTGCGAAGTCTCTTGACGAATTGAAGAACTCCATTGCCAATATGACCCAGCCTAAGATTTTCAAGGCATCTTTACTGGCTAGAAGAAGGATGCTGTTTACGGATCGAAATTGTTTGGTTCAGTTGATGAGCATGATGGAGAAGTCTGAGGTGTCTGCCGCATCTCACACCACCAAAGAGCTTGCTCGCAAATTGATTGAAGATATCAGTATAAGAATCAAGGAAATCGAAAAAAAATACTCTCAACAATCAGACCTGGACACGATTTTGGAAAAAACTTCTAAGCTAATGCTCAGAAAACTCGAGGAAATGGAAGGCTGGTCTGAGTTCTACTCGGCACTTTTCAATGCCTCTGTCAGTCTGCTCAAAGAGTTTGTGAATCGCGAGATTTTGACTTTGGCCTCTATCAGCGAGGACGACGCAACTTCACCCAGTCGACTATTTGAAGTAATATCTCTCTGCCTTGTCGGCAGAGGCTCATCTGGAAAGACGTCCGAGGAAGACGCAAATATCTTTGTGGAATTGAACGAATCATTGGATCAATTCGTCAAGGAAGGTTTCACATATAATTATTCTCTGATACCAAAGAGCTCTGGTTCCCCACAGGATAAGTTTTCTTCTCCGCCAAATCAGCCTGCCCACATATTATCAAACTTCCAAAAGTCAAGCAAAAAGCATGAGCCCTTGGTGTTTCGGGGTCGCAATTACGCTACTGCCTCGCCGATCACGAAGGCTTCAAAAAAGACCATATTGAAGGGCCTCAAATCGCCAAATAGAATGTCTGCCAAACTGAAGAAGAGAGTGAGATGGGAAATTCCTTTCTCGGCTGATCAAGAAGTCGACCGGGATTTTGATGAGGATGTAAGTATGGAGCACATGGTTTCACCGCTAGTCATGAAGAGTGATCCTGAAATGAGATATTCCAACTCGGACGATATGGAGATCTCTCCTCAAATCAAAAGCTCAACGGTCCAGACATCGTCGCTGGGGGAATTGCGATCTAGTCCGCTTTCAGGAAAGCGGAAGATTGTTCCGCTAACGGCCAGAACTATCAAATCTTCTCTGACTTCTCAGCAGCTGCTCCCCTCGTTACCTCCAAGGCTTTTGTCAGTGATCTCAACTCCCGAGGACGTGGTGATGAAAGATGAGTCCTCTGATAAGCAGATAATTGGTGATGATATTATATAATGAACACAGCAACTAGGAATGAGCACTTATATTAGCGTTATCAACTTAGCGTTACCAATACCATGATACTTCTGTAGTGGTAATACCTGTAATGTCATTGGATTGAGCCGCACGTGCTGTGCATAGCTCAATGGTCCGGTCAAAAACAATTGCCCGCAAGCTCTTCAGGCTTTCTATAGTCTATAGCAGAGCTGATATTGAATAACCCACAGCCCATATCAATGAGAATCACAGTAAGAATACAGATACGGCAATTTGCTTCTTGTGCTAGAAGTCTTCAACAGCAGGCGTCACAGCCCCTGACAAAACCGCCAAAGCCAATAAGTCCACACGTATGTTACTCGCACTCACTATCATCTGGCTTGATAACTAACATCATACTTTCAGGCTGCCATATACAAAGAATTTGGAATTCCCTGGATAAAAGTGGTTGGTACTGCATTTGTGTCATACTACGGTTTAATCTACCTTTGGCAGTTCCTGGAAAGCTCGGAACCACAGGTCGCAAAAGTAGTGGAAGAATAAGAGATGAAACTGAAGTCAATTCATGCTGATTATACAGTTCAGATATGTATTTCTGAAAAGTCAAAGATTCCATCGAACCTTGTCATTTTCGACGTCCGTCATAGGTGAGAGTGCTCAAAGCGTGTAGATCTAACTATACGAGCATTATATTGAGACCCATTCATAAGTGGGAGAGAGCAAGCCTAAACCTGCACCTCCTCAGAAAGCTTCTTAGCCACAGCATCCAAGAATTCGGTGGTGGTGACATAAGATGATCTTTCGGTGTGACCACCAGCAAGGGCCAGGTCCTTGGTCATGATTCCATCAATCTGAACGGTGTCAATGACAATCTTCTCAAGCTTGTTGGCAAAGTCAACCACATCTGGGGTGTTGTCAAGTCTACCTCTTTGGGCCAAACCTCTGGTCCATGCAAAAATCGAGGCGATGGAGTTGGTCGAAGTCTCCTTACCTTGCTGGTGTTGTCTGTAGTGACGGGTGACGGTTCCATGGGCTGCCTCACTTTCAAAGGTCTTTCCATCTGGGGTCATCAAGACAGAGGTCATGAGACCAAGAGATCCGAAACCCTGGGCAACGATATCGGATTGGACATCACCGTCATAGTTCTTCAATGCAAGGACAAATCCACCCTTGGACTTGATCATTTGAGCGACCATGTCGTCAATTAGACGATGCTCGTACCAGATACCCTGAGCCTCGAACTTGGCCTTGTATTCAGCATCATAGATCTCCTGGAAAATATCCTTGAATCTACCATCGTATTTCTTCAGGATTGTGTTCTTTGTAGACAAAAACAGGTTCAGCTTCTTAGTGAGTGCCATGTTGAAGGAGGAATGCGCAAATCCTCTGATAGACTCGTCCGTGTTGTACATGGCCAAGCCCACGCCAGATCCCTTGTAGTCAAACACCTTGTAAGTCTGTGGTTCACCACCGTCAGCTGGGGTGTACTTCAATTCAAGAGTACCAGCACCAGGGATCACCAGATCGGTGGCCTTGTACTGGTCACCGTGGGCATGACGACCAATGATGATTGGTTTATCCCAACCAGGAACGATTCTTGGGACTCTGGATCCAATGACGATTGGTTCCCTGAACACAGTTCCACCCAAAATGTTTCTGATGGTACCGTTTGGAGACAACCACATCTTCTTAAGGCCAAACTCCTTGACTCTGGCCTCATCCGGAGTGATAGTGGCACACTTGATACCCACTCCGTATTCCTTGATGGCATTGGCTGCATCGATAGTGATCTGGTCATTGGTCTCGTCTCTGGCCTGAACACTCAAGTCATAGTATTTCAGATCAACGTCAAGGTAAGGATTGATCAGTTTGTCTTTGATGATTTTCCAGATAATACGGGTCATTTCATCACCGTCAAGTTCGACAACTGGAGTCTTGACCTTGATCTTGTCCATGTTAACTATGGAGCTGGAGAATAGACGGATGCTCGAGCTGGTGAACCCGGCATAGCATTGTGGGGCCTTGAAACCAGTCGAGGCAGATCTCAGGGTTGATTTTGACAAGCGCAACATGTTTGGAATAAATGGTATCAACCGATAATTGTACTTTTCAAATCTTGAAAGAGGAGTACGGTGACATTTTTCAGTTACTCATAGTGATGAGCTTGGGCGTGTGAGTCCATCAATTTCCCCGATACCGGCGAGCAACGTTCCGGATCCGGCAATACTAGCGCGGACCGCTGGAAACCGGCTCCAGAAACATAAAATTGTAATTTTGAAGGCAAAAATCATGGTATATGCATTGAACAGAATCAGACTGCATTGCACGTTTTTGTTTGAACCGTTTGCCTCACCAGTGTCTGCAAAGGCTTGGATTCAAAACACAACACAATCCTTTGTTGTATCCAGACTCTCCTACCAGTAGTTACCTGAGACCTTTTTCCTAAAACAAGAACTTGAGAATATTCATAAATTGTAGTATTGATTTATGTTGCAACCACAACAGGTGTTGTCGATATTCTCACGGCTTGTAAACCCGATATACTGCACTCTGTGAACTGGAGTTGTGGTACGCTGAAAGCACAACGGCAAATCTTTCCATTCTTGCAAAACTGAGCACTGTTATACGAAAATCCGTTTCGCACACAACTTGTGCCCATCTGCAGGTGCCGGCACATGTCCTTGGATAGACTGCTACTTTAAAGCACTGAAAAATTCCAAGAAGATTACAATCAAACTGCGGTCTAAGCACAAAATAAACCCTACAGAAAACTTCGTTTTTAGAATAAGCTTGTTCTTATTGCGTGATATCGATTGGGAATATTGTGAAAAAACTCAAATTGGCCTGGCATGCTAGAAGAGGTCTAACTTTTATCACATTAACCGTTAGTGCGGCACAGACCAAAGAGTAGAACTGTTCCTCCTCTTTAATCCACATTCACACATTCATATACGGGCAGTGATTCAATTAAAGTTTATCCCGTTTCGTTTAAAGCTGCATTTGTCAAAAGTCTCGCTATTTGGGAGTTTTCGGAACAGCGCCAGTCCGCAACGTATGAGCTCAGTGTACGTTTAGAATCTACATCAGCAGTCTTTTCGAATTCCCTTTGAATTTAAGAGTATCATATATGTCATATACAAATATGTATAAGGCTATACACGAGTTATAGATGTGTTGTTCAAGTTGGCAGCGTCAGACGCACTTCACCATTGTATAACAACTTCGGCGTGAGTGCTCTGGGTGATCATGACGGCTGACATCCTCAAGAGTTTTTGTTTGTAATTGAATGCTATCTCGGGTTTCTTGTTCTTTTCTTATGCGATTAACAGGCTATGCTGGTGATATTCGAAAAAACTTAAAGGTTACCGGATCTCTTCAATTGCACGTAACAGGCAAAGAATGGAAGGCCGAATCCAACAACTAATGCATGGTTAGTAAACAGTTCAACAGCAGCTGACAAATATAGAGTGGAACATACTAAAAAAGGCGAAATGTGGAACAGCGTATGGGATCTTTCTGTCCTTGACCTTGAATGGCAAGTTAGAGTAGATTCCACCATCGTGGCCAGAGAACGCCTGTCTCGAGGACGAGAACATTCTCTTGGAAGACAGTTGCTTCAATTGTTGTTTCTGGGCAAGACGAGCGAGCATTGTTGATATAGTTTGATAATATAGCAAAGACTTAACAACAAGTATTTTGGTAAACTTAGTCTCTTGCGAAAACTGGTGGTGCGATGTCAGATCCGCTAGAATTGAAGAGGGGTTACCCGGTTATATAGCAAAAGACAGCTCTGTGATTGGCGGGCAGCTGAGGTCAGCTGATTAGTACACGGATTCTCTAGTGTCTGAGTTCTAAGCTGATTTTTATAAAGCTCTTGTTGAACAGTTAGATTATCCATACCATATCTTATATCCATCAAAAATGGCTGTTGCTCCTATTACTGGCTCTTTGAGAAGAAAGATTATCGCTGACATCACTGTTGGTAAGTAACTGGTTGCGTATAGGACAACATACGACAGATCCTGTTGGCATGCTCGAGCCATCAACACGATTGACTGAACCACAATACTAACCCTGCTGACTAGGAATCACCCTTGGTGCTGGTTTTGCGTCATACTGGTGGTGGGGATTCCACAAGAAAACCGTGGCTGTGCGTGAAAACTACTATGCTGAATTGGCAAAGAAGAAGGCTGCTGAAGACGCCTAAACATCGATGCATTATAGAAAAATGGAAATGAAAAGCACGAAAAGCACAAAAAAATGAACAAACAGGAATCAAACGTCCTTCCAAAGGAACTGATCAACAACAGGATGTGTCCTTTTTTGAGGAACCCGATCCGAAGGTGTTCCTCGAAGAATGAACGTTTGCACTGGCAGCACCCTCTGTTATTTATATTCTAAATTATCACAGATGCGAATTCAACTCGACCATATAAATTCTGGTAAAGTTTCAAGGAACTTAAAAAAACCTAAATTGTGTAGGTTATGCCTCATAACAATTTTGGCATATTGGTATGTTAAATAGTTGTGGGTCGCTCAACAGTGTAGCCTCTGCTTTAAGACTACATGTTGTTTTGTGGAGCAGATAGAACAAGAGAATTACCCTCGCCTTCTACGTATACCTATCCAAATGCCTTCAGTTGCCAGTAAGCGGCCTATAGTTAATCTGGATGGCTTCGCTTCGCGATCTGTGCAAGATCTGGTGGAAATATTTAACCAGATAACTGCATCTGCATCCTCTCCTAGATCGAGTGGCCATCTCCTCGTGTTACAGAAGTCGCTTTCGCCAGTGATAAACTTTCTATCGCCTTTCAGCAAATTGAAAGACCTCACAGATATAAGAAGGGTTGTGTGGCTAGATGAGGATATTTTGAAGAGTAATAGGGAACCCCGTGATGTAATTGACTACGAGACATTGTTGAAGGAGTTCAAAAGTGTGGTGTTCTTGATAGAAGGGAGTATTCTGAGCATCAATTGCGTGGCTGAGATTTTGAAGACTCGAATCTTTCCTTTCACGAATAGCCTTGACGATGGAGTATCCTACTATGATCTGTCAGTGTTGGTAACCTCGAATTCGGTGAAATCTGCGGATCTCTCGTTTACAAATCTGAATGTGAGAGGCGATATCGGTCTGTACAAATGGTCTTCGTCTACTCCATTGATGCTTTCTTCGGACGTACTTTCATTAGAAAGAGAATCGGGTGGTCTCAGAGAATTGTACCAGCTTGGATCGGTGGGCGTGATATCCGATTTGGCGCAGGCGTTGCTTGATCTCATCAGGTTCTCCAAATACAACATACGAATCACCAACGAGTTTGCGAAGGGAAGCTACTCCAAAGAATTTCTGTCCATATTCAAGAATCTTCGTGAAACTCATTATAGCTCTCTCTCGCCTCAGGAGAAGAAATTATTGGATGATATAGATGACGCACTTTTTGTGGATCAGCATTCGTTCTTCGACAGGCAGTGCGATTTGATTGTTCTGGAACGCGGATTGGACTTTGTGACACCACTTTTAACCCAGCTCACGTATACAGGATTGTGTGATGAGGTGTTTGGTGTGGCTTTCAATCAAGTGGAGGTTGAAACGGAAGACGAGGAAACACAGGCTGGAGGCTCTAATCAACAGGTCTTGCGCACCAAGAAGAGCGTAAAGGTGCATCTCGAGGAGCCTCACGACGAATTATATCAGAGAATAAAAGATCTCAACTTTGCGATGGCTGCACCTTTGCTGAACTCGTATGCCAAAGATTTACAGGAGGAGTTCAACTCCAGGCATCAGGCCAAGGATATTTCACAGATAAAGAGCTTTGTGTCCAAGCTAGTGGATTTAACTGCCAATCAGAACTTTCTCAAGAATCATACCTTATTGGCGGAATCCTTAATCAAGACAATTAAGACTGATTCTGCCCAGGATGAAGCTCTAGACGAGCTACAGGGAGACCTACGTGACACCAGCCAAAGCAATTATTTCAACGCGTTTCTCGAACTTCAACAGGATATTTTGGCAAATAACTTGGACAACAAAGCCAATTACAAAGCAATTACGGAGTTTCTATACATGTTCGAGCCTCCTTTTGACGATGTTATGAGACTGTTGATACTTACCAGTATCGTAAAGCATGGGATACGAGAGTCTGAGTACAAAATGTTTCAAAAAGAACTAGTGGAGACATATGGAATCAAGGTGGGTCCGATAATGGGGAGATTGAAGGAAATGAAATTATTTTGCCCCAGAGAGCACCAGGATTACACCTTCTTGCCAAGTCTGGATATCTCTGCTCCACAAGCTAATTCTGCTTCCACAAACACCGGAAAACTGGGCTCAGTTCAATTGATAAATGACTTTAAAAATCTTGAAGCTTACTTGAAGCTAATGCCGGTGGTGGAGAATCCTGATTTGGCTAATCCAACGGAGCCGGATTTTGCCTTCCCTGGTTATGTTCCTGTCTTCACGAGGCTGGTGGAGTCTATCTATTCGAGGGATTTCATGCAGGAATCATCCAAAGCGACAAACAGACCAGGCTGGAAAGGATTTCAGCGCCTAGGCAACCTTCTTGATGGTCCTATGGAAGAAAATGTTCTGGTCCCAGACTCTAAGAAACAGCTATTTGGCACTCCTCCTCCACCTTTGAGACAACGGGCCAAAGATGACACCCTTGAGGAGCTCGTCATAGTGGTGGCGATTGGTGGCATCTCCCACGGAGAACTATCCACTCTGAGGTTCGTTATGAGCAAATTTCCTTCGAAACGGCTACTAGTGCTAACGTCTGGGGTAATCAGAGCCTCCGATGTTATAAGTCAAGCCGCATCTTAGAGGCCGGGTAACGCATAGTCATCACTTGCATTCACACGACTGATTTTTTTTATAAATTTCAATCAAGATGTATAATATGGAGTTCAGTTTGGAATTGATTTGAATATTCTATACTTAAGAAGTAGGCATTTGTGCTTGACATATAAAAATATTGTCCCAGTCAGAATGAGAAATTTGACACTTCTGAACAAAGGAAGGCTGGAGCCTGTGTCGCGAACCTACCCCGACCTCAAGGTGGTGGCCTCAGTGTTCAATACTGTTAATGATAGTATCACGATAGCTCTGCAAGGGGTGGATATTATTGAAGTTCAGCAGTTTGTAAAGGATGGGTCCCAAAATGTTCTGGCATCGTTTGCAATCGCTGAAAATGACAGGCTGCTCTCGTTCAGTGAATTTTCAGACCTTTCACAGCTGATATTTGCGTTTGAACAAGGTGACATTGTGATAGCTAACTACGACGCACAATCCCCTGATTCTGATACGACCACTGTTGAGATTGTTGGCTCAATTGACTGTGGCCTTTTGGCGGCATCTTGGTCGTACGACGAAGAGATTTTTGCATTGCTCACTGGCGAACGGAACCTGGTTTTGCTTTCACGCACTTTTGAACCTGTATCGGAGGTGTTTTTGAATCCCGAAGATGTCACTATAAGCAACCAGGTTTCTGTTGGATGGGGTAAGAAAGAAACTCAATTCAAAGGACGAGGAGTCAAAGCATTAGAAAGAGAGAAACTTGCCCTTACACATGCAGGTGTTGATTTTGAGAAAGACCCAAATTTAAGAGACCCAACGCTGCGCACACTAGAAGCTGGAGAACTCAGTTCCTCCGACTCTTTTGACTGCAAAATCTCATGGAGGGGTGACTGTGAATATCTGTCGATATCCTCTGTTGAGACTGTGGAAAATTCTCAACGTAGAGTCATTAGGGTATATTCGCGTTCTGGTGAGCTGGACAGCTGCTCGGAGGCCGTAAACGGTCATGAGGCCGCACTTGCATGGAAGCCCCAAGGATCCCTCATTGCTTCTACCCAAACCACTCATGTTGAAAGTATTGACTACGAATCTGGTGAACATGCACTTGAAGAAGTTACAAATTTAATATTCTTCGAAAGAAATGGTCTGCGACATGGTGAGTTCAACACAAGACTGCCTAGCGGTAGCATCAAAGATATTGCATGGTCCAGCACTAGTGAAGTGTTGGCTTTCCAACTTGAAAATTCTATTCAACTTTGGACGACAAAAAATTACCATTGGTCTCTGAAGCAGGAAATATTGACGGAAAATATGAGATCTATACTGTTTATCAAGTTCCACCCCGAGAAGCCACTACAGGTCATGGTAGGTACCGAAGACGTCATTGAGATTTTCGATCTGACATACTCAATAGCAGCAGGACCAACAGCAGCTCCCCTTGATCTGGGTATGATTGCCAATATTGATGGTAGCGAAGTAGGTGTTACGCCGCTTTCTGTTGCAAACGTGCCTCCACCAATTTCGTACAGAGACATCGATTTTGGACATAACATTAATGATGTTGCAGTTTCCTCTTCCAATAGAATAATAGGTGGCATTTCAAACAACGGTGTTGGATTTGCAAGCTTTGAAACTGACAAATGGACTCCGAAGACAGGAAAGTGGCTTTTCCCTGAAGACCTGCATTGCAAGGCTGGTGAATTCAGACAGATAGCACTATGCAATGATGACGCTATTGCTGCGGTGTTGGTGGATCACGGAATTTCGTCGGAAATATTGATTCTGGAAGTCAGTGATTTAACGAAGCCTATTGTGAAAGGCTCGATTGATCTTGGATACAAAAAGTGCGTGTTGTTGAAGGCTAGATCTGACTTCCAAGCAATTACGTACCAAACAATCGATGGTCAGATTTCGGAAATTGACACTCAGAACATGACGGCCTCTGTTGTTGCCGGATTCCCTCAGCTGTGCAGCAGTTACGAGCTTATCAAGTCAACGAGCGCTTATGATTGGGGTTCGGATGTGTACTTCGCATTCGGGTTGACGTCAACTGGGAAATTGTTTGCTTTAAATCAACTTCTCTCAGGCGGTGTGACATCCTTCCTCCTCACTGAATCTCATTTGATTTACACTACAGCCCAACACCAGCTGAAATTCATTCATCTAGCCAAAAAAGAGACTTTCAGTTCAGAATCTGATGCATCTCCTTTCCAGAGCTCGGATGACGAGAGAACTCGCATGATAGAAAGAGGCTCATTGTTGGTGACTGCAACTCCTTCATCCTCTGCGGTTATTCTACAAGCTCCCAGAGGTAATCTTGAAACAATCTACCCCAGAATTATGGTGATGTCAAAAGTTCGCTCCGATATCTCTAGAAAGAAGTATAAAAAGGCTTTCTTGACATGTCGTATACATAGGATTGATCTTGATGTTTTGCACGACTACAATCCAGAATTATTTCTCGAGAACATTCCTCAGTTTATCCGTGAACTAGATTCTGTGGAGCACCTGAACTTATTTGTCTCATGTCTTCATGAGGAGGATGTCACAGTTTCCAAGTATAAGGAGACACTGGAGCTCAGCGAGACTTCTCAGGTTGCAAATGAACTTCAGGAACTCAAGCTTACTGAGTCTGATAAGCCAGAATTGAAGCAGATAAGCAAAGTGAACAAGATTTGTGACGCTATTGTTGCTATCCTACTCAAGCCAGAGTTTAAGCAGAAGTACTTGCAGACGATTATCACCGCATATGCTTGTCAGAACCCTCCCAACCTTGAGGCCGCTGTGAGACTTATCAGCTCATTCACCGATGAGACTGATATTGATGACTCAATCGAACATCTGTGTTTTCTGCAAGATGTTAACAAGCTCTACAATATTGCTCTTGGTCTCTACAACATACCAGTCACTCTGATAATTGCTCAGAAGTCGACCAAGGATCCAAAAGAGTATCTGCCGTTCCTTCAAAACCTGCACGTTCAGACTGAGCTTAGGAAAAAGTTTTTGATAGACACTCATTTGAAGAATTACGCCAAGGCATTAGATTCTTTATCCAAAATAGGTTCAGATGAGGACTCCGAGATTGATCAAGAAATTTTAGATTACGTCGTCGAGCATTCCCTTTATCTGCATGCTCTCAGCATATATCGCTACGATAGCCACAAGTTCGACGCTATTCTAAGTGCATATGCTCACTACCTCCACGACCAGGGTAACTTCATAGAGTCTGCTCTAGGCTTTGAGCAGCTTGGCTCATATGAAGATGCAATGGATAATTATGTTCTTGCAAAGAAATGGAAGGAAGCCATTGCTATTTCCCTGAGACCTGATCTCAAGGAGAAGAGACATGCCGGTGTATGTGAGACTCTGGTGAGCTCATTGACTGAGTCGCACGACTACTACAGTGCAGCCTTGATAGAAATCAAATATTTGCACAATATCACGGCTGCTGTACGGCTGTATTGCAAAGACCACTATTACGATGAGGCTATTTTGCTATGTTCCTCAGAGAGTAGGCTCGAATTGATTGAGGAAGTGGTTGACCCTGCTCTGGGAGAAGGTTTTGGAGCCATTGCTGAACTCATCTCTGACTGCGATGGTCAGTGTAGATCGCAACTCAGACGTCTACGCGAACTAAGAGCAAAGAAAGAAGAAGATCCTAATGGGTTCTACGGTTCTGGAGCGGATGATGCTGACCATCCGGATAATGTTTCTATTGCAGCATCTGAGACTTCCACCAAAGAATCTTTCTTCACCAGGTACACTGGAAAGACTTCTGGAACAGCCAAAACAGGTGCATCCAGGCGCACATCCAAGAACAGAAGGAGAGAGGAACGTAAGAGAGCAAGAGGTAAAAAGGGAACTATTTATGAAGAGGAATATCTCGTGAAGTCTCAGGAGAGACTTATTGAGAGACTGCATACCACTCAGCCAGAAGCGAGAAGACTAATAGAGGCTCTTCTGCGCAGAGGCATGAGAGAGCAAGCATATCAGACTCAGAAGAACTTTGCTGCAGTAATGAGCTTCTTAGAGGAAAATGTGCAAGAGGTCTTCAACATCAGCGAGAGGGACAGAGAAAGAATCGATGATGACGGTCTGGTGTACTACGTTCCTGAGATACCAGCTCCGAAAATCACTGCATTTTCTTCACTTAACATTTTAGGGTATTGAATTACCGATTTCTTCTCAGCTCTTGATATCTCAGAGTCTTTCAAATCATTAATTGTCATAATTCATTGGAGCAAGGTTAGCAATGTATGAAACAATGTATATATATATCATGATCACCTGCCGTAGTAGCCTGCCTTGAGACGCTCTTGGTGCGTCAGGATCATCGTGGTGAACCCCTCGAAACAAAATCTGGTAGCGTCTGAGAGTGCCTGTCTCTTGCATCGTTCTATGGCCATAATCTTAGAATTTGTGTGACTTTTTGCAATCGCCTGAGCTTCATTATAGGTTCCGTCTTTGAGAGTGACTTTGATTGTCGCTGAAACTGCTATATCGAATTCCAGTTCGCTTCCGTCACTGCCATTGCCATCGGTGGGAGCATCGTCATGAGTATCGCCGATTCGCCTTCCTGAATTGATCTCCACTTCCATGTCACATATCGATCTTGACCACCCATCAAATCCAAAGGAATCATTCGCTATCTCCATGAGTTTGTGCAAAGGGACCGTTTTCCCAGGATTGAATCGGTTTCTTGGATACTCCAAATGAGCCGCATCGAGTTTAGCGGCATACGCTCCTATTCTGCTTGAAGCCCAATTCGTGACTGGTTTCTTGGAGAAATCGTTGAATTCAGCCTCAAAGTCATATTCAGGAAAATATGTCACCATATTTGCACGAAGAATTCATGCGTGATTGGCTGTAAAGGAGTTTCTCACCTAAATCGCGTTCAGAGACTTCAATTCTTTACGTGTTTTGTTTGTTCGTGTATCCACCATATGTCCGCCACGTCGCGATGAAGAGTAGTCTTGAGGATGCTGGTTTCGAAAAACCTTCAACTCCACAAAGCTGCCTTCAGCGCAAAACAAAATCCGGTCGGCATGGATCTTCTGGCAAATTTCATGGCACCTGTGAGTGCCTCTGCCAAGGAGGTGGAGAACTCAATCGGTACCCTTTCTGATCGGCTGGCCCACTCCACTTTGTTGACGGATCGAAGAGCAGCTGTCCTAGGACTGAAGAGTTACAGCAGACAATACCGGGAAAATGTGATTGCTAGTGGTTTGAAGGCTCTTTTAGCCACACTGAAAAGTGACCTTATGGATACTGAGATTTGTAAGGCGATTTTGGAAACTTTACTTATCCTGTTCATTCGTGGTGAAGGTGATCAGGACCTCACTCGTAATTGGATATCTCAACAATCGAGAACGCAGAATGGGAAATATCCCTCTCCAAGTCTTCTAATGAGTGATGTAACTGTTGACCAGTTTTCCATGTGGATTGCTGATGCTTTGACTCAGTCGCCTGACAATGTTTTCCTGCTAATTCAGATCCTTGAGTCGGAGGATTTCTACCTCAGATTATACGCATTACAGCTTCTGGAAGCATTGTGCTCTGTGCGTCCAGTCCGTACTAAGGAATGTGTTTTGAAATTTCCGGTGGGTGTTTCGACCATAATTGGAGTTCTAGATGATGTGAATGAGCCCATAAGAAACGAGTCTATTCTGTTACTGATGGGCCTCGTGAATGATAACTACAACATACAGAAGCTGGTTGCCTTTGAAAACACTTTTGATAAGCTATATGAGATAATTGATTCCGAGGGTGGAATTGAAGGCAGCATTGTTGTTCAGGATTGTCTCTCACTTATCATGAACCTTTTGAAGTTCAATGCCTCGAACCAGAAGCTGTTCCTCGAAACCAATTGCATCCCAAAGCTGCTTCAGCTTCTCAACCAGCCGCTTACTGTAAGCGAATATGGTCCTCTTGTCTGGAATGAGCAAAGGGTCAGTAATGTGACAACATGTTTGGAAACCTGCAGACTGTTGCTTATTGAAGGAAGCGATTCTGTCCATACCAACCAAGAGATAATGGTGAGTTCTAATATACTGATGGTGGTCTTGAAGTTGGTTTTTTCTGCAGAAACACCAAACCCTGTGCGTTCTACGGCTCTGTTGACAACCTCTGATATAATCAAAGGTAACCCAGACATCCAGCTTCAGTTCTCGCAAATTGACGTTCCATATTTGGATCCTGTTTTGCCGACCCAGACTCAAAACTATGATGACCTAATTCCCGTCAATGTGGCCCTCTTGAACTGGTGTCTGTTCTCGAATTCTGTGCATGTTTTTGACATTCGTGTGGCATCTTCGGTTGTGTTGCATGCCTACTTTGCAGGTAATGTGGATGCAAAAGAAGCTTTCATTGAAGATCAGTGGATTTCATTTCAAAAGCTCATGGGAATAAATGTTGAGGAAAAAGATGACGCTTCCTCTTTGGAGGATCAACAAACCAATGGAGACACAAAGGAGGAATTAACTGTCTCTGCCTCAAATACATCGAGTGCGTTCGATGCAAACTCGCCCCAAGGAAACTTGTTCTATACATTAACGAAAATCGAGCATGATTCACAGCTCAATCCTTACAAGTTTTGGTTTGCAGCTGTGATGCTGCTGTACTTGTTCGAGGATTGTCCAGGAGCAAAGGAGATCGCAATGGGTGTGAAACTTGGAGGTGAAAATGAAGAAGAAGATGTCATGACATTCATTCAGGCAGCTTCATATGCTCTTAGTTCTTCACTGAATTACAGTGATCAAAGAATCTCTATTGCATATCTCATGATGTTGATTGTATGGTTATATGAAGATTTTGAGGCCGTTGATATGTTTTTAGCTGATGAGTCCATTATTGACCAACTCCTGGCGTACCTTGCACAGACTTCCACTGAAAATGTGCTGGTTCAAGGTTTGGTGACGATACTTCTGGGTGTTTCTTATGAGTTTTGCAGGTCCACCTCGCCCATTCCTCGTGCACAACTCCACTCAATCTTGGTTTCGCGTCTCGGTAAAACGACTTATGTCCTCAAGGTTCTCCAATTCCAAAAACAAACTCCATTTCATGATTTTGATCCTGCCGCAATATATGACCCGGAGCGTGATATTACTGGTTTGCCCAAAGTCCTTTTTGATGCGCTGTTTGTCAATCTAGTGAAAGATAATTTTACTCGCATACGTGGGGCCATTAATCACGATCCAAACGTCGAGCCCGTTCAAAAGATATCTTTTGAGGCATACGAGAAGGTTGAAGACCAGCTTGCCGAGATTTCTTCCGCATTCGAGGCCTTTCGTACAGAGAAGCTTGAGGAAATCGAAAACAACGAAGCCACCATCGTAAACCTCAAAGATGAGCTTTCTGATCTCAAAGAGTCTCATACAAAATCTGAAGATGAGCTCTCAAAGCTTCGTGAAGCCCACACCGAAGTTTCTACTCAGCTGAAGGAAGCCACACAGGCTATCACTGCTGTTGAAAATTACAATGAAGATCTGAGCTCTAAATGTTCTGACTTACAGAAGCAGCTTGAGGCTGCCACTTCTAAGGCAGGAAAACTTGAACATGAAGGTAAGACAACCGCTGACCGTTTGGCAGAAGTCGAAAAGCAGAAGGTAACTGCTGAGAATGGTATCAACAAAATGAGCAGGGAGCTGTTCCAACTAACCAGAGAGAAAGATGCTCAAGAGAAGAGTATCAAGAACTTGGAGAAGGAACTGGCCAAGAGTAGCAAGGCTCAAGAGAAGTTGGAATCAACAATGAAAACTGCAATCAAGCAGAAAGAAGATAGAATTGCCAGTTTGGAGAATCAGCTCAACTCGATGACAACTGCCTTGAAGTCCGCTGGGCAAGACTATGCCCATCTCGAGGCTGAGCATTCTGAGTGTGGTGAAAAGTTGACGAAAGCTGATGAGTCAAACAGACAACTCATGGATAAGCTGAGGTCGGCTGCTGAGCTGATAGAGAAGTTCAAAAAAACCGATAATGAATCAAAGAAGCATATAGTTGAGCTGGAATCGTCCTCTTCATCATTGATCAAAGAGCTCGAAGATCAGCTCAGTGAAATAAAGCTCCAGCGTGATAGTTTCAAGGAAAAGCATGTTTCAGTATTGGAAGAGTTAGGATCTACCAAGGAGAAGTTGATGGAAACTGTATCCAAACATGAATCACTTTCAGAGGCTCTGAAGAAACAGTCATCTGAGTTTGAGTCCATAAAGGCTGCTTTTGAGGCAGCTCAAGCTGAGAAAGCGGAATTGTTGAGTCAGAAAAAGAAGCTGGAGAATGAACTCTCTTCTCTGAAGCAAAAGCACTCAGACTTCAGTAATCAATCAGAGACCTTGACCCGAGAACTATCTGACCTGAAATCCTCCCACGAACAGCTTCTTGGAGAAAAGATCATTCATGATTCAGCGAAAGCAGAGCTCGATTCCCAGATTGCATCTTTGAATGCAAAGATTGCTGAATTTGAGGCATCTCAGGCTGCTGACAAAAAAGATTCAGATGCCCTCTCTCAGAAGTATGAAGGCTTGTTAGCTGAGCATGATCGATTCACTGCTGAATCTGAAAAATCTTCCGTTGAACTGAAAGAATCACACGCAACGGCTATCAGCAAACTTAAATCTGAGATTGAAAGTCATCTGGAGATGCAAGCTGCTAAGGATTCGAAAACCAAAGAGTTGTCGGCAAAGATCCAGGATCTTCAGTCACTAATAGAGACCAAAGATAAGGAGCTGAAGAGGTTGAATAAGGAGAACTCTGAATTGAATACAAAGCTAAAGGCGATCGAGAAAGAAAATGAAAAGCTGACCTCGGAGCTCAATATTGTCAAGGAGGTTTCTGAGAAGAAAGAGTCCACTCTGAAGGCAGAGGTTGCTAAGTTCAAAGAGCGTAGCACTTCTCTAGCTGAAGAAAAGGCTTCCCTCAACTCCACCATTGAGATGATTTCTCAGAACATACAGTCTAAAGAAGAGGAAACCACCAAGTTTTCCAAGGATATTTCCGAGTTGAAAAAGGCTCTTGCAGATGCGGAGTCGGAAAAAACGTCTTCTCTTGAGGAGTTAGCTGCCATCAAGGTTGCGTTGACTGAGGCTCAGGCCAAGGTTGAGCGTTCTCAAAGTGACTCTGAGGCTTCCAAAGAGGAGTTCAAAAAACTGTCAAACTCGCACAAGTCACTGGAGTCTAAACTTACGAATGAAAAGGAGGTTCTCACCGAGAAAATCTCCAAATTACAATCTGAAATCTCCAAACTGCACGAAGAACTCACTCAGAAATCGAAAGAAATCGATGATGAAAGAAAGATGCTCGTGGGAAGCTCTGAATCGGCTGTGAAGGAGTACTCTGATAAGATAGCTGCCTTGGGAGACAAGCTTTCAAACTCAGAAAGGATAAACTCAGCCAAGATTTCCGACCTCGAGGATTTGAATGAAAAGCTAAAATCTCAAACCAAGCAACTCTCGCTGCAAATTGAGCAACTAAAAGCTGATCTCGTGGAGACCAAGACCAAAAATGAGGACCTAGAGAAGAAGATGGTTCTCAGCAAATCTACGTCTGATAAGCTACTTGAAAAGCTCAAAACCGATCTTAAGGCCTCAAAGAGTGAGAACGCCGAAAATATCAAGTCCATTGGTGATAAAGATGATCTTTTGCAAAAACTGCAAGCTGAGACCAAAGAGTATCAGAATTTGAAAGAGGCACATGCCACCACTTCCGCCAAAGTAAAATCTTTGGAAGACGAATTGGCCTCCAAGACTGTCAAAATCGAGGAACACTTGGCCTCGTTTAAGACGAGCACAGATGAGTTGAACAGTTTGCAAACAGAGCTAAAGGACTCGAAACAGCATTTTGAGAACTCGAAATCTACGATTGAAAAATTAGAGAAGGAGAAGCTTGAACTTTCAGCTCATGTGGAAGAGATCGAGAAGTCGCAAAAATCAGGTAATGCCGACGCTGCCAAACAGGTCGCAAGCTTGGAGCAAAAAACTAGCACTTTGCAAGACTCTTTGAACGAGGAGAAGAGCAAATATTTGACTTTGGCTAAAGAACTGGAGGGCACGAAAAGTGATCTGCAAAAGTCAGTATTAGAGGTGGAGACATTGAAAAAGAAGATTACAGAGACCGAGGTAGCTAAGTCAGATTTCGAAGCCTTGTTGGCTAAGCACAACGAGCTCGAAGTTTTGAATAAAGATCTTTCTGCTAAGCTCATGAAGTCTTCTACCAAACTCTCTGAGAATGAACAGGAACACAGTCAGACTGTGAAAGCCTTGGAGGCGGCCCAGAAAGAACTGAGTGCGGTTCAATCCAAGCAAGGTTCTGCCGAGAAGGCATCTGCTGATAAAGATAAACAGATTCTGGAACTACAAGAGTCTCTGAAAAAGTCACAACTGGAGGTATCCAAGATGGTTCCGAAGAGTGAACTAGACGATATGATGCTGCTGATGTCCGAACTGGATGATAAGAGCAAGAAATACAAGGACATGGCCTCCAAGCTGGGAGCCGAGGTCTCCAGTGATGAAGAGGATGACGATGATGACGACGATGAAGATGAAGATGAAGAATGATCTAAGGCTTTCTAGACTTGTACAATAATTTTAACAAACAGTGAGGAGATATGCTCACCGAATGCACATGCCTCGGAAGTTGGAACAGAGTGACATCTTTGCTCGGTACACGACCTCAGTCAAAATGATCTTGTCTTTACCCCACAATTACATGTGATGCCTCGGTCGAAACTCCAGTTTGCTTTAAATACCAATGCCGCCGCCCTTTTCGGATTTCCCTTTTTCTACTGGGACTGTTATCAAAAATTATCATGACAAGCAAATTAACTTATGACGGAAAAGTGGTGGTGATCACCGGTGCCGGTGGAGGGCTCGGCAGAACTTATGCTTTAGCTTTCGCAGAGAGAGGTGCCAAAGTGGTGGTTAACGATCTTGGGGGGACTCTCGGTGGTTCCGGAAACTCCACAAAGGCGGCTGAAACTGTCGTGGAAGAGATTAAAGCTAAAGGTGGTATTGCAGTGCCCAACTTTGATAACGTGGTGACAAATCCAGAGGGTATCATCAAGACCGCGGTGGAGGCCTTCGGCACTGTGCATGTTCTTGTGAACAATGCGGGTATTCTCAAGGATTCGAGTTTCAAGAACATGACAGACAAGCAATTCCAGGACGTTCTGGATGTTCACTTGAACGGTGCTTACAAGCTAACTCATGCTGCCTGGGGCTATTTTAAGAAGCAGAACTACGGTAGAATAGTGAATACATGTTCTCCTGCTGGTCTCTATGGAAATTTTGGCCAAGCAAACTATTCGGCAGCCAAATTGGCTCTTGTTGGATTTGCAGAAACTTTGGCGAAAGAGGGCCACAAGAACAACATCAAGGCAAACACCATTGCTCCTTTAGCCAGGTCCAGGATGACCGAGAGTATTTTGCCTCCAGATATGCTTGAGAAATTGGGCCCAGAGAAAGTCACACCCTTGGTTTTGTACCTATCTCATGAGTCTAACCCTTCCAGCGGGGCCATCTACGAAGTTGCTGCTGGATTTTACGGTCAAATTAGATGGGAAAGAAGTCAGGGTGTTCTTTTCAAGCCTAATGAGTCGTTCACTCCAGAAGCCATTTTGAATAGATACTCAGATATCGTTTCTTTCAAGGGTAAAAATCAATATCCAATCATGTTGAATGATTACAACACTTTGATCGAAAAGTCTACCAACTTGCCAAAGGACAATGATCAGGGCAAGGTCAAGATCACGTCTTTGAAGGACAAGGTGGTAGTCATCACTGGAGCAGGTGCTGGTCTTGGAAGATCTCATGCTTTGTGGTTTGCCAAGTATGGTGCGAAAGTTGTTGTGAACGATTTTGCGGATCCAGGTCCGGTTGTTCAAGAAATCACCAAAGCTGGAGGTACTGCTGTAGGCTCGAAACATGACGTTGTTACGCAGCCGGACCAAGTCATCAAGACTGCATTGGACAAGTTTGGCAGAGTTGACATTCTGGTCAACAATGCAGGAATATTGCGCGACCGTTCTTTCCAGAAAATGTCGGACAAGGAGTGGGACCAAGTAGTCAACATCCATCTTGTTGCTACTTTCAAGTTGTGCAAACTGGTTTGGCCAATCTTCTTGAAACAGCAATCTGGTCATATTATCAACACTACTTCCACTTCTGGTATCTATGGAAACTTTGGTCAGGCCAATTATGCTTCTGCCAAGCTCGGCGTATTGGGTCTTTCGCGTACATTGGCAATCGAGGGTAAGAAGGCTGGTATCAAGGTCAACGTTATTGCTCCTCATGCTGAAACTGCTATGACGAAGACCATCTTCAGTGAGAAGGAACTGAACAAGTTTTCTCCAAGTCAAGTTTCGCCATTTGTTGTACTCCTCAGCTCCGACGAATTGAACGTAACTGGTCAATTGTTCGAAGTTGGTGCTGGTTGGATCGGTAATACCAGATGGCAGCGTGCCAAGGGTGCTATAAGTCACGATAAGGTTACTCAGGTTGAGTTCATCAGAGATAACTGGAAGGATATTGTTGACTTTTCGCAGCCCATTACTGTTGCGTCAACTCAAGAGTCTGCTATGGCCATTATGGAATCTATTGGAGGAGGCGATGATGACGACGAGGACGAGGATGATGATGACGAGAATGAGGACACTGATGAAGCATTGTCAAGCTACAAGTACACCCACAAGGATGTTATCCTATACAACTTGAGTCTGGGAGCCACCGCCAAAGAACTGAAGTACTCTTATGAGAATTCTCAAGACTTTCAAGTCCTCCCTACGTTCGGTACTATTCCGTTCATGGTCCAAGATAACGGTGGTCTTGATATGCCAGGTCTTCTGAAAAACTTCAACCCCATGATGTTGCTTCATGGTGAGCATTACTTGAGAATTTGCAAGTTTCCTATTCCCACAGAGGGTGAGGTAGAGACCAAGTCTTACCCGATTGCTACCTTGAATAAGGGTAAGAACGGCCTTATCATTGGTGGTTACGAGACCGTTAACAAGAAGGGAGAGACATTGTTCTACAACGAAGGATCTTTCTTTGTGAGAGGTTCTCAGACCCAGAATGGCAAGGACACCTTCTTGAAGGAGCGTACAAAGTTTGCAACTCTGCCATTCGAAGCCCCAAAGGATCGCAAGCCTGATTTCGATGTGACGTTCCAAACAAGTGTTGACCAAGCTGCGCTTTATCGACTAAATGCTGACTTCAATCCTCTGCACATTGACCCAGCCTTTGCTAAGGGAGCTCAGTTCCCCAAACCAATTCTACACGGATTGTGCTCTTTGGGAACTTCACTGAAGAGGATTTACGAGCATTACGGAGCTTTCGAGGAGTTGAAGGTGAGATTTGCGTCGTTTGTCTTCCCAGGAGATCGTTTACGTGTTGTTGGTTGGAAGGACGGGTCAATCGTAACTTTCCAGGTTTACGACGTGGATCGTAAGGTGCTTGTCATCAGCAATGCAGGTATCAACTTGCGCGCAAAGCCAAAGCTTTGAGATTATACTCTTTTCATTTTTTATCTAAATTCTATAAAATCTGCAAACATTTGAGTTTCCAATAGTCAGACCAAACCTTGTAAAAGCTTTAATGCTCGATTCCACTTTTCCATACTTCGTTCAGGTGCGTTCCCAAAAACTTCTGCGCAAATTCAACAACCGGTGCGTCCTTTGAAGCAGAGACACTTCCGTTCTCGGAAATGGTCTTGAACTGAATAGCAGTGTCCTCAAGCTCGGCAACATTAGAACAACCAATCACAGTGGAGCCTCTTTTATCATTCCACCCACGTAGGGCAAATCTGACAGAGAGGTCGGTCAGGTCTTCGTCGTACTTCTCTTTGAGCTGTTTGCCTAGTTCTTCGCAGGTATCCTTCAACTCTTGAGGTGCCGGGTGGAAGGTCTTTGTGGAGCCAGTTCTCAGAAGAGACATAGAAAGAATAGAAGCATTGTTCAGCATCTTGATGTCACAGTCTTGAAAGAACCTGTCATGGTACTCTAGCAGCGTGGTATTCTGAAGACACATGTTGGAGTAACTCATTACCGTATCCAAGGAACCAATTGAAGCAGTCTCCTTTGCCTTCTTTGCGATTTGGTAAAGAAAATCAACCGGATATCCCGAAATACCAACGTATTTGATCACCCCTTGAGCCTTAAGCTCTTTCAGAGCACTGAGAGCTTCAAAGATTTGAGTTTCTGTGCAGAATTCGATATCATGCAAGTGAACAACATCGAGGTACGTGGTGTGGAGTCTTTCCAAAGAGCGTGCAATGCTCTTCTTAACCCATTCAGCAGAATAGTCAAATTCATCCAGTCTTATGCGTCCCACCTTGGTACAAATGTAGTAATTTTCACGTGCTATAATCCCCTTATCGGTCAACGACTTGAAGGCTTGGCCGATCATTACTTCTGAAGGTCCATAGTAGGGCGATGTGTCGAAGGCGTTCATGCCATTGTCCAAAGCGTACGAGATAATTGCCTCTATTGCCAGGTCTTCGGGGTTATCATTGTATTGGGTGTTAAAAACAGCACCACCCACGATTAGGGAAGATATTCCCTCCAGGTCACCCGAGACAGCAGGGTGTTTAGTCATGTCCAGTTAAATTTCAGATCCTCTAAGATACACCAATTGCGCCCGTCAGCTGGTGTTTGTTCAGGTCTACTCAGTCAAGCAAAAATTCAGTTAGTCAAACCTAACTACTCGCACAAATGATGGCGTGTATCCTTGTAGTCTATGACGTCTTTCCAACGGTTGCAATGTTCCTTCTCAAATTTCAATTCGGCAATAACGAGTCCTCGGCAGCGGACCCGATGAGGTTCACGTGCACGCGTCTAATTAACGAGGCTAACCCCAGCTGGACTCCGAAACCGGTTTCATTAACGCGTACATTTTGAAGCCTAGCTGGCCAGTTTTTGTGGCAATTAATCGTTTCATGAGTGGAAAAAAAGGAAAAATCGCCAAGCGGTCCGCTCCAATGGCGAACGATGAGTTGAATATTGATGTAAGTGCTGGCTGAACCAAGTCTGCTATGAGCAATTACCAGCTCAATTGTTCAATTCTAACACACACAGCTCGGCAAGAAAAAACGTCTGGCTGTCAGAAAATACAATGGCATCAAACTGGTGGATATAAGGGAATACTATACAGATGACCAGGGCGTTTCCAAACCTGGTAGCAAGGTGAGTAGTTCATTCGGATGATCCACTAATTGACTAAAGCTAACTCAATCAGGGTATTTCACTTACACAAGAGTCTTGGGACCAACTTGTGTCGAACATAGATAAGATCAAAGAGGCATTGGACCGGCTCGAGGCTCCCCCAAACAAGAAGGTGAAGTCAGAGTTGTCAAAGGAGACCGTGGATAGTGCAGATGAAAGCGAAGAATAACCAGCTATGATCTATGGAAAACTCAATATGCAAGAAAATGCAAAATTCTGTAAAGTTCCCTCGGGAAATTAGTTTTCATGTAGATGCTATCAACACAAAATTAATTTCTTGCTCAATTCGCTGTATAATCTTTCAACTGTATATCTGTTCTGTCACAAGATCTTATCAAAAAATGTGCACTACCCGATGCGGTTAGACAGAAAAACCCCTGTACTTTGCCGTGTACACTGTTTGATTGCTATAGTGTTCAACGTGTATTTGTTACCGAGACTGAGTTAAGATCTTGTTTGGCTCTTCGGAAAACGCCATTGGTGAACTTTGATAATTGCTCTGACTTAACATCAAGTGAACTTTGAATGTCCGAGCCAAAGAGTCCGTCACACGACGAGGTGATCCCAACTCCAGGATCTGATGTGGTGCACTCTCCCGGTACGAGTCCTTTTCGGTCGCGTGACAGACGGGCTTCAAGAAGTTATTCTATCAATAGAAGGCCTTCGTTTGACACAACTATGCTAAACAGGGGATCTCGAAACGCGGAATCAGCTAGCGATGCCGGATCCACCAAGAACCGCTATGATCTAAGTGAAGAAGGCGAACAAGACGCCCTTGGTCTTTTGCATGGCGATGTCCATCTTGAGCCCGCTCGATACGATGAGGATGTCGTCATAGATCATAGGCCAAGAAAACAGAGTTTTGTGGATAATCCTGCGGTGCCAGCTCGTCATTCCATGTCGCACGCACGGAGATATAGCGTGGAAAACAACGTTGCTCAGAAATCCATTCCCAAGACGTCATCTCCTCTCACGTCTTCCAATTTTGACAGAATATACATGCCACCTGAATCCCCATCACAGACGGTGAGGCCTACATACGCCGAAAGATGGGTGAAGAGACAGTCCACTTATGATAAGGACCATTTCCCGTTGCAGAAAGGCGGAAACAATTACGGGTCGACCTCGGCTGCACCAATAGACATACGAGAAAGGACTCATCACAATGATACATACCACGATGCGCAGTTTATTGGAGATACTTCAAGTTCTCAGGTAGACCACTATGAATCGTCTAATCCATCCTCGAGAAGGACCTCCGAGAGCTCTTCTTTGGCGGATGTGTGTTTTCCTCTGGAGGCATTGGATGATCCTGGTAAGCAAAAGAGCTGGCCTGATATTGCCATACTCCAAGAATTTGCTGATGATGAGGCAACAGAGCTGCGCAAACTGGTAGAGGCCAACATGGAGTCATTTCAAAGCAGAAAGTCTTCGTTTAGTTCGGTGTCTCCAAACAATTCCGGGATCAACTTTCAACAACCACTTGTGGGAAATATTGATATGGAGAGTTTGCACACTTCAAACTTGTTAACAGGTTCCAAAATAGACGAGAGTGGACCTATAAATGGTCGTCTTCGTCCTCCCAAGACCGTTCCTTGGGCGAAAGCTCAGCAAAACCCAGTCTTCCCTCTACCACAAACTCTGAAAATTCCTTCTGACAAGCCTTCTCCTTCGAAGGCTCAAATTGGACAGTACAGGTTTACTTATTTTCGGGAAGATCTGGAATCAACTATCCATTCCACCACCATCTCTGGTCTCTTGCAAGACGATCTCACTTTCAGTGACCTTTTCGTGCCTTCCCATTACTCTGTGAGCAAGAGCAACTCTGTTGCTGGAAATAGCACACTGCTGAACCAACCTGCTACATCTCTGAATCCGATGACAAAAGTGAGTTCCGGCAGCGTTAGACCCCCAACACCTGCCCAGACGGGAACGTCTACGCCAACTCCTTCCATCATGAATGAGCCAAGGCAAGAGTGCTCCCCATTCTGGTTGGATGTCTTAGATCCAACGGAAGAGGAGATGAAAGTCCTATCCAAAGCCTTCAATATACATCCTTTGACAACTGAGGATATCTTCCTTGGTGAGACTAGAGAAAAGGTCGAGCTGTTCAAAGATTACTATCTCGTCTGCTTCAGATCGTTTGATGTTGTTCATGAACGCAATGTTCTCTCCAGGATGGCAGCTAAAAAGTCAGTGACTGGTGGCAGTTCTGATTGTGAGAACGAACTTTCTTACAAGCCATCAATGCTGAACTCCTTTTTCAACATGCTAAGAGGCAAGTCTGGCTACGTTTCTTTAGATGAAGAAGTGCGTTCTGTCAAAAGCTTCAAGAAAGGCTCTTCGGGTTCTGTTGGCTCGCGCAAGAAGAACAAGCAATTAGATGCTGAGAAGAGAAATGGAAGGCACAGACACAAAGCTAGGGATGGTGAACTTGAACCGCTCAACATGTATATCATTGTGTTTAGGGATGGTGTCTTGACTTTTCACTTTGCCCCAACACCCCATCCCATTAACGTTAGGAGAAGGGCAAGGCTCCTGAGAGATTACCTGACTGTCACCTCTGATTGGATTGGATATGCCCTCATTGATGATATCACCGATGCTTTTGCTCCCATGATAGAAAGCATTGAAGATGAGGTAAATTCAATTGAAGATGCGATTCTGGTGATGCACTCTGCTGATAAAGAGGAAAGCGATGATGACTCCGATGAGGATAGTGACGACGAAGATGAAAAGCCATGGTTCAGAATGAAGAATAGAACTTCCGATGGAGACTCGGTAGTTTCCCGAAGATCGAAAAAATCGAGTACTAGTACCAGTTCCTCCTCCTCGACCAAGACCAGAGTCGCAGGTTGGAAACGCAAGGGAGATATGCTGAGGAGAATTGGTGAATGCCGTAAGAGGGTCATGTCCATACTGAGACTATTGGGCTCAAAAGCAGACGTTATCAAAGGCTTTGCCAAGAGGTGTAATGAACAGTGGGATGTCGCGCCGCGTTCAGAAATTGGGATGTATTTGGGAGATATACAAGATCATATCGTGACAATGGTCCAGTCTTTGAACCACTACGAGCGACTACTTGCGAGGTCTCACTCAAACTACCTGGCCCAAATCAACATCGACATGACCAGAGTTAACAACGACATGAATGATGTATTGGGTAAGATAACCATCCTGGGTACTATTGTGTTGCCTATGAATATTGTTACCGGTCTTTGGGGTATGAATGTGTTGGTTCCAGGTCAAGAGGAAGATAACCTCGTCTGGTTTGTCTCAATCACCTCAGGTATGATATTCATTGCAATGTGCTGTTACTTATACGCAAAGCGGGTCAGTGGACTTACGTGAAGAATTATTGTGCGATTCTGTTTCCTCAAATATCAACTAAGTAATTACTTGGAGCCAACCCCGTTTCCCCATTTTTGGTATTCTCCACATACCACCAGCCGTCTGGCTGCATAAGAAGCACCAGTAGGACGTCCCTCTTCTTGAAGGAGATCTCTTGTTCAATCTCTGCTGAATACGAGTATTGTGCTCTCGAGTATTTTATCACCTTATTACCCGAGGTAGAGACCCTAGGCAGACCTGGAACAGGAGCAACAATCGTTTCCGCTTGACGAGGGGTTGTCCATGATTTAGACTTCCTCAAGCTACTCTCCCGTCCTAGTATCGTGTTCTCATCGCGTCTGGAAGACGATTTTCCGAAGAGTTTTTCATCAGACAACGTTCCTGCATGGTAATCCTCGCTCGTATGCCTCAAATCCTTTGCACTCATCATTGACTCTCTAAATTTGGACATGTCTCCGTTTCCTCCGAGCTCCAAATCATTCAAGTAAGCCTTCAAAGGATTTGCTCTGATTTTGGCATCCGTTGAGGGAGATGGTGGTATCGAAGAATTCTTGGGTGCTTCAAAAGAGATTCTTGAAGTCGTAGATTCGAGCAGAGCATCGCTTTGTTTGCTCTTACGACGAGTTGGAGAATTCCAGTTCTTCGCAGACTTCGCTTCACTTCCAGTACTGCTCCTGAAACCAGAAACAGATGTTGGGTTGGAGTATTGACTGCTGGTATGTCTATGCGTAGCCATACTGTTTTCCGAGAAAGATGACTCGGTCAATGCGGTGGGTCCTTTGATGACTTCGGTTTTTGGAGAAGGGACTGAGATCGATGCCGGAGGTTTGTACTCTGGTTGCAATGATTCCATTAACTGAGGTCTTCGCGTGGTCTTCCTCGTCATGGGGAGTTCGTCCGGTTCCTTTGCTTTCAGCGAGGGCTCCCTGGTGACGTTCTTGACTTTAGCAGCTTGTCTTGGTTTAGCTTCCTCACCATTAAAGTAATCCACAAAATCAGGAGGGCTGAGAACTTTGTCACCAGTACCATTTTCGTGAACAAAAGAAAGAATTTCATCTTTATAGTTGCATTGCTCCAATGAGAGTCTAATGTTCTCGCACGCTTTATCATCTGCAAGGCATGATGTAGACACTGCATTGGCATACTCCCAGGTATTTGCCTTCAGGAATTTAGCTTTTTCTTCCTCCAGTTCCTGGAAGTTATTTAAGGCACTTTGCCATTCTGTCAACCAGGTCTCGTTCAGTTGCTGAGACTCCCTCACCAAGGAATAATAGTCTTTGCGGTGAGTCATCATGGACTCGTAAGTCTTGTTGATCTTGACTTCAAGTCTCTCGGCCTCGCGATCGTCAAGCATTATCTTATTTGTCTCGTATCCTTGGTATTTGATGTAGTCTGCCTGGTATTTCTGCCTCATTTGTTCCGTCTTCGCTTCCAGGTTATCCTTGTACTTCTTCAGTTTCTGTGTATTTGATTCAATGGGCTTGGCTTTGCCTTTAAGGTCAGAAGCAAAATCCTGTAAACTTGTGTACACATCGGACCTGATTTTGCCTGCTTGGGCAGCATGACTGAGTGACAGTTGCTTGGTCTCCACCCTTAGAGTCTCTAGAGCATGTCCCATGGCATTCGTTTCCTTTGAACCCAGGGTCTTCCTAGAGAGATGACCGAGCTTCCTCGAGTATTCTTCTTCGATGGCTATTCTCTCCTTGTAAAACTGCATCAGCTCTTCGCAGGTCTTGGAATCGTTCTGGATGCGATCCCACAGGACAGTGCAACCTTCGTCTTCCAAACCCCAAAAGTTCTGAGAAAACGTGGCTTGGGACATCAGTTGGAAGGTTCAATAGCAAAATCGGGGTTTTATTTCAATATTTACCGTGTGGCTCAGTCGGTTTAGAAAGTATGAGTATCAATGACGGAGTTCAAGTTTATTAGTCTGGCCTCAAATGCTTCATTTTCATTCATGCATTCAATGTTTACATCCTTCCCTTTTGGGTAAACTTTGAAATTTCGTGCGGCGCTGAATCTATATCTGAACTCCACAATAAGCATTATAGTGACCTGAATTGATAAAAATATGATAGGGTTAAAGTAGAACAGATTTGTTATTTTGAATTATTCGTAATTTAATGATTTTGGGAACTCAAGGTTTTCAGAAGAATGCTCATTTTTCTGAAAAATCGCCTGTCGAACCTTGCTTTGTGGAAGCCTGTCATGATACTCCAGCTCAATCGATAACTTTGTTATAATAAAACGTTGAAGAATCATATAATGAATATTAACGGAACTTTTTTTTGTCAACGAAAAGACAGTTCAAAGCTGTGTTTTACGTTGATGTGTACGGCTAATCGAATAAAAGGTCCTCTGGAAGTCTACAGGTAAACAATTTGAAGTGTAACTTTTTAAGAATTCAAAACAGAGCAATTGCAAGTACATAAAAAATTAAACTAACGAGGTCAGAATTCGACTCACACTAAGCAAGCAAACACAAAATTTGATTTAGACTCCTTTGAAGACCTAACTAAAGGCAGAAAAAGAGACCTCCAGTCGCTGATAGCTAACACCGTAACGTCTCTGAGCATCATGAAAAACATCTGTTTTCCGAACTGGTAAAAGATAATACCCGGTGCGCCTAGAGAAACTGAATGAATTCAATTTTCCTTCAGGAACTTAAAAAAAAAGAAAGAATGAAAGATGGGTAGAGTGATTGTTCGAATGTTGAATGTTCGAAATAAGATCTTATTGGCGTAACTTGCTTGATTCCTCCATTCTGAAATCTGGTAAGAATCGATATAAAAGTCAACCAACTCGCTTAAGCAGCGATGGTGACCTCGACATCCACACCTGGCTCAATGGTGATCTGAGTGATCTTCTTGACAAGGGCAGCTGGGGCTTGCAAGTCAATGTATCTCTTGTGGATTCTCATCTCGTAAGAGTCCCAGGTCTTGGAACCCTCACCGTTTGGAGTCTTTCTGGTGTTGATCTTCAAGACCTTGACTGGCATTCTAACGGGACCCTTCTTGTACAAGTGGTTGTTGGTAGCGTTTTGAATGATAGAGTTGGAGACCTTTTCCAAGCTCTTGACCTTGGTAGAAGTCAAGGTGATTCTAATCTTGTGGATTTCGGGTTCTTCAACTCCTTTGATATCCTTTTCGGCAGACATTTTTGATATGATGAATGAGACGTTCAGTATGGTAAAAGGAACATTCAATAGTAATCTTCTCTTGGACGCTCCGTTGTTTTATGAAAAATCCATCACCACAACCGTAGTGCTCCAATCATAAAGGACTCATAGCCCTGGTAAAGTTCACGTGATGTAAAATGGTCGTGCGTTAGCAAAAGGTATGAGTGAAGTAACAGAGCCGGCGGGTTCCGTTGGAGATACGCGGCATCGCAGGCATCTCTTATCGGGAGGCTTCTATCTGTCCCAGATATATATGTGGTAAGCTCGTTAGAATCTACAACAGTTTCGGGAGCTTCACTCAAAACAGTCTACATCTAAATGACAGAGCACACCGACTATCTGCAGACAATCAAGTCTGTTAGAGAGACCAATTCGTTCGTTAAGAAGCTTCTGGAGAAGAATGAGCTGGTGAACTTCAATGTGGATCTCACACAGTTAGACAGGGTGGTCGATTACGTGGCGAACACCATAAGGGGATCGTTTCCTACTGAGGAAGATTTCCTCAAAATTCCCATCCATGGGAGATGGCAGCATTTCGAGGTTGGTGAGATACCAAGGATCAGCAAGTTGATTGAGAACGAATGGTCTGGCTTGGATAACATGAGTATTTGCAAGAAACTGATAGACATCTTTATCGTCAGTGTTTTACTGGATGCTGGCGCTGGGAATGAGTGGGAATTTGAGGAAAACGGAGTGAAGTATGGTCGTTCAGAGGGGATTGCTGTTGCTTCTCTCCACATGTTCAAAAACGGTATCTTCAGCTCCGATCCAAGTGATCCGTTCAAGGTTAACGGTTCAGCATTGGCTCAGCTCACAGAAGAAAGTCTTGCGAAAGGGTTCCAAGTGGGTCCTGGAAATTCAATTGTGGGATTTGATGGTCGTCTGAAGCTACTGAGGACACTGGGTCAAACGTTGTGCTCAAATCAGACGATCTTTGGCACAGACGGCAGACCAAGCAATATCGTTGACTACTTGATTTCTCTTCCAGATACGAAGAAAGTCTCGGGAGTATTCACAGTTGATCTCCAGCAACTATGGTGGTGCTTAATGACTGGTCTGAGTCCCATCTGGCCCGAGGAGGGAAGAATTAAGGTGGAAGGAAAAACCATAGGTGATGCTTGGTTTTCCAAAGCAAAGTCCAGGGAAGTTGGAACAGGAAACCAGGAGGAGTGGAAAAAAGTGGTTACCTTCCACAAGCTCACTCAATGGCTAACATACTCTTTGTTTCTACCCCTTCAAAAATATGGCGGAGTCAAGATCGAGCATGCAGAGCTCATGACAGGATTACCCGAATACAGAAACGGGGGTCTCTTTTACGATTTTGGGGTGATTTCCTTGAATAAGGATGCATTAGATCTCGGTCTGGACCGTTCTAAAAGGAACGGTTCTGATGAAAGTATCCCCACATTTACTCCAGAGAGCGATGTGATTGTTGAGTGGAGATCCTGTACCATAAGTCTGCTTGACATGCTTCTACCGCTGGTGAATGACAAGCTAAAAGTGACTGGAACCAAATACGAATTGAGTCTGCCTCAATTGATTGAAGCCGGTAGTTGGAAATCTGGTAGACTTATAGCTAAAGAGCTGAGACCTGGAACCGGCGGACCCCCTATAGAGCTCGAAGCTGATGGCACTGTGTTCTGATTCGATGGTATATAAATACAAATCTCACTATAAATCAGCGCTCAATAAAATTTCTCGCAATATCAGAATGACATCAACCTGGGCCTTATCTTTGTTCAAATACGAGTTTTCGATCCCGCCAAGATAGCGCATCGTCATTCTTAATTAGGCATCTCATGCGCTTCTGCATAGGGAAATGTGCGGAGGTAAAGCACACTGGGGTTTATAGCTATCCATACATTATCGCCGATATATATCCCTCTAGATATCTCTTGAAACATCGTGGAAACCAATATATCTACAATAATTATAACCCAGATTTGACAATGAACACGGTTGAACCTTTGAGATTTTACGACAGCATCCTGCCGTACGCCAAATGCACAGGCTCTAACTATGATATAGGATTTACTCATGGAAAGGTTGGAGCCAAGCAGATCAGGCATTGTATGAAAACCTACAAGAATTTGTACAAAATTGATGGGGGTATTGAATGGCCAGACGCAATTGCAAAAACACAACTGTTTGTGCCTGTTTTGAAAGAAAAATGCCCCGACTTATACGAGGAACTCCAAGGAGTTGCTGATGGATCAGGTTTCTCACTGGAAGACGTTGTAGCTTTAAACTGCAGATCCGAAATTTGTTTGACCACACACACAGATGGCTGCACATCTGTCTCGCAGATCAACCCTGATAACGGTGATTTGTTCATTGCACAAAACTGGGACTGGGTCGGGGAGATTGTCGATGGGTTGATGATTCTCGATATCGAGAAAGAGGGCAAGCCTAGAATGATCATGGTAGCCGAAGCGGGAATCATTGGAAAATACGGGTTCAATTCCTCCGGCCTGGGTCTCGTGATGAATGCCATAATGTCAACGGCTTCGGATTTTTCTCACTTGCCAATCCACCTCGCCATCAGAAAGTGCCTTGAGTGCGAAACGTTTGAGGAGGCGTATTCGAGCCTACAGGATAACGGGGTTGCATCCTGTGTCAATCTCATGATTGCTGACAAATCTGGGAAATTTGGTACAATTGAGTGTTCTCCAGTTGGATTTGTGCCTATTCAACCGGTTGATGGTCAATCTTTCCACACCAACCATTTATTTGGTGAAACCAAGTTTGTGAAGGACTTCCCTCAGGACAACTCCATTTTCAGACTCAACAGAGTAAAGGAACTAAGTGTTAGTGCGCCAGCAACTGCAAATAGCATTCGCGAGCGTTTGAGTGATACTAAGAATGCCCCATATTCTATATGTGGCTTTCTAAAGCCGGGCACAGGAATCGGCACATTTGTGACCGTAGACACTATCATCGTTAACGTGAACACCGGTGTTGGCGAGTTGAGCATTGGAAAGCCATGCGACAATCCAACAAGGTACAAGTTATTTTTTGAGTAAGAGACCGAATATTAAGCGAGCAGAAGCAAAGTAAAGCAAGGTAATTTGATTGCAAAGGAAGATAATTAAGCCGCACGTAAGCGTAATGTCTCAGGAGGGTCGTGCCCTTACCCAGATCTCAGAGTTGGACATGAGTACCCGGATACTCCAAAGACAGCCTTAACACTTCTCCTCGTGTAGTTTAAACAATCATAATTGAATACCGATATGAGCACTCAGGAATTACTTCTGGACCCTAGTCTTCGATACTGGGTTCTCTTGCCCATTTCATTTGTGATGGTGCTTGTGGGAATACTGCGTACATACATTACAGTATTGCTTCAGCCCTCGCCAAAGATTGCAGAATGGGGAAATTTGAAGGAACAGTAAGTGGCGATAAAAGCGAGAACTTTGCGGTCTATTCGTTCTCTGAGGATGATATTAACTCCTTTATTTAGACAACATCTACAACAGGCGCGGAATTTCCGCACCAACGCGGCCGTGATATCAACGAAGGATGTGTTCAAGCAGAAACAGAAGTACTTGACGGAGGCATTGAGAGCTGGCAAGTTCTTGAAAGAAGACCCATCTGAGGCTAAAAAGGAAAAACCGGTGAACCCCTTGAGTGACCCTGGTTCTATGGATGCCATCTTTGGAATGGCAAAGGGCAATATGGCCAACTTCATACCGCAGACGGTGATCATGTGGTGGGTCAACTACTTTTTTGCCGGGTTTGTGATAATGAAGTTGCCATTCCCGCTCACTATAAGGTTCAAATCGATGCTTCAAAACAGCATAATGACGTCTGACCTGGATGTGCGCTGGGTATCGTCCATTTCATGGTACTTTGTGAACCTGATGGGACTGAAGTCTGTTTACTCTTTGATTCTTCAAGACAACTCGTTGGTAGATAAGATGATGGCTGCACAGCAGCAGCAGGGTCAGCCCAATATATCAATGCCTGGCGGACCTACAATGGATAAGATGATGAAGGGGGAAGCCGAGAACGTCCAGATCGTAGAGTTCAGGAGCTGTTTGGATGGAATTGAGGAAAGGCTTTTTAAACGGTTTGAGATTAGTGTATAGCTATATTATGGAAAATAGCTGTTTGGACAAAGTCCAGGACCCTGTTAAACTGACATAATTTTGAGTATAAATTTGGCATAGATTATAAAGCAATATCATCTTGCATTATGGACTAGTGTCGCGCACGCATTTTCCAATAGGTGAGTTTGACTTGAAAAGGGCTAAAAGACAAGACAGTTCCTTTATCTTGTAGACCTCCTTTCTGTGAAAATTATTTTTGAGTTCCATAGATCTTACCAGAATGATACGACAGGGTCTCAAGCTTCTACCAAGCTGGTCGCCATGTCTGAGAGTCAACATGTTCAGAACTATCACCAGTGGGGAACACTTCCATATCGCAACGCAACCACAGACGCAGACATCAAACACAACAAATTCTAGAAATAAACAGATCCACGGAGAAAACCCACACATGAATGTCTCAGGATCAGCTTATGCGAAAAGAAAGAGATTGAGCTCGTATTCTGCTTGGCTCTCCAGATACCCCATGATACTAGTGTTGGAAAAAGCTCCGGGGATAGAAACAGATTTGAATTGGCAAAAGCTAAAGCAGAAACTAGAAGACCACAACGACGAGTATAACCAGTCTCTGGGAACAGACTTAAACACAACAGATCCAAATTTGCGCTACATACTGTACGATCACTATGTCTTCCCTCATGCTGCAGAGATGAAGAACGCGATCTCCAAAGGTGAAAGTTCTCCTTCCCACACGTTCGATTGGATGGGTACTGAAAGGCATGCGGTAAAGTATGCTGTTGCTCTTACGTCCGAGGCTTTGCGTTCAGAGTTCGACGTTTTGGAGTTTTGGGACGGTCAGTCTGCAAATTTCAGAATTGATGGAGTGTTACTATCTCCCTTGCGCGACCCCGAATTCTTCAATCAGGCTCTCAAATCTCATCGGAAAGAGCCTCACGAGTTGGAAAACATGATCGATAACTTCAAGACATTAACTGAAATCTCTTCCTCCACGATAAGTACTGTGTTTTCCAAGCTGGCATCAGAGGGATTTGTCAAGGTGAAGCGAGGCCCCAATGACTATGTATTCTTGCTTAAGGATGCATCAAAATAGCACAGCCAAACTGCATATGAAGACTCAGCGGCGATTGTTACAACTAGTTACATGTACATATGTTCTTATATTATTTTTAGGGTTAGCTTTGACGAATGTACTTGGCAATGTCCTCTGCCGTCTTTGAGTCAGCTGTTTTAGCGGTCTGCTCGAAAGCACTTTGGTATCTGGCTTGTAAATCATCCTCCGTGTTTTCGTCAATTTCAGCATAACGATCTTCAGGGAAAGTGTATGATCTCTCAGCTTTGAACTCATTTTCGTCAGGCTCCACCAAACCTTCTCCTTCGTCTTCGCTCTCAAGATCAGACAGCACCTCCACTCCAGCAGCCTTTTTGTCTTTGATGCCCAAATCTTTCATCAGACTTGACAATTCCTTCTGTTTTTGTTTCTTTGCATGCTCTTCCTTTGCCTTTATTATCCTGTCCCTTTCTGCCTTGTAAAACTCATTGTACTCATCAACTTTGTTATCCACCGCCTTCAGGAAATCGTCAAACCCAGCTCCCGTGAAAGATGAAACCCCTACAACATCCAAAGTTGAGTAAAACTCCTCGAGCATTAGAGACATCGAGTTTACCAGCGACGCCATATACCCGGACCCATTTCCGGTCTCCTCGTTTAATTCATCACTTGATTGCATGGCCTGTTGGAAGATCTCGAAGTCAGTCATCCACTCTTTAGCAAACTCCGCATCCTTAACGTCTGTCTTGTTGAAAACAATAATCATCGGCAATTTTGTTTTGTAGAGAATCGAACAAGCGTAAAGCATATTTGACATGAAAGTGGTGGGCGAAGTGTTTCTTGGAGTATCCACAATATAGGCAATCACAGTGGGAAAAGTAGAGGCAAAAGCTTCTGTTATAATGGCACCTGAAGCAGACCAGATAAAACACTCGATCTGACCTGGAGTATCCACTATACAATGTTTAAGGTTCTCAGAACGCTTCTCAACCAGGTTGATCACTTGATCTATCTTGGTGGCGAAGAGATTCAACGACGTAACGATAGCACCGTTTGGTCCCAGGTTATACTCCTCCATAACCTTCTTGTACTTGATGGAGTCTCTGATATCGATATTAGGCTGGAATGGCACTTTAAGCACAGCAGGATCTAGGTTCAGCACATATGGTGGAGTCTTCTGAGCATGCAAATGCGAGTTCAGCCGTTGCATGAACGTGGTTTTGCCCGAGCCGGCCATACCAATACACAACACAGTAGCAGGAGCCATCTTGAAGAGTTTTTATGAGGGAACTGACAAGTATGAGACCACAGCAGAAACAGAGCCTTTGTTGTACTCACTATCTATTTCTCAGCATGTGTAAAAAATTACACTCTCAAAAGGTAGTGCATAGCACATATGTTTTTGGACTAATTTTTTATCTCTTGGTTTGTAGTTTAAAGTGTTTGGACTTCAAAATGGTACACAAAAAAAATTTCAGTTTTGATCTTTGGAGACTATGGATGTCAATGGTTTGCATGATTGCTTTGTAGCAACCCTTCAAGCGGATCAAAACGTCAGAAAACAGGCCGAACTGAAGCTGAGGGAAGCGGAGCAGACTCCAGGCTTCTCAGGCGCATGTCTAGACATCCTTTCTACAGATGGTGTTAATCCCGCAGTGAAGTCTGCCTGTGTCATTTATTTCAAAAACAAAGTGACCAAATCCTGGGACCCGGAATCCAGAAGGGCATTGGATAAAGATGAAAAACCAATAATACGCGAGAGACTGATTCCCGCTATCATTAAGTCTGACAAACAGCTGAGAAACCAGTTCTTCCCAATTTTGACCTCAATCATCGCGTTCGATTACCCTCATAGTTGGCCTGAATTTCTGCCTACTACCATCGGTCTTTTTCAGAACCCTCAGGACACCTCATCGATCTACGCTGGTCTAGTGTGTTTTTCGGAGTTGACTAGGCACTATCGGTGGAAGACCAATGAAGACAGGAGTCAAGAGCTCGATCCCATAATCCGCCAGTACTTCCCCAGTCTGTTGCAGATTGGTAATGCTCTGGTAGAGGATGTTTCCTCGCACTCTACATACGAGTCTGGAGATATGGTCAAACTTATTTTAAAGATCTATAAGTTTGTCACCTACCACGATCTCCCTGAGCCTTTGAGGGAGCAGGAACAGGTTGTGGCATGGGGAACATTCCATGTTAGAGTGATAAACATGAGTTTACCTCAGAATGTGATGGAGATTGACGAGGATGACAGGAAGCTGAGTCCGTGGGTCAAGTCTCAGAAATGGGGATATGCCAACCTTTTCAGACTATTCAGCCGTTACGCCTCGAAGAGCATTGCACAGAAGTACAATTACGATGGTTTCAAAAAGTTGTTTATCACAGGATTTGTCCCAGAGTTGCTGAAGGTGTACTTCACCAGAATCGAACAATGGAGACACAGTCAGGTGTGGCTCAGCAATGAGTGCTTATCATTACTGGTGGAGTTCATCGAGCACTGTGTGCTTCAGAAGGCTCTTTGGTCCTTGGTCGAACCGCACGTGAACTATCTGATATCTGACTTTGCATTCCCAATACTTATTCCCAACGAAGATGTCTTAGACATGTTTGAAAACGATCCTCACGAATACATAAACATGATCATGGATGTTTACGAAGAGGCAAGCTCTCCTCAGATGGCAGTGCTTGGACTTCTGTTCACGCTTGTTGACAAGCGCAAGAAGACAACGTTGGAGCCTATCATGCAATTTGCTTACAACAAGCTTGTGGCTTTTCAGAGCATACCCGAGACGTTGGAAATTGCTAAGGAGAAAGAGAGTGTTCTTCGTATTATGGGGGCCGTCGTTCACGAGCTCACAGTGAAAAAGTCGCCTTACTACTCCCAGATGGAATCTTTCTTTGCAACGTTCATCTTCCCGAATTTCAAGAGTCAATTTCCCTTTTTGAGAGCTCGAACATGTGAAGTGTCCTGCAAATTCCAGTCGGTAGAGCTGACCAACCCAGAGAACCTCTCCACCCTCTTCCAAGGTGTTTTTGAATGTTTCAAGGATGATAAGCATTTGCCAGTGGAATTGGGGGCTGCACTGGCGTTACAAGCGTTTATAGATGTTCCTCAATTCAAGGAGGCAATGTCGACTATCATTGTCCCAACCGTTGAAAGACTTCTGGATTTGTCGAACAAAATTGATAATGATGCTGTTAGTGCAGTCATTCAGGAATGTGTGGAGAGTTTTTCCGAACAACTTCAACCGTTTGGTCTCGGTGTAATGCAGAGACTATCGGAGCAGTTGCTCAGATTGTTGAGGGAGATCAAGGATGCCCAGTCGAATGACTCTGATGATTACGATGATGACTCCACTAAAGAGATGGCTGCTTTAGGTGTAATCAACACTATGATAACAGTCTTGTTGTCTTTTGAGAATTCTGCAGAAACTGTGATGAAGTTGGAGGAGTGCTACTTCCCAGTCATAGAGTTTGCCCTCACCAGCGATCTGGAGGACTATTTCGCTGAAATTGCCGAGCTGATTGAAAACTCCACCTTCTTGAGCAGATCTGTATCGCCATGGATGTGGAGAGTATTTGAGCTCTTGATGATTTCATTCAAGGAAGGTTCTGCATTGGAATTCATTGACGAGATGCTGGCTCCTCTGAAGAATTATTTGGTCTATGGTGCCAGTCACTTGAAGACCAACCAAGGCTATAAGGATGCCTTGTTTTCTGTCTATCAGTCGCTTGACCCATCAGACAGTGAGCTGTCACTATATGGTTCCAACATCGTATCTGTATCATCAGAACTGGCACAAAACTTCATACTGTGCCTCCAAGAGGACTCCGTTCCTTATCTTCCTTTGATCTTGACCAGAACCGTCCAGTTTTTGCAATCGGAGGATCCTGCGCATGCCTCGGGACTCAGATACTCCATTGAACTCTCTGATGTTATCATTGCAGCTCTAACCCAACAACCGGCTAATTCATTGAGCTTGCTCTCGGAGCAGCAGTTCCTACCACAATTCTTCCAGCTTTGGGGCAAGATCATCCCTTCGTTGAAAAGGGTTTACGACCTCAAGTTGTCAACATTGGGGCTTTTGTCGATCATTAATCTTTCGTCAGAGACTCTCGTTGCGTTGAAGCTTGATTCAGTGTTACCCCAGATTGGTAAACTTCTGGGCTCGCTCCTGGCCCGTCTGCCTGAGGCTATTCAACAATTGGAGAGAAAAAGAGCATCGTTCAATCCAGAGAGCAGCGATGTGATAGGCGGTGGACATTTCGACGATTATGAATCGGATAAAGAGTGGGAGGATGAAGAAGGTGACCCAGAAGGAGATGAGTATTTGAAGTTTCTCGAATCGGAGTCTAAAAAACTTTCTCAAGGTGGGTTTTATGATGATGACGACGAGGAAGATTTCGAGGACGACCCCTTCTCAAACACGTCTCTTGATCCAATCAACGTTTTCCAGGCTTTCAAAGAAGCGTTTATCAATTCTCAGCAGACTGATCCAAACAAACATGCTCTTATCTGCTCACAGTTGACACCACAGGATCAAGAAGTGCTAACAAAGGCGTCGGCTATATGAGATAGAGACTTGAGTACCATCTTGAATTATATCATAACCTATTCTAAATCACATGAACTCTCCAAGAGTGTTAAGTTTCGTAGAAATCCCAATTTAGTGCTTTTGCAGACATGCAGGATAGAGCGCAGGAATAGGTCGTGCAAACTCTTTTTTTCAAGATCCTTCACGACACGACCTCATGCATGGATCCAAAAAAATTTATCAAGATACAACAGATTGATGAGGTTGAATGAAAAATATCCCAATTAGCGCTCACATCTAGTGCTTTTAATACTTCATACTCAAATAGAAATGTCTGAGTCGAAGGTCAGAAGCGGAATACACCCGGCTGGATATTTTGGATGTGTGTCGAAATCGAGAGGTGGTAGGAACGAGGTGATCATCTCACCTCTTGTTCCATTTTTCCAAGACCTTAAACATACCATCGAACTTGAAGAAGAGGAAATAATAAGCGAATTGTTTTGGATAGTGAATAGCAATGCTCAGGCCCAGAATAGTGGAAAACGAAACAAACGCAAACACGCAACGGATGCCGGCTCAACAGATCAAGGATTGCACACCGAGACGGCTGGTCATCTGGCCATCATCCTGGAGAATGGAGAGGTCTTGTTTTACGATCCTGTTCAAAAGAGAGTTACATCGAGAACTATAACTTCAGCATCTAGACTGCTTGGGTCTGACTCCCCAAATGGCTCTCTGTTTGCATTCGACTCAACTAGCTCGCATGTGCTCAAGATTAGTCCAAACGATACAAAAGTACTCAAAGAGTACAAGATTCATAAACAACAGCATGTGACATCCATTCACAGCTTACCCAACGAAATTATTATAGGAACGACAAGCGCAGTGTTTGTTTTGACTTCTGAAGACGATGCCGCGACCAAGCTGTTTCAGAACAAAAAGAGCCATCCAATTGCTGCGGCAGCTGCATCTTCCAAGGAAGCTGGATTGGTCGCCCTTGCCAGAGAAGGTGAGCTGGAGATAGAAATTGTTTCTTTGATCAAAAAAGGCATAGTGGGAACGTTGAAAACCACAAGGAGCACCCATAAACTAAAAGCATTCACATCAGGCCAGGAAGAATTCTTGATTGCCGTCACGGACGATGGAATTTCGATTTTCTCAGATCCTTTCAAAAGTTTTGGAAATACTCCGACTACTACATTCAAGTCAAGCAGTGAAGAAGTTAGTTTTTTCGATGCAGTTTTCAGAGACTCGAGTATGACTGGCTTCTGGATTGACAATGACCATTTCCATGCGGAGCCTCTGCAATGGAGCAGAAGCGGTGCAGGAGAGGTTGAAGTTTCGATAAATTTTTCGAACGGAAACGGCCATAATGGCCAAAAAGAGATCATCGACGATGATGAAAGCTCTGACGAAGACGAGGAAGATGAAGAGGATCACGAATACGCTTCAGAGGAGTCTAGTGAAGTGGTGACCATGATCAAGGACAACATACATGATCACGATCGAATCGCCGCCATATGCTCCCAAAACTTCGGTCACGCAAGACAAGTCGTACAAAGACTTGACCAGGACACTTGTCTCAAGATTTTCCCTATTTTAAGCTTGAGAATCGCAGATCAGCCACAGAGCTCTATGCTGCTGAATACATGGCTACAGACTATTATTATTCTGCACGGCAACTCTATTTCCAAAGATGCAGACTTGGTTGGCTTATTGAAGCTGCTGAAGTCCTCACTGTCCGAAAGTGTTAAACTACTCCCAAATATGCTGGCCTTGCAAGGGCGTTTGATTCTGCTAGAGTCCCAGCTGGCTCTTCGTTCCGAGCTCAGTAATGGTGAGGCTCTTGATGGTGAGCCCGTGCAACCAGCTCAAAACGGAACAGTTGTGTACGACGGTGAGAATGACGAGTACGTTGAAGACGGTGAGGCTGAGGATGCCGATGACGACGAAGAAGACGACGAAGACTAATGTTTTGGCAGCTGAATCTACTTTCCACAGACACATATAGATAGAGTAACTGAAAAAGTGTGCCCTAACCAAACGGCAATGTCCGCTCGCTAAGAATTAAAAAGAAACGACGGATTTATGCGTAGTCTCCTGTGCAAAAGAAAGAAAATTGTATCACAAACGCGATGCTCATGATAAATTTTTTTGTATAGTGTAGCTTTGACTGTGTCAGACTTTATCACTGGATAGTCCTCGTTATTGTGCCTCCTAAACCTTCAACCATGTCAGAAGACGAAAAGATTTACGTTTCCTACAACAACATTCACAAGCTCTGTCAGAACGCCGCGACCGAAATCAGGTCGGTAGGTAAGCCTGATATTATAATAGCCATCGGTGGTGGTGGTTTCATCCCAGCCAGAATCTTGAGATCATTCATTAAGTATCCTGGTGAGACAAATATTCCCATTCAGGCTATTGGTTTGTCGTTGTATGAGAACATGGGAGGTATTGGTCAAGTGGAGAAGATTGGCAAGGAGGTAGTAAGAACGCAATGGTTGGACTTTGGTGCCTTGGAGCAGCATTTTGACTCACTCATTGGCAAGAACATTCTGATTGTTGACGAGGTTGATGACACTAGAACCACACTTCATTATGCTTTGAATGAACTTCACAAGGATGTTGAGGAGCTGGCTGTCAAGCTGGGCAGAACTAACGAGCATACCAAGTTCAGTATCTTTGTGTTACACAACAAGGATAAGCCCAAGAAGGCCGACATATCTCGAGAGATGATGAATGGTGGAGTCTACATTGCTGCCAAGACAGTGCCGGATGCATGGATTGCGTATCCATGGGAGGCCATTGATATTGACGAGCATTCCGTTAAGGCCATTGCACAGGGTAACAATTAGAATTAATACACAAATATGATCGGGCCTATTTCATAGAAACTAACTGCTGAACTTGTTCGCGACATAAGTCCTTGAGATCTTGGACATCTGCTTTCAATTCCTCAACCTGCTCAGATTTTTCACCCAGCAGTACCAGGGTAGTCTCGTAATTGTGGCTGAGATCCTGCAGATCTTTCTCCAGCTCCAGGTTGGATTCCTTCAGGCTAGCTAGTTCTTCGTTCTGTTTCATAAGTCGCAGAATCTCTGTCGTGGCATCTGCCTTCTCGCGTGTCAACGTGTTGACCTCATCCTTCAAAGTGATCATCTCAATTTCCAGACGTCTGATCTGCGAGGATAGCTTACCCATGATTTGTATGTTGGCCCCACCATTTGAGCCATGGACCGTTAGGTTGTTCGAGCTGCTTCCCAAATCATCATCCTTTGGCTTGTATGTAGATATAGGCGAAGAGACGTCAAAGTCGTCCTCCTGCTCAACGAACTCATATCTGTTATACGTAGGGGTCTGTAAGGAAGGAGAGAAATACAGAGATGTATTGGACACCTTTCGACTGTTGGGCAATGTCGATCTTGGAGTGGTTGAGCTCTCGCCTAGGGCAATATCCCAGCTATGATTGATAGACGAGATCGCAGACACCGATCTCTGGCTTTTGAACAGATTGGACGAGGAGAGATCATGCAGATACAGTGATTGAGGTTGAACGGGAGCAGCAACGACTTCTGGTTTCTTCGCCTTCTCTTCTTCAAGTTTCGCTTTCTCTTCCTCCAGTTGTTTTGATATTAGCTCGTAATTTTGGCGTAATTGTACGATCTCGTCTTCTTTCGAAGTGATCTTCTCAGTCAGTTTTGTAATCTCATTTCTCAGACTGGACTCGATGTCGATCAATTCATCAATATCTTCCGACTTAGCCCTCAAATCACTAGTCATGGTCTTTATCTTTCTTGAGTAATTCATATCCTTTTGCTTCAACAAGTTGATATCGTTCTCAAACTGAGAAATCTTGTTCTGGTAAGAACTTTCAATAAGCTTCCAGTTCTCCAACGCTTGAGTGTATTGAACTTGCAATATCTCATTGGTTGACAGCAGCTTTTTGTCAATCTCCTGAGATCCATCCGAGGAAGATGTACCATTCACAAGCTTGTTTTCGCTTTGGATCCGAAGCTGCTCCATCTTCTGTTCCAATCTCTTGATCTCATTATAATTTTCATCCCTCAATTCGTTGTACCTTTGCTTTTCTTTCTCTAATTTATACTCCTTTTGGGAGATCTCCACTTTCGATTGTTCCTTGAACATCTCGAATTGTAGGCTTAGCTGTTCCAACTTGGCTTGCAACTCGGAGCTCTTTTTCGTCTCTTCTTCGAGAGCCTTCTTGGTATTCGATAACTGTACATCCAGACGCTTGTGTTTCAGCTCTTTCAACTCGTTGTAGATGTTAGTTCTTTCCTTGGTGAGCTTGTCAAATTTGCCTTGAAGAATTTCGAAGTTCAGCCGTTCCTCTTTTATGGACTTTTCGGACTCTCTGACAGCATCCATCTGACTTTGTAAATTGTTGGCTTTATCGATCAGCTCCCCGGCCTCCTCCTTTAACCTGTCTATCTCCTCCTCATTTTCGATTTCCTTGATCTTTAGCTTCTTTATTGTCTGTGTCAAAGAAACCTCTTTCGAGGAGAGTTTGGCCCCTTCCTCCAAAAGTTCTTTTATCTGAAGTTCCTTTTCCTCGAGTTTCTTTGACAATACACTATTGTCCTGGGATTTGGCGTTTGTATTCAGCCTATCCTTCAGTCTTTCGTTGGTGGCTGAGAGAGCTGAAACGGTGGAGTTCAAGGTCGACACCTGAGTGTTGAGAGCAGCCAACTTCGATTCAGAGTTGAGCTTTGTCTGTTTGTTCAAGTCATCTAGTTTCCTTACCAACACAATTAAGTCATCTTTTTCCAGCTCTGTGAAATTTTCAGGAATGCTTGGTTCCTCGGCCTCCTCAGAAACCGGTGGGGTGACCTCCTTTTCAGGCTCATCAACCACGGGTCTCACAGAGTCCACGCTGGCCCTTGGGGAATCTTCCGAATTTTCCTTCTTTTTGCCACCGGATTTAGCAGCCAAAGCTAACCTTTCTTGGAGGGTAAGCCGCTTGGATCGGGGCTTTTTCTCGACTGCTGCTATGGGTGGATCTTTGACTTCTTCTTGTTCCTGTTCCACTATTTCAGGCTCCTTGGTAGGCACCACCTCAGACTCTTTCTCTGGTTCAGGCTTATTATCATGCAATTCAGACTGATCATGATATTCTAGAACCTCCATTTTTTATCCATCAATGGTGGGAGCTGACAATTAAATTATGAAACAGATCAGTATGAACAAGACCTGTTGATCCCAAATGTACGTGCAAAGCTAATTCGGAAGATCGTGTTCGGCACTATTTACAGAATCCACTAACTATATAATTTATGGAAGGCCGGTCGCAACTGCTCAGTTTTATAATTGAATTCCCAATTGCAATAATGTGGCATCATCAGCTTTCTTCAAGAACTTTCTAATTATGTTCTTCCTGACGTTTCTGCGCATTTTCTCGATTTCCTCACCAGATAGCCCGGTCCGCTGCAACACCTCTGCAGACTTATCAGGGCTTGCTATTATGCTCTGCAAAGTCTGGGTTAATTTGTAATCTTGCAACAAGTCTTGGACTTTTTCTTCCAATCTCTCGAATTCCATCTGGAACAGTTGCTGATCATCCCAAGTCTGAATCATGTACTTCTTTTTGAGGTTAGAAACTGTTTCCTGTTCTTCTGGAGTCAGTTCCTTGCCTTTGAGGGAAGCAACCGTGCGCAAATCACCCAAAAAGACGAGCTGTTGATCATTATCCTTCAGTTGTGTTCTCTCTAGGAACTCTCTGGTCTTCAGCTGTTCTTCCTCGCTGACCCTTTGTTTGGCCTCTTCTGCGTATTTCGCGAACTGCTGACCAATATTTCTTTTGATCTCAGCAACCGCAAAAAACTTCCTTGATGATAATGGTCTGGTGGCCTCGATCCGTACCAGATCGCCTTCCTTGCAGATGTTACCTTCATCATGCACGAGGAAGTCTTTACGCTTGAACAGATCCTTGTGGACCTTTGCATCGTAGTATTTTTGCAGCACTCTCACCTTGATGGTTTTGTCCATCTTTCCTTGGGAAATAACATATCCCACAAAGTTCTGCCTCGCCATTTTAATGCTGTGTGATGTGCTCTTTAAATGATTTAAACGAAGCTCTCTGCTGGTCGTCCATGAAAAATCACACTGGCATTTCCAATGACAGAAGGCCGTGTCAGCTATAATCAATTATCACACGATTCACTTACCATAAATGTTCTCGGCGTTATCAGCCAGGATCTATTGCGTATCTCCTGAAGTTCACCTAATTGTCAACTACAAAAAGTTATGTCTGCTGTCGAGTCCGAGAGCGCAAACGTCACAGCTTTTTTGAAAAAATTGCCGGCGCTAATAGAAGAAGCCGAGTATGATGAGTTGTTTGGGTACCAACTAGATTCAAAAGGTGACTTCTACGACGAAAACATCGCAAGAATTCTGCTCGCGAAATACCTCAAAGCAAACAATGGAAGTTTGTCCGAGGCTGAAACTCAACTCCTGAATACACTCAAGTGGAGGGCAGAATTTAAGCCCTTATTGGCAGCCTTCTCCGAGACTCATCCTACCAAGTTTTCGGAGTTAGGAGTCCTCACTGTTGATAACGCCGCTGCCGCAGACGAGAAAATCATAACTTGGAACTTGTACGGGAAAATGGATGATGTCAAGGAGATATTTTCCAAAGAAGGCGACAAATTTTTGAGGTGGAGAGTGGGCTTGATGGAGCAGGCCATTCAGCTGTTGAAGTTTGATGACCCTGATAATGATTATATGGTTCAGGTTCACGATTATAAAGGCGTGAGTATGCTCAGGATTGACCCAGACATCAGAAAAGTCACAAAAGCGATTATCCACACTTTTTCGAGCCACTACCCTGAGATCATGTCGCGCAAGTTCTTTGTAAATGTTCCATCTATTATGAGTTGGTGCTACAGTGTGGCGAAAACGTTTGCCTCGCCCGAATCCAGAAAGAAGTTTATGATGATCAGTAACGGAGCAGGACTAGCATCAGAGCTTGGGAAAACCATACCTTCGGAGTACGGAGGAAAAGCTGGCAATCTGTTGTCCAAACAGTTTGTGTTCAATGACTCGAAGAGTCAGGTCTCGCCTTACGCCGCCTACATCATTCAACAGCAGATCTCCAACGAGCTTGACTGATCTTTGCCTGTAATATAATTGAGGCTTTTAATGTTTATAAAAATCAATGTTTAATACTTGCACTGCGTACACCCATCTGTATTCAAATGTATACTCTGAAATCCAGATAATAAAAATGTGTACTGCCAAAGTTGTAGCCGCATATAACTACCCGACTCATCGCTCCAAACAGTGTGCGTCTACGGAGGAAGAAAGATTGTAGAAACACAACACTCTATGATTCTCCTGTCACAAAACAAACAAAGCAGACTGAATTCTCAATGAGTCAACATTATGAAGTGTTGGAAATCGACAGAGGTGCGTCTGCCGAAGAGATTCGGAAGGCTTATAGACGCCTGGCATTGAAGTACCACCCAGATAAGAACCGTGACCACAACGCAGAAGACATGTTCAAGAAGATCAGTGAAGCGTATAGAGTTCTTTCTGATCCCCAGACGAAACGTGATTATGATAAGACCATTCCAAGGACTTATCCTCCCAAGTCTGAGAAGACATATTCTCCAGCATCTGGGTACTACCAACGCCAGTACCAGAGTCCCAAACAGGAGTATAACTCGAGCCGATCAAACTCTAATAGATTTCATCATTCTTATTATGGAGACACTTATTCCGCCTTTGAGAACTATGCTAGCTACAATTTTGGCTCGAGGTATGATGATGTCCCCAGTTGGAGACAGTCTAGGCAAGAGAAGAAGCCCCCTCAACCCAGGGCCACGCCCAAGAATGGGTCTAAGCAGAAAGCAGCACCTAGCTCAACCAAATCAACACCAAAGGCGAAGGCTAAAACAAACGGGAAATCCAAGTCCAAGGCTCATCCAACTGCTACAAGAAAGAACTCTGAATCTCAAACTCCAACACCAGAGGACCCTAAGAGAGATCACCCCAAACCATCTTTTGAAAGCACAAATGACGGGCAATGGTCCAGATCGCGAACATCGTACTCTTACATGCATTCAGAGAAGACATATACCGGCCCAATTCCGGATATCAAGATTCCAGAGCCCACAACTGAAGGAACTGTGCCACAGAAGGAAGAGCCAATTAATGAGCCTCAAGCACAACCTGAGCCTGAAACAGTAAACCCTTGGGCCTTTCACAGTGGCTTCAGCAACGGATTCAACGCTGAGGATTCTTTTGAAAGTGCAGGTGGTCGAAGTTTTATGGATGAGCTCAAGAGAATGGGTCAAAATGGGGACTTTTCCTTTACCTTCCCGTCACCTGACAGATCGAAGTCGTCGAACAGATTCACGGTTTTTGACAGTTCAGGCGAGAAGGATGACCCCATCGCTTTGGACGAAGGTACTGAAGCAGATCCTATAATTATAGATGATAGTGATCCTCCTGTAACTACACAGCCTCAATCGCCAAAACCATCCTCTTGGGCCAATGCTGAAAATATACCGAACCGGTTTTTCGAGAGGGAATCAACTCGCCTCAAACGGAAACCGCGTCACAGAGGCTTTTCAAATAGTCCCTTTGCAACCTCAAACCAGGACCGTGGATTTCCTGGTCAGAGTACCCCCGTCAACAAAGCACATGTGGAGGATCTCCCGGAGGGGGATATCAGTGTTGGTGCGGCCTCTGGCAACGATGATGGAAAGAAGGAACCATTTTCGAACCCTTTCCTTAGAAGTACGTTTGACTTTACCTTCGATGCAAACCGAGGGCCTTTGAACACAAAGGAACCAGTCCATGAGGAGGGGATTGACCAAGGTCAACAGTCTGCTCAAACCCCCATGCAGGAGGCAGACACTAACTCAAAGTTCTCACTCAATGATCTCAAAGAAATGCCGCCATTCTCCTCGACAAACCGCTTCACAATGGACGAATTAGATCAAACCCTTGAAGATACCGAGTTTCGTCATAAGCCGGTGTTTGTCTCTTCGCAGAACAAGGTTGATCCAGCGATCAATAGCGACATGGGAGCAGTTCCTTTGCATGCTCCTGTTAATGGTACTCTGCCCAGGGCGTCTATTCCTCCTCCAATAGCACTTACCATGGGGGACCTTCATTGTCCTGTCACCGTGCTAGACATACAACCACCTGCCCCGCCGTATATACCTGAACTGGTTTCAGCAGAGGAGTATATCAGTCTTACCAAGGAGTTCAAGAACTACAAGGTGTTATTCAACAATTTTAACCGCACCATGGCTGCTTACAGTTCAGAGAGGGCTGCTGCAGATGAAGCCTATATGGATCGTATCATGCGTTCTGAAGCAGATAGACTTGTCTATGTTTCTGCGTTGCAAAGAGACGAATTTGTTTTTGATCGGTGGTTGCGTGCGAAAAAGACTGACTTGACTATCACGCAAATGTATCATAGACTCGGGTTGAGATAACCCACAATGGTAATATATAGTAAATTAATGAACGATGATGACTCAATATGGCGTAAACAAGTGTTAGAGTTTATAATTATTGAACTTATTTTCACGAAGAAATAATTGTTACTTATGCGAATGAAGAAATGAATTTATATCTGAGTGCTCGACTTATATGTAGAATAGTATATTTTGAAATATTTCAATATATTTCAATCGTGCATATTCAAATAGACCTTTTAGTGCGTGTCCGATGACTAGGCAGGCTCATCGCCTGTTTACGCGTTGATCTGGCATATTATGTGTTCTTTTCCAAGATACTCATTCATGCATAGACAAAATGGAGAAGAATAGACTTATATTGCTCATTGTGGGTGTGTTATTCCACCTTCTCTATCTATGGTCGATCTTTGATATTTATTTCGTGAGCCCGTTGGTGCATGGAATGGAGAACCATTTGTCCACGTCCAGACCTCCAGCGAAGAGATTGTTCTTGATTGTTGGGGATGGCCAGAGAGCTGATAAGACTTTGGGACAAGTGCTGCATCCTGTGACAGGCGAAACCACTTATTTGGCTCCTTTCCTGAGAAACGTCATTTACAATGAGGGTACGTACGGTATCTCGCACACTAGAATGCCCACGGAATCACGCCCGGGGCACGTTGCCATGATCGCAGGCTTCTATGAGGACGTCTCCGCTGTCACCAAAGGCTGGAAGGAAAACCCCGTTGATTTTGATTCGGTTTTCAACCAGTCGGCTCATACTTACTCTTTCGGATCTCCTGATATTCTTCCCATGTTTGCCGACGGTGCCAGTGATCCAAATCGTATCGACACTTGGATGTATGGCCATGAATTTGAGGATTTCACACAGTCTTCGATCGAGCTGGATGCCTTTGTGTTCAGAAATTTGTATGAATTGTTTGACAATTCTACGAAGGATGCCAAATTGTACGATCAGATCCATCAAGACGGAAACGTCTTTTTCTTGCATCTATTGGGAACTGATACCTCCGGCCACAGCTACAGACCATACTCTGCTGAGTACTACGACAACATCAACTACACCGATAAGCAAATTGAGAAGCTTGTTCAAATGGTGCCAGAATTCTTTGGTGATGATGATACTGCTTTCGTTTTCACTGCAGATCACGGAATGAGTGATTTTGGCTCTCATGGTGACGGTCACCCAGATAACACCAGAACACCACTCATTTGCTGGGGTGCCGGTATCAACAAGCCTGTTATTTTGACCAAGCCAGTCGATGACCCTGAGGGTTACATGGACTCCTGGGCACTTTCTCACATCAAGAGAAACGATGTTAGCCAGGCAGATATTTCCTCGTTGATGGCATATTTGATCGGAGCCAACTACCCAGCTAACTCTGTTGGAAAGCTTCCCCTGGAGTATCTCGATGTTCCTGATTCCGAGAAGGTGACATCCTTGTACAAGAATGCTCTAAGTATTCTGGAACAATACTGGGTCAAGCGTGCAGAGGTTGCCTCTAGACAGTTTGGCTTTGAAGAGTTCCCAAAATTTGCTAACCCTCCAGTTTCTATGAGAGTCAAGGCCATAGAGCATTATCTCGAAGCCAATGAGGAAGGTCAGATTGAAAGCGATCCCCATGCTTTGGAGGAAATCGATAAGTTGATCGCCGATACACTGGAAGGTTTGGATTATCTACAGAAATACAACTGGAAATTCCTACGGTCTGTAGTGACTTTCGGATTCGTGGGATGGATTTTCTACTCGTTCTCAATTTTCTTGCAATTGTTCATTGTTCCGCGTTCAACTGAGAACTCTGGATGGTTAAATCATCTCTTTTTCGGGGTCATGACGGGAGCATTATCCTACATTCTATTCTACCAAAGGTCGCCACCGAACTACTACCTATATGCTTTATTTCCAGTTGTATTCTGGCATCAAATAGTGTGCAAGAGAAACAGTTTCATCTCGGGAGTCTCAAAGTTCTTCTCAGGACAGTCAAAACCAACCATTCTGCTCATTTCTGTCGGTGTTATTGCTGTGTTTGAGAGCATCACCTACGGTTTCTTCAACAGGGCCATTTTCAGCGCATTATTTATTGTTCTTGGTTTGTACCCGGTGCTTTTTGGCATTCCATTTTTCAAACAGCTGCTTCCTTGGTTTCTGTCATGTGCTGCAATGGCTTTCTTCCCTTTGCAAAATCCTGTCAAAGTGGAAAGCTTGGTACAAATTTTGATTGGAGGAGCGTTGATTCTTTTGTTCGCGGTCGTTGGATTCTTGTACATTTTGAAAGTGTCACACGTTGAAAGGTACACTGTTGTACTGGTCGTTATTCAGATCCTCTTGGTTGTGGCTTCAATGTGGTCTACCACCGAAGCAGTTGAGTCTTTGCAAGCCAGAGATGGTCTTCCTCCAAGAGCTCAGATAGCTGGCTGGGCGAATCTGGTCATATCTCTCATTCTTTTGCCAATCTTACACACTTTCCAATCAAACAGCGATTACCTTCTGCGTTGCTTGATCATCTTCCTATCGTTTGCTCCCACATTCGTGATACTGGCCATATCTTTTGAAGCCCTGTTCTACGTTGGCTTCTCCGCAGTGATCCTACAGTGGATCGAAATTGAGTCTTCCATTCTCAAAATCAAGGTGAGCCACCACAAGTCTGCCAATCACTGGATGCAAGTGCTACGTATCTCGGTGATTGGGTTTTTCTTGATGCAGATTGCGTTTTTCGGGACCGGTAATGTGGCCTCCATCTCGTCTTTCTCGCTGGATTCTGTCTATAGACTGCTTCCAATCTTTGACCCATTTCCTATGGGTGCATTGCTAATGGTCAAGCTCATTATTCCATATGTTTTATTATCTGCGGGCTTGGGTATCATGAATCACAAGCTGGAGATTGACGCTTTCACCATCTCCACACTCATTATCTCCATCAGTGACATTCTTTCACTCAACTTCTTCTACCTCGTGAAGACTGAAGGAAGTTGGCTGGACATCGGAGTCACCATATCTAACTACTGTCTGGCTATCCTGTCTAGTTTGTTCATGCTCATATTAGAACTGGTTAGTAACGTTCTTCTCAAAGGTGTCGAAGTGGCAGATTCCAAATCTCAAGCAAGATTGAGATCAAAGCTCGAAGTGACCTTCAAAGGCTACGAGGACGTTGTTCGCATCCAGAACGATGATAGACCAATCTCCCAAAGAGTCAGAAGAAGGGCCGCTAAAAAATAGTCTAGAAGTGTATCATAAATCGTTATCCTTAAATGCTATATGCACGATCATATAAATGCCTGTAATGCACTATTTAGCTTAACATTCATCTCATCCCATTCACCTTCACAGCTACTGAGCACGGTTATGGCTCCACCAGCACCTATTCTCCACACAGAATATCCGTCGATCGCTTTGAGGTCATTTTTATAGTTGAACATGCTTCTTATAATCACCGACCAGTCACTGTTGTTGTTCACAGACCAATATCCACAAACACCAGAGTATAGTCCTCTTCTCTCGTCCCCTTCAAGACGCTGCAAAATTTCAACAGATCTTTTTTTAGGAGCTCCTGTCATGGATCCCGGCGGAAGAGATCTCGAGAGAACGTCTATGCCGGTGTGATGATCGCCAAAATATCCTTCTATCACACTCACCAACTGGTATACTGTAGAATATTCCTCAACCTCCATGAGCTTAGTCACTTCCACCCGGGGCACGAAGTTATACATATCATGACGTATAAGGTCAACAATCATTAAATTTTCCGCAAACTCTTTGGGGGTCGACAGGGTCTGTTTTGCCTTTTCAAAGGTCATTTCAGCTGATTTTGCAACAGTTCCCTTGATGGGACGTAGCTGAGCCTTAGTGTCATCCCATCGCAAGAACCTTTCGGGTGATGATGAAAGCAGCTGACAGTCTCCAAAGTTCATGAAACACGAGTAAGGAGAAGGGTTTTTGTAGGCAAGAACCTTGTACATCTCCCAGGAATCAATTTCCTTTGGAAGGTATATTTCTGTCTGAGTTGTAAGGCATAGTTCATACGAATGACCTTCTTTCAGATATCTCTGGCATTCAGAGAAGGACTTGCAGTAGTTAGGCTTGTCAGTTCTTGTGATTTTGATGTCAGAATGAGCACACAATTCGCTTATACTTTGAGCAATTGGAAGTTTCATTGGTTTAGCAGTTTCCAGCTTTAATTTTGTCGAAGAAAGCCATTCGTGGTCGTTCTCTCTCCGGGAGACTATGAATGAGTCTCCACTGGCAACATGACGGGCTATGAACCGATCAATGAAACATAACCTTGTATCTGGAATTTCGCCATTTGTACGAGGTAACAATTTTTCATGAGTGATAAACTCTCCCTCTTCGTAGGAAAATATTCCAATTAATCCACCATGGAAAGGGCAACTATCAATTAACTCTGCCGTGGGAAGGGAATCTGCAAACTTATGGGACATGTATGAAGCCACATAACTCCATATGGTCTGTCCAGTCTTTAATGTGATTTTAGAAGATTCTGGACTTAACCATTTGGACATGCTGACTATGTTGATATTTTCTGTCGAGTGAGATATCACGTCAGATTCGCCTGGTATGGGAATGCCTATTATCGTCCAGTCACCAGGAGTCATAGCACTGTTCATCAGCAAGAAGTCGTTACCCAGTTTTTTCAAATTGTCGCACAAATCCAGCGTACTGAAGCCAGAGTTCAAGCTCTCAAACAGAAGTTTTTTCTTTTCTCTGGTGGTAGTTTCCAGAAGTGCGGGAGCAACCACGATATGAGGATCCAGGCTCACATTGAAGTTGGGAATGCTTCTCGATTTGTTGATCGTCTGGGCTATTTTCCAAAAGTTTTTAACGAGCTGAGTGCCGTAAGTCGAGCATATTGACTCGGGATGATACTGAACTCCGTAGAACGGCAAAATTGCGTGCTTGGCTGCCATCAACAGCTTTCCTTCACCCTCGTCTATGGCGTAGGCCAGAGGCACTATGGCGTCGGTGGAACCCTTTACGAAAATCGAGTGATACCGAACGCTGCCAAAGTTTGAGTCAATATCAGCGAAAAGACTCAAACCCTCGGTGTTTTCTTCCAGTTTTATGCTGGAAATTTGCCCGTGGACAGGATTTTTCAGATACCCCATTTCTAGCCCTCCCATCAAGCATAAGCATTGGAATCCCAAACATATTCCAAGAAGTGGAATTTCTTTGGTTAACAGATAAGGTATTATGCCAATGTCTCTGGGATCCTCAGGATTTCCAGGTCCTGGTCCAACAACTATAGCATCGCACGAGTCCAGTAGTTGGTCCAACTCCATCTGCTGATCAGGCAGGCTGAACGAGTCATTGTGTATGATGAATACGCTTTGAGCAGTGGCATTTTCAATCAGGTTTTTCAAATTAAACGTGAACGAGTCATACGAATCCACTAACAGGATAGGCATCTTTCCTAGCCGTGTGAAGCTGGTGGAAATCGAAAAGTCTCTCCAGAGGCCTTCAGAACTGAAAAATAAATTTGAGAGGCATCGGGCTCATCTTCGCAAAAGGCGTGAGACCAATTCGAATCTATTACGTTGCATGGTATTTTTATGACAGATTTTGACCGACTTCAAGTTTTCAAAATATATTGGACATACAAATTTAATCGAGTGTTCTCAATCTAGAGCTTATATATACATGTAGTAAGTGGTCAAGAAACGGTGTTTCTCTCAGTCTCTTGCTTCTTGTTTCTTGTTTCTTGCTTCTCGCTTCTCGCTTTCTCTAAAACTTCTTTCCAAATAAATCCGTAATACGTACGAGATGATCACCCCTGATCATTATTCTCAAGCTTTGCATCACAACGTTGAAGTCCTTCTTCTGGATATCTGGGAACGCAGCCTGAATATCGTTTCTCAGTTGCACTATATCACCCTCAACTCTTCTAATCTCGGTGTAAGCAACCTTACGCCTATACGTCCTGTAAACTGGCAACTGGCCTTTCTTGGTCCTCGATATGAAGTATGCATGTGATTTTGGCCCGAATGGCTTTCCAACGAGTTCCTCTGCTTTGATCTCTTCCAAGGCCGGGAAGATGTACGATTTGCTGGCGAATGGTTTGGCCTGTGCCTTGGTGACACTGGACACTGCTGCCTCTGATGCAGTTGAGTTCTGCCTCGCTAGTATTCTGAATCTCGAAAACATGGCTATGGTTTGTGGGCTGGCGAGATACCTTTTGAAGGAGAGTTGCCTGTCTTGTGTATGGACGCCAGACTTTCCAACGTCGTGAAAAATCGGGAAGAGTCGTGTGCCTACCTTTATACTTTGGTGCTCTCGAGAACAGTTAAAGCTTTATAGCTTGTCAGCAGTTGATTATCCGCAGACTTTGCATTGGTTTCAAGCTAGATTTTGAATTATAATCTTCTATGTCAGAGAATTTTACCAAGACTGTCGTGGATACGGTGACACCCGCCTTCACAGATCCGTTCCAGGTGATACTCACCACTCCCACCCCAGAACACATTGATAGAAGCTCCCCAGAAGCACGAAACAGGGTTCCAATTACTTGCCACATATCGCAGCATGGTGCAGAGGACAGTTTAGGCTGTTTGATATACAGTATACCTGATGTAAGCATGATTTTATTATGATTGCAATGGAAGACACCGCTATCTCTCGACTCTCAACATACTAACCACCATATAGGCAAGGAGAAAGCAGATATACCAGACCATACTCAACAATTCAGAGGAAGAACTTCTTGATGCTACGAAAAGACTGTCCCGATTGATAACATCCAAGTACAACGTATCGTCGTACGTGAGCATATCTGGCAACGTTGCCATAGACGATAGCATCGTCTACATCAAGCGAGTGATAGAGCTGATAGAAGCGCAAATGCAGTGAAATCACCAACACAATGAAAACATATAGGGCAAAATTTATTGAAAGTCTGGTCTTATATATTCAATATCATGGGTATGACTTGAATGTTTAGTATCTCCTATTTGTGCATCAGTATCTTTAAAACCCCTATAAACGGGACAGATTCCGTTTTGATAGGTAGAGATGCCCTGCTCAAATTTTTTCCCAGAAATAAATTCTCTTAGTACCTTTCTCATAGCATCTCGCAGCGTTTAAATACACACGATAATATACAACCATGTCTGTTGCAAGACCGTCACAGAGATCACAGCCTTCCCGTAAGGGTAAGAGATCTTGGAGAAAAAACATTGACATCGACGATGTTGAGATGGGTTTGGCTGACAACCTCGAGGACTTGATAACGCATGGTGAGAAGATCCAGGACGTTAATGCCCAAGACTTGTTCATGGTCGATACCGAGGGTGATGAGAATCAGCTGAAGAAGCAAAGAGTGACAAAATCCCTCAAAAGTTCTGAAATCCTGGCCAAGAGATCAAAAGCCCCAGGCTTGGAGGTTGAAAGAAATAAGAAGTCCAACAAAATCCAAGGTGTTTCCAAAAAGGAAGTCCACAGACTGATGAAGCTGGCCGGAAAGGTCGATGGTGAGTCCCAGTTGAAGACACGTGTTGCTAAGGATGGAATAATCAAGGCCAAGGCCTATGATGTTTGGAATGAACCCGAAATCGTTGCACCCAAATTGAGACTGCCGAAGGAGGCAGTTACTTCTGTGACTGGTTGGACAGCTCCAAAAGTCACACCTGCTACTTTGAAAACTGCTCCAATTACAATCATCGAAACAGAAGTGAAACCCGATGCTGGTAAATCTTACAACCCATCTCTGGAGAGTTGGAAAAGTCTGATAAACAAAGAGTATTACAAAGAGAAGACAAAGGAGGAGAAGAGAATTGCTCTGGAAGAGCATAGGGCCAAGATTGAACTGTTGATAAAGACTTTGGATGACAACGAGTTGGACGACGATGGAGAAGACACCTCCATTCCGGAAGAAGCTCAAGAGGAAGAGGAGGAGGATTTCTCCCTGTCCATTAACAAGCCAGTGGTAAACAAAAAGAAGACAACCGCACAGAGAAACAAGCAGAAACGCCACGAAGAAAGAATGAGATTACAGGATGAGCTGAAGAGTTTGAAGAGACAGCTGCATGAGATGAACAAAATCAAGCAGATCACCAAGGCCGTCAAGAAAACAGAGGCTCCCTCCGAGACCAAGGCCAAAAAGCAAAGAAAATTGTTCAAGCACGAAAATATGGAATCCATGCTTGAGGTGAAACTTTCAGACGAACTTTCAGACTCTCTTAGAAAATTGAGACCAGAGGGCAATCTTCTGAGAGACCACATGAAGAAACTACAGGATACTGGTAAGGTCGAAAGCAGGGTTCCAGTCAAGCAGGGTAGACGTTACAAGCAGAAGCTTACTGAGAAGTGGACTTACAAAGATTTCAAATAAAGCGAGAGAAATTTAAATTTTGTAATGGAGAGGATAAAGAGATTAATTGTTTAGCATGGTAAGAGAGGCTTTTTCATAGGGCTGAAATTTCAACCTCATCGCGTTGATTATCGCGCAGAATCCTGATGATCTGCCTGATCTGCACTGACTTCGTCTGAAATTTGAGCCCCATCTGTGAATTATATACTTAGAAAACATTGAAATTCCTCGTTTATTCAAGTTTAAACTTCATTTTTTGATCAATCATGGTTAAAACTCACCTCATCATGGTTCCATGCCATGGAATATGGGACTCCAAGGTCTACTCATCTGCAAACCCCAAGCCGGCCAAAGCTGGAGAAGCAGTAAACGAATGGCATCTTGCGTCTTTTCAAATTCCTACCAAGGACAATATCTCATTTATTGAACATGCTAAGATTGCAATTGATGAGTTCAAAAAGGACAAAGACAATAGTGTGTTGGTTTTTTCAGGCGGCTTCACCAAAGCCGGGGTTGAGCAAAGCGAGTCGAGATCCTACTTTGAGCTTTCCCGCGCTCTGGGCTTGTTGGATACTGAAGACGAACATGCTGGTGTGGAATGTGAAGAATATGCTAGAGACTCATATGAAAATGTTTTGTTTTCGCTGTTGAAGTTTAGAAAAACCACTGGGTCTTTTCCTACCAAATACACCATCGTTGGTTTCGAGTTCAAGAGACACAGATTTATAGAGCAGCATCTGAAGGTGTTGCAGTTTACCAATGTGAATTACTTAACATATGGGCCTGTTTTTCCCGATGATTACGACTATAGTGGATATTCCTCGGTGCAAGAGGCCCAAGACGCATTTTTCAAAGATCTGGAAGGTAGTGAAGACAGATTTGCAGTTCAGCCATTTAACGAGTTCAGATTCGGTCAGGGTGGCTCAGTGCTGAAAAAACGGCTTTCTAGAGATCCTTATTCTCGTGGCCTGGAGGATTATTTCACTGGGGTTACTGCAGGGGACGGTATTCTGAAGACGCTGTTGCACATTGGAGAGTCCCCAGACAGTGAACGTGTGTATGAATCAGAAGTAGAGAATAAGTTTCCTTGGATTCAATAGAGTTATATAGAGTTTTGAGACAACACATGATGATTCTTTTGCTTGGAGTTCTTACTTCAACAATTCGATAAGTTGTTGCTTGCGGGTTGAGATCTCCTCTGTCTGGGCCAACTCAGTCTTCAACTCGTCAATCTCGCGTTCTATGATCGCATCGTAATTACTGGACTTGGAACTGGTGGTATTTCCCTTATTTCTGGAAGCCAATCTTCTGAACTCCCAACTGCAGATGTTGGAGTCTTCGCTCTCCTTCAATTCCAGACAACAATCATGGTACTTCATCAACAGAGGACGGTGACTCAAAGTGATAAAGGTGAATCTCTTTTTGATCAAGGTCTCAAATAGCTGTGCTTCCATATCATATGAAATAGCACTCGTTGGCTCATCCAGCACAACAAACGATTTGTTATGGAACAATATCCTAGCCATTACCAATTTCTGCCTTTCTCCGCCACTCAGTAAAGTCTTCCAAGAGGTACCCGTAATGTCTGAAGATGTAGAGGACGAAGTAGACATGGCTCTACTTCTGTTCGCATCCGCAGATTTTCCATCAACGACGATATTTGTTTCTTCGGCATGTTTGGTGGGACAAAAACTCAGGTCTCTTCCAAACCTTTCAAAAAGGTAGCCCAGTCCAACCTCCTCCAAATAATGAACCAACTGGTCATCACTGACCCCACGCTCTACCATATCGGCCATGCTCATGGGGTAGATAATTTGATCTCTGAGAGTACCAGATTCATAGAAGTATGGTTTCTGTGGAATGTACAATATGTCTGCATCTGATGGTTTGGAAAGAAGGCCAGAATAAAGCGGCCACAATTGAGCAATGAGTCTCATGATGGAGGTCTTTCCTGAACCGTTCTTTCCTAGAATCAGCAAATTATCGTACCGCCCAATCTTAACGTTCAAACCGTCCAAGAGGTGCTCTCCTTCAACGCCCTTTGGTGAAGGGATAATAAGTGGTGTCTTCTCAAATCTTATACCTGGATAGCGTTTTTGAATCGTTCCATGGATACCATTTGCCATGGAGTTCATGAAAGACGTTTGACGTCTCATCATTAACAGATTTCTGGAGCTCGCAAACGAAGACAGTCTTGCACTGGAACCGAATCCCGTGTTTGCAGATCCCGAAGCGGAACCAGCTTGTTGTGGAGATGGTAAGCCATACTGGAATGCATTATCATGAACCTGATGCAGAGACAGTAGCATTGTAAAGATCCTATCTGTATAACCGGACAATCTCGCAAGGTCTTTGATCGAGTACATCAATCTGCTTCCCGCATCAGCCATTGAAAGCATCAGTCTCTTGTTAACAATAAATTGCTTCATGTTTTTCGTCTCACTGGAGACAGTCTTGGTCTGGGGTGCAAAGACAATAGGAATACTAGCAAATAAATATCCCAGGCCTGACCAGGAATACTTCAAAACATAATCTTCCCAGAATCCATAAATGAACCTCTGATTGCTCTCATGAGTGGTCTGTTTTAATAAGCTGTCGAAAATCGACTTTATCTTCAGTTTCTCTAAGACAATGCCCTGGTAAAATGAAATCTCCTCACAATTGTTGATCAGATTGATATTGTAGTTGAAGAAGATGCCTTCGAGAGTAGTCTTCTTCTTCAACATTGAGTTGAAGTTGGGTGCCCTCAGTCTAAGGAACCAACCAGTCAGAAAGTAGTTGAAGAAGATGCCCATGATTCCTGCAGTTCCCAGAGTATCTCTGAGGTAAAATGCAAAAAAAATCAGGTCCATGAAGGGCTTACCGGTGTTAGAGAATAGAGAACTCAGAGTCTCTGTGAACCGGTTGATGTCCTCGGTAAGGTACTGATCAATGTATCTGTAGTCTAGTTGGTACTCAGGAGCCAGTTGTGACTGATTGAACTGTAACTTGTAATAAACCAATCTAGGGTCCATGTACAAGTCATGAGCATATCTCACCAGGTTTGTTCTGAAGTTCAAGGCAAGTCTTTTGGTCAGATATTTGATACCAGCATTAGTGTACGATGCTGGCACAGCAAAAAGGAACCAATACACCAGGTCTCGGGCAAACTTCCGCCCCTTCAGTCCAATGAGGTCTTTGACTATCTGACCATCTAGCTTGGTCACCAGTAACGATAACCATGTACGCAATACCAAACCCACTATCTGTGCCAGTAACAAAGTGGTATTCTTATCCATCACCTTTGGGATGAGTATGAGTCTCCAAATGATAAAAAGCTTTTTCAAAAACTTGGAGTCCATAATCGAGGAGTTTCCCTTCATGTTATCGTCATCCTCAATTTTTGAGCTAGTCTGATCCTTCATAAAAGACTTGAAAATTAGCTTGTCACTCTCATACTTGTCAGAGTTCATCGGTGGGAGCACAATTTGAAGCTGTCTGTCTTTGTACGGAACACTTAGGAGTCTGGATCCTCTCTTCAGATTACCGCTAGAGGCCCTAACAGCGAGTCTTCTTGCTTTTATGCGGTTCAACAGCTTCTGCAAAACATAGACGGAACCGATCGCAGAGGACGAGCCTATAGTCAGCAAGAATAAAAGCACTGGATTCGATCTCCATTGTAGGTTTAAAGCACGTATGGATTTCAAAATGTGGTCAAGATTTCCATGAGACTGCGCCGATTTAAGCAAGGCCATAATAGGCCTACTCAGATCAGACGGTAACGACAACACCGAGGGCATTGCAGAAGGATATATGAGCGTATAGGTAGGTGTGTATAGATGGATGCGTGTTTTTATTCATATATTACTCTTCCTGCTCGAAATTATTTTAAACATAACGGGGCAGTGAAGGCATTATCTAGTATATATACTCTGGAAAACGGTGTGACGGCATGTGAACCGCTCGCATGTGATATTGCTGGTCAGAAGGAAAAAGTGTGGGGAAGCAAAGTGAGAGCCTTTTTGCTCAAATGCACTACCTTGTGGTCACGTGCAAGATAACAGTTCTTCCCGCTCCCTTGCGTCTTATTTTATTTTGCACGACCTCAGCCCTGTTGTATGAAGAATGGCTGGCTTATCTTGTACGTGTTTCTTTATCAGGTACACCAGCCAACTCACACTTCACTCGTTTATCCAGATTTTTTCTCATTTATTTCACGATTCGCTTTTCTCTGTTGTTCGCTTTTGCCGGATGTTTTTAGAGTTTTTGTCGGTCATACTGGGCTGGACATACGTCCTTCTCTGGGTAAGTCTGCTGAAAAGTTCACCTCGCGTACCTTACTAACTGCGTCCCAAGAGCATATCCTTTTATCCTTCCTTGTTGATTTTGTACAAGATGAAATCATCGGATGGGTTCTCGCTGGACTTCCTATACCTGAACACACTGGGATATGTCTGCTATTCAACGTCGCTGATTCTGCAGGTGTACAGTACCCTTGTGCGCCAACAGTTCCACGACAAGTTCGGTAATTACCCACTCTTGTCGTTTATTGACGTTGTCTATACAGTTCATGGCTTCATACTCAACACTATCACGCTGTCGCTGGTATACACCAAGCCATTTTCAAGAACACTGTCATGGAAGGTCCACTCCTTTACCAAGTTCTTTTACCTGGTTCTGTTTGTGTTTACGGCTTCGTGTCTTTTGTCAGGCTCCCCAACCAAATATCTGACTCTTGCAATTGACCTTGCCTACTTCAAGATCTCCATCAGTTTCTTCAAATACATTCCGCAACTTTACCATAACTTTACACGGAAGTCTGTGGTGGGATATCCAAAAGCCCAGATCTACCTCGACCTGGCTGGCGGCACCTTCTCGCTCCTCCAGCTGTTTTTGGACAACTACATTGATAACGATGGCACCTTTGCCTGGTCTGAGATTTTCCATAATGAAGGCAAGTTTGGACTTGCTCTTGTGACGTTCTTTTTTGACTTTTGCTTCATTAGCCAGTTCTGGTTGTACAGACACGACCACAAGCAGGTCAAGCTGGTGGAAACTTTCGGGTCTGTATGAAAGACATATTATCTATTAGTAATTGAGGTTTTATAGAATTTGGGAAGTCTTTAATCGTTTTTATTGGCTCTTTTTGAAAATATCATTCATATTGTTCGCATCCAACCTCCTTCTCAAAAAAAAACTTGTTTCTTACCATGTTCACACTATCTAACAGACTCGCACAGCGGACATCGGTCTTGAGGAGGTACGCTGGAGTGCGTTCGTTATTCATTCAAACTCAGACCACTCCAAATGAATCTGCCTTGAAATTTCTGCCTTCTATCAAGGTGTTGCAAAACGAAACTACCATAGAATTTTTGTCGGGCAGAGAGGCCTCGAAATCGCCACTTGCTCTTAGGTTGTTTGCGATCGATGGTGTCAAGTCGGTGATGCTTGGCCCAGACTTCATCACCGTGGAAAAGACACAGCAGGTAGAGGATTGGTCCTTGCTGAAACCAGGTGTGTTTGCTATACTTACCGAGTTTTTGAACTCTGGAGAGAAGATCCTCGATGAGGATCACGTTCTAGAAGAAGACGTCATGTTTGACGATAACGACGACGAGGTTGTTTCTATGATCAAAGAGCTCATATTCACGAGAATCAGACCTGCTATAAGAGATGACGGTGGTGATATCGAATTTGTGGACTTTGTGGAAAGTGAGGGCAAAGTGCTGCTGAGGCTGAGGGGAGCATGTCGTTCGTGTGACTCCAGTTCCATCACTTTGAAGAACGGAATAGAGTCCATGCTGAAGCATTATATTGAGGAGGTTCAGACAGTTGAGCAGATTGATGATGGAGAAGGTGAGGCCGAAGTTGCAGCAAAAGAAGCGGAGAAACCCAAGTTCCAGGAGGCTAAGATCACTCCAAGACAGAGGGAATTCAACGACGCACCACCAAGTTTGTAAATATTATGCCGAAAAATTATATGATTCTTTATGAAATTCACTAGTAACCATTACTACAAAATCTACACTGTCAGACCAATAAAAAGAGCGTCAAGATCATCATTCAATACCATCACTAGAAAAAAGGTCAGGCCTTCACTAGACCAAATTCGATAAGAATCATAAAATAGAAAAATGCTTGTCCTGAACAGGAACTTGGTGTCACTTTCATAACTTCGTTATCAACTTTTTCTTTATAATCGGGTTCTATGTCCCAAGTCAGTGCTCAGGTTGGTTGGATCAGTTCTTGGTTCTTCTGCGAGGAGAAGATGTTCTTCTGCGAGGTGGTTGAGAAGGAACATACATCGTTGGCTGGGCCATTCCCATCATAGGGCCGGGGATGTAACCGGCTGGTGAAAACATGCCGTACTGTGGAAGTCCGCCATAGTACTGTGGTGCAACAGGAGGTGATGATGGGCTGGGAGACGATGAAGCCTCGTTGGAAGATCCCGAGGACGGAGAGCCATAGTCTGGGAACATTGCTGGAGGTGGAGGGTACCATCCATTGGAGCTTGATGGCGGTGGAGGCCCACCGTAGTACTGTTGGTGAGACTGCTGGTACTTCTTGTATGAGTCCAGGGCATTGAACAGAGGCTGGAGATGATTCTGGTTATAATGATGGACCACTCCATACGATACTCTGTTCTCGCGTCTCTGTGCAAATGACACTGCCAAAATGTGTGAATCGTCCACGGAAACACCGTTCATGTCCACCAAGGCACGGGACGCATCGATGGGCTTCTGGAAACAGACGAACCCGAAGCCCTTGGAATTGTTCTGCTCGTCGGTCATGATCTTTGCAGAAACAATCGTACCGAATTGACTGAACAACGAGTGCAATTCTTCATCGCCAAAGCTCGGAGGAATGTTCTTCACGTAGAGGTTGGAGTCCTGGTATTGAGGACCAGCAACGGGCAAAGCCGGGGCATACGCAGAAACCATGTTGACTCTAGAAGGATCCAAAATGTAGGTTGGTGTTCCCGTGGCAGTGGCTCCAATAAACGTAGGAGATATCTGTTTATTGCCGTTGCTGTTCAGCCTTTGGCGAGAGAATTTCATTCCACTAACAGTCTCAGATGACCTTCTTTCTGCTCTGCTGATACTCAGATTATAGCCAGGCTCAAACTCAAAGCCATCCAGTTCTGTTTGAGCTTTAACAGCGTCTTCGTGGAGTCTGAAATTAATAAAGCCGTAACCTTTCAGATCTCCATTCTCGTTCTCGGGCAGAAACACAGACTCCACCTCTCCAAACTTGCTGAACACTTCCTTTATCTGTTCCTCGGAGGTAGACAAAGGGATATTCTTGACGTACAAGTTGGTGTAGTTGATCTTCTTTAGTTGTAGTCTTTCATGTCTCTCTTTCTTGGAGATATGGTGGTTCACGTAAAACTTGTTCCCCTCAATTTCCTGTCCACTCAACTTCAATATAGCCTCATCAGCACTTGATTTCAGCTCGTAGTTTATAAAGCCGTAACCCTTGGAGTTTCCAAACTCATCCTCAATGATTTTGCAGGATATGATTTTGCCGAAAGGCTCAAAGAACCCATACAGCTCGTCTCTGGTGGTGGACTTCAACAATCCACGAATGTACAAGTTTCCAGGATGAGATATCGAATCGTATTCAATCTTGACATCTGTAAACACCTCCTGTATTTGCTTTTCGAAATCGTCAGCTTCGTCTACACGTGCAAATTTGACTGATATCTCTTTGGTTGGCTTCGGATGATCCGGAACGGCTGCTGGGACAGCTGTTGAAGAGTCCGTGGTCGTGGTCTCAATTGAAGCTTCGGACTCCTGTGGTGAATTCTGTTTCATGACGTTGTCAGTGGTGATCGTTATTTGCTCGACAGACTCGTACTTCTTCAAAAGGGCACGAATTTCGGTCTCGATTTCTGAGTCCTCTGATCTCACGTAGACCGTGGCAGTTCCGGTATTCAACCGGTCAAACTCCTCATCCGGAGGAGGACTCTCAGATTGTCTTGCATCGTCTTCGACCGGTTCAACAGGCCCTATTGATTGGGCCTGCGAGACCGGAGATCCCTGTGAGGAAGTCATTAGTAGGAAAGAGAGCGACAATTGCGATCCCTAAAACCTCTCCAAAATGCAAATAATGATAAGAGCGAACTCTCGGATAAATAAAGTAGAATCTTGTGGAAAGCCAACGTCTATACGCGTCTTAAGAAGACTGTGTCAAAAGATCAACTCTGGAAAGTGCCACCTTTTAAAACAAAAGACCTGCAAATGCTGGCACAAATGTTGACACAAATGTCGCAAAACCACTCAAGCCTTCAGCAGGAAACGATAACAACTACTGAGTAAAGTGTTGAAATTTCCCGCGGAAATGCAGCTAGAATTTGTTCGGGTAGCAAGACAAGAACAGTCGTTGATGGCAAGCCTCTCTATACTGTTGCCTTAGTGGGGCAGATTTGCCACAGACTCAGCACAAACGGGAATTTGGGTCAAATATCCGAATTCGACACTACCTGACAAGCCAATCCCAAAGTTAAAAAACGTTGTGGGTTTTCGTCTTGGTGAGAGTCACAAAATACACTCTTTCGCTCTGACCAACTCGGCTCGGCTCTATCTCTTTGATCTCCAGATGGGCCGGTTTCTGATGCTTGGGAAGGAGCAGAGGCACGCGGCGAGGTAAGTGTGGGAGAAACAAATAAATAAGTAACGGCAGAATAAATAAAAGAACAGAAAGATTTAGAGCCCAAAAAGAAGAAGGATGAGAGAAAAAGAAGAAGGGCCACTAGAAAGGGACCAGAATGGGTCAAGGCCTCGGTAGGAAGGACCCCCACTCCTAATAATACCGGAAGGATCTAGAAAGGAAATGAATTTTTCTTTTTTGGTTACTTAATTAGAGACAGAAAAATCACTCTCAGTTTACCACGGAGTGCGGGATCGGACGGGACGGGACGGTTAGCCTGAAAGGTAGCATTCGGTGTGGTTCTGGGGCATCATGCATTATGCCCCGAGGTAGGCTTTGAAGTTGCTCTCAAATGCTGGATTCAGGGCCCCTTATTTTATTTTTCTGAAGAATTTTGAATAGCCGGAACGGTTTAAACAATGACCCGGTTGAAGTATTTCGGATTTGACTATTAAAGTTCAGGAGGGAGTCGAGAAATTGGCCAGTATTTGAAAACGGTGTACCCGGGATGATGAGGGAAATTTTGGCCGAGAATCCATCCCATCATGCAGACGGTTGCCATCAAATGTGGATTAGGTTTCCAGAAGTCTATCGGGAGTATCCCAAGGACAACAGAACAATTCCCCGAACAACACCATTTAGTGTTAATTATCCAGCTTATTGATGTTCTTTAATCATCGCGAACGTAATTTTTGGTTGGAGACCAGCTAGATCCCTCCCTTCTTGACATATCCTGAACCTTACTAAGATTGCCCGAAAGCAATGATATGTACGTGAGCGTCTACTAGGCCACGGTGATTGGTGCGAATAATCGGGTGGAACTATAACCGTTGGGAGGTGTGTGATTTGAAGTGAGTTTATTTGCGTGATCAACACTGAGGTTCCTCTACGCCTCATTCGCCGTCAGCTGATGCTTGTTGATTCCGCACAACGGTTCGGTAAAGAACCGGACCGGTTCTGGTCCAAACCATCACGGGAATCACCCATTACATCATTGCCGGGACCGACCCTAAGTATGTGATGATGGGTGGGCCCCAGCTTTGGAACCTTTGATTTTTGTATTTTTCCTCGTTCCATCATCCCTTAGCGACCTGCCGATGTGCATGGAAATTAGTCTGGTTCTCGATGACTTGGACGCACTGATCTCGGGTCGGCTCGGACTCCAATGAAAATTGGTTCGGTCATTCAAGTGATTAAGCTGACATTATTGTATTCCTAGAATAAGTTGGGAAAATCAAGACAAATTTACACCGGTCCCCGGCGCCAGTTTCAGATTCGGCGTTCAAATCATTGATTTAATTTTTTTTTCTTCTTATTTCGAATGATAGCTGAATTATTGGCCGGGTGTTTGACAGCTTGGCTTATAACAATAGGGGATATGTGCGTAAAAGATTTGAAAATAGGCCAGAAGCGGTCCAATATTTCGGGTCCGACTGCAGCCATGTAATTTGTAACAATTTATCATTTAGTGCAAGATACTACTACAGCACATATCTGGGGAGGCATTCCAACTCACAATTAGATTCATGCAAATCCTGCGCCCTGTTCGTTCCGGCGTACCAAGTGATATTGATACGAACTTCCTCAGCCTCATGTTCGGTCATTCCTGCCGATCTCCAGACCTCAGTTGAGTGATTTATGCGTACCGTTGAGTTCATCGGCGTGGTCCTTCATGACTCCGACTTTTTTAAGGTCCTTGATTATATGCACGCATCCACGAGCTGTGTACATGAAGGTGTCATGAGACAGCATGATTTGGGCCCTAGCCGACGTTCCAAAACGATCTATCAGGGACTTGCTTTCCTTCTAGTATGTACCGGAGCCTGCCCCAGCCCGCGATGGGACTAATGACATCCTTTTGAAAATCAACGTCTTGCAGACGAAGCTTTTTTTTGACCTACCCGTGGTTCAGTCGTGCCTAAAAATCTCCAGTTTACCCCGTAGTTCTGTGCGAGTGGTCCACTTTACAGATACCAAGCCTTGCATTGAGAAAGCAGAGTCAAGAGTGAGGCTCGAAAGAAACTACAAGTATCATCATTTTTCAGAATAGTTTATTAATTTGCAATATTCTGTTTTTCAGATATTCCCATGAATTGGCGTATTCCCTTGCTAATGGAGGTTCTGCAGTTGGAATAAGAACCCACAATTACCACATTCTCGCTTGAACTGTTTCCTAATTAACAGCTGATTGTCCAAGCCTTAGCGTTCTCGACTTGCATATAAATCGAGAAAGCTCGCATGGTTCATTTACCCGGGACAATTTAGTGTACCGACTCAAAAATTCGTTCAGTTAACAAAACTTTTCAGACTAATGGTATACCTGTAGTAGAGGCTGTATCTTGTTACTTCAAGTGAGGAATCATCTTATTCATAACCTTGAATTATCTTTTTTTTTTCTTGTGAACTTTGATGTAGATCCACGCATAAACTTAAGTTGGTTGACAAGTGAGGTTCAAACCTCTACAAGCCGTCATTTCAATGTGTCACTATGCGAAGAACGACCATCTACACAGCAATCTGTACCCACGGGTATCGTCTTTCCCACGGGAGCTCAACTACGGAATAACTCGAGACGTTCTGTCCCGGACCTTTCCATCTTTCTCCGTCACTTTGTTTTAAAGCGGCGGAGTCAATTGTTGTTCTTCCTGGTTTGACGAGCTATATCGTGAGGTATTACGCGTATCTGCCCTCTCAACAGAGAATCTAGCATGGTATACGAGTTTGCTCGAGATATATTACATTGGTACAAAAGGTTCAAACACCACAAAGAGTGAAATTACATAATCGGAGAAGACAGCAGGACTTCAGGTGATGTTGTCGGCAAAGCCGAAAGTAGCATGAACATCTTACTGTTTGTCGTCCTTGTAAAGATACTCAGGCCTGTTCAACGGATTCTCAGCGCTCAAAACCGAATTCAACAAAGACGAAGTGGCAGATTCCGCACCTGCTGGTTTCAACAACGAAGCAGGAAAGCCCTGCCCTGTTGGACTAACGTTCCCGTTTCCAGCACCACCACTGCCGTTTTTGTTCTCACTCTCCACCTTTTGGATCAGCTTATCCTGCAAACGCAAAATATAGTCTCTGAACTCGTAGTTCTCTCTCTTAAGCTCCTTGACATACTCTTCGAGCTCATCCAGCCTTGCAGCCTTGTCGATCAGTTCCTTGATTGTCTTGTCCTTCTTTTCGCGGAACTTCCTCTGTGCCACTCTGTTCTGAAGGGCTCTCTTGGTCTGTGTTAGCGGTCTGGATGTTGGTCGTTTAGGAGACGGGCCAGTAGGATGTATGGAGTGTGCAACCGATTGTGCTACGGCCGCGGCAGCCACCTCATCAACAGAAGGTTGGTTGGGCTTGACAGGATCAGTGCCAAAAGTGGGATCAATGTGTGAATCCATTGCTGTAAAAAGGTTAGTAAACACAGGAACGATGGTTGACTGAACGCGGAGTTGGTGGAGATGTGCGATGCGGGCCATAGCAGGTGCCAGGCCAGTGTTATAGGTTCAATTTCCCGCCATTGTTGGTACCACCAATGACAAACAACCAGACTTTCACAAATTCATCCAGGAAGTCCGTTTTTTTGTCAAAACTGTCCGCGTGAACCTGATCTTGATCTCTCTGATCTGCCATACCATCGCTGGTCTTCGTTGCTTACAAAGAACGGCTGTAAGCAACAACAAGACATCACCACCGAACAGGCACCCAAACAATCTCACAAACGAACAACAACAACATAAAAACCTGTTGTAGATAATTCACATCCACATACCTTTTTTTTTTATATCGTCTTTCAACAATATAAGCCCTGGAAATTAGCCTATGTTAGCCCTCAGTGCAACAAAAGGTAGAGCATAACATCCTCGAATAAATGACTAAGCAGGTGTGCACCGGGTAACCCGATAACCCCAATTGGTCCCCCGGCATCTCTCCACAGAGAGCCTAGGCGAGATTTCGAGGTGTGTGGGAAACGCAGGAAAAAATCGGGATGGTGTGAGGCAGAATAAGGTCGCAGACAGGACAGAACACACCCGTCCAAAGGAGGTTCCAACATACTAGCGGGTGTTCATTTGGTGTTCCTGCTCTGGGACTATTTCGGTACGATTGGGGTTGGTTCAATTATCATATTGATAATTCTCTCCCATTGCCGTGCTTGCTGTCACTTATTTGCTGCTGCCTTTGTCTTGTTCTGCCCGATATCTGGTGATCGGACGTCCGAGCATCAAAGGGTCTGTTGAACGCGAAATCCAATATGAGCAGTGAAACTAATGGGTCTGGATTAGGCGCCTCTCCTCCGCCGGTGATTAGGAAAAAGACCTTGAAATCGCAATCGGTTAATAACCTGTTCAAACAAATCACAAGCTCTGCGAAGTCGGGTTCCTCGAGGTTGCATTCACCTTCTCCTCCAAATTCGGGTCTACATAGTTCTCAATCCGCCATACAACCATCGCGAGGGTCGCCAAACTCCAGTCTCTCTTCTTCTGTTGAACATGGGGTCAAGACGCTGTCTCTTTCGTCCTCGAGTGCCAAACTCCGGGTGATACAGAGTTCGAACACAACACACCCGAAAAGTGCAACTAACGTTTCCTCCAGCTCTGGAAGTGTCTGGAAACGCAGCATAAGCCCCGAGACTCCAGCTTGGGGTGCTGCTTCAACGACGCCGGCTCCTATAACGCCTGCTACTCCAGCAACGACTGCTGGTGAAACTACACCTGTTTCGAGCACGGCTACAAGTGAAGGGTCATTTGGAACAAAGACAGTATTGAAGAACGATAACAGTGGGGGTTCGGACAGTTCAAAGACACTACCTGCTCCTTTGAGCGTATCTACTCAACCCAACGACTCTGAGATCGAGGGCTCTATACAATCATCTACAACTGATCTTAACGGCTCTGACACGCCTCAAAGAACACCCAACAGCAGTTCTAAGTTCAATTTTCTTCAAAGCTCAAAACTTGGATCGTTTAGCTGGGCTGATGCTGATGATGATGAAGAATTTGGGAAATCACTTTGGGCTGACATCAAAGACTCGCTAGATAAGCATGGTGAACAAGAACAGGCTTTTGATCGTCAGCAACCATCTCAACCGCAAGAAGCAGCCTTAAAATCGACATCATCTTCTGCTGCTCCTTCTGTCTGGAAAGTGTTGGATCCTCCCTCGCAAACATCGCAAATGCATCGCTCCGCATCCGCCGCATCCACTCCGATATTTGGAGCTACAAATACCCCGGATATCCTGTCCGATCCAGACTTTTCCAGTCACAAGCTCTCTTTAGGGTCATCTACCTGGCAGCAGAACAAAGTCAGATCTCCTTTCGATGCTAACGAAAGTAGGTTTATCTTTGAAGACCCCAACTCGAGATTCTCCGGCTCTGTTGACGGCATCAACCGCGAATTGTTCAATCCCCACAACGGCAGGTTTGAGGCAAGTGTGTCGACTGACAGGTTGAAGACGAAGAGAAATGGCAATCCAGATCGCACTTCTGTGCCTTTTGTGGCAACTCCAAGTAACCATGCTGCACTGACGCGGCATTCTACGTCCGACGCAGATATGGCATCGTCACTGTGGAACAACGGAAGCAACAGCAGCAGAGAAAATCCTTCGCGTGAACCAATGGTCAGATCCATAAGCTCGAGCGGGCCGAGTTCCGGCTCCAAATTCTTCAGAAGTGCAGAAAAATCGAATACTGCACCACCTTCGTTCATCAACACAAACCCGACGTCACCTCTTTGGTTTGCTGCCAAAGATGGAACTGGTGTTCCTGACTTCAACGGATCTGGTTTCAACTCTCCAAACTCGAGCTCTTCGTCTTCCATGGCCAGAATGTCGCGGTTCTTCCCATCGCCCATCGCCGAGCAAAGAGAATTCATTGATGCTAATTCAGCAGATGGTTCCAATTTGAGCTTCAATCTGTTCTCACCTCCAGTTGGTGCAACCACGCCTTCGCATAACTCGCATTTGAAGAATGTCAACGGAATGGGGATCTCGCTTGGATCTCTTGGTTCGCAGCCTCCGCCGATGCGACTGGATTCATCCACTCCTGATCACCATCATACTAATGATCCCAAACCAGGTCACCTTGTGGCGTTTTCAGCAGAAACTCCCAAGTCTTCAATAGAGGAGGTTGATGATGAATCATTCGAAAATTTCAAGATGTCGATTCCCAGAGGTAACAAGCCGGCTTCTTTAGAGATCAACGAAGACCCAAAAGCCAAAGTTGGTACTTACATAAGAACGGTGATAAACAAGTCTAGTGATAGCAACACCGGTTCAGATCTCCAGCTTGTGATGTACGTTGCTTCTTTGCCTCTAGACGCCAAGACAGATGCTGAGCGTTTGATCCGTCTCGCGTTCAAGTCATGCGAGGGTGAGATAGTCTCGCTTTTGGAATCCACCAATGACGAAGGTGGAAAAGATGGATTTTTAAGGTACAGAATAACTTCCAAGTTGAAGATGCTCAATGCCCATACTGGTAGACTCAATCTGCCCGCAAAAATGACTTCGTTCAGGAACTCCTCCACTGGTGAGGAACAGAAAATGTTGCTTTTCATAACTGGTGATTTCCCTCATCCTCCCACGCAGAAGAAGTTGCGGGACACGATCAATGATGTTTCTTCCTATCCAGAAGGTTTTTCCTCTACTTTCCACAGAAGAGGCATCAACAACTTCATGTTTGTGAGAGAACTCCAGTCCAAAATGATCATCACGAAGACACGCCTGGCAGAGTTTGCTGAGTTCAGAATCAGCCTTCCAAGCTCATTGACCGCTGAGGACACCAGTTCAGATAACAGCGACGATTTCAAGACGAGACACAAGAAATCTTATGTTGTCAGCATAGACCTGAGGGAGTTAGAAAATAAATCACAGCAAAGAAGAGGAAGTGGGGGGAGCGCACCCTCGACAAGCAGCAGATTCTCTGACAGAAAGAGATCATCATACTCGAATGGGAATGGGAACGGGTACCATAAGAACGCTGCCTATCATAGTGCTCCAAACTATAAAAGAAAATAGTGCTCAGAGGAAATAATTGAATACATAACTTAAGATTAAAAGAAATATCGCCAAAAAGTTGCAGTTGTGGAGTAGGCTGTTTGTATATGCGGTCTAATTCGATGTTTTTTCAACAATTTCCAGAATTTGGCTTTATTCTGAATAATCTGGTGATTAATGATGATAACATTAGTCAGATTGGCTTTATAGCATTACCAATAATGAACATTTACTCAACACACGAAGAACAAGTTACAGGAACACAAAGTTCTTGCTTTTCTCTAAACCTGTGTAGATCTGCTAAAGTCACTTTTAGTTTGAGAAAGTGGACATGGGTCATAGCTCTCACCGATGCTTCAAATCTCTATTTTTCACCTTCCCTTAATGTTCATAGCATGCATGTTTTAGTTTCCATACTAATACAATTTTTGTCTCCAACATGATTGAGATCCAGAAAACCTTTCAATAAGTCTTGATTTGATAAATCAATTGCGTTCATAGTCGTGTGCTTCCAATTAAACATTTATGAATATAGTCAATGAAAAAGGGAGACACAACAAGAAAAGCGCGAGTGGTTTAGTGGTAAAATGGATCGTTGCCATCGATCCGCCCCGGGTTCGATTCCCGGCTTGCGCAATTCTTTTTTTGATTTTTTTGCAACTTTTTTGGAGATCTAAAGTCTCTGAGATATCAGCAGTGGATCTGGTTTATTATTTTTCAGACCATGAAGCATGGTGCGTGAGCGTCGAGGAATTAGTTTTACGTTGATCCCCACAAGCAAAGACCTACAGTGTATGCGTCTACGACTCAGCGACAGTCTGAAGAAAGTAATAGCCGAAGTTGAAATTTCGAATAATAGTAGAATAAAAACTTTGCGAAGAGAAAAACAAAATATCCAGTATGCGGAATAATGTCCAAGAACAGCCGCACAATGGTGGCTATCGCAATACCTCTTCTCAAAATGAAAAATGTCACTCCGTTGAAGAAGACACACGTAAAAGAAATAGAAGGTTAAAAAAAGGATTAAAGTCACAAAGGAAACAGAAGAAGAGAAGGAAGCAGGAGATTCTAAGTATCAAGGTCTGGCCTGTAGCCTCACTGGGCAGGAAGACCATTATACGCTTGAAGATACTCGATCTCTCTTATTATGACGGATTTCTCGACAGTTCTGTTCCCATATCAAGGTTGGATTTTTTTGGTATCAGTGGGTTGTCAATTAATGAAGGTGATGTTCAGGGTGATGATGGGTCATGGATAGAGACGGTCAGGTGTTTAGATGGACTCTTCGTCAGTGGCTTTGTCCTTTCTAATCTTGAAGAACCTGATTCCGCCATCTGAGGCTGGAGGTGGCAGAGTTCCCTGGTTCTGGCCGGTAGTGGAGGTTCCCAAGTATGGCTGTTGCAATTCTTGGGTTTCCTGGGTGGCAGAAATGGCCTGTTGGTGCTGCTTGTGGGTCTTGTATGCTCTTGTCAGCGTGGAACAGCACACCAAGAAGTAGATCACGATCAGAGCAGCCACTGCACCCCACGAGATTCCGAGCATGGAGGCTCCCAGACTCTGGGAAATACCATCGTCCTTGAATGCATTTCTTGCAAGCACGACAGCTGCAGTCTCCAGAGAAACACCTGCAGCAGCAAACAGCAAAGCGGCACACACGAAGAAAACCAAGACAGTTCTCATGGCATTCCAGCAGAAAGAGAACAGAGAGCAGATGAGCGCAACTCCAGTGAAACACAGGGAGATCAGGATGAAAGGAAACGAAAATCTGGTAAGGTAGTAGTAGACGTCTCTGTTATCAACGAAGTCAGTTGGCAACCCTTTGGTGGTTCCAAAGTTGTCAACTGGAGACAGCGGAAAGTCGGGACCTGAAGAAGTACAGTTACCGTTGGTGTTTCCGCTTGGGTTGCAGATACCCCAGAAGGTCCATCTGGAGACATCACCAGTGATTTTGGTGGTGTCAGCCTCCAACCAGTAAAACTTGTTGAAAGGGAAGTGATCACTTGCACCTGACAAAACAACAAATACCAGCAACAAGGTGGTTCCTGCGAGGAGGAAGATAGTCAACAAGTGGGTGAGAATTCTAGAGACAGCCATGGTTGAGGTTCTGAAATTTGGCTATGGTATTAGCAAGATGGGTAATATCTCAGAATTAAAACAAAGCAAAAACGCTTAGAAATACCAAACTGTATCTGAGATTGTAAAGTGTGTTTGTAATAGCCGAAAGCGATCTGGAAAAAGGCCTTTGGAGTGAACGTGGGAAAATCCTTCTGTGAGTTGTTGGGGTTAGTTCCAGTCAATCTTTATTTGGAAAGGAACAAGGGGCATGTGACTTACTTCAATTGCAACAGAAACAAACGGCAACAATTGATGGGATCAAGTAACACAATAAACAGCAGAACTGATTTGAGAAGCACAGAAGAAAAAAAAGAGTTAAGCGATTTGGGCTTGAAATAAACACAGGAGAGAGTAGGCGAAGATGAAATTGCGGGAACAGCAGACGGGCCCTTTTTGCTCTAATCAAGTCAAAGTCCCAAAACGGCGAATTGCTAACAGTGTCTTAACGCTGGAGTGCACCGACGAAATCTGTTTTTTTTTAGCATTAGCCACTATGCCAGATGTTGGTGTTTATGTATTACCTAAACGGGAAGATAATTCCCGATCGGGCAAGAGTATGTCCGAATATGGGTTCTTCACGGTCACGTGGTAATCAGTGGAGGACGATCGGAAATATGGTTTAGGAGAAGCGCACGACCTTAACAACTTTGGCTTGCTGCGGCCATACTCCGCGTCTGACCAGACACCTGTAAACTATATTATTTGCTTTTTCATGCGTATATTTGACCCACCGTATTATGCAATTATATGTTATATGTGCTGTTTCTTCGTAATCGGTTCAGGAGTCCACCGGGCCCCCCCTTCCGCTTCCGGATCTGCAATTTCAGCTCCAGTCTCAGCCTCCGGCCTTGACATCACCTGTTCCTCTGTATCCATCTGATCATGCTTGAGCTGATGTCTTCTGGGCATCGGTATCTTCTCGCTACGCCTCTTTATGCTGTTATGCTGCAACGAAGGAGCCACCATACTAGGTGGAAAACGATGCGGCGACGGCGACGACACCGTAAACTTGAAGTCTTGGGGTATATCCAGTGTATCTTGAACCAAGATTTCTGTAGTATCATCAGCATCACATAAACCTTCTGGTTCGTGCTGTTCCTGTTCCTGGCGATAGGCGTCTTCGCCTAAAAGCTCAAACTTCTTGGACTTGATCCATTGAACTGGATCCTGTTTCCCTTGTTCCATCATCGAAAGCATATCATTGAGTGCTTCCAGATACCCCTTCTTGTGTATCAAAAGCGTTTTGGTGTTTGCTAGCCGGTAAAGCGATGCCACACTATTGGCAGCGTTTTTAAATTCTTGAGTGAACTCCTTGTTCAGATTCACAATCGACGCATCAGACACAGGTCTCGACAGTGGCAGATCCTGAGATAGATTTGACAAGTCCATTATCAAATGCTTTAGTATTTTCAAAAACCAAAGTAGCTGTTTCCAAAGAACATTACCGGTGCTGCCTTCAAAATCTTACAGAGCGTTCCAAAAAGATTCCGACTTTGCGGGTCGTGTACCAAAATTTGAGCAGTTTGACCACGCACTACCACCCCGGTCCAGAGCGATGTCCCTTCCCTCGTAACTCAATTTTTCACCTAGACTTTCTTTCTTCCCACGCGTCGATGGGCTTTACAGGGTGACACGGTTATTTATTCACCTAGTCCTCCTTTATTTTTTTCTCCCTTTCCTTAAAAATCTGTACAATAGTGTGGCCATGAATTTAGAATATTACCAACAACAACAACAACAGCAGCAGCAACAACAGCAGAGCTTCATGTCGTCCTCTCCCATGGTGGTAACACCTAGGAAGGAACTGTTGTCTTCGAACACCAGAACAAAAAGGCGGTTTTCAAGCGACGACGAGTCCAGTCCTAGTTTTAGAGCACCTAATAGGTATCTCCATGACCACGAGGGAATGCAGGTTGACGACGATGCAGGAGTAGCACCACAGAGAAAAAGAATCAACAACACAAACATACCTCTCAAAGACCTCGAGAAACTTAAGCATGAATATCCAACGTTTGCACATCCAGATGGCGGATTTATTCAATTTTCGCCTTATGGCAACATCAGGACGGAGATCACGGATGACAACGTTGAGGTGTCGACTTTAGAACAGAACTCAACTTTCGACCTTTCCAACTCAAGAGCAGGTATAGATGGGTACACTCTGTATAACTGTCTCACTCCTCAACAACAACGTCAAAATGCAAATGCAATCGGAAATTTGCAACATTTGACGCCATCCAACGAGGTGGAAGGATACATGTACAATGGGTATCAGAACGTGGTGAGTCCAAACCAGTCGTACTATCATCAAGACAACGAAGATTATACTGCATCGAGGCTTAATTATTTCTTGGCTGAAGACGATGACGACGACGAGGACTTCTGATTGGAAAAACTAGGCGCAAAAAGGCAAAAGGATAGGAACGCAGGGTTGGGACGACATTCGCAAATGTCAACAAAATCAAAATTCGAAACTTTTTTATACAATGAAGACACGTAAATTACATACTAATTAGTAGATTGATTGCCCCATAGGTGAGAAACTCCCAAATTATCTAAAAGGAATGAGATAATAAGTCGGAATAATGCCACAACATTCATCTATGTGGTAGCGGAGTCAGCGCAGCTGACTTTTGGCAATTATCGTGTACTAATTAGCTTTCGTCCGCTGTTATGTAATTGGTGATCACACTACGTTTATTATCCGTAAAGTTCAGCCGAACTGCATAGTTTGACCCTATCCGAAGAACAAGATAAACGGGAAATATAAAGTCGATAAAAAATGTTCCCAAGACGTATTAGCACAGGCGGTTGAATAAAGTCGCTTCTAAAGTCAAATTATCAAAAGAGCATGGATGGGGCAGCAACTTGCTGAACGCTACCCTAAACGGATCATGCAGGCTCTTTAGGAAAAGGTGGAGAGAGGCAGATATGGTCATTAAGCCATCACGGCCAAACAACTCCTCTTGCACCCTACGAAAGCTCCGAATCCTATGTTTTTCACAAAATTACATGACAGTTTCAAATAAATTTACAGCCCCCACTGCAGTAGCACGCTTTGGCGTAGAGCGTCTAATACCAGCCACAAACCCATCACCACACAATGGAACAAAGATCTTCCAGGGCAGTTGACCATAGTGTGGGGAGAGGGGGTGGAGACTAGTGCAATAACCAAGTTTCAGATCTGTCACGCTTATCATTTGCTCCTTGCTGGTTATGAATTCACGTTATAGACACCCCACCAACAGGCTGAGTTCTTTTGGCTTAACTGTTTTTAGTTTTATCTTGACACCAGATACACCCGGCTCACCAGATTGCATATTATTGCGACCATACTGCCCACCGGTTTTCTGCGTTTGTCTTCTTGGTATGACGTCCTTATCTCACGCCTCGCCATACCCTCCGAGTTACGCGGATTTGGCTCCAAATTCGCCACGGTTTGCGATTTATGATGATCCTCATACCAGTATCACAGATAAGTTGCCTGGTTATGTTCCCTCTATCAACCACATTGGATTGTCGTTTCTGAAGCTGGAATCGATATCCCCGCTATTACGAAGTACATACGACGGCAACGACGCGAGGATGCCCTCCGATTTTGAGCCCGTGATACTGGAGCTTAATTCAACACAACTGAATGTCTACAGGCTGGAAGATTCAAAAATGTTCGATTACTCGCTTGCCCTGTTTGAGAGCTTATCGTGTGTTGATCTGGACCCAACATTAAATGTCAAGGATGCCAGGGCTGTTTTAAGAGAGGCCCAAAGCATGGCTACTATGGACCAACAGAATTCGAAAAGACCGTTATTCAAAAAGGGTTTCGGGTTTTCGACCCAACCCTCGTTGAAAAGGAAGGATCTAGCCACTAACAAGTACAGATTGGTCTATAATCTACTGAATTTCAAGCCGGATCTGTCCAGGCTCGGCGATAGGGAGTCACTCCCCAGCACATATTTGAAGGCTCTGAAGTCTCTTCGTGGCGAGAAGCTTAAAAGTTACACGTTGCAAAGGTTGGTGATAGGGAATGCTTCCGACTACGCGAGGAAACCATTCACGTTAAGGTTGCGTGTTGAGAAGGACCAGCTGTTGATGTGTTCTTACTCTTTACAGCAGTTCATGGAATGGTATTTCAAACTGAGCTACGCCAGTGACGTGAGTCTTCCTCTAGAGTCAAGAGATCTGCCTCACGTGAGAACTGTTCCCAGACGTAGTCGGAGGAATAGAATGTTGATTGGTTTGCAGAGTGGAAATGGTGGTTTTGATCGTACCGCTAACACCTCTCGTACTACAATAACTCAGCCTAGACACTCTGGCGCGGAGGCTCTTCAATTTGAGTACCAGAATGGTGAAATCAGACGTAACACGTTCTCATCGTTTGGTGAGGTTGACCAGGAAGTGGTTCCTCTTCTCAGTGTCGCAGGAAGGAGTAGGACTCGGGAAGAAGATCGTGTGTTCGAAGAAGACGATTTCGACGACGAAGAGATTGATTTCGAAAGCACTGAGATCTCCGAGGTGCAGACACCCGAGACTACACCACCAGAAAGCATAGCGAGATCAACCTCGATATCCGAAAGTGTTGACGACGAAGTCGACGAAGAGGATGAGGAAGATCTCGAGGGCGAGAACGAATTCTTTTCGCAAAGCAACCAGGATGAGAACTTTCCCATTGCACTTGCAGAAGCCGAAAATAGTGATGCTTTTGATCCGTTGGAGCCTTCTCCCATCTCGCAGTATTGTACGAACTCGGATGACTATGAGTCGCGCAAGGACCAGCCCCTTACTCTTTCATGGGCTCAAGAGTACAAAGAGCTGCGATACATGATCAGGTGTATTCGTCCACTGAGAGAGAAAACCAAGTGGATTGGTTCTAAATTAGTGGTTTCACAGTCTTTTTATCCACCTGAGATCCCACAGCAAGAGACAACGCCCAGGAGACAGTCTGACTCGAAAACCAAAAGGTTCAGGTCTATTCTCTCAACCAGGAAGGGGGATTTTGCTGCTGGAATGACCGAATATAGGAAGAGGTCCTCCACCATGTGCATTGAGTACTGCGTCACTACTGGGGGATTGACTGTTTAACCTTGCTTTGCCAAACTTCACTGTCAAAAATACCGAAAACAACCAATGGATATTATCGAGGCTTGAACGCAAGAAAACGAGCTATTAACGCTTTGCCGAAACATAGATACAGGAAAGGTTTCGCTAGACCACCTTCGAGCTCATATGCTCAATATACTCAACGCCCAATGCTCATATGGTCTTACGGTAACCTTTTTTTTAATAACCAATTTCATTTTCATAATTGTTAAACCAATAAAGCCATAACCTCTGCCTGCATATTTTTGCTTATAGCTTTTCCATTTCCCGAGCGAGTTCGTCCGTTTCGTCGTATTTGCTATCGTCATCAGCAGCAGCATCATTGTTATCATCATTCTCGTGCAGTAAGTCAAAGTCTATTCCCAGCAACCTGCTCAATAACCCAGTCTTGAAGTCGTTGATTGTCTTCAAATCCTCCTCATCGTTGACACGCACTTCTCCAACAGATATCTCCAACGAAACACACCTCTTCGATCCTAGGGCTATGATGAACCTGTTGAGAAGGTTGATATCCTCACCCTGTTCATTCTGAGAAACGTAGACCATTCCGTTCTCTAGATCAGCCGGCTCTACCAATCTGTCAAAATCCGACACAGTTAACAGCGGGAATCCCAGAATTGACTTAATGATGTTTGTAGCCACGAGTCTTCCGCAGATGACCTTTCCACTCAAAGTGATCGAAGCAGGCCAGATGTTGTACACCGAGTGGCGCTCAATCACTCTGTCCAGAGTAGAACATTCACCAAGGGAGAATATGGTCTTATAAGGCGACACCCTTGCTTCTTCGTTTACTATGATTTCGCTGGTGATTGGGGAAACACAATGGGATAACTTGGATTTGCGCAAAGCGCTCACGTTGGGCAACTTCTTAGTACACCAGAGATACATGTCAGCATCAATGCGATTTCCTTCAGCATCGTAAATGGCAGTGGGTTTCTGGAGATGCGGCGAGGAGGGAGATCCTTCCTCATACTCTTCATCCTCTTCAACGTCTTCCTGGTGGTAGTCATTATCGTTGTCGTCGTTGACCGTACTCTGACTATCCTTCTTGCGCATTTCAATCGTCACATTTGATTTGAGATCCACTCCCATCTCAAGAAGCTGCTTTCTCGCAGCCTGCTCAAACAATTTGACGGAGCTATCCAGATCTTCAGATTTGATTTTCGAGTTGGCTCTGGCGTTCGCATAGGCCTTGGTCAACTTTGGCAGATAGGGAACACTATCTGCAGTATAGCAGAGTGTCACCTTCTTTTCTGGAAACCTGTCTTTGATCATGGCAGCAGCCTCAACGCCTTGAATTCCCATCTCGGTGATGATACACACCGATCCAGCATGGCTAATGTCTGTGGTGGTCTTGTACATCTCCTCCATGTACGAATTTTTGGTGAATCCTCTGGGACTGAAAGGATACCGTCTCTTGACTCCAGTGGCAAAAACACAGTAATCGAACTTGAGGTCGAACTCATCGCCTTCCCAGTTCCGGATAGTCGCATGAGTTTCGAAAAGAGCGTAACACCATCCGTCAAGCAACTCGATCTCCAGTTTGAATTTGGACTTCCATGTTTCGGAATGCAATAAAGAGTATGAAGAGTCATAACTGGGCAGATTCAACTGGTCCAAAGATGCATATGTCTTGGCTGCAAAGTCAGGATCCACAAGTGCCCGTGCAGCGGCATAGGTGTTGATCAGCCCCTTCTTGGAGTCTAGCAGTATGATCTCCACTCGATCCGGAAGAATGTCATCAAGACTCTTGCTGGCTGCAAGTGTTTCTAGCTCTTTGCATAGGGCTTTCGTGACCGCAAGACCAGCGAATGATACACCAACCACAAGAATCCTCACCGTTCTGGGTGAGGCTGCTGTGTCTGTAGATGTCTTGTCGGTAGATGCCATGTACTGTAGAATGATTCGATGGTAAGAGCTTCTGAATAATGAAATCTCCAAATCTAACAATTGTTTCCAGGCTATAGTAACAGATTCTCTTGTTCCCCGGCAGTCCGTAACGCCATATAAAGATTATCTGTTCTGTGGGTGTGATGTAGATTGAGCGTGCGCGCACGAAGACGGAGGCATTAAAGCCGAGCGGCTCCTTGCCCCGAAAATTTTGGTCACCCCACCCCCACGGGGCATGACTAAACCAGCTGGATTTCCATCAAATATTGTGGAAAATTATTCTAAGAAACGTCTCCAGTTCGCCAGTAAATCGGCGTCAGTGCCTAATCGAGTTTCGAGCGCCTTTTGCATGACCTCCAGGTCAGATTGATGCAATAGCTGGTTTGGGGTTGTCTCTTCGTCTCCACAGTAGTACGTGTCTAAAGACATATCCGTTTCCATCAACAGAGTATCTTTCGACATCGAATCCACGATTTGATGGAACTTCGTGTACTTCTTGTCATCGTCTGAGTTCGGGTCCCGAGTCCCGTCAAGATTTATCGCTTTAGATAACGAAAAATATACTCTGTTTGGAAACATTTTTCTCCACTGGTTGGCCTGGTCCACAGAGCCTGAATAAGAATGAAGACTTATCTTTATTTTGTCCCCGCAATGCTCCTTCACAGTGTCAAATAGCAAACCATGTGCTTTCACACAGTGAACAGAAACCGGCACGTTTAATTCCACAGCTAGTAGAAGCAATTCCACAAAAATGTACTTCTGGTGAGTCATCTTCACGTAGCACTTTGTGAAGCTGGTGCCTTTATCTGAAACCTTGACATCATGTCCTAAATATCCGGTCCACGGTACTCTGAATAGCTTGTCAAGACCTATTTCTCCTATCATGAATTGAGAGTGTTTGAGCACCACCTCCCTGATGCGTTCCAACTGTTTGGGGAAGTACTCTGGAACAGGCAGCACATCGAGGAGATCCTGCGGAACCTCACTGCCTGTCAAAATATTGTTGTAATGGACTCTTTTGATCTCCTCGGGATCGCTGAAAGAACTGTAGTCTTTGTCCGTGAACAAATGAGAGTACCAGGGATGTATTCCGAAACATGGCATCACCACCTTGGTCTTACTGGCTATCTCTGACACGTACTCCAAATCCCATTTATTTGTGGACATAAGGTTGAAATCTCGAGAGTCATGACCACCGTAAATGTTATTGAGATTCTCACAAAGGCGAGCAACCGTTTCTGTCTTCACAAACGGCGACAAGTGACAATGGGCATCGTACAACACCATACTGGCTGAGTTTGTTTTTTCTGAGTTCGAGCCAGTATGCTTTAGTGAAAATAAAAAATGCTATAGCCTATTAACGCTCACACAAGAATTAAACCAGCCTCAAATCAAATATCAACCTAGCATCAGAATTCTAGTGTAGCTGTCTTGTGGACATTGTTTCTGATTCACCCATCGCTTGAAACTTTGCGAGTCCATCGCGTCGTGCGGCTCAGAAAAGGTGTGCGGCTCAGAATTTACAATGTTGTGGTTCGCATATCTTGTTGTACCCCCTTTCCTTGTTTTATATTCTTCTTCTTCAAGCAACCATACAAACAAGTAGGTAAGCAAGGACAATTTTCAGATCTTTCGACATCTTCTTTCAGCGTCACTCAAACATCAAAGATATGGTTTCACTCAATTCATTCGTACTCTTTTCGGCGGTTTTGGCATTGGGCGTCAGTGCAGGCGAAGCGCCGGTAATTAAGAACAACCCAAAAAACGTTCGTTACTTGGCCGACCTAGACACCGGAAAGGTGCATGGAATTATCGAATTCTCGGCAAAGAACGGAACTACAAAAGTCCACATTGACGTGACTGGCTTGCCAGATCATGGTGGTCCTTTCGAATACCACGTTCACACCAATCCTGTTCCCGCCAACGGAAACTGTGAAGCAACAGGAATGCACTTAAATCCATACAAGGCTCCCGCTGAAAATTGCGATGCCTTGGAGGACGATTCTTTATGTCAGGTGGGTGATTTGTCTGGAAAACACGGGCTCATCAATACAACTTGTTTTGAGCTGACCTACTTTGACCCATACTTGTCTTTGAATCCAAAGGATGAGTCCTTTATTGGGGGAAGATCAGTTGTCCTCCACTACCAGAATTTGGAAAGATTCGCATGTGGAAACATTGTCCTTGCTCCTAAGAGATCGGACTTCGAGGAGGAGGAGGAAGATGAGGATGAGGTTGAAGAGATGCTCTACAAGCGCCATCTTCACGATCACGAACACTCCGAAGAGGAGGAGGCGGTTAAAGAGGCAGAGCAGAAAGAGGAAGAGGAAGAGGAAGATGAAGAAGGTTATGCAAAGTACGCGCCCAATGCTGTCTTGGCTGAAGACGAAAGCGGGGCCGGAGTCGGGAAAAACAAGAGCTGGAACTCCAGCAACGTGGTTGCAACAACCACCTACTGCGACGGGGCTGCAAGCATATTCACGGGGATGGGGGCTATTGTCGGAGCGGTCTTGGCATACATGATCTAATGTTCTCGGAGGAGAAAATACAGTTTTACAGTTTTACAGTTTCACAGTTTTACACAAACCACAGAATTACAGAATTACAGCACATGATTACATCAAGGCTTGTAAATCTCACGTAGCCATTGTATTTTTGAATTGAAAAGACCTCACAGTGACGCCTTCCCGTAAATGCCTATTCAATGTCTATTCATTTTTGAGAGAACGATATTTGAGAGCACTTTTAACCGCATCGTCAATGCTCTTCTCAAGGGGAATGAAGTCAATCCCGGTAGATTCCACTGTCTTTGCGAAATTTACAGTGAACGGGGCATGCGCTATAAAAGCGTCATGATCTGCTGAGTTTCCAACGGGTATTTTTCCTCTGAACTCAGGAAATTTATCGTTGATGATATCCAGGATGCTTTGAGTACTGTATCTTTCTACAGCAAATACTAGTCTTGCATCGCTGAACTTGGTATAGTCAGTCACACACAAGACATGAGCTTTGGCAACATCTCTGACATCAATAAAGAAACCAAAATGTTGGTTGAAAGGTCCCGGAGTATCAGCAGGAAGGTCCAAAAGGCTTAACACCATCTCGGAATTGGTTGATGTGTTGGCTTCGAGCTCCACAAACTTTTGGGGCCCAAAGACATAGCAGGGACAAATAGACGAGAAGGTGAACTTCACATCTTCGTCCTTCATGAAGGCCCTTGCAGAGCGTTCTGCTTCAGCCTTGGAGTAGGAGTAAGCCAATGATGGATTATCACCAACTGCTTCCCAAGGTAATTTATTCCAAGATTCTTCAGTCAAATGAAACTCTGGACCACCAAATTTCTGAAACTCAATTACTGCAGCAATTGAAGAGGTAAACACAAAATGCTTTACATTAGGAGCGTGAAGCTTAACCGACTTCAGAATGTTCATTGTGCCTTCCACCGTAGTCTCCACATACACCTTGTGGAAATCTTCTTTGCTGGTTGGTCTTGGTATAACCGCCGCGGCGTGGATAACAAATTCGATCTCAGGGTGTTTTTTCAAAGCGTAGTCGAAAGCATCTGGTTTCGAAATCTCAGGGACTATTTCGAAGCTCAGATTGGGGTTGGCAAATTTGTCAAGTAGAAATTTGGCCTTCGAGTCGGATCTAACAGTTCCAATGACCTTGAACCCTTTTACGAGCAGTTGGTCCAGAATATGGACTGCAATAAAGCCCGAAGCTCCAGTAAGTAGCACTGACGACATTTGATTGTCAGGGCATTCACGTGAAGAATACGTGGACTTGGGCCACAATTTATACTTGGTCCCTCTGCCCATATGGCTCGATATCAAATGTCTATCTCCGCCGCATGCGCGGCCAAACTTCGGACTTAAGAGCTATAATTGTTCCGCAAATTGATAGGCACACTCGAGCGAACTATCGCTTGCAAACACTACAGTCTGATTTTGCATCGGCCTAGTTTCCGAAAAAGGATTTGAATCCGAAGTCTTCGAAGAGACGATGCAGTTTAGTTTGATTTCATTCCCACGCACTCTAGCACTATCTGGGGTGCACTCTGGCGGGCGTTTGGGTCCGATTAGAACTCCAGTTGAAAGCCATTTGAAAGCCAGATATTTTAATCGGCTCATCGAATATGTTCCAGTAAAAAAACAGTTTTTTTTTGCCCAAAAAAAAAGCCAAAGCGGCACCAGGTCCCAAAACTCCATGGCTTCAGGTGACACCCATCATAGTGTCAAGTTCACTATGAACGGTACATTCCTACCATAATTGACAGCAAACTCCAAGAAAATCACAACACCTACTACATCTTCTTATTTCCCACCAACATCCGCCTTTTTTGCTTGTTTCTATTTCGTTTATATCATTTTCTTCATATCACAGGCCTCTTTCATTTTGCCGGAAGCGTGCGGAAATCGGCCCGCTGCCAAATCAAACCGATGAGCCCACGCCCTATGTTCTTCGAATTTCTACACTCTTACCCACATGTGTAATTCCAGAAAGGGGACAGGATTCCAACTTTGTTTCCCTGTGACTCTCCTTCCATATATTGCAGATTCGCTCATTGCTCTATCGATTGAGATTGCACTTCTTCAAACTCTTTTGATCTTGTTATAGTCTTCATTTCACCATGACTTTGATAGTGGCTACCTTGTGAGTTAATTCCGATGGGCCCTTGCATGCCACAACAAGGAAGGCCCGCACTTCACCCAATTTTTACCAAATTTGAGAGGGGATTTACTAACTAAGTCTCTAGATTCTTGCCATATACAGTGCACTTTGAGATTGAGAACACTTCCTCGGATTTGGATGAACCGTCCGACAAGCTCAGTGAGGTTGCTCTTGCCTTCCCCAGACCGTCAGGGTCCCGCACCGAAAGCTTTCTGGCAACTTCCAAGAGAACCAGCCTGTCAATTTTGCCGTCGATGAACTCTTCCGGATTTCTTGGTGGCTCTAACTCGCCTCAAAGAAGTATTACACCCGATGTTTCATCTGCTGCTACTACTTCCCAAAATAGCAACCCGGATGCGGAGAAGGGCAATGGAGTTTTTGACTCAAACAGCGACTTTGTTAACGGAACTACCTCTGTTGAAGATTTCTTCTACTCTAATCCGGTTGCTCGAAAGAGTAACATAGGATTGGTTGCTTTGAACGACGAGAAGTCGGAAATCTACAAGCCGTCTGAGAGGAACGATGCCAAGAGAGGACCTTCATCGTTGAGAATATCGTCAACGAACCCGGACGGAACTACTGTTTACTCCTCTACGACCTATATTCAGCCCAAATCGCAAGCCACGGCACCCGTGAAGTCGTCGGTGGTGGATAGAGGCATGAACAAGGATCCCACTTTGTCCTCGATGAGAGTGAGTAGACCAAGTACATTGCTCAGAAGATCCTCCAATGTTGGAAACTTGACTTCCAGATCTGATCAGGCTGCCCAGAATCGCGAACAGGCTCAAAAAAGCAGCTCCCAATCGTATGTTTTCGACAAAGTTGCTCCTTATGGCGGGCTGTCAAAACCCGACCTAAAGGAATTCCTTATCCACCCGGAGAACGTATTTGAAACAGCACCATGGACGGTAACAGACTTTGACAAGGGCAATGGAAGTTTGAAAAATGCAGTCAGAACTGCCAGACAGACCAAACTAGTGGAGAAAGCCACTTGGGTGGGTGCTCTGGGAATGCCCTGCGATGTTGTTCCCGAGACTACTAAGACCAAAATAGCCAAACAAATGCGCCTGGGCTACAACTCAGAGGCCATTTTTTTGAAGGATTCAGACTTTGATGGTCATTATAGGAGCTTTTGCAAGCAGATACTATGGCCCACACTGCATTACCAAATCCCTGATGATCCCAAGTCGAAGGCATTTGAGGAAGACTCCTGGGTCGACTATAAGAAGGTGAACCAGGAGTTTGCAGACAAGATAATTGAGGTATATAACGAAGGAGACACCATCTGGGTTCACGATTACCATCTTTTGCTGGTGCCCAAAATGGTTCGCGAGAAGTTGCCTGATGCCAAGATTGGCTTCTTCTTGCACGTTTCTTTCCCATCTTCAGAAGTGTTTCGTTGTTTCGCACAGAGAAAGTCTTTGCTCGAAGGAATGTTGGGTGCGAACACTATCACGTTCCAGACTGAGGAGTATGTGAGACATTTCTTCCAGACTTGTAACAGAATTCTCCTGGCCGACTTTACTCATGATGGAATTCTTTACAACAACACCACCATCAAAGTGAATACACACCCCATAGGAATTGATGCCAAATCTCTGATGAAAACTTTGGCCAGTCCTGAGGTCACTGAATGGAAGAAGCTCATCAAGCAAAGATGGCGCAACAAGCGACTGATTGTGAGCAGAGATAAACTGGACAAGATTAGAGGAACAAAGCAGAAATTGCTGGCCTACGAGAAGTTTTTGACGGAAAATCCCGAGTATTTGGACAACACAATGATGATTGTGGTGTGCTTGAAGGGCAAGAGCGGTGACGATGACCTGGAGACTGAGATCTTAAGAATCGTCGAGAGGATAAACTCAAAGACCAAAAACATATCTTCGGACAAGCCGGTGGTGTATTTGAACCAGGATATAGACTTTGAACAATATCTGGCGTTGCTGTCGGAAGCAGCTACCTTTATTGTTTCAAGCATGAGAGAAGGCATGAATTTGACGTGTCATGAGTTCATTGTTGCTACCAATGAAAAGCACTCTCCTCTGATATTGTCCGAGTTTACTGGGTCTGCTTCGGTTTTGGTGAATGGCCCTCTTCTGATCAACCCATGGGACATCAAGGAAGTGGCATACCGTATAAAGCAGGCATTGGCCATGTCTGAAGAGGAGAAATTGCAACGGTGGACTCAGTCGTTCAATGTGGTGAAAAATCAGGATTCTCAGAGATGGCTACAGGATTGTCTAACATCTATTGAGCAGGCATGGGGTGAACAGCAGCAGAGAAGGAACTTCCATGTGAAATGTCTAACCCAGAAAGCTTTCAATGAGAGGTACAATAGAGTGAGTTCAGAAAAGCGTCTTATTATCCTTGACCTGGGCAGTTTGACCTCAACTGTGAGTGTTCAAGGCTCCATTATAAATCCAGTTCAGATTCAGAGAGTGCTGAAGACTCTCTCAGATCTAGTCTCGGATCCCCAGAACGTGGTTTATGTCACCAGTCATTTGAAAAGAGCTGATCTCACCCGAAAGTACAGAACTGTTTCCAATCTGGGGCTGATCGCTGAAAATGGTGGTTATATCAAACCCCCACAAAGTAATCATTGGATTTCCATCGTTGAGGAGCACGAGTTCCAGTGGATACCTTCAGTTGTGGAAGTTATGGAGGCCGTTTCCGAGAGACTACATGGTTCAACCATTGAAGTTGAAGATTGCACTGTGAGATTTCATACAGAAAAAATTACTGATGTTGATGAGGAGCACCAGATGTCTCTGGTTGGTGATCTGATTACCCACATTAACGATCTGTTCTCAAAGGAGAACGTGCACGCATCTTTGGTCGATAAAATTGTCGTTATACAGGAAGCTAATTTGGCCAAAAGGTCTTTGGAGTATATCATAAGCACCATCAACAAAAGTGATGAGCACAAGTTTATTGGTTCTGTCAAGAGCCTGCCATGTTCTTCAGCTGCGTCTCCCATTTCCCAGCCTGAGAACGAGATTTTGCCTCAATCGCCTTCCGAGAAGATTGGATTGCTGTTGATAGTTGGTGGATCGAGACCCGTGGACGAACAATTGTTCATCTTTGGAGACGAATTAGCGGAAGACCACAAAGTTGACGATACTCTCACCATACAAATTGGCTCTATCACACAATCTGTGGCCTCCGAGAGACTAGAGGGCTTCAACGAGTTCCTGACGGTGATTGCAAGCACTAAGAACTAGTAACTATTGTGTAGAAACTCCTAAATACATGATTTGTCGTTTTCCTGTTATATTATGTCAGTTTCAGCTTTTTGCCCGAGTGATTCAAATCGTCCGTAGTGACAGACTCTTGAACCATGGTGCGAACTTCACCAAGTACATTCATGTCTTCTTCACTAAGAGGCTTGAATCTGGCATATATTGCATCGAATTCCGCTCTGGTGAATTTTCCGTCTGGTCTCTCGACTATCCATAAACTTTCCTTGGCCCTCTTATTGCGTTCTCTGTCCTGCTCCATCCTCGCTAGGATTTGCTGATTGGAAAACGCCAAGTACGAGGACTTCTCTGGCGAAGAGGCGGGCTCATTTGGCGCACTCGAGTCTTCCGGTTGAACAGATTGTGATCTTGAATCGTTCTTGGGTGCCTTCGGCGTATCTGCAGTATTTGTCGGCTGAACTTGAGCCATGCTGAAACTGGAATCGTTTGCCAGTCTATCTTCTGCCTGCCTCTGTGATCTTTCATTTTGTCTCATCTGTATCACAAAAATCCAGCACTCAGCTAGCTGCTCTGAATATTTGCAGGAGGCATCCAGAAACGAGGGAATTTCAGCCTTACTTTCCCCGATGGTCTGTAAAATTTGCTGGTATCGTAAGGCAGACTCATAGCCAAGAACACGGCTCAAGCTTGCCAGAATCGTGCAGGAAGTGTTTAAATTAGCAAGTCCTTTTAGATCATCTGTGGTCGGTATCACTTGGCGTATGATCAAAGGCAAGTCTGCTACCAGTCTGTTCAGATATGGCCTCTCTGGCACCTTGCCCAGCTTCAGGGTTTCCTCAATTAACACCTCTATGAAATCAAATACGTTGAGTCTCACGTTCAGATCAACTGCGGATATCACTTCCAGTATCACTGAGTGGAAGTCTTCTTGTAATTCCTCGTTCTTAATGGCGAACTTGGCGCACTCAGTATGCTGCTGCAAAGAAGCAGACATGCTCTTTAGCTGGCGAGTGAAATATAACCTTGCTTCCAAAGGGTCCATTATGAAAAGTATAGCGAGTTGCCTTAATTGTCTAATCTCCTGTCAAAATACAATTGCCAACTGTCTTCTTCATCTAATTCTTGAGTGCACTCAGTCTTCCGTTCTATAGAAGTCGTGCAATGATCATCGCTGACGTAATCCATCAACCGCAGTTTTTTTTCATGGCCAAAAGTTCCAAGCGGATGACACTTGTCTTAGGTACATTCAGCAACTACACAAATCACTTACAAACATGCCAAAGAGCAAGGGTAAGGTATGTATTCACGATAATAATTTAGTGCGAACAGCCATGTTTTGTGAAGAATCCGAACTAACCCCTCAAACAGGGAGGAAAGAACAGAAGAAGAGGAAAGAACATCAATGAGGGCCAGAAGCGCGAATTGATCTACAAGGAAGAAGGTCAAGAGTATGCACAAATTACCAAGATGCTGGGTAATGGTCGTGTTGAGGCATCTTGCTTTGACGGAATCAAGAGAATGGCACATATCAGAGGAAAATTGAGAAAGAAGGTTTGGATGGCCCAAGGTGACATCATCCTCGTTTCTCTGAGAGATTTTCAAGATGACCAGTGCGATGTTGTTCACAAATACAATGCCGATGAGGCCAGAGCTTTAAAATCTGCTGGTGAACTTCCAGAGAGCGCTAAAATCAACGAAACCGACACGTTTGGTCAAGACGAAGACGAGGACGTCAACTTCGAGTTCGGTGCTGCCGACAGCGACAGTGACGAGGACGAGCTTGACATTGACGACATTTGAACGCGTTAGGAGGTTGAGATGTGTATTGGTTTTAAGAGAGATCATTAATAAGCCATCATCAAATGTTGATAACTGACCAATATTACGTAGTTTTATGTGAGTGAAATAGTGCTAACCCGTTTCCGGCGATATACACTGGGCTCACATTTATGCTTATCTTTAACATAACGCGTACTGGTGGCCTCTGGCGAGGATTAAACACAGAATTACGACGAAATACCCAACTTGAGAATAATACGCGTTGTATACATATATAAACTTACACAAGGAGACTATCGCGAAGAATTCTGAAGATAAGCATGCCCTATCTAATTCTATGTCGAATGCTACTTAACATTCCATAATTTTCCGGCCTGGTCCTTTTAATCACTCAAGTCAAAACTGTCAGTTCGCCTGAGCTGTATTGCTTCCTCGTCAAGCTCACCATACTGATACCCACCTGGGGCCCTAGAAGCCTGCATTGATCTTCTGAACTGCACACCACCACCAACACCATTATCCATGGGGACGTTCTCGAAGCCACCCTTGGATTTGGCAAACATGGTCTCTGGGTCTGGGGTCTTTCTGGAGATGTTCAACAAGTATACTCCACTGAAAATGATCAAAAAGCCACAAACCAGCGATATGATGTTCACAGAAGAGGTGGTGTTGAAACCTCTGAAGAGGATGAAAGAAGCACACAACGTCGCAGTGGTGAACGTGACGTAGTAGAGTGGATTGACGATAGAAGTGTCGAATTGGTCTAACGCCTTGTTAAAGTACGTCATCTGAGTCGCGATACAGATGGCCACCACGATCAGGAATATGTATGTGGAAGGGTGGGTGAACTGGTTGTTTCCACTCAGAGTCAGCTTCAACGCAATGCCAAATGCCTTGATCGACATGACCGATACAGACCCCACCGTAGAACAGATGGAGATGTAGATCATGGGGTTCTTGGAGCCGTATTTTGGTACAATCTTGTGAATCATGAAGATCGAGTAGATTGCAACTGCAAACACGTAGAACAGAAATCCTGGCTGTTCGGCGTAGTTCAAAATCTCATCAACAGTGTCAATATCCTTATCTGGTGGAGCATGTAACACGATGATCACTGAACCAAGCAAACAGATAGCACAGCCCATTTTTCCCAGAGTGCCTAGCTCCTCCTTCAAGAAAATGGCGGCCAAAACGGCACCAATAATCACGGATAAAGCGCCCAGAGGAGTGACCAAAATTGCAGGGGCAAAAGTGTATGCAGCGAAATTGGCGATTTCTCCAACTGCCATCGTTATTATACCAGCCCACCAGATTGGGTTCTTCAAATACGCGAATCCTTCAACTGAATCAGACCCCTGTCTGCTTGAGGTATTCATAAGACCCTTTTTGGTGATGATGAACGAGGTACCAATGGCGAGCGATGAGCTCATTGCCAACGCCAGTCCAATGTATTTATCATCCATTTTTTGAGTTGTGAAGCTTGACAATAAATAGCCAATCTAGTTCTTCAGTCCGCGCGTATGGGATCGACGATCTATAGCTTTCTGATGGTTGTAAAGAATGTAGGTTAAAGAGGCCGAGCAAAAGATCAGCAAAATTCAAACTGCCCTGAGAAACAAACTCCGCAAAAGTCCTTGCTCAACTAACTCTCGTTATCTGGAACTGTCTCGACGGAACGAAAGGCCATGTGTACGAAGGAGGAACGGAACACAGCCCGTGTCTTTTCGTGTCTCGCCTGAAACGTGTCACGTGACCAAAACGTTTTTTATTTTTTTGGATCTGGGTTGAGAATTTTGGTAACAAGACAATGATCAGAATCAGGCTATTGCTAGACACTTTCTGTTAGAATGACTGTTGGAATACGACAGGACTTACCAGAATTCCATGAGGGTGGTTTGCTGGAAATAAGTCGTTTAAAGGATTCTTTGATAGCGCACAAGCCATGCGACATAGTGGTAAGTGGTAGATGCCCATTGCTAGAGAGCTCTTTGACTCCAATCATGGATGCTTTGAAAAATGCGTCCGGGTTGGGTGACTATAGAGTAACGGCTTGTGATGCCATGTCTATATGGTTGTTGAGAGCTTCACAAGTCTGCTCCACTCCGGAGCTGAGGAGTGTACTATCAACTAGACTCAATGACGAAGAAGCTACCTACCTTTTCCACTATGTGGTTGATTTCTGGAACGATTCCGGAGCACCATTAGGGAACTCGTTACGAGGAGTGTTTGCCAAGCTGATTGTGTTCATGAAAAAAGCACACGGTAATAAGGAGGAACTCTTCGAGTCGTGGTTATTGAAAGTTCTCAAGATGTCAAATACCATGAAGATTCTTTATTTTATGGTCGAAAACTTGTCCAAGGAGACGAGACCTTCTTTCGTGCTCGAAATTTCTGGTGATTTTGTGGATTCTGCCTTGGCAGCGATGTGGTCGAACGCTCTCGCGAATCCTGCCGGTAAAGCCATCCAAACTGTATTCAAGAACATCTACAATCATTTCAAACGTGGGGAGGAAAGCCCTGACGAAAAATGGCTCCAATTGTGGAAAAAATCTGTTGCGAGGGCTCTTAAAGATTCCCAGCTTAGAAAGAATGTTGAGACTTATTTGCTTCCATATCTATTCAGAACCTCGCCTATTGCATACAGAGGGTTTGTCAAGTCCTTGATGGTTGACGAGTGTGCAGCAACTCAAGAGGACTTTTTGCTTGTTCTAGGATGCCTCAAGATTGGTCAGGACTTGGCAATCCTAGTTGAACCTTTTGTGCCAGCTGAAAATGAACCCGCTGTGATTTCGTTGTCTACACTGGAGTCGTTACTCGGTGCCCAGGATCCTCAATTGAAGCTTTCTGCCTTATCCCTATTGGTGTCATCTCCTAAAGGCTCCAAATCTATTGTTCCAGAGGTTTTGGTTATCGTTGAAAATCACTGGGAGATGTTGTTTGTTGAAACTGACTTGGAGGCAAGGAATGAACTGTTCTCATTGATGAGACAGTTCTTGATCAGAATCAAAGACTCGGCATATTCACTAAAGAGGGATGCCTCCAAGTTATTAGCCAAGTTCCCAAATAATCAGGAAGGCTTCCAAAAACTCGAACTGGTGAAAATATACGAACAATTCATTGAGAATCTGTTACTATTTATCTCAAGACAATTGCTGCCAAGCTCTTCTCACCAGAAGATTAACATGGGATTGAAGGTGTTGACTGTGCTGATACGTTCAGGCCTTGATCCCAATGTGAACAAGAATTCTGTTGATGTCCAGCAAATTAACTGGCCCTTTTCCATGCCGATTTTCTCCGATTACATGGTCAGATTGCTACTAGACAATATCTTGAACGACTACGATGATATTAGACAGTCTGCTGTTCAGACTTTGCTTATGGCTGATCTGCCTTATTTGAGAGAAGTATCATCCAAGACCACAATGAAAGAAGCCGAGCAGAAAGGATTGCAACTGCTGACAGACATGAAGGGTCGTACTGGGGATAGTGGTGCTCTTATAGTGGACCTTTTGTTTGAAATTGAGTACCGAGCAGATGACCTAGATAGTTGTCTGAGACGTCTGGAAGCAGTTAGAGATCTATTGATCAGTGGCATCCTTTTGGCAAAGGAGAACATGGTTGAGGCTGTTTATCAAAAGAACGTTCACGGCTATTTTTCTGCCTTGAGATTAGTCTTTGCTAAGCTGGACTATACCCGTTTTTCAGAGTTTGGCTCTCAGAGATTTCAACACCTCACAGACTCACTGATAAATTCTCTTTTTGAGATATGGACAATTGTGAAGCCAATTTTATCGGACGATTCCCCGGAAGGAAACTTGCCTGCTGAGTTTCTTCCTTTGCTTGGCTCTGAGGCAGAAAATAAGTACGGTCCTCCTACTCAAATTTTGTCGAGTTACTCTTGGAGAGCAGTCAAAGAATCGTCCGCATTTCTGAAGGAACTAATGGATAAAGCACCAAGTTATGTTCTCTCAGAGGATATGGTGGTGAAGCTAGGATACATGATTATGGAGCAACTAGCATCTGTGAAGCACAGAGGGGCGTTTTCCTCAGTGTATCCTACCTTAATATCGTGCTGTGAGAGATGCAACCGTTCTAATTCAGATTTGAGCCAGCAACCCGGTTTGTGGTTGCGCAAGAACACCTCTTTAATCGAGATGAAATCTCAGTCTATCACCAGGAGATCGGGCGGCATACCGTTCTTGATAACGGCAATTCTAACTGCTGACCAGATCCTTCCGAAGTCAACTTCACTGGATGTCACTATGACGGAGCTCTTGAGAATATCCAGAGTCCCTTATGTGGACCATGGTAATGAACGCATGGATATTCCACAGGTACACGGCATGAACTGCATCAAGGCTATATTTACAGAGTCACAGCTCGCAGATGCTTCTGCTCAATTTGTTGATGAGGCATTGGATTTGGTGTTGTCAAAGTTTGGTTCTCCGACTTGGTCAATCAGAAATTGCGCAGTTATGTTGTTTACTGCATTGCAGAACAGATTGTTCGGCACAAAGAATGTGGCTGAAGGCCTTTCGTCTATTTCTGCCCGACTTTTCTTTTCAAGATTTAAGAATGTCAAACAGGTTCTTCACGATAATCTCGCCTCTTCAATTTCCAAGGGACTTGAAAAGACTGAGAATATTGAGACTGTTTTCCCTATTCTGACCATCATTTCCAGACTAGAAGCCACTCCGGGTTATCATGGACTGGATGATTTCAAGCCCCTACTGCAACAATGTCTGCAGAACAGAGACTGGAAAGTCAGAGAGAATGCTGCTCGGGCTTTACCTGCACTTGTTTCGCAAGATGATCTTACCAGTGAGTGTGAGTTTCTTCTGAAAACGGATTCGTCAAAGCAGAATAAGCTTCATGGGTCGTTACTTGCTCTGAAAGAGCTGCTTCGCACTCACTTCAACAGAAACGGGGACCAAAAATCTGTTAACAATATCAAACAAAATGTTGAGAGCCGTATTTTGTTTTACTTTGGAAAGTCAGGTTCTGCGAGTAATGTTTCCATGAAATGCTTGCTTGATACATACGTATTACTGTTGAGTAAGAGCGAGCATACAAAGACTGCAGACCCAGCCATTATCCAGTGTCTTGGGAATTGGTTCGTGAATGAGGTCCTAACAGGTGCCAACGGAATTGATGGTACAAGAGCTTCGTTGATGATGGAAGTCATCTCGTTGCTATTGCGCTTTTACATTCATCTCTCTAGACATGAAGAAATTATAGAGTGTGTAGACCTCTGTTTGGCGTCGCCGCTCTTTGAAGTTCAAACCAGGACTATAGAAATCGTTTCAGAGAAAGTCGCGGAATTCACACCAGCAGAAAGAAGTTCAATCATGAAAAGAACCTGGGCATTGATCACGGATCACGAAACATGGATCTATGTCAAGTCGGCAGCATTGAGACTGCTTAATTTGCTGTTGCTTCATAGTGATCTGAACGTCATTGACGATATCCTTCAGAATGGCACGGCTGTTTTGCTGGAATTATTATCTGAAGACCACAGTGAGGAAGTACGTTCCAGCTCGATAGAAGCTTTGGGACCTTTGATTGCTTGTGGTTTGGTGGAGAACAAGCTGGTTGGATATGATGCCTGGGCAAGCAACTTGAAGAATTACAGTCGTGATGGAGCGTCGCTGGATCTGAGGGCATCAACATTGAAATCTGTTGTGTCTTTCCTGCAGATTGTTGGGTCGCATGAAAAACTGAAATCTTCATATGATTTGGCTAAGTCTGCGTCCGTTCTTTATAGCTTTTTGTCTGATGATGATGAAGATCTGAGGCACGCCGCTGCCACAGAGTTATCACGCTTAATGGGTCTCAGTTTTCCCACAGAGCCTACAATAGTGGCAGACTATTTCAGAAACATTTATCTGAGTCAACAGTTTGAAAAAAGAGATGTGGCAAAATTGTTGGCACTTAATTCCTACTGTTTCTACCAGGTCGACCCCTCAACTTTGCCTGAGCTTGTCCTCCTTGAAGATGACAACTTGTTTACTGTGGAGAAGGATAACTTCTACCGAGACAATCTCTCTGATGTCAAGAACTACAAGAAACTGCTTCTGCATTTCAAGCAAGAATTTTCCTCTGAAGAATTGACAACTATCGCAACGTGTACATCTGTGGGCGCCCTTGGGGGTGCCATAAGGCAATCCAAGTTCGCTCAGCCGGAGTGGGGATTCGTGAATGATGAAACCGTTTTCACAGCTGCAGCATGTATTATATTTTTTCAGAAACTTCAATTTGAAGTCTTTGGTGAGCAATCTGATTCTGAGAACTTGATCGATTTCTTGTCAGCATATGCTCAGTCTTTAGAATGAAGTGGCTTGCTATGCATATCTTATGCAGTAATTATGCATTGGTTATGCTCAACCCCATAAATACTAATTACCACTAGACTACTAGAAATATCTTGAAAACAATTATTGAACCATTATCCATCTACGAATAATAACCCAAATCCTTTAAATATACTCTAAAAAACGGCATAGTACACGATGGCATCTCAAAAGAGACAACTCCTGCATCTCTTTCATATCCTATCGGGGAGTCAAAGACTGGCCGATGTTCCTCTCCAGCTAGTTTTCATCTCTGATGGTAACCTCTGGTTTGGAGTTAGTGCTAGCCTGTGCCAGGTTGCTGGTTTGTGATTCAGCCGAGGATGATTTTTCTGTGTTCTCGAGTTCTTTCTCTGGATCACCACCGATGGTGTCGTGAATGTCGTAGTGTCTCATTGCCTCAGCAATTTCATGGTGCTCCATGTATGGAACATTCTTGGCAACCTTTACTGCCGGAGTATGCTCGACATGAGCCTTAGCAAAAATGACATCTAATTCCTCCAATGTTCTGCCCTTGGTCTCAGGATAGAAGAAATAGATGAATGGGATGAATGCAAAATTCAGACAAGCAAAGAATAGATATGTACCCCAATGAATAGAAGCAATCATGACTGGAGTGATTTCGACAACCATGAAGTTGAAGATCCAGTTACATGAGGTGGACACTGCATTGGCCTGGGTACGAATCTTCATGGAAGCAATTTCAGCCGGATACAGCCAAGGCAAACACAGCCAAGTAGCTCCAAAGAATGCCAGGTACAAGAAAATACCAAACGCAGCTCCCTTCGAAGCCTGTTTGGTATCTGGGATCAGACATGCAAACACGATAGTCATAGACAAACCCTGGCCAACTGATCCGATGATGAATAATGGTCTTCTTCCAACCTTTTCAACCAGCCAAAATGCAATACATGCAAACAAGGCATAAACAACAATAGTGACACCTGAGAGAACCAAAGCAAGCGTTCTTTCCATACCCAAGGAGTTTTGGTACAGCAATGGAGCATAGTAGATGACGGCATTACAACCTCCCAATTGCTGGAAGATTTGAGAAGAAGCTCCAACTAGAGTTCTTTCCAAGTTCTTTGTTTTGTCACGCTTGAAAATATCCAATTTTGATGACTTGATAGATTGAGTAAGCTTGACGTTGGCATACATGTCGTCCTTCAGCAGAATAACTTCGGGATCATCCACTGTGCTATCAGCCAAAAAAGCAATAATTTCTAAAGCTTCTTCTTCTCTGTGTCTTGTCAGCAACCATCTAGGAGATTCTGGTAAGAACTGAATAGCAATCAACAAAGTGGCAGCAAACACACACTGAAATGCAATGGGAAATCTCCAAGCTACTGCATTGGGGACGAAGTCAAGTCCGAAATCTATCCAATAAGCAATGCAAGTTCCAATAGCGATCATAGATGCTTCGAAACACACCAAGGCACCTCTATTGTGCTTTTTGGCGATTTCAGCCTGGTAAGATGGAATGGTGGAAGTAATTGAACCACAGCCAACACCACATACCACTCTTCCAATGATGAACTGTCCAAGATTCCAATGGCCTCTAACTGAAGTCACCATGATAATTGTTCCTAAAATCATGATGGTAGAACCCAGCATTATCATCTTTCTTCTTCCTAATCTGTCTCCCCTCACCAGAGCAAAAATTGCACCTGCAAAACATCCTAACTCGTAGACAGCAGTGACAGTACCTTGAATTGTGGAAGTGTGAACATCGTCCGCACCTTTGCTCTTAGTGGCTGGAAAATCATGGTTGAATGTTTTTCCAGTGATAATTCCGGACATGACCCCTTGGTCATATCCAAATAGTAAAAAACCCATAGTGGATGCGAATGCTACGGCTCTAATGAGGCCATCACCTCTAAAGCCCAAGTATTTCGCTACCATTTTAGTCGTCAAAAGAATGTGTAGTTTCGTAAATTTTCGTGCGATTATTCAGCACCGGTAGGGGCATGTGCTTCTACTTATACAATGTTTCCTCTTTTTTCTTTTGCGAGATCTACTTTTTTTGTCTGTATGGAGGAGTAAAACGAGAGAAGAGCCTTTGCAGGTTAGCTTATCCCGCGTGCGGAAAAATCTTGACCTGCAGCTGCAGGGCCTGCGTTACATCATCGTGACGTGTAGAATCCTGAGTTGCTTCACCTTGTAACGACGAACCTACCATATGCTTTGCGAACGGCTGGTTATTCTCCACCTTTTTAGGCAACAGCGTGCATTTTGCAACACTCCAGGGCATCCTTTTCCCACAGGGGACAGGAAGAGGCTGAAATGCCGCGTCTACGGTGAAACATATTTATGCTCGGGTTTGTGCAAAATAGGACAGAAGGTAATCCACGCCGGTGTAAGCATCTACTCTGACAGACAGAACGGAAATGGAGAAAATTATACTGCAAACTTGCTCCAGCTTCCTAAAATGTCAAGCTTAAAATGCCACCTACAGCGAAAGCTCACCGGAAAAATAAGCGCTAGTCGACACCCTATAAGGCCTGGCGGAAAACCGTTTCCATCACCCTTCACCCCCAACCGTCTACATTTTTCCGGATCCCTCACTAACCGGATTCTAGTACGCGGTTCTATCCGACTAAGTTGCCTTCGGACCCCTTGCTATCTAAAGTCTGTATCAGTAAGCACTTCGTGTAGTATTACTCAAATATTTGCAGTGTCGTAAAAAGCGTAACTCACTTTCGTTCCCCAGGTCTTTTGCTGTTTTGTCTCGGCGCGTAAATGCAAGTTATTGTGGGAAATTACCGGTTAGAATAACATCCGAAGCTCGACCATATGCACATGACGTAGATTAAGACATTTGACATATCCAAGGAGAAATTAAAGTATGGAGTAGAACACGTTTCAAACCATTAAGAGGTATAAATTGACCGCACAATTACTGGAAAGAAAAGAGGTTAAGTCCATGTGTGGCCTATTATGGAGTTAAATTTTATAGAGGTTTGTTGCCACAAAAACTCACCAAAGAACCACCGATGTAGGTATTCCATAGCTAGGTGCCCTTAAATTACCCCACTTATCCGCAGCCAATGGAAGCTGCCTCAATGTTCGGTCCGAAAGTCACTCATTTTAGTGGCATGACCACATAAGTATCTAGTAGTTAGGTTATATAGGTCATATACATATGTCCTGTTACATGTGCGTTACCCAGACCTCGCTACGGCATTTGCCAGCATTCCATGAAGATTTAGGTATTTACGGCAGAACTAACATTATGAGAATCAATTCGAAAGACAACGCTTTATAAAAACACTGATATGTAATATCGAGTGTAATGCAGAGTTGGATTAGGCCACATTCGGTGAACAGTTATTGAACATTGAGCTTGTCGACCAGAGAAAACATTTGGTTTCGAACGCACCAAATACGTCGTTTCAAGCCTGTGAGCATTTCATAAATGTAGAATGATAACGTGAATCAACGTCATATCAGTACACTTTAATCAGATGCTTCAGGCGCTGTCACGGCAATACCAGCAGATAGCAAAAACCCAGAACTACCACTTCAAAGTCACCAGCATCGTTCTGAGTTCAGAAACCGTGGATCTTGATGTTCTTCTTCTGCAGGGCTAGTTGGGAGGTCAGAAACTCCATCACCTTGAGTCTCTGGTCACCCTGAAGTTGGATGACTTGTCCTAGTTCTTCATCCTTGACTATGTTTCCGTTACACGCAAAGTCCTTCTTCAAAACCTTGGTAATTTTCTTCAAATCGTATTCATCTGGAAGACCTTGCACTGTTGTCAAAGTCTTACGACCGTTTCTTTGTTGGATACGGATATGGATGTAGTTTGTTGGCTGAGTATCGTCGTCACCAGTATCGGCGAAAGGATCTAAAAAGAGTTAGTCATGAGCCCATAGGTTATATACGCAACGAAAGTGATAAAAACTGGAGGAAGCGCCCTTGTTGTGAAGGAAGACCAATGCAGGAAGGTTCCTTCCCAGATGATCCCTAAAAGCGGCGCATCACCAGAACCAAGACTTACCAAATGACTTGAGGTTTTCGATTGAAGACATAAAACTTTATCCGGGTTGCTGGATTTCTTAATAAAACGAGTTGGTTTCGGATGATTTAGGTGCTGAAGGACAGACTATCCACATCAAGCACTGTCTTTGCTGTCTTTGTTCGAAAAAACCTGCCAGCTCCGATGGCACAAAGCGTCGTGGGGTTGTGCCTTTAATGCAATCGAGAAACAACGAGTGCGCGTGGCTGGTTGAGTCTATTTTTACGATTTTAAAAGCGATTATCAAATTCAGATTATTACCTATTTTCTGCTTATGTGCTGGATATTTTTTGTCACTATCTACGGCATGAAATACAGCTCTGTTGCCTACTTCCTCACCCAAACCCCACGTCATTCGGCACGGTATGTAGATCGAAATGCCAGTTCGCTCGCACACGACTTGAATTATCGACTGATCTGCTGCACGACCTCTTCAAATGTAGGCAGTGCCTTCCGCAACTGGCCAGGAACGTTTCGGAGTCTTCAAGACTTTTCTCCAATAACACAAGCAATCACGCCAGATAATCTTGTTTTCATCCGAGGAGTTGGTTTAATCCACAAATTAAGGACCATTTCCAAAGTCAATTGTCGATTTTTCACGTGAAGCCTGTGACATTCGGATCCTCGGAACTCAGACCCCTTCGTGTTACGGCCTGTTCACTTTGCACCGGACTAAACCCTCGTTGCTCAATTCATCATGAGTTTGAAATCCGAAACAGACCTTCAGGTTGCCATCAGAAAGGCTTGTTCGAACGATGAGACCGCGCCCAAGCGTAAACATGTCAGATCGTGTATTGTCTACACATGGGACTACAAGACAGGTGCTCCTTTCTGGAAATCGTTCAAGTTGATTCCCATCCAAAACAATGAGATCAAGGTCTTTAAGGCCCTTATTACGATGCACAAGGTGTTGCAAGAAGGTCATCCCAGTGTCATCAGTTCTGGATACAGAAACAGAGACTGGATCGAGAGTCTTGGCAGGGTCACCCCTGGAGAAGGCTTCAAGAACTACGGAAGGATCACCAATGAGTATGTTGGGTACATCCTCAGAAAGCTGAACTTTCATTATCGTCACCCTGGTTTCAACGGTACTTTTGAGTACGAGGAATACGTCTCATTGCGGGTAGTAAGCGACCCCAATGAGGGCTACAATGCCATTCTGGACCTGTTGTCTTTGCAAGACTATATCGATGATCTTCAGAGACTGATCTTCGCTAGTGTGGGCGAATCGCGCTCCTCAGAGTGCAAAGTGAGTGCTCTAGTGCCTTTGATTGCCGAATCGTATGGTATCTACAAGTTCATCCTTTCGATGTTGCGGGCAATGCACCATTCCTCGGACTCGGAGGAGCTGCTGGAGCCTTTGAGAGAACGGTTTGTATCCCAGCATGCAAGATTGTACGACTTCTATGCTGATTGCTCGTCTATCCGTTACTTGAACTCTTTGGTGACCATCCCTAAATTACCTTTTGATCCTCCAGACCTGCTTGCTGACGATGCTGATGCTCCTCCTTTGCCACGGGCTCCTTCAACGCAGCCCTCGTCAATTCCCTCCAAGGCTCCTTCTCCTGAGCCCTTGGTGTCTCAGTCTACCGCTGCCGTGTGGGATGCTGAAGCCCAGAGAAGACAGCAGCAGTACGAGATGGAGCAGCAACGGATTGCTCAGGAGCAGCAGCAGCAGCTATTGCTTCAACAGGAGCAGCAACAACGGGCTCAGCAACAATGGGCTCTTCAGCAGCAACAGCAGGAACAAGCGCAAAGCAGAGCTCAGGAGCAATTGATTGCCGACCAGCTTTCCAGACAGGCCCAAGGCAGAGTTGCTGAGGTGGAAAGAGACTTGCTGGCTTTGCGTGGACAATATGATCGTGATCAGTTGATGCTCGAGCAATATGACCAGAGAGTCAAGGCTTTGGAGAACGAGCTTTCTGTGACCACTCAAACTGCTCAGCAGCAACTGGGGTCTAAAGATGAACTCATCAACGGAATTCAGGAACAGATTCAGATGTGGCATGGCAAATACGAGTCGTTGGCCAAGCTTTACAGCAAGTTGAGACAAGAGCATTTGAATCTGCTTGCCAAGGTCAAGAAGATTCAACAGAAGGCTGCGAGTGCCCAAGAAGCCATTGATAGGCGTGAAAAGCTCGAGAAGGACTTGAAAGCCAAGAACATTGAGCTTGCTGATCTTATTCGTGAAAGAGACCGTGCCAGACTTGATCTTGACAGAATCAAGGGAGGCAAGAATGGCGAGATCGAGAAGCTAGAAACCCAGGTCAGAGAGCTCGAAGACAGGTTGGCTACCACCGAGAGAAGTCAGTCTTCAAACTTGTCTTCACTATTTGCCCAGCACAATCGCGAAGTCGAGGAGCTTCAAGCCAAGCTCAAGAATGGGTTATCTGTTTCTGATCCGGGCAGACTCCAGCATCTGGAAACCACGTTGAAGGAGAGAGAAGCTGAGCTCGCCATGGTCAACCAAACCATGGAAGAAACTGTGAGAGAGCTAGCCAATCAGCAGCAAGAGAAGGATGCCGCTATTGACGAGCAGATTGACGAGGTCCTGAAGGCTAATCTCTCCAAGCTGACCAGCTTGGTTGATGCCATTCTCCATAGTGGTATTAAGCGCATTCAGGATGGTGTCTTTGAACTGGACTCTCCAATGCAAGCAGGCAACCAGAACAGTTCACCTGAGTATCTCTCATCGATTATCGAAAAGAGTTCAGATTTGGCGACAGAGTTCGCGACTGCCTTTAATGGGTTCATTGCTGATGGCCCTGCTGGTGACCAAGTGGCCGTGATTGAAAGCATCACGAACTTCACCACCTCCATTGGAGACTTGTTATTGAACACCAAGGGAGTCACTCGTTTGGCCAAATCTGACGATTTTGCAGATGACTTGGTTGATACTGCTAGAGACGCTGCCCAAATCTCCGAGGTATTCTTGGAGGGTTTGGTCTCATCCAATCTGGCAGGTCTATCAGACGATGATAAGACTGACAGAGCCATTAATGGCAATCTGGATGTTCAGGAAGTTCTCCAGGACCTCTCCAAGTTGGTGGATGCACTTATTCCAAGGTCTAATGCTGGTGCCAGAATGAAATCTGGTGACCTGGGCGAATTGGTCGACGAGGAGATGCAAAGCGCAGCCAAGGCAATTGCCGACGCTTCAGCTCACTTGAGCAGTTTGATCTCAAGACCTGTGGATCCATCTCTTTCAGCGATTGACATGGAAGTCAATAAAGCCATTCTGGCTGCTGCATTGGCAGTTACCAATGCGATTGCACTTTTGATCAAGGCGGCTACGGAATCCCAGCAGGAGATTGTCAACCAAGGACGGGGTTCGAACTCACGTACGTCCTACTATAAGAAGCACAATAAATGGACTGAAGGCCTGATTTCGGCTGCTAAGTCCGTCGCTGGTGCCACAAAAGTTCTTATTCAAACCGCGGACGGTGTCCTGTCGTCATCCAATTCGCCTGAGCAGTTAATTGTTGCTTCCAACGAAGTTGCAGCCTCTACGGCGCAACTTGTTGCTGCCTCTAGGGTTAAAGCCACGTTTATGTCGAAGTCCCAGGATAAGTTGGAGAGTGCCAGTAAGACTGTCACCTCGGCCTGTAGAGCTCTGGTCAACAGGGTTAAGGAGATTCTGGACAACAGAAACGGCGATGCTAACGGCAAAGACTCTGTTGACTACTCTAAGCTTAGTTCCCATGAAAACAAGACTGTGGAGATGGAACAGCAGGTGGAGATTCTGAAGTTGGAGAACGCTTTGTCTAGCGCGAGAAAGAGACTGGGCGAGATCAGAAAGTACAGCTACAGGGACGAGAGTGACGAAGAATGAAATAGTTTCTCGTTGATACGAAATTTTGAAGATGTGATTTGATTCCAAAAATAAAGGCAAATAGATCATTAGTTTCGTTAATTAAGTGTAGAACAGAAGTGGGTCGACATTTACCCCTATCTCGGTATGGCAGGTAAGATCGAAATATGAATTCTCAACAAAGATATCTTCAATGATACAAGTAGAGCTCAACCGGTTGAACTTTGTGATTTGGCGTTTCGGTTCCTGGTATTGGTCTGTGCGGTCATCTTTAAAGGGAATCGCTGCATCTGATCCACTTTCCAGACAAATCCATGCAGCAATACCAAGAGGGCTGCCACTGTTGTTGTATTGCAAAGCGATTCTTCTCCAGCTATCCTTGGATTTCTCCGTTTTCCAGATGACTGCCAATCTTCTCGAAATCTCTCGCTGACTCGCAGCAGGACGGATACTTTTGGAGTAGAACGACCTAAATGCAATAAAGCCGTTTATCCTGTGCCTCGTAGAGCTTGCAGAATTCATGTCCCCGGTTGAATTGACCCTGTACGCGGGCTTCTTTGGGAATACAAAAGGCTCAAACTCATCCAGAAGCTGTTGGAGGTGTGGCGATGGCTTTGGGATGACAGGCCGGTTCAAAGAGTAAAATGCCACTGAAGGTTCAAGGCTGACAGTTCCTTGCTCGCTTTTCCCCATGATATGCTGTGCTAGTAACCCTAATCAAAATATGCGGGGATAATATTCCAATATCTCGATGGTGATTATTTGCTCCCTCTTATATTTAATGTTCCAGAATCGGGGTTCTCTGGAAAGTTTGATTAAGGTGTGTTTCCAATATTGACCGATAGATGTTCAAAAACGCATTAATTATTTGCATATGCATGACTGCATGACATATCTACGGCAAACGTCTATCAAGGAAGCAGGGTCAGGCTGACAGCCGACTACCCTACAGATGTGTCTCAGTTCAAACCCAATTAGGAAAGCAAAGAAGATATGAATCTTAATTCTTTTTGGCTAAATTTGATCAAGTAGAGGTCTCAAGATGTCTGATATGTTAGCAGATTTATCTTTGCGCCTTTATGAAGTTAATTGTCAGTAGCTGTCTGTATGCTCTTCAAAATTGCTCGCAGGACTTACCTTTGATTTGATACCCTGTTTTTGTTAGTTAGATAATTTTTTCTCGTCAATTTTCAGGAAAAAAAATAATAACTACCAATTGCGAACTTGGGAGTAAGAAAACCCCGTCTTCTCCATCAAGTGATGTACAATCTCATTAGAAAGATAGGGCTTGTCAATGTTACATTGGTACCTGTCCAGTTAGTAAATGCGAATTACCTTTGTTTTTTCAAAATGCTGGACGTACCATTCCTTGAGGATTTTAACGGAGCTAGCTGGGAGCCTTCTCCCTCTTTGCGATATGTATGTCCCGTCACTATTTGCAGCCATACTCGGGGTCAGCATGTCAAAGACTAGCTGAGGCTGAATCCCAGTTGACGGTTCCATCGCTTCATCCGACTTAGTTTCCTCTATGATGGTCTCAACTGCTCTCTTCAAGGCCCTACTTTCAGTAAGTAAAAACAAAATGCAGTTGGAAAGCCTATTGATATTTGATAAGATCAACCTCTCTTGCGTGCTGATGACTGTTTTTCTGCTCAAATGAGACAATAACTGAATAGTTAGAGATCCATGCTAGGGAAATGATTAATGTAATACACTCACCGTCATCTGTTCGTACAATTCCTCTTCCACAACAGGCAAGTTATCTTTGTGCGAAGATGCACCTGTCAAGGCCGAAATAAGATCTTCTAGATACCGCTCTAAGGCATGCATACTTCTTCTAGGTTAGATAAGTTCAACTAGTAGAACAGTAAGCAAACTAGTACATTACCTTTCGTACTCTTCACTTTGATCTTCCTCTTTCATGATTACTGCAGCTGAACAAGTATTCCCCTTATTGAGCAGGTACTTGATAGAGCAGCGCACGAAATCATTATATGTTCCATCTATCACTCGCATTTGAGAGTTGAAGGATTCGTTTTTGTTTCAGGGGAGGACAAGGAGGTGAGTGACAGAGGATAATTTGATGAGTACAGGCCAGGCGGAGATTGGCAAAGCTGTAGGTATGATTTATGGCATATGCATAAATTGACCTCAAACTTTAAACAGTTATGCATGGCCAGAATCGGAATATTATGTATGTATCAGGCCTCTATTGCGTGGAAACAACAAATCAACTCATCATTTTGCTGCAATTGGTTTTGTCCCGTGTAGTCAAATGCAGACATATCGTTTCTTCTGCGTTGACATGCGAAGCGAAAATTACGAAACCATTAAACTTTCATGGATGTGACAGGTCACTAATCTGGCATGTACCCCTAACACTCATGAAGCAAAAATCTACATGTTTCAATTCGCAAAACTTGCGACCTAAGTGTGGGGCAGCAGAAATTTGGTTGTACAAGAAGTCTAGTTAGATCGTTTATAACGGCATCGCTAAGTTTGGGGGCGTTTAATTTTATATCTAATGTTGCGCTAGAGAGCGGGGTTATCTCAAAAAAGACTTAATATCATGAGAGCGTCAAAGAGGCTGCAAAATTCATTAGACGAGATGCACGTCATAACTACATTTTCGATTAGGCAAATTCATGCATTATCATGTCGTCCCGTAGATCATCAAATGCGGTTGAATCATGGTATTTAGGGACCAATGACTCGTCCATATTCAGGGGGACCTGGACTGAGTCCAAATGCCAAGTGGGGGTATTTTAGCACCCCGGACAAAACCGGGAGATGCACACCAGGCTTTCTCCAACCCGACATTTTCCTGCACACGACGGCATTATTAATTTTTTCTTACCCATTTGTCCATGCTTATCAGCAAATTATTGAACCAGTTTCTCGATAAAAGTTCTGTTCTTTTCTTCACAGCATGACGAAGCAACCAATCAAACTGGAACTGAACGTGGAAACGTCCGACGATTCCACTGTGGAATATGAGCGTGTCAAACCGAGCAAGGTTATCTACCCGTAAGTGCGATCTAAACAGAATGAACTGTCCTGGAAAACAGAGAAACCTTTGTTACTAACAGCGATCACCCAGATTTTGGTATGGTGGTATGTGCAATTGAAAAATGTGCGGATTCGATTTTCATTATTTGAACTCTTACTAACCATCTCAGGTGCCGCTTCCATGTTTGCATGTTTCTTCACACACCCTCTTGATCTCGCCAAAGTCAGATTACAGACTGCTGAGAAGCCTGGTGACAACTTGGTTACCATGGCAGTCAAGATTGTGAAGAATGAGGGACCCTTAAAAGCATACTCGGGTCTCACTGCCTCCCTTCTCAGACAAGCCACCTACTCTACTGCCAGATTCGGTGTCTACGAGGAGTTGAAGGAGTATCTTTCCAGCGATCCTTCAGCCCCACCATCTACCATTGCCCTCCTCGGCTGTTCCATGGTTGCTGGTGCTGTGGGTGGTTTGGTTGGTAACCCATCGGATATTGTTAATATTAGAATGCAAAACGATTCTTCCTTGCCAATCGAGCAGAGAAGAAACTACAGAAATGCCTTTCATGGTCTCTTCAGAATCACAAAAGAGGAGGGTCTTGGTGCTTTGTTTAGAGGTATTGGACCCAATCTTGTGAGAGGAATTCTCATGACAGCTTCGCAGGTTGTTTCGTACGATATCGCTAAGGGCGTTTTGGTCAACTCATTAAAAATGGACGAAAAGAGCAAGACTACCCATTTCAGTGCTTCTCTCTTTGCGGGTCTGGTTGCTACAACCGTGTGTTCTCCAGCAGACGTGGTTAAAACTCGTGTCATGAATAGTTCTGGTGGAAACAAAGGTGCTCTGGCAATCATTGTTGATGCTGTCAAATCCGAGGGACCAGGATTCATGTTCAGAGGTTGGACTCCTGCTTTCATCAGACTTGGTCCTCACACCATCCTCACCTTCCTGGCTCTGGAGCAACTCAGGAAATACAAGATTGGTATTTGAAAAGCTAAAGCTTTGCTGCACAATCTGGCTTATTTATTATAGATATTTATAGAACCACTGAATGAATTGGACTATTGTCTAAATTATGGATTTTGTGATAAATTTGAATTTTTCATCAATGCGTAATCCTCGTCGTGTACGATGCAAATATGCACTCTTATCGTTTTCGAAAGTTATTTTTTGTTAACCTTTCTTGTCTTTGTGTTCATGTTGATGGTTTCGATCAATGCTTCAATCGGTATCACGTTCAGGCCTGATTGAAGATCTTGGATTTGACACACCCAGTGTGATAGGCACCTTGAGGGGCCACAATGCTACGATTACATGTCTTACTCCGGTGTACATGCCCTCGCACATTTCATATGGTACTGGTGACGATACCCATAGACTGTTGACTACCACTTTGATTTCTGCAGATTCACAAGGATGGCTCATATGGTGGGATCTGTCGACGCGAAGACCATTGGGTGTTTGGAGAGGCCATAAAGAAAAGGTGACCACCTTGATTCAACTTGGACTGGAATGGGTATCCGATGCAGAGTCCACCACCGCTTCACCAAAGTTAGGAAACATGTATGGGAAAGTACTTAGTCATGGAAAAGATGGCGAGATGAAGATTTGGAGTCTCTTCGATTTGGAGAACGAGGTTGTGAAATTTACTGGTCGTTTGCAGAGAAGGCTACCACTCATGACGGACGACAATCAAGAACAAATTGACAAATTATGGCCAACTCCACCTGTATTTTACGAGCTACCAGTCAACACTTTGAATTTCAGCAACGTGGCAATATTGGGAAATACGTTGATAACGCCAGCATCTATGGACTCCAACTCGTTCGACATCTATACGATCCCTTTACTCGATAGTGACAAGCTTCAGAGGCCGTACAGCAGTATCGAGCCTCTGGAGCTTCTGAGATATCAGAACCGGGAATTACCAAGAGAAACGGCTATTCCCGATTCTGAAAAAGGAAGAGACTTTGGGATCATCATGAGGATAGAATGGATCGATGAAACATGTTTTGCAGTAGGCTATGAGAGTGGCCATGTGATAACCTATGGAATAGTGAATGGCAAACTCACAATGGAGACACTCGATTGTTCTCACTACCCTAGTCCCATAATAGCATTGGTATACGATTCTGGCAGAGGCGTACTTCTTTCCTCCTCTTCCAACGACTTCATCAGCATCCAGACAATCCAGAGATCACGCGTGGTTATAGACGTTACGAAGACATCTAAGAAGTTCAAAACCCACCATAAAGGTATCGGTCATCTCACAATAAGACTGGATGGAATAGTCGGACTAATTACGTGGGACGGGTTCATGAGATGTTATGAGTACGACGATAATGGTGAAGAACCTCTCAAATTTGTGTTCAAGGTGAAGAAGCAAGCTCCCTCAGTTAATTTAAATGCCCTGAATAGATCACAGGACGACAAGACCGAGCAAGAAGACATCGGATCGTCCAAGACTCGTGCCATGTGTCTTGAGTTTTCCCAAGCTCAAAAGAGCTATGATGATTTGAAACAACAGGGGCTGTTGAAGTGGGACAACGGAATGAGCAAGATGCTGGTGAGACCCAGAGAACAAAGCAATCTGTCGCGAAAGTGGTTATTCACAGGTTATTCTGACGGCAGGATCACCACCCAGGACCTTCAATAGATTACAGATATGAGTGGTAGTGTAAATGTTAATCCAACGCCGCACTAATGTTGTTGACACGGAATCAGCTGGCTGACGTTCTTCAAGACCGAAAGCTGGCTTGTTCACTCAATCATCCTAAACCAACTCCCTCATTGTCAACCACAAAATGTTTTCGGCCCTTCAAAGATTTCAAGGAATATCCAGCAATGTCATAACGGCTGCCATTTGGATATCATTATTTGTTGCACTATCCTCATATGCCCAGTTGTACTTGAATGAGTTCAGGTCACTTCCCGCTGTTATAGATCACGTCAAAGCAGTCACGACTCTCAAATACAGCAGAGGTTTCGGCTCGAGAAACAGAGAGCCCAAAGAGAATTCAAGAATAGCATTTGATCTTACCGCCGACATCAGCGATTTATTCAACTGGAACACCAAGCAGGTCTTTGTGTATCTGACTGCTGAGTATGAGGGACAACCCTCTATTCCTGCCAACAAAGTCACATTCTGGAATAAAATCATCACGAAAAAAGAAGACGCGGTTTTGAATCTACAGAAAGAGCGTTCGTCGTTTTCTGTGTGGGATGTGGAAGACTCCTTTCGTCAGAGAAATGCATCTCTGAAGCTGGAATGGAATATCCAACCTCACGTTGGGTTACTGCTATGGGGAGAGAACAAAGGAAGCTATGAGTTGACCTTTCCTGAGGTGAAAGGCTCATCGAGTGCATCTACATAGACCGGCGATTTTGGTAAGATTTAGTGTACATCCATATACAATGGTGTGTAACTGTGTCATGCGAAACGTTAGTCAGTAGAAACAACGCAGTCGTTGAATGTGAATAGACGGTCGCAATTTCGTGAAATTTCGTTAGTAAACTTTTGTCAATTGGAGACATCACCTTCCAAATACCGTTCATAACCGAGGGTCTTGAGCGGTTTCCAGTACGCAGAAGGTGGTTGCCATTCTCTCCTCTCTCTGAAGTATTTGAGTATCCTATATCGGGAAACTAGTCTTGAGGTCTCAGCTTCTCTGTCATTGCGATTGGGGTAGTGCTTGCAAAGATGATCGTCCACGCATCTGATCATATGGTTGAAATTGAGTCTAGTAAGACGTAAAGCCACTTGAGAAGGGCTCTGGGGCACAATTCCTTTCCTCTTCAATTTTCTCTGACTTTGAACTCTAATAAATCCTTCTGCAAGAAACTTGTCTGTGAACGCAATGGCATCCATGAGTGTTTCATCTCTATCGTACAGCAGTTTGACCGTCTCGTTGATGTTTTCATTCGTGATAAGGAAACCAGACTTCATCAGAGAATATAGCTCTGGGATAAGTTCGGTAGGTTTGCCGGAAGCAATTCTTTCATGGACTCGGTGCATCCAAATGGGGTTAATGGCAGATCGTATAAAGAGACCCGTCTTCTTTACATGTTCGCTCCCAAGGGCACCAATCATCCCGGAGTACCCGTCGACGTAGGCGTTGTAAGAAGACGCGAAGGCCTTCCAATTTTCACTTGCTCCATGAACATGGCAATAGAGCTCAAGAACTCGTAATTTAGACATGCTGTTGACTGTCAGCTTCTTCGAGAACATATCCAGAAAGTGCTCGGCCACCCGGAAGTCTCCAAATCTCGAAAGCTGGTGAACCACTGGTCTAATCAAAGATATAGGAGGATTTTTGCCTGAGTCACTTGCTGGATTTAGTGCAACCTCCAATATCCTCTTGGCTGTTTTCATATCTTGAACATTGAGGCCTCTGCCTGCATCAAGTGCATTGATCACATATGCATATACCTGCATGTTTCCCGGAATTTTGTCAGCCTGCATGGTTTTGTATAATTCCAGCACAAAGCTGTATTTTTCAGCCTGGAGTAATCCTTTCATCAAAGCAGCATAATGGGAAGCGTTGATGGGTGGTACGTTTGGATCCTGTCTGAAAGTATCGAGACTAGTGTAGATGGAATTTATGTTGGCTTCGGTTCGACCAATAAATTGGAGCACGAGCTCAGATGTCATATGGTTGAACCGAACTTTGCGCTTGCTCATTCGCTTGTAGACATCATTGAACTCATCAATTTCGCCTAACTCCAATGCTACCTCTAATCTCAGGTTGTAGAATTGGGTAGAATGGACTGTTCCATACATTCCTTCGACCACAGCTAGTTGTTTGAGCAACTCGTCGTTCTTTTTGGCAACCTTCAGAGCCCTGAGATAAACCACCATCACCTCCAAAGAAGGCTCAACTTTCATCCAATCTTTGACGTACAGTTCTATGGCATTTTGAACCCCTCTGTAGTCGCCAAGTCTCATCAGAGTCTTCAAGTATGGAATAACCAGTCTCGGTTCCAGAGTCTGGCCAGATGACCGCAGCTGATTCAAGAGAGCCACTGGAGTGGTCAAGTCATCCAAGTGGCTGAGGGAATCTAGTAGATAGTAGCAACTTCCCACATCCTGAGGTACCTTAAAACGATTGTAGTAAGCAAAGAATTCAAACGCACGGTTGTAGTTTTTCGACATGATAGCTGCCTTCATGAGTGACGCAAGCATTGCTGGAGTTGGTTTCCTCTTTGTTTTCAAAAACTGTGAGAACAAGAGCTCGACTGTTTTCAGATCTCCTCTTTTACCTAGCGCATTCATCACAACTCCATATTGAATATCGCTAGGTGGAATACCTTCTGATTGCATCTTCTCAAACATCGCCTGCAATAGTTCAAAGTTTTGGGTGGAAGCGAGCACTTGGATCATGATGGTGCTATTTACAGTGTTGTGCAAATGAGGGCATTGCTGATACAGCTTCAAAGCTGCTTTATCCTGGTCCAGGAGATGATATGCCTCCAGACCGGTATTTAGATCCAAGGCTGACAATTCTAGATCATTTGCAAGCTTGAACTCGATCACAGGTATGGCCTTCTTGTACAAGCCTTCCTTCAGGTAGTTGAAAATCAACGTTGAGAGAAAATCACCCAGATGAGTCTTATCCAGTAATAAAGACTTGGAGAACTGGACAACTTTGACAGGGTTTGAGTTTTGGGGGATCATCCACAGCACCATTCTGAACTGTCTCATAACAGTGGAAGAGTACCCTGTCTCATGCACGTTCAAATGCCCATACTCCTGCAAACACATCTGGGTCCATTGCTGGAAAGCGTCTAGGTGGTCTTTCCGTGCAAGGCAGTCTTTCAGAAGTGTGTCATAAAAATGAGCACGAAAATCTCGAGACTGAATGCAGGAGACATAATTCCTGAGGAAACCCTGGGGTAACATTTTGTGGTGAAGATTCCAGTACTTCACGACAGCGTTACTTATCGACGGATATCTGAAGTGCTTGGAGGTCCGCAGAATACTCAATTGGCTGGTTTTGTCATGTTCTAGACAAATAACAGTAATCCATTGAAATAGGCGAGTCACAATACTCTGGAACTGATTGTTCTTCTCGACAACGTTGATTTTGGATACAAGCAGTTTGAGCGCAGTATCACTGAACTGGCGTGAACTAATGTATAAGGCTAGGTCCTTGAGTACAGAAACTTTTGTAGACTCTGATTTCGAACAGGCAAGTTCCTGAGCTATTCTCTCACCTTCATCGATCAACAATAGTCCAGTCAAATATTCATTCTCTTGTAAGGACTCAACTGACATTGGTTGAGCCGTGCTTCTTTCAGCTGGGTGTGAGCTTTCTTTATTATCATCCACAACATTAAAATTAGCATCATCGTCTCCAACTATCTCTGATAGACCAAAAGAAACCCCATCGTCTATCGTGCCAGCATTCTCCGAACCAACACCCGACTTCTCATTCAGAACAGCAAAGTTATCGTGAAAGTACTCAGCCTGGGACTTCGAAAAATCTCGGGAAAATATCACGTTTAGTATCGAATCGCTCGCTCGCTGGAGTATCGTATGACTTCTTCTCTTTCTGTTTGGCAGTGTGACCGATCTCGGTTGCGCAAGAGGAAGCAAAGAATTCTTCAGCCAAATAGCACCAGCAGTGCCATGAAGCGACTGCCTACACCATGCCAATAGTTCTTCCCGTCGCTGGAGGCCCACGAGAAGCCTGTGTTTCTCGAACGAAGCCCTCAGACTCATGGCGCCGGCGACTAATGGTGCAATATAGGTGCAAATGTCCCAGTCTGGGCGGATTCACCAAGCCACTATATACAAAAGGGGTAATAAGGCAACCAAAAGAAGCTCGCTTAATTCGACAAGGCCAAATAAGACTGAAGCTGAGAGTCTTGTTAGGATCTTTTCGTCTTGGGAATGAGGTACTGGTGTGTCCACCTCAATCACGTGATTTTTCAAAAAAAAAAGTTAGCATAATGATAACAGAGGGTAGAACATTTGGTGTGCATTTGACCCTGTTTTTGAGGACATACAAATCGAGGCTTCTTTTATTGAAATAAATACAATTCCAATATGGCAAGAACTAATCAGAGTCACGGCCAGAGGCCAAAGAAGATATACGACAGAGAGACAAAGTGTACGTATGATGCGGTAACGGTTTGCTCTGCATGAGATGTGCTAACTTTCAAACTAGCGAGTGATATAAAAAGGTCTCTGACACACAAATCGAACCTACGAAAGAACTACTTTAAACTTCTCGAAAGGGAAGGAGAACAGTTACCTGAAAGAGACCAAGAGCAGGCAAGCGAAAGTAAGCCTACTTTGACATACCAAGAACGTGCCAAGTTGGCCCGTGAGCGCAAAGAAAGGAAGCGTCAGGACAAAATTGAAACTACAAAGAGAAACCTCCAGGATGCGAAGAGGAAGAGGATAGAAAGGGAACAGAAAAAGGAGAAACTCTTGAAGGCAAAGACTAAGACCGGGCAGCCTCTAATGGGACCCAGGATATCGAATCTACTAGAGAAGATCAAGAAGGATCTCTAAGAGAACCTAAGTCAGTCATTTTTCGCCCAATTAAATCACCGAAGCGTATTTTGTATAATGATCATACCTCACTGAATAATAATTCTCTTGCGTCTGGTATCTGAGTTGGTCCTGCAATGAGGTCCTATCCTCTTCTCTGTCAAACACCCAGTACTTTGGGGGATGGATTGGCGTAGACGAATATACCCTCACTTCTCCATCAACACCACATGCCAGGAACCGCCGGTCCACGTACGACTTGGATGATTCTAGTTCCATGTCATCCTTATCGAACTGCGGTTCCGGCTCACTTTGATGTTCTTTGTACCAAAGAGGCTTAAAAGTACACTTTTCCAGTCTAGGAATGAAAGGTAACGAGGTAGTGAAATCGGGTTGCAGCAAGTCACCGTCGCGAGTCAGAGCAGTGATTGTTGAATGAACCTTGTCAGCAACCACAACCATTTGATCTGCTTCAAACGACAACGCCTTTGACATCACCTGCCTTGAAGTGGTATCCCCCGCAACCTTCTCGAAAGTACCAGCTCTTGGGGTCCAATGGAACAGAACCACGGAATCATCCTCCAGCGAGATCAGGATCTCCTCTCTTTCATTGACTGTGATACCAATCACATTGGAAGTGAACTTCTGCTTATCGAAGGAACGGACCATTCTTTTGGTCTGAGAGTTGTAATGGAAGATGAAAAGTTGCTTTCCGCAAGAGTAAATGATTTCACCACTATTGGGAATTTGAGCGATTGCAGTAACCGGACCCTCAGAACACTTCCAAGAAGTCAAATGAGTTACCATCACAAAATCGTGGCTCTTTTTGGAATCTTCGTCTTCAGAGACATCAAATTGTCTGGAGTTCTTGATTCTTCTGATATCAACTACCTTCACCATGCCTGTATTTGCTCCGATGACTTCACATCCAATCACCAGATGAACGTGAGTACCTGTGATAACACCATCGTCATCAGTAACCAATTGGTCCCATTGGCTCATACACCGAGGATTCTCGTCAAGTTCAAAAAGCCCATTAGGCGATCTTTCATCTCCCGTGAACGAACCATTCATAACTGCCTGAGTTACATGGTCCACAAATAAGAGCTTTTCAATGCTATCACCACGATTTCTTTCCTGTGGAGTCAAAATAACAAATATTCCCCATAGAGGCATGTACATCACCTTTGAGCCTCCAGTTTTGAGTCTTATTTGTTTGGAGAATGTGGATTGGTAGTTGTCCACACTCAACAGCTCGATAACACCTCTGCTTCTAACAGTCAGCAATGATCCATGAAGCGAGTAATGGTCTGCGTTGAAAAATACACCATTGTATGTACTCTTGCTGAATCTTTCCTGAATCACCACCGGCAATGGAAGAAGCGTTGAAGAGAGCTCAAACTTCCAGATGTTGCGAGAAATGGCATACACAACTTGAGAACCGGTATCCACAAATTCAACAGCTTTATCTCCTAGCTGAAAACTTTGAACGTCGACTATCACGAACTTCCCCTCAATAGGTGTGAACCGAACCAAACAGGCAAATCCGTTTCGGGACCCGATCACCAGTTCACCCGAAGAGGGACCTTCCACACCAAGCAGTGGGATATCCTCAACATCAATATGGTCAATGCTCTCACGATCACGAAAATGAGACTCATCAAGTCCGGTCACAGGCTGCGATATCTGCCTGTCATGTTCTCTTCTAATCATCTCGTGTCTCGGAAAGACTCCCTTGCAGGTGCCGTATTCGTGAACATATGCATCACTTGGTATTTTGAAACCTCGCTGTGACACCGTGGAACCATTACTGATCAGTGTGGGAATATCTAGCCTTTGAATAGAAATCATGGCCTTCTCAGTCTCATTCACCTGAAACACCAAGACATTATCCTCATAGTTACCGATCACTATGAAAGGTTCTCCACCGAACTGCAAAATTTTCATGAAAGACACATCGCCCAGCTGGCCATGACTAAGATTCAGCGTGTATGGCCTCAATGAATTCCCTTCCAACTTGAAAAGTTCAGTTCCGGGGCGCCTTTCGGAGGTTTCGTAATGTATGAGTAGAAACCCTTCGGCAGCGTGACACATGGTGATTGTGTAAGGAGTTTCAAACTCCTCCAGGTTTTCATAAGTATCGCTATCAAAAAGACGAATTCCATTTTCTGTTACCCAAACCACTCTATCTGAGGTTGAGCTGAAAGGCCCGCAGAATATGGTGGGCTTGTAAAGCGGATCTCCTTTGGGCCAGACAGGGAAGAACGAACCCAAATCAAACCGCATAATCTGAGACGACTCCACCGAGCAAAAACAGTAGTCTGTTGCTGAGACCTTGAACATCCTAGTCATAGGCTGGTTAGTGTCGTCGACGGTGTGTTTGGCAGCCTTGAAGCCTCTTTTCAAGTTCCAGAGCCCGGATTTAGAGCCGCATGAAGTAAGACACCACAATTCCTCATTCGTAGGCAAAGCTGCTGTCTTCAATTTTAAGGGAGGAACAGTTATGACATCAGAGACATTAGCCCAATTGGGATAGCTCTGCAGTTTTAATGCAGGCTTCAGCGAGCCTTTGCGGATCTCGCACAGCAGAGAAGCAGACGTCCCTGCAGAACACGCATAATCGAAAGTGTACATATCATCAGCGATTTCCAGACTAAACGCAGCAAACGGCTTGTAAAACTTGAATAGTTTGGTGGATCGTATGCTCCAATCGGATCTGCCGGTGTTGAGGAACACCTCCACCGCAAACACCTGTCCCTGCGAATCGGCTATGAGAATTTGGTCCATTCGCACTAGCGAATCAATGGGATATTCCAGGCCTTCTGCCGGAATAGGCGTTCTGGGAACATGATACGAAACAGGATGAGGAACTTCGTCATCAGCGCCATATTCGTAGAGGCCCGTCCAGACGTTGTCCTTACCACCATGGGATATCAGGAAGCTTACCCCCATGAACGTCACGACATTTTTGGTGACATATAAGAAGCCCTGAGTGTTCTTGAGAGGAACCATGAAGTAAGGGATTTCAGTCTGATTGTTGAGCAAAACAGGGGAAAAAGCGGTCTCCACCTTTTCGAATGGAGCATCAGCATACAGTTCCAGCAATCGCAGACTCAGGATGGACGAATTGTTCGGCTGGTATAGTACGGCAAACATGGCATGGGTCAGCAACTTGTCGTCTATTGGCTCAATGAAACAGTAGTCCACAATCGTTCCATTGACATCGTAGTTGAAGTATTTCTCGACCGGCGAGTCTATGCCCAGCTTGGTGGAGATGCGATGGAACCTAATGAGTCCCTCGTAGGACGTTGATGCAAAAATCAGACCATTTGAATGGGCCAAGACGTCCCGACCTATATCATTAGTCCTTGGTCTGAAACTTACCGGAAATTTGAACCCATCGGGTGCACCAGCCTTTATCATCGTATGTGGAGTCTGCCACAATTGGTCTATCACGCTGAAATGATAGTCGTTTTCAAAATTCTCGTTGGAAATAACCTTCAGAATGAACAATTGACCAGTGGACAATGTCACCAGCAGTCGGTCCGAGTGTTCATCGTAGGGCAGAACAGCCGTTGATCTGATGTTGCAGTTGAACTGGATCTGGTGATCTGGGTTATCCAAGCTAATGCTGGTGGGTCTCACGTGCACCATTATTTCCGTATGGTCTTCGGGTGTGTGCTGGTCTTCCAATCTGGAGTCTTCGTCGTTTTCCTGGATATCTTGTGCCTCGCCAGAAGTGCCTCTTTCCGTGGTCATCTTGATCAGCTCGTCCAAGTCTTCGTCATCAAAGGGATCTAGCGAGTCGGTCGGAGGCCTCAAATGACCATCCCAAGTCTGAGTCTCAAAATATCTTGAGCGATAGTTGATGATTGCCGTGTATATATCTTCGTCGCGTGGCGTTCGCCGCCGCTGTGTCTTGGGCACCTTGAAGCCTTGGATGAACCTCACGATCATGGGTGACGGTATCTTCGTCTCCTCCACGTATGTGGCACCCTTTCTGGTTGTGAAGATCATGACTATAATATCGTAGCAAAAATATGCCAAAACAAACGGTCCGTTATCTTGCCCAGACGGCTAGATCTCGCTACAACAAAGAAACACGCGAAACAACGGAGATGGCTATCTCAAAGATAGTGTGCCCCATACAAATCCGTGGGGAGGGCCATGGGCTTGGTGAGCCTTAACAAGACGTTTCTTTACTTTGTCTCGTCTTGTTATCCGACTTATTCCATCCAATAATGTCGCAGGGCTATCAAAATTTGGTATGTTTGAATGAGAATAATTGATTAAATCGTTTACATATTTTGGATTGCATACTAATCCTCTCCAGGACTCGAACCCTTTTGACGATGACGATATCCAACCGGATGGTGAGTGCCTTGTTCTGCCAATGTCACACCTCTTGCATGTTTAATTAACAGATTTAGTTGTCTACAACCCTCCGTCCGAGCCACAGACGCAATATACAGCCCCGAGTGCTCGTCAGAAGCAAAAATTCGAGGGGGGCTTGTTCACCTTGAACCACTACAGACAGTACTTTGACCTAACGACCGCAGAGTTTTTCCACAACTGTCTGTATTCGATAAATCCCATAGTGAGACTTACGGATGATGAGATTGACTCTGTTGGAGATCTCTACGGTGCAATCTGGATCACTGGCACCATCATCTTCTTGCTGTTTTTCAGCAATACTCTCGCCGATCTCATTGGAGAGTGGATCAAGCACAAATACAACCCGGATGCAAACTATTTCCAGTTGTTGCTCTTTTCGATTAACTTGCTTTACGGCTACATTATAGTTGTACCTGTGATTCTCTATGCGGTACTTAGATTCTACTTGAAGGTGCCAAGACTCATACATTGCTCGAGATTGATCTCAATATATGGGTATTCCAACCTTTCTTGGATTCCCGCAGCATTCTTGAGCATTCTCAGAGGCTTTCTGGCCAATCATTCGACACTAAGCACCATACTGAGATGGGTTCTGATCGCAATAGGCGGACTTTTCAGCGGCCTCAATATCGTCTGGAAGATCAACTCTTATTTAAGCGCAACTTTGGAAGGGAACAAGGAGAAGTATACGTTACTGGTGTTTCTGGGACTAGTGCACGCCGGGTTCATGATAGCAGTCAAGGTGTCTTTCTTCGGGGCATTATACTAGAAAGGACTTGCCCCAGGATCTTCATAAAATAGTGTACAACTCAATAGATCACGTGATAACCCTTGATGAGAAAAAATCTTCGACACCTCTTGAGTTTTTGAAGTTTTCTGCATTTCTTTCTCCCATGTTTTTTTTTCTTCTTTTCTTCTCAAGACTTTGAAAGGCCTTGTTATATGCTAATGGTTATGTGTTTCAATTGAACAACGTCAACAAAATGGTATGTTCTCGTCTTATCCTTCTTTTCTTTCTTGAACCACATCCACCTCCAAACTGCTTCCGCGAATACATCTCGCTATGATTATTTGCAATACCAATTGTTCCTACTGATTCACATATGTAGACAATAGGCACTATCGTTAAGTTTCAGCCTTGTATGAGCCTTTTTTCGTGGAACAGCGGGATTTGTCAAGAGAAGGGAATTCAAGTTGTCATCAATATACTAACCTTTGCCTTAAGTATGTGAACTGGAATTTCAGCTGGCCTCCTTGTGTATGCTACCCCTCATGGTTCTATTGATGATAATTTTGTCGACCGGGCGGACATATTCTCCTTCTGGTCACTGGTTCGTCCAGTAGTCGCACCTCTGTGTACAATTTTGAGGTGTTGATCAGGGGAGCTGATGATCGGTCTTTTTCTGAAACTTCATGGGGTAGAGATGCACATCGGCTATTTTCGAGGCTCTCTTTGGTACTAACAGAATTCCGAACAGGTTTAAGAAAACGGTTGAATCCATTGAGTTTTTTGTGGACATTCATTTGGCCACTGCAAAACATGATTCTTCTTTGTTGAGGTGCTTAGTTGAAACGCGTAATTGTTACCAACGAAATTGTTAAATGATGATCAACTTTTACGATATTCACACTGTACGAGAATTCACGTTCAATGACTTATCAAAAAAATACTGATTTAATGACTCTGATAGCAATTTCGTTAGCCTATAATGAAATCAAAATAGCCAAACCTACAATAGTAGTCAAAAAGATAAAATAAAAGCAACTTGTTTCATTAGACAAAATCATTATCGTTAGCCGGGCCAGGCTTAGAACACCCGTTGATTCCTTAAAGGGTTCGGATATCGGGTCTCGCGGCCGAGCAATTCACACCACTTCACGCCATTTTCACCAATCTATGGCCAATTGGCTTGGAAGATCTTTGAACTCCTCAAAGTAATTTCCCTTGTAAAATAGCTCAAAGTCATCCAAATATTTGCTCGTGGGAGTTCCCACTCCTCGCTTGGCTTTCTGCCGTATCGTGCCCGTATATCTCGGCAGAGGCCTTTTGATCTGGACGGCTATCTTTTCCGGCTTTTCGCGCACCTCCGATTTTGTCTGGCCAGACACCTTGGAAAACAAGCTCGTTGAGTTGGAGTTGGAATTTGTGACTGATTCGGAGGACTGGGCCAACTTCTGTTTTTTTGCCATGGTGTTGAAGAGCTTGTTGGAGATATCCTTGTCGAGCTGCTCGTAGTAGGGCTTGGCCTTGGAGATCGAGAACAAGTCCTCTATGTCCTCTACGGAATAGGTGAAAATTTCCCGCTCCAGAAACTTCCGTTTGGACGTCTTGTCCATCTTGAAAATATGCAAAATAACGACAGCAATGGACGCCAGTTGCAAAACGATGGAAAAAAATGAACGCGGAAAGAACCAAATATATAAATATATATCCAAAGATAAGCTGCAATGGAATTGCGCCATCCCACTCCCAAAGGGCTAAGGTCACAAGTTTGGATGGGGGGAGCGAAGATAAGATAAGCTGGCCGACTCTTTTGGGCGGCAACAACCCGACGTTCGAGATTGAGATTGGGCAATCGGAGTTGCTGTAAATGGACTAAATTAGACTCTTCTAAAGTTAATTGGAGAGTAATAAATTTGAAAACAGATTTACATTAGATCGAGAAATATAGATTCATCCTTGTTTATTCGCGCTTGTTGTTTCTGAAACACCAGATCACACAATAACGCCATTCGGCAACGCCGATGCGGAAAAAAGGCAGCGAAAAATGTGTCAACATGGCCGAGTGTTCAGACGGCACTGGCCGGTATGGCAGCCAAAATGATGCGACTTGTGCATATGTAGTCAATCTTCAGACGTGCCAGGTTTCAAAAACCATCAATAAATTTCGTTAGAATTTGTTTTAAATTTAATTGTTGCCAAAAGATCCTGAAAAAAATTGTTAAAAAATCGTTAAAAAATCGTTAAAAGCTCGTAAGCTCCATCCCAGCGTTACTACGTGCTCTCCGCACCGTGTCTGTCCCTGCCACTGCTCGGTAAGGGCACAGTTTCATCTTGACTTCGGTCATCTGCAGTTTGCTCATCCGAGTTTAGGAGGCTGTACATCTCGATTTCCTGTGCCGAAATCGGGTAGCCCTCGGGGATTCGGTTCGACTGGCCGTAGACAAACTTATTCCAGTCAGTCTGGCGTCGATTGCGAATTTTCGGCGTTTTTGTGTCATGGTCTTGAATTTCACGTCCCACCACTGCGTGCTTCTCCATTTCCTTATCGCCGCTCTCTATATCGGCTATCCACTCCCAGATCAACGAGGCACTGAGTATCTCCAGCAAATCATACAGCATCAACGCCCACGTATTGATACTACTCGAGACTTTCCAGACCAAGAAGATCGGCAATGTAGCCAATGAGACCGTGGCTACGGTCAACACTAATGGCAGACTCTGCGAATTGTAGGCACTTTTGAATCTTCTGACCGTGTACTGGATAACCAGTATCCAGAACGGAATGTACACCAGCACGTGACTCACTATTTCAGCAATGGAAAGTCCGTATAGAGTTTTATCCTGGGAGCCGTAATGGGTAAAGTAATCCACTCCAGTGAGGACTATGTTGACCAGACAGAGTATGGCCAGGCATAAAAGCACCAATCGCGAGGATCTGTATCCTGAAATCACTTGTTTTTGCCACGCAGATCCCTCACCTGCCATCTTATATCCTATTTGCAGCCATGAGATCCAAATCCCGATCTTGACCACATAGTTGGTGACCCTAAATGGCAACCCCGAGAGTATTACCACATCAAACTCACTGACGTCCTGGTACATCCCTGAAAACTGGTCGTCCAAAAGATGCGAGGTTCGCGTCAACGTGACAGTAGAACAAATGGCATATAACAGTGTGACAAGCGTTAAAGTCAAAGGCTTTCGGTTGACAGAGAATATGTGGGTGGTAACAATCAACCAAGCAGCCACGGTGACTGAACTCAGCACAAAACAGGCAGCAACAACCCCATTGGGATACGAATCCACCTGCTGTCCAAAGACGTCTTGACTTGATATAAAATCAAGAATTTCTTCCATATAGTACTCTATCTGATCGCTCGAACAGTTTGTGAAATAAAGTCCGAAGTTGTATAGGTTGTAGGATGTGTTTGTACCCAATCTAGTGATCTCAAGTTCACCCGGAGGAACAGCATACGTGCTGCAACCATCAATAAGGAGGTTGTCAATATTTTTTCGCACCATCAACATCTTCCGCAGAATGATAACTGGTTTTGGAGGTAGGAATAAAGAAGGTTCAACCCGAACTTTTCATCTCCTTGGCCTCTGCGCCTCCTGCAGTGCATGGGTCGTGTATCAATCGTGTGCGGCTGAACTAGGCTACTTCCAAACGGCGAAGTGGTTGATTGACAACTTGTTTTCTTCTAGAAACATGCTCTAGACCACGAAAGCCTGGATCTCATATTGATTAGACTATGGCTCTATTTCTGTTCTCCTAGCTTTGGCAACTTTCTTTGGATACGCGTTGCTTTTGCGGTAGCCTGTAGCCGCATGTGCCCTCTAGGCCTCTAGGCTATATAGCCGTCCCCAAGGACTATTTATACTGGCAGCAATACTTCCACAATGACCTTTCTGGTTTGGTTTTTGGTTGTATGAATATCGCAATGTCTACGAGTCTTGATTTTCTCAAGGAATCGGGTACCGTTGTTGTGACGGACACTGGCGAGTTCCCGCGTAAGTGTTGTTGAAGCGTTTCATCAAACATGTCACTAACAACTTTCAGTGATTGCTAAATATACCCCTCAGGATGCAACCACCAATCCTTCTTTAATTCTTGCTGCAGCGAAGAAGCCAGAATACACAAAACTGATCGATGTAGCTATCACCTACGGGATATCCAAAGGATCAGGTATTGACCACCAGGTTGATCTCGCAATGGATCGCCTTCTGGTTGAATTTGGCAAAGAGATACTCCAAATCATTCCGGGGCGTGTCTCCACTGAGGTTGATGCTCGACTTTCGTTTGATACTGATGCCACCATAAAGAAGGCACTGGAGCTGATTGCTATTTACGAATCTGTGGGTGTTCCCAAGGAACGAGTTCTCATCAAAATCGCATCCACGTGGGAGGGAATTCAGGCAGCCAAAATCCTGGAGGAGGTCTACGATATCCATTGCAACCTGACCCTGCTGTTTTCGTTTGTTCAAGCAGTGGCCTGTGCTGAAGCCAATGTGACTCTGATATCGCCATTCGTTGGTCGTATCCTGGACTGGTACAAGGCAAAGACAGGCAAAAGCTATGAGGCCTCTGAAGATCCCGGAGTGCAGTCTGTCAGCGAAATCTTTTCGTACTACAAAAAGTTTGGGTATTCCACCATCGTCATGGGTGCTTCATTCAGAAACGTTGGTGAAATCAAGGCTCTGGCCGGTTGTGATTATCTCACCATCTCGCCCAAGCTTTTGGAGGATATGATCCAATCCAGTGATAAAGTCCCTAAAATCCTGAATGCTAGAGACGCCGCAAAGGCCGATGTGGAGAAGATTTCCGTGGTCAACGACGAGTCAAAGTTCAGACTGATGCTTAACGACAACGCCATGGCCACGGAGAAGTTATCCGAGGGAATAAGGGGCTTTTGCAAAGACTACAACACGCTTCTAGATTTGCTGAAGAAGAGAATAACCTCGTCAAAGTTGTGAGCTGGAAACGTGGCATGGAATATATTGTATTGCGAGTTTTTCGTCTTCCCCAGGATTGGACATCATTACCCCTTTTGGATGTCCTGGTCAGGGAGGTATGATTCAACTTTTCACAGGTGGTTGAAACAAGAGATCTTCCCGGTGGTGCAACGTGTCGAGTCGATTGATTAAACGTGATTGAGACATTGGGCAGTACATATTCCAAAGTTCAGAAAATATAAGCTTATATAAAGAGAAATGTTTTTGTCAGCGAAAGTGTGCCCCATTTGCCGGTTTCCCCGGATCCGTGATGGGGACCGATAAGTTTCCACTACATAGTTAAGGTCCGAATAAGAGGATCCATCTCATTTCGGAGAGTGATCACCCTTTAGGGTGTCCACGATCATCGATCTTGACCGTTGTGAGTAAGCAAGACGTAACAGAGCAGCAATGAGGCTAGTTTTTGACTAAACTTTGGTCACTCCGGGGAATGCCAACTACCCCATTGGTGTCATTACTGACGTTCTTTTTCCTCCATCTTCTTGCCTCTCCATGCTGTGGAGAATCAAATCCTGATTGCAAAGGTTTACTGTCATCCACATTGCGTGCCACAAAACAAGAAACGTCCAGAGGTATAAAAAGGGCAGCGCCTGCCAATGACGGTGATTTAACCATGTTTTCCTTTACAACATCGATAACTGATACATTTATCTCTGTCGAATTATAACAATGGCTAACTCATTAGAACAATTGAAGGCTTCCGGTACTGTCGTCGTTACTGACACTGGTGAATTTGAAAGTAAGTGTGATTTACGAGGGGCCGCAATTTGCCGAAACTATGAACCGGCAATTGCGGTCCTGCTTTTTGATCTTTTAATGGTCGACTAACTGTTTGTCTTTTTTGCAGCAATTGCCAAGTACACCCCTCAGGATGCCACTACCAACCCATCGCTGATTCTTGCTGCTGCCAAGAAGCCAGAGTACGCCAAGTTGATTGACGTTGCTATTGCCTACGGTAAGGAGAACGGTTCCACCGACGAGGAGAAGGCCAACGCCGCTCTCGACAGATTGCTTGTTGAGTTCGGTAAGGAGATCTTGAAGATTGTTCCAGGCCGTGTGTCTACTGAGGTTGACGCTCGTCTTTCTTTCGACAAGGAGGCCACCGTCAAGAAGGCTTTGCAATTGATCAAGTTGTACGAGTCCGTTGGAATCAACAAGGACAGAATTCTGATCAAGGTTGCTTCTACCTGGGAGGGTATCCAGGCCGCCAGAGAGTTGGAGTCCAAGTACGGAATTCACTGTAACTTGACTCTTTTGTTCTCGTTCGTCCAGGCCGTTGCCTGTGCCGAGGCCAAGGTCACTCTGATCTCGCCATTTGTTGGTCGTATCTTGGATTGGTACAAGGCTAGCACCGGTGAGACTTACACCTCTGAAACTGACCCAGGTGTCCAGTCCGTGAGAAGAATCTTCAACTACTACAAGAAGTTCGGCTACAACACCATTGTGATGGGAGCTTCTTTCAGAAACGTTGGCGAAATCACCGCTCTTGCCGGTTGTGACTTCCTTACCATTGCTCCAAAGCTGTTGGAAGAGCTTTTCAACTCTGATGCTGCCGTTCCACAGGTGCTGAAGGCTGAGGATGCCGCCTCTGTCCAGGAGGAGAAGGTTTCTTTCGTCGACGACGAGGCTTTGTTCCGTTTCTTGCTGAATGAGGATGCTATGGCCACTGAGAAGCTTTCCCAGGGTATCAGAGGTTTCTCTGCTGACTGTGTCACCTTGGTCAAGGTCTTGGAGGAGAAGGTCAAGGCTTAAGTCTGTGTAATAATGACGTTCACCATCTGAAATTAAAGAAAATGAAGAGAGGCAATTGTAGAATTCTTGTAGACTTGGATATTCATTCAATTCCAATTGATACTTCGTAACTCATTAATCACAATCTGCACATCCCATCGTCCTTCTCTATCTAGACTGGCAGCCATGTCATGTCACTTTTTTATCTCTGCTATTTGGCCAAATCCACGACTTCTGATTTAAGCAAGTTGCTTGAAGCGATGACTTTATCTCGTTCCGCTTGGATCCCGGGGAGTTTCAAAACAGCCAAACTGGTTAGTCGCTGACAAAAAGGAAGATCGTTTGCATTGTTTGGATCTTATTACATCTGCCATGGTGGATAAGGTGTACGGAATGAGTGCCTCGGGAAGGGCTATCGGGTTGGAGATGGAGGAAGATGCCTGGTCCTACTCCTTCCCACCATCCACAGAATCTCTTCCCCTACGCACCACGATTGAGACGCGAAAACCAGCTGATCCAAACAATAAAGTAATGAATAAGACTGACGAAAATGGCAGTGGAATATTACCGGAGGCGATTGGCTTGAAAGCATCTACCGACTTCTACAGACTGAACGATAAAGCTGGCAGTGTGGACTCGCAAGGAAGCGACTTCTCGGTTGACTCTACTGCTGGAAACGACAGGTAAGTTTGATTTTGTTATATTTTGGCACTATTTTCATCAAATTGGAACTTTGTTTACTAACATGCACATATCAGTCTTAATGGCCACTCAGCCTCGTTAGCGAGTGAGCCCAAGCCCATCTTGGTCTCCGCAGAAAAGCCCCCGGTGTCCAAGCTATCAAGATCACATAGCTCCTCAAGATCAAGTGCAAGTAATCTGGCACCTTTGATTTCCTCCAAGTCTACTCCTGCTGACCCAGAGACCACCAGGAAGGACATCCATTCATCGAGCTTCCAGCAAAACTCTGCTTTCTTGAACCTTGATACTTCTTCAACGGCTCTTGAGCCAATTGTCTCAACCCCAGCAACACCAAACCAGTCTTCGTTTTTTGCCAGTTTCCGATCTGCAGCTCAATCGGCAGCTACGTCGTTCCAGGGGCTCTCCAGCCCCACCCAGGCCTCGTTGAAGGGCCACCAGAGGAACATATCCGATCTCAGCATAGACTCTGCAACTCCTTCAACTCCAGTGCCGGTCAGGTTTAACGAAACGATTCCCGAAGAGGAGGGCCAGTTGGTCCAAACTCCAGAGATGGTGAGTTATAGGCGAACCAGACGGAGGAAAAGCACTGCGACGTCGATATCATCCAAGGACGCAGTCAAGTCGCCTTCTTCAGCTACAAAGGATGAAAATACGCCCACAAAACAATCAGATTATGACAAAAATCTGTATATTGACGAGAGGTTCCTGGATACTCAGTACAGATTCGCGACGCTCAAGAGGAATTCCGACTTTCACGAGCTATTCAAGGACATCCCCCAAGAAGACAGACTGTTGGATGACTTCAGCTGTGCATTGAGCAGAGACTTGCTGCTTCAGGGAAGACTGTATGTTTCTGAACATTACATCTGTTTCAACTCGAACCTTCTGGGATGGGTGACGCATCTGCTGATCCCCTTGAAAGATATCAAACTGTTTGAGAAAAGGGTAACTGCTGGGTTGTTCCCCAATGGTATCATCATAGAGACTGCAGAGACCAGGTATAACTTTGCGAGTTTGATCTCGAGGGACTCGACGCTGAACTTCCTGGAAACCGTATGGAGCAAGAGCGCGAATCTGCAGAATCTGGAACCTGGTGCTTTGAATGGGAATGGGAATGGCCTGAACGGCAAGAAGAACAGTTTGCAAATTGAGTTCGAAAAGGAAATATTGTCAATTGATGAGGATGATTCGGACGACAGCAATGCTGAGACCTCCTCAGACAAGTATGAGAATATTGGTCCTTCTGCTCATGAGCCCACTGTCATTGACCTTACGCTTGCTCCTAATGAGAAGGTGCTGACCAATAACGTGTTGAACGGGCCTCTGGGACTGGTGTATACCATGATGTTCGGACCAAATACCAACTTCCACAGACACATCAACGAGCTCAACGATGGCTCCAACTTCTCCGACTATTCCAAGTTCGAAGACAACATCAGGTCGTACAAGTTTGAGAGAGCGTTGAACTTTTCTATCGGGCCAAAATCTGCAGTTTGTGAGGTAGAGGAGGTCATTGACAGTTACGACCTCGACAAAGGTATTGTCTTATTGACCAAGACCAGAACGCCTAACGTGCCGAGCGGAGGCTCTTTTGTGGTGAACACAAGGTATGTGTTCACATGGGCAGAGAACAACTCGACTCGTTTGCAGATCTCATACTTCATAGATTGGACTGCGCGAAGCTGGATCAAAAGCATGATCGAATCAGAGACAGCTGCTGGGCAGGCAAAGTTCAGCAAGGTTGTGATGGAACAGTATGAACTGAAACTGTCGGACTACTCCAACGTTGAATCTCATGTTGAGAAGGCCCCAGCCGACGTCAAAGCGACTCCAAGCGTGGTGAAGACTCCAGAAATGCCCAAAGCAATTACTGTTGTGAAAAAAGAGTTGGACTATGCAAAATACCTGATGCTGTTGATTTTGGGTCTGCAATTGGTCATCCTATGGCGACTAGGTCAGCTAAGCAGAGATCTGGCCCTGGTGAAGACGGCGATATGATACGAAACAAAAAACAAAACAAAACGTAATTCTAGATATCTGCATTTCCAGTGTCCAATATGACAAAATCGAGTTTTTCAATGGCTAATCCCTTTTCGGCCGCATGTATTTTAGCTTGAACTTATGCTTCATCTTCCGGTAGAACTTGTAGCAATAGGATCTCATCATAATCAGAGTCAGTCCCACTCCAAACGGAACGGAGATTTTCCAATAATAAGAAACATCCTTTTTCAAGTCTGAAAATGATTCAAAGTTCATACCATAATATCCAGTGAGAAATGAAAGCGGGAGAAAGATCAACGTGATCACTGCCAGCTGCTGCATGGAGGTGTTAGTCTCAACACTCAGGATATTGAAAATAAAGGCTATCAGATTCTCAACAGTGTTTCTCATGAGGTCGATGTTATCCACAAAAGAAATTGTATGGTCAACCACGTCGGAGAAATAGAGGCCACTTTCTGGTGACATGAACTTGGAGTGCTTGGTGGATTGGTCCTTGAGTTGGTTGACCAAGGCAGTAGTGGGTGATATTTCAGAGCGCAGCATCGCTAACTCGCCAATCATCAAATGGAGCTCTTGGGTGTGAGAAATTGTAGGGTTCAACATAATGTTCATTTCCAATTCGGAGAGTCTTCGGTTGTAAGCCGTGATGACGGGGTATATGAGGTCCACTATAGCGTCCAAAATGGCCTGCAATAAGTTGGAGGGATCACACGAATCCCGCAGAATTGTTGATCCCTGTGATAATCTGTTGAAGATGGCGCGCTCTATGTCATTTGCAGAGTGTTCGAAGAACGAAATAACTGATCCGGACTCAGTGATGAATATTGACACTTGCTCAATGCCCACTGCTAGTTTTCTGTAACTTAAAGGTCTGTGGTATTCTATAAACTCCCGCTTCCTGTTAGTAACGAAGGGCATTGACTGTTGTGTTAGTTTTCGCATTTCAAATTGCGAGATCTGCTCGTTCAACGACAGCTCGGAGTTTTTGCTGAGATGTTGTTCCTTGGGAGGGTCCTCTTTTTTGGACTTTGTGTTCAGGCCGGGTTTTTCCAGCTTAATCAATTTCAAAAGAGGCAAACAACAGAACATATGATCGGGATAAATATCGACTTTTGTTCTCTGTGGAATGTCCACCATGTCCTCGATGGACAGCCTGTGCAAGTTGTAGTGCTGCGAGATCACAGAGATGGCATCCCATGCCAGCCCGTTGACATTGATCCAGCGCACTTTACTCCAATCAGGAGGTGCTTCAAGAATCTTTTTGAGCTTGGTTTTGCGCTTCAGCATTGTCTCTGTCTGCATCGGGTTAAAGGCCGTGTGGGACTCGTTCACAATCTCCAGGTGCTCAATCCGATACCTCTCCTTGGAGTAATCGGTCACCGTGATAGCAGAACCGAGCGATTTCATGAAAACATCTGTCGTAGTCACATCAATTCCTGGCTCCCAGTCAGCACGTTGTCTCGCCGCAGAAGACGAGGTTTTTGAATCGAAGTATTGACGATGTCTCTTGTTCCTCACATGGTTCGTGCCATCGGGCTGCGATTCCTCCCCAATCCTTTCAGGCTTTATTGGACGTGGTGTATACGACTTCCAGAAATCATGTGTGGAAACCGACGGCTTTCTCTTGTTCCGGGGCTCATTCTCAATGTCTATCGGCTGGTCCCTGACCGATGCCTGTGTATCATCATCGTCACTGGAGCTCTCAGTGAAGTTATAATCATCGTACGTATATTGCGATTCTAGACTATCTAGCCGGGGCAGATCGGGTAGATCGGGATCTCCCGAGTCGTACACTTTTTCCATGAATACGTGGGAGCGAAATCGGTGCCAGGTAAAGAACAAGCTTAAAATTTGCTATCAAAACATCCCCACTTGTTGTATCAGATGGGGTGGTGCGGCGCCAGATTTTATCGATGGGCTTTGAAGAATGCGCTACCTTCCTCTTTTTGTACCCACAGACATCCGATGGCAAAGGGTACGAATCGCAATGAATAGGTTAACGCCATGTCGGAAACTGAGTCGAAGCATCTTCACGTCGAACTCGGAGATCTTCAAACAACAAAAAAAGGCGAATTTGGAGCGAATGGTGGCGATGCTGAAGAAAGAGGTTCCAAACACACTGAAGACCCAACTGCCATTCGATTATGTTGACAAGAACGTGGTGCTGCGAATATTCCCGGAGAAACTTCCAAATGTGCCTGTGATCAAGACGAACACGATGTATTTTTCCGTTAGCAAGATTTTGACGGTGATTATTCGCAATTTCATACTGAGCTCTAGGGTGAAGCTTCACATACAGCAAGTGAATGTTTTGGAGAACTCGACAGGGTTGAGCGATGCCGTGTTTGACGAGGCAGAGTCCAGAATTATGCTGAACAAAGACAGAGTTAGTGAAACGGAGTCATTGAGCATCGGTCTTTTTGAAAGAAGCACCAAGGTGGTGATAAAATGGAGAACGTGTGTCGATGGATGTAGTCATCTCCACACGTCCAGAACGGTGGATTCTGATATGGGAGCCTTCAGAATCTCCAACCTGAATCTTTATGATTTGTTCATCAACCATAGCTTTTCTGAAGTGAAGAAAGAGCCTGATACCCTCCATCTGGAGAGAGTCATGTGCGGAGTGTTCGTGTTTGAACTTTCCGAGAACAACGATAAGATCAAGGTCCAAACCATAGACGACGTTGAGTTGGTCGAAACCGACACAAAGGATAAGGATACTGATGAAATGAAGACCGTAAAGGGTGCCTATTAAAGAGAAACAATAATTGCCTAAGGGAAGACAATACCTACGCCGCACCAGGTGCGCTACCGCTGGGCCAGACGGTCCGATATTACGATGTACATAGATTACGACACTATATAGCTCAACATACATTGAGATATGACATATTTCCCATTATATTTCAACCCAATGTGGCCACCTACGATCAAGTCTGGGTGTTATTCATGACCCAAATTACTAGTCGTGTGTCACCCATTCCGATCGAATAGAATTCCTTCGATTGTTAAGCCGGATAATCCTTATCTTCGCGACAAGACACCACCTTTGATTTCCACAAAAATGTCCTTAAAAGCCCGGATAGTCGGTGATCTTCTTTGTCAGAGAGACTCATATCTCACGAAGTTGACCACACAGGTTGTCTCGTGTAATAAACTGAGCGATACGCAATATGAGTTGGAGCTCGAAGATACGGTCTTGTTTCCAGAAGGGGGAGGACAGCCTACCGACCATGGGACCATCAAGATCGATGATACTGAGTTGGAAGTTACGGAGGTCAAGAGAAATGGTCTGAACTGTTATCACATGGTGTCTCAGCTTTTCAAGCCGGGTGATACGGTGGAATTGAAGGTTGACTGGAGGCGCAGATTCGATCATATGCAACAGCACACTGGTCAACATCTTCTCAGTGCCATTCTGGACAAGTTCAACCTTCCTACTTTGTCATGGTCGATGGGTGAAATGATTAATTATATTGAAATTCCCAGGAAGTTAACCCCAGCAGAGCTGGAAGAAGTGTCCCAGATGTGCAATGATAAGATCACCGAGAATATCAAGATCCAGGTTGAAGTTCCGGACAAGGACTCCGTCAAGAAAGACAAAATGCCTTCTGATTACGATCTTGAGAAGGGGATCTTGCGGGTAATTCACATTGGCGAACTGGACTCGAACCCGTGCTGTGGAACCCACCTGTCATCTACGGGTCAGATCAAGTCCATAACTTTGCTGAACCAGTTTCCGGGTAAGAAATCTGCCTCCAGGATCAACTTTTTGTGTGGTGATCGTATCTCTAAGTTCACCAGCGAATCGTTTTTGACTCTCAAGGATTTGACTGGAAAGCTGAGTTGTCAAACAGACGACTTGGTGGAAAAGGTGGAGGCTCTACAATTAAGCCACAGGAAGGCTGCAAGCAAGGAGATGAGTCTGATGAAGGAGCTGGCTGAATATCAGTCGAAAGAGCTGCTTGCAAAACTAGAAAGCAGCGAGATCGCGTTCCTATGCCGCTCAGATGTTGGACTGGAATATTTCAACAACATCTCCAAGAAGCTGTTGCCATTAACCCCAGGCAAAACCCTGGTTCTTATTGGAAACGGATGTCTCATCATTTCAGGTCCTCAGGTCGAGGAGGTTTCCACCCAGTTGAAACAAGTTCTGAAGGGCCTTAAAGGTGGGGGAAAGGGCAAGTTTCAGGGAAAATTCACCTTCAACCAGAGTGACTTCAACAGTGCTGAAAAATATCTTGAGTCGTTATAGATTCGTATGTCATTATTTATTTCGTTATTGGCGCACGTGCGGTTATATTCAGGACCATTTGAAGAACTTAACCACTCTCAGCCATAGAGATTCGGATATCATGGGGAATAGCATTGATTTCTGCGATCGCAGTTTGCGTTGTTGGTCCTGACTTTGTAACGTTCTGAGATCTTGAATAAGAGAATCAAATAAATACTCCGAGCTCGGCTTGAATCGTACGGTGTGGAAAGAAGTGTCTATGGTGGATTCATCATCGTCTCCAATCTCCTCGGACACCAGCATGTTGGAGATCTGCTCATATTGTAGAATACAGCTGGAACAAACGAGCTCCTTGAAATCTTTGCCTTCGGGTATGAAACTGCTCAGTTCGTAAAGGGGCTTTTCGCATAAAACGCAGTATTTGAGTCCTTCGTAGTGGTGGTCGTCAGAAAAGGTGGATGTGGATTTGGTGGAGGTTGTCAAGTTGGGCAGAGCTCCCTCGCTCTTCAAGTCATATACCGACTTCTTTTTCGATTTGAGATTTTTCTCTTCTATGTAGTCCTCCACGAGAACTATTTGCTCCAACGTCAAATCCTCAAACGTGAGGTCTTCCTGGCTCACAGTCACGGATCTTGAAATTGGGGTTCTGGCCAGAGTGACAGTCTTGGTGGGTATGGGTGAGCTTGAAATTGGATGAGCCAGCGGGAAACTCGTGAAGTTGTTATCCAGCAGATCCAGTCTCGATGGCCGTTTCAAATTAGCTATTCTTGAGTCTTCCATGGCCACGAACTTGGTCGTGATGTTGACACCTATTAATAAGGCTATGGAAATCTGTCTTTCAGAAGGGTAAACAAACGCGTGTACTTATCAAACAAATGGCTGACCCGATTAGGAAATCGTCTTTAATTTGACGAGAACTCAATAATCCGGGGTTAATTTCTGATTTCAAAAAAATTTAAAAACGACGTAACCAAATAGAGGATGAAACAAAGTATTTTATCACTAAATTCCGAAGTTTACAGGTCATTGTTAATCAGTCATACACAAGAAACGCACTCAAATCTCAAGGTTGGTATCACGTGACACTGCCACTCTCTCCGAACACCTCCTTGATAACCAAGAGGCCACCCAGACCCCTTTGACTCTCTACCAACCAGGCCATTGGCGAACGAACCGGGCAAAATGTCAGAGCAATTGGAAAATTCTGTTTCTGTCATCAAGCAACAGATTGCTTTGATGAAGAAATGTCTCGATCAGAAGAACAGGCTCATGGATGCTCTCAAGCACTGCTCCACGTTTCTATCCGAGCTCAGGACAAATGCATTGACTCCCAAACAGTACTATGAAATGTATATACTGGTCTTTGATGGATTGAGCTATCTCTCTTCTTTTCTGAGGGATACGCATCCAAACAACCATCTTGCAGATCTCTACGAATTGGTGCAATATGCCGGGAACATCATCCCTCGGCTGTATCTGATGATCACAGTGGGAACTGTGTATATGTCAATTCCCAATAGTCCAAAAAAGGAGATCATGAAGGACATGATTGAGATGTGTCGCGGAGTTCAGCATCCCGTGAGAGGCCTGTTTTTGAGGTATTATCTCTCGCAGAGAACCAAGGATCTTCTGCCTGTCGATGATGAGAGTCTGGACGATTCAATAAAGTTCATCATTACCAACTTCATAGAGATGAACAAATTGTGGGTGAGATTGCAGCATCAAGGTCATTCCAGTGAGCGTTCAAAGAGAACAAAAGAGAGAAAGGAGCTGCAGATTCTGGTTGGATCCAATCTGGTGAGATTGTCCCAGCTGGAGAAAATCGACAAGAATTACTACAAAGAGTTTATTCTTCCAACTATCCTTGAACAAATTGTCCAGTGCAAAGATATGATAGCTCAGGAGTATCTTCTTGATGTCATAACACAGGTATTCCCCGATGAGTTCCAGGTATCTACATTGGAGGAGTTTCTAAGCACCACCTTGGCACTCAACGATGCCGTGAGTTTGAAGAAGATAGTTCTGGCGTTGATCAACCGACTGATTGGATTCAAGCAGCGTGAGTCAGACCTTGCAACAACCAGCAATTTTTTGGATGTTTTCATCAAGTATGTTGAGAATCTGGACAGCTTGAAGCCGGATCTACCGCTAGACGACTTCTTTGCAATCCTGGAGGGTGTGTGCAAGATATGCATTATATACCATCCTGAGGACTACCAGAATGTGAACAGGATATTCCAGCACGCGCTGGCCAAATCCAAGGAGCACCAAGGGAAACCCTCCGACCTTATATTGGAAAACTACTGGAAATTGCTGCTGTTGGCACCAGTGTTGAACTACAGCAGTGTCAAATCCATACTGGAGTTGGATGACACCTACTTTGACTTCTTAACGGCTCAGAAACCGCAGCTTCAAAGTTCCGTATCCATGGAAGTTCTTGACCGTCTCTTGGATAACAATTTCAAGATCGAGACTCCCGGTCAGGTCAATAAGATCTTCAGGTACATATCCACTCTTCTGGAAGAAGGCAATCCGACGATGAAGCAATTAGGGTTGGATCCAGCTCAGAGCATTGAGGTTCAGAAACAGCAGGAGAAGCTCGCAAAGTTTCTGCATTTGCTTTACAGTTCAGATCCCTTCGCGCACTTTGAGCTTATTCGTTTATCGAAGACCCATCTTTCCAAAAACTCGATCAGAATCCAAAGCACATATCCTACCCTGGTCTCGATTCTACTTAAAATCATAAGGAAGCTGAAACTGATCAATTATATCGACTTGGAAAACCCAACGGCGGTTTTGCAAGTGAAGAATGTGTTTCGGTTCATTTCAACGACTATAAATGAGCTGTACCAACAATCTGCCGAGAACGTTCCCCAATCATGTGTCAACTTGAATCTGCTGGCTGCTCAACTTGCGAACGAAGTTGGATTGGTCGACATTGCCTACGAGTTTTTCATCGAAAGTTTTATCATATATGAGGAATCCATAGTGGATTCCAGATTACAATATCAGGTGTTGCTTCTCATCATTAGCAAGCTGCACAGCTGCAACAACCTCATCACCTCGAGCATGGAGAATTACGACACGTTGATCACGAAGACTGCGCTTTATGGTTCCAAACTATTGAAGAAGCCAGACCAATGCAGAGCTGTGTATAATGCGTCTCATTTGTGGTGGGTGATCCAGCAGAATGAAGAAGAGGATGACGACGAAACAGAAGAAGGTGAAGAGCCCAAGCCCGCTCCACAGATACCACTAAAGAAAGACAATAAAAGGGTCTTGGAGTGTCTACAAAAGTCCCTGCGTATTGCGGATTCTACGTTGGATACGAGTGCTTCTCTGGAGCTGTTTGTGGAGATTCTCAACAGGTCCCTGTACTATTTCATACATGGCAATGAGCTTGTGACAATCAAGTATATCAATGGACTGATAGAGTTGATTCAGAATAATTTCAACGCCATGACTTCGGGTAACGAGAACGAGACCATCAGGCAGGAATTCAATCGCACTCTTCAGTACATTAAAGAGCAGGGAAGCATTGATGAGAGGTTTCAGCATATAGTGCTTGTATAATTGATAGTCCGTGTAAATGGATAACTAGTGATTGAAAGCACAGCCATCTAGTATACCAGTATACGTACTGATAACGCTCACCTTATTCCTGCATAGTATTATTTTCACCCTGTCCTCTACGATCAGCAGTCAACCCTGGCTTAACCCTACAATCCAACAACTCACATTGTCTTTAACCAATTTTCATTTTGTCTTCCATTAGAACTGTAATACACAACGTAGTCAAAAGTATCTATGCTGTTTCAAGACTATCTCTTTGAACTCCTTCATCTCAGCATCTTTGCCTTAACGGTACTTGTGGAAACCAATGTCGCTGGCCTTTTCTCTGAAACATTGACGGCAGATGTTCAAGCCGTACTTACGGATCAGACCAGAGTACGAGGCACAGACACGGCATTGTCTTGAACCTTTACCGTAGTTTCTTGGGTGGGAGAACCAAACGTTTTCGTGAGCCATTTTGCTATATTCTGTGAACCTTAGTTAGTTGGTGCGTTGGTGGTGTGGATTTTGCCCAGAGTTGGAAGATGGAGATTCTCGGCGTGGCCTGGTGATGTTGGAAAAATGCCAGATGGACGCAATAAAATGGAAACAACGTGTAACTTGTTGAGATGACCTTTCTAACAACCCTGTAAAATGATACGTTCAAGACTTACCAGTTAACTTGATAGATGAACAGTTTGGATAGTTGTAGATTAACACGATAAATTTCAATAAGAGCATGGGCAGGGGAAAAACCTAAGCGGGATTGCAGACTGAGAGGGTACGCAGCCCTCAGTTGTTGCACGTGATCAAAATGAGTTTAGATTTTGTCGGTGTGCGGCGTTTGTGCTTATGTAATTGCTTTGTAATTGTTTAGTCGTGTAAAATCAAATGTGAAAAATAAATTTGTAAACTATTTCAAAAGCGATACACGGGCCTAACGCAGACGTTCTGCAAAACAGGCTCACAATCGCAAATTCTAGAGGATGGTTCACTCGCATAGATCTACTCTCAAGAGTAAGCAGAAGTCGTTCAAGTCCAAGCATGCTACCAAGAGTGCCCTGAAGGCTAAGGCCAAGGGTAGAGTTGAGAAATCGGCTGGATTAGGCAAGAAGATAGGAGGTGCTTCGAAAGCTCAAAGAAAGAACTTTGCCAACCAGATCAAGCAGAACAAGATACAGTCATCTCAGATGGAGAGAAAATTACTGACGGGCCCAAATTCTGCCGAAAGAATTGTGACGATTGTCTCGCTTGCATCTGATGTCAACTCACTCACTATCGCAAATCAGTTGTTGGTTGCATTAGACGAAGATCTCGAATTGGTGAAGGAATGTCCTAGTGTGACCACTTATAGGACCAAAAAGTTCAGGACCGCATTCAAATTCATTCTCCCAGATCAAAGCGACTTCATATCAATATTAGATGCCTGTAAGGTTTCTGACTTCGTGATACTAGGATTGTCTGCCACTGAGGAAGTGGATCCAAAGGTTGGTGAACAGATCATCAGAGCCATAGAACTGCAGGGTATTGCCACTGTTATGGGAGTGATCCCAAATCTGGTGACTGCCTATCCCAAGAAGAACCTCCAGCTAGACGTGCTGAAATCTCTGGAATCGTTCTTCAACCATTTCTTTCCATCCACTGAAAAGTTGTTCAGTCTGGAGAACTCCTCCGAGGCTCTAAATGCAATCAGAACCGTCTGTCAAAAGCTGCCAAAATCGGTGACGTGGAGAGACAGCAGAGGATATATGGTTGTGGACAAATCGTACTGGCAAGGACAGGACAATGGGGAAGGTTTTGTTGTATTGGAAGGTATTGTGAGGGGCAGCGGATTTAATGTCGACAGATTGGTTCATCTTCCCGGTTATGGTGATTACCAATTGGCTGGAATAGAGATTGCCAAAGAGGCTTTACAGATCACTCCCTCCGAGGCCCAAGAGTCGTTGGAAGAACTGGCTCCCGAGCAGTTCTCAGTTCCTGACGATGAGGAGTTCAGTGATGACGAGCTGAACGAAGTTGAAATGGATAATGACGTCTACAATCCTTCTGGAGAGTCCAAGAGAAAACTTCCCAAGGGTCTTTCAGAATACCAGTCTAGGTGGTATTTGGATGAAGAATTGGAGGAGATGATTGAAGAAGTCGGAGAGGATACTGATGATGAGAGTGTGGACGAGGACGATGATGACATGGACATTGAAGACATTGACGATGGTCCAGAGTCAAGATATGAACCTTCAGAGATGCACGTGGAATTGTCTCAAGAAGAGGAGGATCGCCAGTTGCAGCAATTCAAGCAGAGAGAGAGAGACGACATGGAGTTTCCTGATGAGATTGAAATCGATCCTAAAGGAAGTGCGCGTGACAGATTGAGAAGATACAGAGGAGTCAAGTCTTTGAGCAATTGCGACTGGGATTACGATGAGAAGGACGAAAGAAGACCCTCTGAGTGGAAAAGACTACTGAGAGTGAGCAACTTCAAAACCGCCAAACAGAGACTAATCAAGGAGTATGGAAGGCAGGCCCAGGCCAAAGCTGGTGACAGAGTCAGACTTTTCATCAAGGCACCTGCCTTTGTCCTCGACAGAGTCACACCATCCAAGCCATTCATTGTGTATGGTTTGCTCGAACACGAGCACCAACTTTCTACATGCCATTTCGTGATCCAAACATGGGAAGACTATGAAAAGCCATTGCCTTCAAAGGATACGCTGATTGTGCAATATGGACCCAGAAGACACGTGATACAGCCAATTTTCAGTAATGTTGGCAACAATTCTAACAACGTGCATAGATTTCAGAGGTTCTTGCATAAAGGCACGGTAGCCATGGCAACGGCCATTTTACCACCAGTTTTCCCCAATACTCCTGCTATATTTTACAAACAATCTGCTGAAACAGGTCAAATTGAGCTGGTTGCACAGGGAACGTTTGAGAATACAGACCACACCAGAATTGTTGTCAAGAGGGCCGTTGTCACCGGTGAGCCTTTCAAGATCCATAAGAAGATGGTCACCATCAGATACATGTTCTTCAATGTGGATGATGTCAACGAGTACAAGGATATTCCTCTTTTCACCAAAATGGGTAGATCTGGGTTTATAAGAGAGTCTCTTGGAACCCATGGTTACTTCAAGGCTACGTTCGATGGTAAATTGAATCCTCAAGACACCATTGGTATGGCCCTGTATAAGCGGATCTGGCCTCGTGGTTCTATCTTGCATAACGCCTAGAATAAAAGGATTTGCCGAATATTTAGCGATCATAATTTTTTGGTAAATAACTATATTGCACACTCAAATCTTTCGAATATTGTCATATCCCCAAATCGGCAATGGTCTCGACGGTGTCGGTGATGGAGTCTGGCTGGGTATCCACTATGCTCTGATGGATCTCCTCGTTCTCGTCACTAGTAGAATAGTATGTATCCAGCGAATCGTCGGATGCCTCTAGCAAACCCTCGGTTGTGCTTGGTGGAGATTGGGAAGTTTGATCACGGGTAAATATTTTTGATCTGGTGGGTGTCAATGGCTCTTGAAATTTGGGTGGTTCCCTTGACTTGGTTGGTGTGGTCTCAGACTCTTTCTTCACTTTTGAAGGTGACGGATTTTCAGACTTTGAAACGTTCTTCCTCTTCTTGGGACTCAGTTCTTGCTGCCTCCTTCTGACCCGCTCAACAAGCTCATCCATGTCTGTGATGGAATCGTATCTCAACCCATCTCTGCTATCATATATGCCATATTTGGGCTTTTCCCCTAGTCTTTCGAGCAACTCGTTGATTTCCTTATACTGTTCTAGTATTTTTTCCTTTTTGGAGTTCAGCAGAAGAGGAACTTTTTTTTGGAAGTTGTCAGCTATTTGATCGCGATCTTTTTGTAAATTTTGTAGATTTTCCGAAATTTCACTGATTCTCTGCTTTAGAGTGACACGATCATCCAGTAACATTTGAGTGAGTTTTTTGTTTCGGAGATGTTGCTCGTTTAAAAGATAGAAGAACTCAAATAAGTTAACGCTAATACCTGCAGTTCTCGGAATATTTGCCTTGAAGAGGATCTGCCGTATGCCCTTGATCTTCTCCTGCGAGATGTTGAGCTGAATAGCTAGAGGTTCACCATTATCGGCAATTGTGAGAATCGAGCTTAACGAGTACTCCGAATTGTTATCGTATGATCCAAAATACAAAAGCTTCACAAGAAATTGCTTCACCAAGGCTGGTGGGGTCGTTTCCAGCGCCGGTGCTTCCAGCATTTCCAAGGAGTCAAGGTGTATCAAGTGTTGAAACACCTCTCCCTCTTCACCAGTGGTCATCTCAAGCTTCAGTGTTGAGATTCGAGAAATAGAAGGGATCTCTGTCCCTTCTGTTAAATCGTCTTGTGATGAATCATATTCGGGGCATTGTGCGAGATAATCATCGAGAGTGGAGGCATTTATGGGACTGGTCCTATCTCCATCCGGATAAACAGCACTGACCCCAAGATACAGTCTCGAATCTTCCTCACTCAAATGAATACTATCACCATTTTCCTTCCGCTTAACCAAAGGAGCTATCACCACACGTTTTTGCATCTTCAATTGCTCGAACATTCCTCAAGTCCAAGAGAGCCCTGCAGTTTTCGGAATTTGGACAGCTATCAATGAAGGTGCGGCTACAAATTGAGTCTGAGTATAAAGGCGGGTTCAGATTATGTAATATGTATCTACAAATTTATGGATTTGCACACGATTCTTTGATTCTTTGAATCAGTCAAGGGACCGGGAAACAATCTTCTGTTAAAACAATCAGTTTCCTGAGTCTTTAGCCAAATGAGCCAGTAGCGTAGTCTCTTCATTCGCATCGGTCTCGGTCTCAGGCTCAACAGAGGTTCCTATCTCCACTTCAGGAGACAATGGAGCCTCGATAATTCCGTCTGTAGTCTCCGAGAATCCCAGTTCTTGTATTGCCTGATCCATTTGCTTCTGGACCTTTTCAACTAGATGAGGAACGTCTTCCTTGGTCAAACCCTCCGTGGAGATAGGCTCCAGCACCTTTATGTTAATCACACCCCCGCTGAAGGTCTTCGTCTTGGGGCTATAAACCGTTGATGTGTTGGAAACAGCGATAGGTATTATAGGTATCTGGGCCTGGACTGCCAAGTGGAAGGCTCCCTTCTTGAATGGGAGGAGCTTTGGATCTGTGGCGTACGATCTGGTGCCTTCAGGAAACATGAACAGTCCTCCTTCGGATGACTTCAACTCCTCTAGGGCACGATGCAAAGTGCTCAAAGCCTTCTCCCTGTTCGATCTGTCCAAGAAAAAAGTTCCGGAAAGACTCATAAACCAACCCAGGAAGGGAACGTACTTGAGCTGCTTCTTGGCGGTAACCACACACTTCTTGGGAAACACCCTTCCCAGCATGAAAATGTCCAACTCCGACTGGTGGTTCGAAATAAGAATACCCGGCAGCTTCTCAAGTCTCTCCGGATGATCAATCACTATCTTGATGTTGAACAACTTGGAGAACAGATGATAAAAGAACCGGGCTGTGCTCCACTGAGCGAGGTTATTCTTGCGAGCCAAGGTTAATATAACCGAAACTATGACACCATATGTCGCACCTAACAGTAGTGCCAAAATGGCAGCTACCACCTTCAGCCAGAATCGGATTGCCTTGATTTTAGACGCCATTAATGTGCCCAACAAATGCATCACAAAGGCACAAACGGATTGCGCGAAAGTTTAAGCATGTCAGACTGTCAACTCAAAACGTGTCAGTAAAAGTCGCCTGATTTATCCCGCGCACGTCCAATTTCAGGGCAATATCCTGTTCTATTGACACATTTGAGGCTCTTGTTCCGGTGAGTTGGCAGGTTCACTTGCTTTGTTTAGGTTAAGAGTTCAGGATTGATTGCAATTGCTTGATTTTATAAATTGCTTGCTGATTGCTATTCAAAGATATTCAATTCCAGATATCTGTATACCCTTTCCACTACAGAGACTGATCTGTGCTATTAGCAATAATGAGCGCGACAGCTGAATTGAGCAACGTCGGCCATACGAAGGCCAATGGAGCGGTTCCAAAGACTGTTCTAAATGATTTAAGTCCTGACTATGTCATGAAAGTTGCGTATGAAACGGACAAAGAAACGAAGTCTCCGTCTGCTGCTGCCCAGATGGATCTGGCAAGATTGGTGAAGACTCTCGATGTTAACGGGTTTTCCGTCAATGTTCGTCCAGACACATTCAGCACTATTCTGGTTTTCATCAAGCTGAGTGATGACTTAGTGAGCAGACTGGCGAAGAATAGCCAGGCCAAAGACTGGATCTACGGTGTCACCAGTTCCGAGAGCGATTCCATTTCAGTTGCCCAGAAACTGAGACTCATTTACGACAAGTTGACGGGACCCAAGTCGGAAGGCGGGTGCGAGATCACCATTGGTGAAGGCAATTGGAATTTTGTCACAGCAGTTTTGCCTCTTGCCAATTATTCGCAGATCATTGCCGAAAAAGAGAGGGCTAGGGCCGGCCTCTTCAAAGGTGCTTTTGACACTGCCCAAAGTGCATTCTTGCTGGAAAATTTTGGCTCAAAATATGCATTCTACTTTGGCTTTTTGACTCACTACTTGAAGTGGCTGATGGTGTTCTCCTTGGTTGGAGTTATCTCCAACATCTTCTTCGGTAGATTCTCAAAGGTCTATGCGGTTTTCAACATTGCTTTCGCAGTCAGCTTCTACCTCTTCTGGAAAGTCAAGCAAACGTCGCTGGCACGTGAATGGGGCGTTGAGAACGTTGGTGTTGTTGAAATTTCGCGTGCATCAAATGCTTCTCCTGATCCGGAGTACAAGACTCTGTTCAAGGCGTTCCTGTTCACTCCGGTTGCTCTTACATCTGCTCTCACCTTATTTGCCTACCAAATGGGCTGTTTCTTCATTGAAATTTTCTTAACAGAGCTATATGATGGTCCTGGAAAAGGGCTGTTGGCATTGGTTCCTACGATTTTGCTCTCCATCATTGTTCCCATCGTCACTATCGTTTACACAAAGGTTGTGAACAAGTACCTGAATTTCGAGTCCCACCAGAAGAAATCCACTTTCCACTTCTCCTACATCATCAAGTTGTTTGTCATCAACTTCCTCACAAGTTACATGGCATTGATCATCACTGCGTTCATCTACTTGCCGTTCGGCTACCAGGTCAACCCATACTTGACCCATTTGGGAAACCATGTGCACAACTATGTTTCTCCAAGAATCTCTGTTAGGCAGGAGAACTACGAGATCAACAAATTGAGACTGAACAACCAGTACCAGTTTTTTGTGGTCACCAACCAGGTGGTTGGATGTGGGCTTGAGTTTGTCTTGCCTGTTGTCTTGAAGAAGGTGTTTGCATTGCCATTCGTCAAGTCCTTGACTGGAGCCAACAAGGTGGAAGAACCTGTTCACAAGGATGACGAAAACGAGGCCGAGTTGTTGGAGTATGTTCGCAATACTTTGGCACTTCCTCCTTTGGATATCAACGACGAATACCGCCAACTGGTGCTTCAGTTTGGTTTCCTAGCTCTTTTTGGACCCATCTGGTCGATTGGCCCATTGGTTTCCACCATCATCAACATCATCCAGTACAAGCTTGATTACCTCAAGCTGCTAGGATCTGTTCGTACTCCCATTCCAGACAGGGCTGACGGGATCTATCCATGGGATGGAATCCTGAAGTTCCTGATCTCTGTTGGTTCGATTGTATCAGTCGCTATTACTCTGTTGTACAACCACGAGATTGTGTCATCTGCTAGTCGTCCTGGTAGTTCTTCCAAGTGGTGGTTTGTTGCCGGAGTCTCTTTGGTGGTGGAACACATTGTCTCTTTCGTCATCTCCACGGGTGAGAAGGTCATCAGCACATATCTCACTCAAGGCAGTTCCACCTTCCAATTCAAGAGGGATTATGCTAAAAAGATCCACGGTGAATCTCTGTTCAAAAATGCTCCTTCTAATGCCCATTCCAATGATGTTGACGAATTGCTGAAATCTGCCTCGAACTTGCCTCAAACTTTGTTCACCCAGAAGAAAGTTTCAGAGCCAACTCTGGCTCAGGTCCAAGCGAAATTGGTTGCTGAATCTGAAATGTACAACGGAAAATCTACTGTTACTGAGAAGATCTCATCACCTGCTGATTCTGAGCCTGTAACTCCAAGAGGTCACTCATATGCTGCATTGGCTCAGTCTACAGTAGCCACCTCCACGGCTCCTCCAAAGACTTCTCCTCCACAGCCTCCAGTCACATCCACTCCTGTGAAACAGAGAACCGCAGTCAACTCTACATTGGATCCAAAAACATCGCTCACTGGCGTGGCGACCGCTGTTCCTGTTGCTGTTGCTACAGCTGTCCCACAGACTGCTGAGACTGCACATACTCCAAAGGACAATCTCAATTCGGACGATATCGTCACCGCAACGCTCCCTTCTGGGTTTGACCTCCAAAAAGGCGACAGAGTCATCACGGTGCCTACTCCAGACGGAAATGTGGTTCAAGCCGTCATCGACGATAACAGCCACTTCACACCTCCAGCTGACTCTTCGTTTGCTCGTTCCGTGGATGACTCCGACGCTTCTTATGCAAACACCACAGCCGATAGCGCAAACTTGAGTTCCTCGAAGCTGAAGAAGAAGAAGAGCAAGATGGCACTCAAGTCGATTTTCAAAAAGACTAAAGAATAATTCCGATGGTTTTACAATAAATAAAATACATTATGTTGATGTGTACTTGGACTATGCGAAGTAGGCTGGGCAGCAGCACAGACATGGGGCCAACACCACCATTTCACCTATAATGCCTCCGTATAATACCTTGGTGTGATTCCAGATTTAAAATTCCGAGGAATAATCGTAGAGCCCACAAAAACAGCCGGTGTGCTGAAGGGTCTCCACACCCATCCTCCACCAGTCCTCCACCGTCCCCCACTGACTCTCAATCGGGTCTGGCTATTAACCAGCCTATGGAATGGTCCCGATCAACTATGTCTTCACTATGTCGACCCTAGCCCTCTTCCACACATTGTGAAGATAACACTTTTCATCACCATCAGTTTCTGCAACCTCCAGATCCTCCGGGTCGGGACTCTTTATGTGGGTCACGGCATACGTACCATTCCCGGTTGGTCTCATGAACACACCCGGGTTTATCGTAATCACATTTCTCACAACTCTGGCAAAATATCTCATCTCAGAAGGCATGATCAGCACATCGGGAATCACTTCTGGCAGTTCGGTTAAACCCAAATATGGTACATCTAGGTCGGCACCGCTAATGTGCTCGATAGTTTCTGTTCCTGGAATCTTCCTCGTCTTCACTCCACCGGGGAAAACAGGGTAGTACCTGCGCTGCTCCATCACATGGACTGCAACACGGTCAAACCTATTCTTTCTCTCCACCAGTGGCCCTGCAACCTCTGCCATGTCTTTCACCACATCGTTGTTGGAGACTCCAAAGAGTGCATCGTTCAGCTGAAACGACGCAGGATTGGGGAAACACGTAAAGTTGCGTGGAAGCCCAAGCGACTTTCTGTCGAATCCGCTCTGTGGATAAGTTGGGTGTTTAGCCGTAGCATCTTTGGTTGAAGGCACCAATATGACCCGGGTGTTCTGGTCAAGGTTGCGCAGCACCGGAGTCATTGCGAGTGTGAAAATGTCATCCAGAGTTTGGGGATCTCCATTGGGCAACGAGATGGATCCGTCAGCGATCTTTGGGTGAGTGACATCAATGAAAGGCCCCAACATAACGATGGCATGGGGGTGGACTTCATTGTTCATTCTGTCCACAAAGGCAGACAGCGCAGAAAGATCAAAGTTGTCACTTCTGGTGTATGGTCCAACACATGTAACCACCTTGAGGGCTGAACCATTGAGGTTCTCCCGATACTTTTCGATATCGGACTCTGAACTAACAAAAGACCCCAGATAGGGCAGTTGCAGGATCTCATCCACAATGAACCCCGAGCCGTCTGGATTTTGACCACGGAGAGCCACAATCTGACCGGGAAAGAACGAGTAGTTCTGAATGTTATCAAGCTTTAGTTGTGCTCGTTCTCCATAGCCAGCGACACGGGAAGCCTCCAGGAAAACCGAGGTCGCATCCAGTCTGATATTATGCTGGTTGACAGACGAATCAGGAACAACCCTACCAACAACAACAACCTGCTTCTGTGAAGGGGCCATTGGATTTGCAAAAGCATCATCTGGCAGCTGGTAGTGTTCCTGCACCACTTTGGTGAACGTCTCGATCTGCTCGTCCAAAATGTCTGCTGCCTCTAGGAGCTTCTGACCCATTGGTCTGAAATTGTACTTGGAATCCTCGAAATGAGCAGTGATCTTGATTGGCTTAGAAACTTCGACCAGTCCTTCAGCAGCAGAGTCTATTATTTCGGGATTCAAAGACTCTATGATAGTTCCAGAGTCGGCCTGTCTAGATTGCAGAGGGGTCTCCGGGGTGGCAGGAACAGGGTCTGAACTGGGAGCCAACCCACCCGACACTGGCGATGAAGTGACCATACCATGCGATTTCGATAGCGGAGTCTCCAGGCGACGCTTTTTAGCGCTCGAGCTTGGAGTAGAGGGAGGACCCATGGAGGGCAGATTGGACATGTTGAAGTTGGTCCTGATACCAGGTCTCACTTTGGCCTTCATAGCAGACGCTGTAAGGTTTTGCTGATTCTTCTTCCTTATGCTCTGTTGAATATACTCTTGAAGCTTATCAAGACTCTCGATGCTCACTTTCATTTCTGGGTCGTTGGCCTGAGTCATGACATAAGACTCCCATTTGATGGAGAGGTCCTCTACCGAGAGATCGTACAAAGTCATGATGGTCTGACATTTGGTAACTTTGTCTTTTTCCTCGTCACCGATTCCAAAAACGGACATTAGTTCTGATTCAACCGTCATGGTGGCAGCGTGAACTAGAAGATTAACGGGTTCAATGACTCTTGTGCTGTATCTCTCTGAAGACAACATCTTGTCTTACGCGTTTCGGAAAATTCAAAATCGCGTCGCAAGATTGGGTCGCACACGCAAAGCCAGCCGCCATTCTTATCTTATCTAGTGTAGTCTCCTAGTGAAAAAACTATAGGACATCTCTTAATTAGATCTTCTGGTAATATACTGTACAAATTTTGAGTGGATTATTCCGTCTTTTGACGTTTGGCCTCGGATTCCTCCGACTTCTCAGTTTCTGTGTGCTCTGCGGCAGGGGCCTCGACTGGGGTCTCTTCGGCCTTCTTTTCAGCTTCTGGAGCTGGCTTTGTGGTAGACTCAGCCTTGGCTTCTTCGGTCTCCTTAGTCTCTGGAACCGGACTTCTGGTGCGCTTGGAGTTGCCACGCTTGTCACCACGACCACGGAATGGTTTCTTTCCGTTGGAGTTCGAGCCTCTTCTCTCTCCAAACTTTGCCTGACGAGCCTCGTCGTAGGCAACCTTGGAAATGACAGCCAGTTCTTTCTCCTCAAAAAGAGGCTTAGGGTCGAGCTCAAGGAACTTCTTGGCGTCCTCGAGCAAGTTGAACTCGACAGTGGCACTTCCCTCAAAGCCCTTCTGCTTCGATCTCTTCATTCTGATCTGGTTAACTTTGCCATATTTGGAGAAAAACTCCTCCAACACCTCCAGAGTAGCATCCTTGGGCAACTTCTCGACAAAAACACTGCGCTCGTTGATTTTGAGCTCAACATCTCTTGGAGATGGAGGAAGAGCCGATTTTCTTCTCACCAGCTCACCATCCTCAGACACCTCCAAAAGGTCCTTTGATCCCCTGAGGGCTTCTGCAATCAGCTCAATGGGTCTGTAACGCTTCATACGGTTGAACTGCGAGATGTTGGCAATTGGAACCCAGCCCTCGTTGGCCTGCGACGTCTTCCAGAGGTAGTTGTCACTCAACAGATTCGAGTCGGAGAAGTAAAACTCCACCTGCTTCAGAATTTGTGCCTTGACTTGTTCTTGCTCTTGCTCAGTGTCGCTCATTTTGGATTATTGGCGGGTGGTTTTGGTTGGAGTCTTTTCAACATGGATCATGAACAATGTTCATCAAAAAAAATTTCACCGCATCGCCGCAGATGCGATATGGTTGCGCCACGACGAACAGCATATTAAGGTGGTGAAAAAGGTGAAATGGGAGACTCAAATATTCAATAAAAAGGTAGATATCATAAATTTCGTAAATTGTGTAGCTTGAGCTACCTAAAGCTTCAATGGTTTTGCGTTAGAACTCCCAGTTCGACGTGAAGACTGGACACCCATAGTCTTTGAAGATGCGGTCACAGGCTCTATAGACTGGAATGTACATGTCTATTTTGCGTGTGTCTTTGAGTTTCCAGTGGAAAATGCTGAGATCCTGGATGATCACAGCCTTTAGAGGGTAATTCTGGAACTTTTGAAGCTGTGGTAGACTCGTAATGTTAGTGAGATAGTGTTGTAAGGTGGTGATATCATCCAGTCCATCTATCACAACCACCAGGTCTATGAGGTCATTTGGTATCTGAATATTTTCTTGATTTTGAGCAGTTTCCGCAGACAAAGATGGTATATGGGTATTGCTAGCACTCTTCAAATGCCGCTGAGCAGCCAAAAGAAGAGAGTGCGGGTTTTTCCTGCCCCACTTGTAGGAGCAGTCCAACACGAGAACCACTCCTGGATCCGGGCCGCCCACGCTCTCAAGAACCAGCTCGGTGGTGAATTTTTGCCATTGTGGAGTGTCAACAGTCTTTATGTGAGTTGCCTGTGACTCTCTCGGAGGCAAAGTCTCGAATCCGAACAGCTTGGGTTTGAACGGCAGCAGATTAGTGTATGGTGGGGCCCCGAGTTCTGGGATGGGTAACGAGTGGATGCGTGGTTTGAAAAGCTAATGATGTTAGTCGAACGTGCTTGTTCTAGTCTTGAGCCCCAATCTCCGGCTCTAGTCTTAATCTCGCGTATAGGTGCTAAATTGTACCCTGGCCATGTATACGACGCACAATGTGTAATGATAATGGGCCACAACAATAAGCCATACTAACGAGCCTCGATACCTCTACCAACAACACTACTCACCACACCATTATCCAGGATCTTGACACCTACGATTAGGTCCATCTTCAACCAATGATAAACGTGCAAACTATGCGCAGTATCTGCTTTTATTTTCACCAACTGATAACATGAAAACAAGGCCAAGCTATCGCAGCCGTGCCCTTGCATGGCCGGAAGCTTGCTCCGACGGCAGCCGGCATGTCGGCCAGTGGGCAACTCAAAAGTCTTGTTTAGCCGGTGTGGATAGGTGTTCTTTGCCTGTTGTCTACCACTCTTCTTCATCACTTTCTTGTTGTTTTTCATCTTCAACAATGCAATATTGGGGCTGGCTGGATTCTGCATTTATCGTGCTTATTAGCACGTATTTGGTTCTTGCGCCTTACTCCAAAGTGGAGGAGTCCTTTAGTCTCCAAGCGGTGTATGACATGTTGAACCATGGCTACGCCGACTTGGAGTTGTACGACCACAAAACGTTCGAGGGAGCCGTTCCAAGGTCCTTCTTCGGGCCTTTGTTGATTTCCGTGATTGTGAAGCCTATAAAGCCATTATTGGACAAGTACTACCCGGACCCCACTGAACTCAATCTCCAATTGCTTGTTAGAGGAGTAATTGGATTGACCAACGGACTTTCGTTGATCCGTCTTCGTCGTTCATTGGCAGCTTCGTGTGCTCTCAACTCCAAGTATATTTCTGTCTGGTTTGCTGTTCTTCAGTATTCGCAATTCCACATTGTTTACTACGCATCCCGCTCGTTGCCCAACTTCCTGGCATTGCCCTTTGTTAACCATGCTCTGGCCTACATCGTCAAGGGAGAGTTTGTTCCGGGTGTCACCTGGATGTGTTTTACTGGTGTGGTGATGAGACTCGAGGTGGGGCTCTATGGATGCTGTTTTGCTCTCATGTCTGTTCTACTTGGTCAGTCTTCTTTGATAACTACGCTTGGAGGAATGGTTGCGGGATCGCTTGTGGGACTCGGAACCACTTTGTTCGTTGATTCGTACTTCTGGGGTCATCTGGAGTTTCCTGAACTCACTGCTTTCATCTACAATGTGGTTGAAGGAAATTCTCAGAACTGGGGTGTTGAACCTTTTTCAGCGTACTTCTTCAAGTACTCGAGAGCTCTGTTCTTCCCTCCAATCGTGCCTATCATGCTAGTGAAAGGTCTCACGAAGGACCCTTCTCAAAACGGAAAAGGAAACACTATCCGCACAATCTGCATCTCATCTTTGTTGTTTGTGTTTGTCATGTCGTTCCAGGCTCACAAGGAGTGGAGATTTATCATCTATGCGGTGCCCGCTTTGACTGTGGTAGGAGCTAATGGAGCCGATCTTGTGGTGAGTCAGTTTGGTAGCAGTATCCCCAACAGGTTGCTATCGCTTTTGGCTTTCGTCCTTCCCGTGGTCAGCCTTGGTACCTCTCTGTTCATGGGTTATGTGTCTTCCTTCAACTACCCAGGTGGAGTGGCTCTTGCCAACCTGAACGAGCGCTTGCTGAAACTAGACCAGACTGCTGGTCTTATCCAGCAGGAGATCACCGTTCATATGGACATTCCTGCGTGCATGACAGGAATCACACTGTTTGGCCAGTTGAAGCCCGAGAGTTTGACCAATTTCAAGGTCAACTACGACAAGAACGAGAACAGAACTCAGCTTCTGGAGACGGCCACTTGGGAAGACTACAACTACGTGATCACAGATTTGGACTCCGAGGCCGACAACCAGTATTTACCTAAGGCCCTGGTGGATACCAAGCTCAAGGACGTTCCAGGCTGCAACTGGTACAAAGTGGACGTTGTTCAGATGTTCGCAGGCGTTCAGGTAGCGCCCTTTGTGGAGTACGCCAAAGAGATTGCCAATGACGGCTTCCAATTGTGCGAGGACATTATCTCCCTAGACACCACCAACATCAAGAAGGTGCTAGACGACTCAATTATTCTGAAAGACGCATTGTATGTGTACGAGAAGGTGTGCAATGACGTGATCTAAGGCGTGTGATCAGTATCGTGTTTATAAACAAAAAACTATCATGAAATCAAAATCAAAATCAAATCAAAATCCAAAGAAGCCCGGTAAAGATAGAGGAATTGTGTGCGCAAAAGAAGGGTTCAAGTGGAATCACGAAAAATCGAGGAATCCATTAATATCAGCATTAAAACACAAGAATGCTCATGTGTTTAGATGCCGAATGAAGTCGAATTGAAGGTTCTGGATCGGATCCAGGATTGCGGGTATACTCAGGCTCATCTTTAGAACAACCTCTTGTAGCCAAGACTGGTGATCTTGTTCTTGATCGCAGCCCTGTATTTGATTCCGACAATGAGGGCTCCAATTCCAAGAGCAATAAGCGCAATGAGTCCATAATCGTGGTGGCTAGACTTCTCGGTAGTGTCATCATCTTTAGGGTCACTTGCCTCACCGGAAGTACTATCACTGGCATCTGGCGTACCATCATTGTCTTTGAGAGCAGTCCCGTTCAAAGATCTCTTCTCGAACGAAACGGTGGAAATAACAATATCTGTCATAGGCTTGTCAAATTGAGTGGTAGGCGCTTCTTCAATTTGCTTGAAGGTTTCAGTTCCATCTATAAGTTGTCCGAACACAACATGGTGACCATCCAACCAAGAGGCTTCGCCGGATGTGATGAAAAATTGCGACCCACCCGTGTTCTTGCCGGAATTGGCCATGGCAAGACGGCCAGGTCTGTCATGCTTGAGATGAAAGTTTTCGTCTGGAAGAGCACCTTTGTGAGTGCCGTAAATGGAGTGACCGCCAGTTCCGTCGTGGTTCTCGAAATCACCACCTTGAATCATGAAGTCCTTAATGACTCTGTGGAAAATGTTCTTGTGATATCCAAATCCGTTTTGCATGGTGGCAAGCTGGAAGAAGTTTTCAACCGTCTTTGGTGCCACGGAACCAAAGAGGCCTAGGGTCATATTTCCGATGGGTTCCGAACCTTGGTTGACATGGAAAGTCACTACGTGAGTAATTGGAGGTTCCACCTTGTCGATGGGTGCTGCCGCAATCAGCGACAGAAAAAAAAGAATCACCAATTTGACCGTTAACATCGTGTATCCTTGACTGTTGGTTGGAAACAGAATTGAAAATCTCATCTGACGGCAACTTAAACCCTTATAAAGGCCTCATGCCAGATCTTGCGTGAAGATCGCCCATATGCATTAGGTGCAGATCATTTATCCGAATGCGGCAAGAGTCTTTGATTTCCCGATGACTAGTGAATAGCGGCAAAAAGAGAGTGCATTATTGATGAGGCAATGGACTAAAGATTATAATATTGGCATATACATTTTGAATCTGAGGTGTTCGTAATATATGAGGCAAAAAAAATTATCAAAATGTGGTCTGTAGGTTTATTTCTTTCTTCTTGGTATATAAGGTTTGCCGGATGTTACTTTACGCTCGGCTCGGATTTGTCACACTACCCCTTCGAACCTCCTGAACCGATGCAAGGGGGAATTGTGGTTTTTGAAGGTCTAGAATGAGCTGGGATCCGTACCGGACGGAATTGAAATTTTTTTCACGCCACACAGTACGCAAAATGAAGCGGCTTATCAATTCGCCGAATTGTAAAGACTCTTTATAATGGGTATTTTACTTGCGGTAGTGTACCTGGTCGAGGCCTGTGATCAGGTAGTGCGCCCGAACGAACTTCACAACATGTTACCGTGTTGTCCCTCAATCATTGTTCCTATTTGAGCGTTCTCCATAATTTCAATGGATAACTTGTTCAAAGTCAAGTCATATTCTCAAATAAAGACAGCCGAACCCACTCCAACTTTTGCTAGTTACCCTGAAAATGAAAGCATTTCTAACGGGCCCATTCTCGCTGTCATGGGCACTTGTTTTGCCGTTTTGATGGCACTAACTGTCTATGCTGTCTTTGAAACAGCGCCAAGAAAGAGATTGTTTGTTATAAAAGGCAAACCAGTGAGAACATCTCTTACTACAAAAGAAATTGAGCTTCTGGGGAAACTGAGGTACTTCCTCAAGAATAATGATTACTGCTGGCTGAAGGTTGTGTTTGATAACCGCTGTTATCCGATTGACTACGAAGAGCAAGATGGCTGGATGAACGAGCACACGGGAGAAATTGTTCCTTATGCAGAGACAAGGTACACTCAGGCACCTCAAAAATCACACCCGTTATCCCAGTTTGAAGAGCTTTATCGTTTGAACGTGAAAATCCCTTCTTCTCCGGAAGAAAAAATGCTTATCCAGAAGCTGATTTACGAAGACATCGACATCGATGAGTTTGTGGATCTTTACTACGGACCAGAGCAAAAAGCTATTGATCTGGACTTAGAGATCTGGACCGGAATGACATCCGAAGAGCAAAATGCCTCCATAAAGTCATACTTTGACTCTCAAACAGTGGTCAGCCTACAAGCCCTTAGAAGTCTGATCAACGGATTCCCCGGTTTGAGGCCTGAGTCAGCTCTATTCCTGCAGCAAAAGTTTGTAGAATCCAAATTTTCGTTGTTGTCTATGGCAAACGGAGACCATCCGTTGATGTCGGTATGTGCAATTTTGTTGATCAGAGACATGATCATCTGTCAAGGAGACTTCGAGCTTTCTGTCAGTGTTTTTCTCGATTTTCTGCTCCCGTTATTACGTACTCCTTCAAAGTACACTTCAGTTATGCAGACTACATCAAAGGCAGTGACGATGATGGTGGGAGCTCTTGATCTGAGCTCCGTTTTCATCATCCAATCATCAGCATTTGAGGATATACTTCTTAACGGATGTGTCTCATTCCAGAAGCTGGTGCTGGAAACTATTGTCGTTTGTCTGTGCCGTCACAAAGCTGAGAGGCTGGCTAAGCAGCTAATCAGTTTCGTGATGCCCTTTCTGCCAAAGCTTAGGGAACAACCGGTATTAGTTGATCTGCTGCACAGTATTCCGATTGCGGGAACAGAGCTCAGTCACCCTGCTTTGAAGCTGATAGATGACTATAAGAACCTGTTGATGGATTATGGTGAAAATCTTGGACAAGGGAAGCCTCTACTAGAGGACGGTTACGATAACCGCAACAGAATCCTCCAGCCTTCTAACAAACCTGAAAGCAGATGATGCCACGCATGAGTGGTGGAGTCTGCTAGACGGAGCTACTGTGAATCGCTAATCTACTACACTCATATAAGAATAGAAAAATAATATTATTCTCTGTTGATCAACCTCTCTCTCTCTCTTTCTCTCTCTCTCCGTCAGCTTCTCACTCAATGACATTTTTCTCCTAAAAAAAAGTCAAATAGGATCTCCTCTTCTTAAATCTCCCAGTTTCCCGTTGTTGGTCTCAAGTGAATTTCCAGAATTCTTAGAAAGTTGAACTTTGCCCGGTTCGATTTGACTTTCCTCTTGATATAGACAGAAAACGTGTAACAAATAACAATAGCAAAAAACATGCGTCGCATGAAAAATAGGAAAAAGTTGTAGTGAAGCTCTTCATCTTCGTCTAGAACTAAGGCCAGTCTTGGAGTGCTTGAGAGGAGCTATTCGAAAGCTTCATCCGTGTGTGTGATGGTTGGCCCAAATGGCCTTCAATCTAACAAATCCTCAAAAACAAATCCTCAACTGGTCTCAGTCAACACAAACATCAAGAGGTACAAAAATCAACATCAATCCTAATTGGTTTCCTCCTTTGGCTCTTCTGTCTTCAAGTTCTCGGCAAAGATACCCTCATTCTTGACCTTTCTAAACAGCTCAGCCTGTTGGTCCTTGGTCAACTCGTTCTTCTTCTTGTTCTTAATGTGGTACATTGGGTTGAGTTCTCTCAATTGCAAATTCTTGCAGAAAGGCAGGTGGCCCTTCTTTTCTTCAAACAACATCAAAGCCAAAGTAAGCATCACGAAAATCCAGTAAACATTGTAGGAGATAACAGAGCCGTAAGTGGCACTGTTTTGCCATCCCAACAAAGCGTTGAACACATCCCAACCGTTGTCGGTTTCAGGGTTGCAGCAGTTGACGTGCCATACAGACTTGGAGATGTCGTAGGTTCCTGGACCAGAGCCGTTCTCGGAGGCATCACCACCGGTCTGCTTGTTGTACTTATAGGTTTCGAAGTACCAGATACCTCTGGAAAAGAGACCGGCAGAAATGAGATACAGAATGGCAGTGGAGATACAAAGGAAAATCTGCAAGGAAAGGGCAGAACCACCATAGTACATGATGACACCAACGCTGATTCCAGCGATCAAGCCACAGATAACAGGAAGTGGGAAGGACGAGGCTGGAGTTCCAATACCGACACCACCAACGAAGACAACGGCTTCGAGACCTTCTCTGAGACAGGTGATGAAAGGCAAGATGAAAAGGGCGTACTTTCTGGAAAGGTAACCAATCTTGAAACGATCTTTCTTTTCCTTTGGAACAGCAATCAGGGCACGAGCAATCTTGACTCTCCACTTGTCCTTCATCTTATTGATTCTCAACATGGCAATACCCATGAGCGAGATCAGAACAGTGGCAATGATACAGAAAACACCTTCCCAGATGTCCTCGGAACTGGCCCAAATATCATTGTTGAGGGAGTAGTATGCACCGATGAAGGCACATCCGAGAATCAGACACAGTAATACTCCAAGAACTGCGCCCCACCAGACTTGTTTGACTAATCGCTTATAAACGACCTTGTCGTTGGTCAGACCTTGTTTCAAAAAGGCCAACAGCACAGAGACGACGATCACCGCCTCCAGTGTTTCTCTGAACACGACGAAAAAGATTTCGACGTTAAAGACTTGAACCATTGCAATTTAATACAGTTCTTTGAACAGGAGAGAGAGAGAGGTGATCAAAGAACCTATAAACAGAACGAGTTTTATAGTTGGGAGAGGAATAGCGGAAAAATTCTACCTGGGACCCCACCCACTTTATATATATAAGGGAAAGTTGGACTGCGTCCCAATTGGGGAGAGGAATTTTTTATCAGATTGATCAGATACGGGTTTTTCGGGGCATCCCGATGGAATAGATTGTGCGGTCCAGGCCACTAGCTAGGTGTTGTTAGACGTCAAGCGGGCTGATTTTAGTAGCTTAGGAAATTCAGAAATTCTGTGTGAAGTCTCAGGGAATCTAGCTGTGTTTTATATGTCTCATTATTTCCATGATTCAGGCTTATTCCAGCAATTTGCTCGCCCTTCCGATTGTGCTCGTCTGGGGTGTTCGGGGTGTTTTTTCCTGGCAGCAAATTTGAAAGCCTATTTTCTGATTTTTATCCAAATATCATTGGCTCCGTGCACAACCTAATATTTGTGATTGGGTCCGGCCCGTGTATATTTGAGGACGGTTAATTTCTTGCCTGTGATTGGCACCCCATTACACCCCAAATTTTGAGTCACGTGCGTCTAGCTTTATGTGCTTCAATTAACTGGATGCCGCACTATGTAAAGCCTCAAAGTTTGTGAGGCAACTAGCCAGTTTGAGAGTTTGTGCAAAAACTCCAGTTAGCACTCGTATTGCTGTATAAGTCAAAGGCATCAGCCAGCAGATGCAAGAATGCATCTTCTGCAAACTTTCTAAAATATCAGATTTTAATCTTTGGGTTTCAGCTTTGAAGATTTCTTGCACTTTTCACTTTTTTCTTGAATTATCTGCAATTCCAATAAAGTTTTTGATTCCTAATAAACGGCTGCAATAGCAAGTTTTGATGTGTTCTAACATATTCTAGTACCAACTTTTCAATGTATAACACCCCATAAATGACGATGGTATGGTGACTTTTAGCACGTAGTCCTGGCGTGCAATAAAGTTTGCTATAATGTGCGGCAGAAAGTGTGTATACGCACGACCAAAATCACCCATGCGATGTATCTACGCATGACGCACTAAGACCACGAAGGATATACCTCAAAGGGTACTTCTAATTTACCCAAATGTCTCTGGAATACACGTCTGTGGATCAGATCCCGGCAATTGTGTCAGCCATTAGAAGGAGCTTTCTAGCCACACTTGATTCGAATACTGTTGAATTCCGTGTTGCTGCACTAAAAGCACTGTACTTTGCTCTGAAAGACAACGAAAAAGTGATCTTTGATGCACTCAAAAAAGATTTCAACAGACCTGAAATTGAAACTTTTGTGTTTGATCTCAATACTACGTACTCTGAACTACTTGAACTCATTGGCTCGCTACCCAAATGGCTCAAGCATCAGAAACAATCTTCCATGCCATTGCACGCCCTATTATCTACTTCATACATTGAATATATTCCGAGGGGAGTCGTTCTGGTGATCAGTCCATTCAACTATCCTTGGATGCTGGCTATATCTCCCGTGGTGGGCGCGATTGCTTCGGGAAACAAAGTTGTGTTGAAGCCTTCCGAACAGACTCCCCACACGTCGGCATTGATGCTACGGATATTCCGGGAAACCTTGCCAGGATTGGTTGAAGTTGTGAACGGTGGGTCTGACCAGGTTCAGGCTCTGCTGGCGCAAAAGTGGGATTTGATCCTGTTTACTGGTAGCGAGAAGGTTGGAAAGATAGTTGCGTGCGAGGCTGCCAAGACGCTGACCCCAACCGTTCTGGAACTAGGCGGAAAATCTCCAGCAATAATCACTTCAAATCATGGCGACCTTGACGTATTGCTGGACAGAATTATGTGGGGTGGATTCGTTAATTCCGGTCAAACTTGTGTTGCTGTGGACTACTTGTTAGTTGCAGACTCCGTCTACGAAGAGATCTGCGCTCGCATTGTAAAACGCGCAAACGAAACTTACGGATTACTGGATTCGAAGTCAGAATGGAGTCACTTGATCAACACCAATTCGTTTGATCGTGTGACATCGATCATATCTGATTCCAAGGGAACAGTCGTGTTTGGTGACAAGTCCAAATGGGACAAAAACACCAGCTTTGTACCTCCCACCATTATTCGTGATGTTGGCTGGGAAGACTCCACTATGAAGCAGGAATTATTTGCGCCTATTCTGCCTATTGTGAGATACTCCACGCTGGAGGAGGCTGTGCAAAACGTCACAACCTTCCATGATACTCCATTGGCGCTGTACATCTTTTCTGATGATGCCGAAGAACAAAAGTTTCTCCAAACGAATATTCGTTCCGGTTCCGTCAGTATCAATGATACTATGGTGCATGTTGGAATCATGAGTGCGCCTTTTGGTGGAATTGGTTCTTCTGGTTACGGAAACTACCACGGGCGGTTCTCCGTGCAGACGTTCTCGCATCAGCGCCATGTCTTCAAACAACCTGTTTGGGTGGAGTTTTTGTTGAAGATCCGTTATCCAGATTACTCCGAGCGCAAATCTCAGATATTAAAGATGACCGTGTTGCAGAAGGAGACATTTGCGAGGGAAGGCCACTGGTCTCTGCGGGCTGTGTTGGTTTCATGTGTGGGCATTCTTGCGGTGGGAATTGCATTTTTGGTATATATTTTTTAGCGAGAGAGAATGGCTCATTATATTTGATAAATAGGTTGTGAGACTCGTGGCTTATGAGCGTTTGTGTGGTGGAAGAGAGGACTTATGCAAGACAATGCAGTGGTGCATATTCAACGGGCTCGTTCCGAAAGCTACATTAAGACATGCTTAATTATATACTAATTCTTTCTATATAGTTTGAGAAAAAATACTTCTATGGTCTAGTTCACGATTCTGATTTAGCCAGCGCCTTTTCAAAGTCAAAGTACTGCTTGGCGGCGTCATACAAGGTTTCCTCCAAAGACCTCAATGAACAGCCTACCAGTTCAAGCGTCTTGGAGAAATCAAAGGCTGGCGTTTGAGTTTCAAGATAATGCTTTCCCTCAATAGGATTCCCAACCGGGAACTTGCCTTTGAATTCTGGAAATCTTGAATTCAGCACATCCAGAATGGACTGCGAAGAGAACTTCCCAGAGGCAGTGCAAAGTCTTGCATTGTGCAGTTCTTCTGGATGGAAAAGAGCTTCGACGTGGATAAGAGCAACATCTCTAACATCACAGGCAAGTGAGGCAACATCGTTGAAAGGACCTTCTTTGTCTGGTGGATACGATAGAATGCGATTCAAAAGTTCGGAGCTACCACTGGCAGAAGCTAAACTGCTGGCAAATAGGTGAGGCCCAAAAACATAAGAAGGATGTACGGAAGTATACTTGTATTTGAGTTCCGATTGGTTATCCTCAACGAATTTGCGACTTGCCAATTCAGCCGCCTTCTTGGAATATATGTAAGCCTCAAATTCTTCCTTGACATCGGACCAATCCATTGGATTCCAAGTCTCTTCCGTATGGATGAAAGCCTGGTTACTAAACTCTTCAGCGCGCATAACGGATGCAAATGATGAAGTGACAACAACATGTTTAACGCTGGGTGCGAAATCCCTGACTCCCTGCAAAATGTTCTCGCATCCAGCAACCGCTGGTTTCACATAGAAATCGTATAGATCGGCCACGGCACCAAACGATATTGGCGACGCAGTGTGGATAACATAGTCAAACCTGTGGTTTTTGAGAACTTCATTAAAGGCGCCAGCGGTCTCGATATCAGGAACAATCTCTAGAGCCAGATTGGTGATGTCATGGATCCTGGAGAAGTTGGCCAATAAAGCATCTGCTTTGGCTTGAGACCTGGCAGTACCAACGACTTTGAAATTCCTCTCAAGCAATTGGTCAATTATATGCTGACCAATATACCCAGTTGCACCGGTGACTAGAACTAGAGACATGTTGAGAGATTCTTTTTGAAATATCGAGCTCTAATCTCGTGGAAGGTAAAGGCATTTTCGGTTCTTATATATTATCGACAGTATGACTAAGCTGAGTTCCAAGATTTCATTAAGTTATGTGGTTACCTATCTTTTTGCATTATCTGATTTTGATTCCATCCTTTGTGATATGGGACATCGGACTGTCATTACTAAGTCCGCGCGCCAAGCACTAGCAAAGTCGAAAATAAAGCAATTTATTTTTGCGGATTGAAACATTCGGGGTTTGTTGACTCCATGAAGCCAGATTTGTCATCCAGACTAAAGACGAATTAGCAGTGCCATTGACTATTTGGTAGCGAAATTCTCAGTGGCAGAGCACCTTGCAAGCCCAGAAAAGCCGCACCTAAGAATAGACGTGGGTCCACCATACAGTTTCAATATGAGTATTTTAAGAATGAAAAGTTGCCTAGTCTTCTGGATGCTTGATTATTGTCTATTTATGAGCCTCATTGTAATCCACAATTTGTCTAGCAGTATCGTAGACAGTATCCTCCAGAGTAATGTACTTCTGGCCGAACAATGCCTCAGTCTTGGAAAGATTAGATGAACTCATATTCTCTGCAAGGAATTTCTTTCCAGCAGCTGAGTCGCCAACAGGAATTTTCCCCTTTAATTCTGGGATTCTGGCATTCAAAATGTCCAAGAGAGTCTGTTGGCAGAAAGTACCACAACTCATTACCAAACGGGCATCCTTGAATTTGGCTGCGTCTTGAATACAAAGCAAGTGCGCAAGAGCAACATCTCTTACGTCAATTCCACCACCACTAGGGTCAACAAATGGTCCCTCGGCATCAGGACTCAGTTTAATTGCACCGTTAATCAAATCAGACGAGGTGTTGAGGTTTCCCAAAGTCTCTTCAAACATCTGGGGCCCAAAAATATAAACCGGATTTACCGTAGAAATAGTGAAGTTTGGCTTTTCGTCCTTGACGAAGTCACGGGCAGATCTCTCAGCAAGTGCTTTTGAATAGCAATAGGCGAGGCCGGCGTTAGATTTGGCAGCATCCCAACTCATGGTGTTCCAAGAATCTTCTGTAGCGACGTAGGTCTTATCTTTTATTTTGCCGAAATCGGTAACTGCCGCCATGGAAGAGGTCACAACCACATGCTTAACACCTGGGCCATAGTTCTTGATGGCATTCAGAATTCCGAGAGTTCCGTTTTTGGCAGGGATCACGTAGTTCTTCTCGTTGTCTTCACCGAGACCAAACGAGAACGGAGAAGCAGTGTGCATAACATAATCAATTTCGGGGTGTTTCTTGATAACTTCGTCAAAGGCATCCAACTGAGAAATATCGGCGACGAATTCCAGCTCAAGCTTGGCGTTTGGGTACAAAGTCTTGAAGTTGTCGAGCAGCTTGCCTTTCTCGGCAGATCTCACAGTGCCGATAACACGATAGTCAGCTTTGAGCAATTGATCCACAACATGGAGCGCGAGATATCCGGAAGCACCGGTGACAAGGACTGTGGACATTATTTCTGGGGAAAAAGTGTTCAAAGGAAGGAAGGAAAGGGGCAGAAAGTTGACAGGAGGGCTGAAAAATAGTGTAATGAAACGAAGTTAGTCCGGGAGGCAAGATATGCCGAGGGACGGGGCTTCGTAACGATTGGTTCACGTGCGGCGCAAAATCAGCGAAATTTTGCAATTGTGTTTAAGTCTACATGGTCTTGTGAAGTAGTTTTTCTCAAATTACTGCAATCTTTAGAAAATTACTAACGAAATGCCCTCTATAAAGTGCCCTGAAAACCTTCAGTAGATCGGTCTTCGACAAATCTCAAATAAATTTGAGCCCATCTCGACCAAACAGACCCAAATTTACTGGTGGGTCTTCTTGTAATCCAAAACCTGCTTTGCTGTCTCAACAACACTGTCCTCCAAAGTGATGTACTTCTGGCCAAAGAGAGCTTCACTCTTGGAGAAATCATAAGTCAAAACGTTCTCCTCAATGTACTTCGCTCCGGCGGCGGAATCACCAACTGGGATCTTTCCCCTCAATTCAGGAATTCTTGCGTTCAAGATATCCAAAAATTTCTGAGGATTTTGCTTACCACAGACCATGACAAGTCTGGCATCGTTGAACTTGACTGGGTCTTGGATAGAGATCAGATGGGCACGAGCGACATCACGGACGTCGATTCCACCACCGGAAGGCTCGTTGAAAGGACCCTTGGCATCTGGAGCAAGGTTGAGAACACTGTTAACCAAATCGGAAGAAGTATTGAGGTTTCCAGCAGTCTCCTCAAACATTTGAGGACCAAACACGTACACAGGATTAACCGTGGAGAGAGTGAAGTTTGGCTTTTCCGTCTTGATAAAGTCACGGGCGGACTTCTCTGCAATGGTCTTAGAGAAACAGTATGCATAAGCTGGGTTTGTCTTTGCGGTTTCCCAATCCATTGGGTTCCACGATTCCTCGGTGTGAACATATGAGTGATCTTTAAGATGGTCGTAATCCATGACAGCAGCCAGAGAAGAAGTCACAACCACATGCTTGACATTAGGAGCGTAGTTCTTGGCAGCATTGAGGATACCAATGGTTCCGTTCTTGGCTGGCTTGACGAAGACATCTTCGTTGTTCTCACCAAGGCCGAACGAGAATGGCGATGCAGTGTGGAGGATGAAGTCAATTTCTGGGTGCTTCTTGACGACCTCATCAAAAGCATCCAACTGAGCGATATCAGCAACAAACTCAAGGGTCAGCTTGGAGTCTGGATAGAGGGTCTTGAAGTTGTCCAGGAGCTTGCCCTTCTCAGCAGATCTCACAGTACCAATAACTGCAAATCCGGCCTTGAGGAGTTCGTTGACAATGTGGAGGGCGATGTATCCGGTTGCACCGGTGACGAGGACAGTTTGAACCATTGTAGTGATTTTGATGACGATAAGACTAATATTAGACTTAATGTGTGATAATTAGCAACTTAATTTTAGTAAAAGGAGTGGATCTTCATTGCTTTAAATACTAATCCCAGGAGATCCGGAAAGGTGTCTGGGTACATGCAGGGCCTAAACGGTTAAGGCGGAAACTGAATCAACGGTCAAAAAGAAAGCAAAAAAGGGAGAAACAGGCCTTTTGATTAATAAAGTTGCATCATATTGCATTGGCAGGATAAGCATCTATGCGATTGGCTTAGGGGCTCGGTCTATGCCGATTCTTATTTCGAAGGGATGGAGGCAGTGTTGAAGACCAGCTCTACGGATGGAGAGCAGGGGGTGCTCAACTCCCGGGAGAATAATGTCAAAGGGCAATTGCAACAACCAGATGTGAAACCTCAAAGCAATCAAGTTTCTACAATTTTACTATTAGCGATACTTTACATAAAATTAGGCCGAAGTCGAAAACCAGAGATCCCCACGACAGAGCCGGCCCAAACCACAAAAACCTGGGAACATAACAGCAGGTACAGGTCCTTTTAGAAGACTTTTGAAGCGTGCGGCACGCAAAGTCTTCAAGGCAGATTTTCTATGGTGAGTTCCACCGGTTTCTATTGTGTTTTTCCGGTCCCGGCATAGGCGAGTCGCAAACAGGCGAATAATTAGCAGAGCACTACCTTTTAAGGCGAGAATCCAACGTCTTCGGATAAACTGAACATTTCTTTTTCTTCGAATATCCGGTCAGATGCCGTCAACCAACGGCTCTTCAGAGTTGACATGTATGGAAGGGATCTGTGATTTGACCTAAAATGCGGACTGGTCCGAGAGGCTCTAGAACCCGTCATTGCGTTAGTATCACTAATACGGAGTTTGGGCAAAACAGTAGGGTTCGGAGCCTAAAATATTATGATGTAGACCATATGGAGTTCATTCCGAGTCCTTGAAATTCAATCTCAATTCCAAAGCTTTGCGTTCTATTTGGTATTTAATCCTTGGGAGGACGATATGATACACTCTGCTGTTTCCGTATCCTCTCCCACGACGATTCGTCCGTATCCACATCCTTGATGCCCTCCTGCTCAGGCTCGTCAAATCCAAAAATATCGTCTTCATTCCGATCCTCTTGCTCTGTGGCATGGGCGCGTCCTTGGGACTTCCTCACCTTATCCCACGCCGGTGATATAGCCTCGGAATCCACGAAAACGCCAGATCTATTCTCTGTCCTGGCCGTATTCAAAGCCTTTTGTACATCGTTCGGGTCAGGTAGCTTCCGATCGTTCGCAAAGTAGTTCCTCCACATGAACGCCATCATTGTGGGATATGGAGTGAGTTCAAAAGTCTTGCGGACTTCCACATCCTGAGCTTCCAGCCTCGCCAATTGTCTTCTAAATAGCATGGGACCGCAGAATTGAGGCAACACAAACCCACCAACCATTCCACCAAGTGTTTGATGAAGTGCGGTCATCTTTGTTGCCTTTCTGCCGTTTATGCGGAGCAATATCAATGGTATCGAGCCTCCCAGTGCTAATCCAGCGATACCAATCAAAGACTGTGACACCGTGATTCGGTAAAACACATCTGCCAGCTGCAGTCTCTGCTGTTTTCCCAAGTTGTGTTCATGTTCGTAGAATTTGACGTACTCATCGGGTATTTGCTTCTTCTGCGGAGGCATTGTGTGTTCTGCAGTTGAATTGGCAGAGGCTAAGCGTTGCCCTCACACTATCAGCCGACTTTGCCTCAGAACTTAGATCCCCTCAAAAGTCGTGTGCTGAACCCAAAACAAGAACGAAAGGGGAAAAAAGACCACAATAATAGACTGCACACTACTTATCAGTAGACTATTTCTATGGTCTCCTCCCCAGTTTTTAAAGGTGTCTCCTCATTCCTCACCGCTAACCCAACTTTCTCCTGATTTCAGATAAAACATGTCTCTACCCAAAGCTAACACACCCTTACTCAAACCCGCGTTGTTTGTCCACCTTGAAGCCGAGGATGGCTTACCAATCTACTCTGAGTCTACCGGATCTATGAGTTGCGTTCGCGTCAAGTCCGGCTACATCACCGGAGTCGGCAAGAATCACCCATTTGAAGCCAAGATCAATTTCGGATTTGATGACATCCGTCTGAGTCCTGGTAGCTCAACAGGAATCCTGGATTGCCACCTCTATGGTACCACTGCTAAGGGCAAAGGTCTCTTTATCCACTATACTGGGGTAGTCCACATGGTGGGTACAGTTGCTGAAATCCTGCAGAACAAAAAGTCATACATGGACTTCGATGATGGATATGTCACATGTTCACCAGACGACTTCAAAATTGATTCTGGAGCTGAAGAAGAGTGGGTTAAGGACCAGAAACTGAGCGGGAAGGGCCGGTTTTTGCGCAACAGCGAGGGAGGTTTAGTTGTGCAATATTATCTGTATGAAGTGGAAGGGTTGAAGTCTTCTTTGTGAGAATCTCGAGCGAATTAAGCGCAGTGGAGGTCGTTTTTGAAGCATTGGTGTGCTTTAAGGCCCACCCCCCCTTCTCACGCACTTCCGTCTAACCTACCTTCGTCTTTAAAGTCCTTATCTATTACTGTGAACGCAATAATCTGTAGCTTCTTTTAATACATGCAATACTCAACCGAATCCGCTTCTCTGCGTCACTGGGGTACATGAAAATCCCAGAACCAGTCCTCCGTCCGTTTATTGCGCTTCCAAGTCAGCCTTGAACTTTGCCTGCGCAAATCTCAAGCCACAGTATCCACAAGAGTTGGCGCGCTTCTGGTCCAGGTTAATAAATACTTTAGGGTGGCCCTGAATTCCTGTGTTTCCATCGCAAACGGCAACGTTACCGTGCTCAATATACCTGATTGGCTGCTTGGCGATCAAATCAATGGCAGCATATGGTCTGGGCTGCTTCTCAAGATCCTTGCCTTCAAATCTGGGACCTGTCATTGCCTCAGATCTGGGCCTTTGCGACTTGGACCATGGGGCAATTCTGTTAGGTGCCTGCTGCGTGAGGTCTTGGGGATCGGCCACGCCAACGTCCTTGAGAGTGGCCGTTACTTTCGAGCTCTGGTGACGTATTTGCCTGACACTGTAAACTCCTCTTCTCAGCATGATTTGTTGGGTTGGGGTGGTGATGGTGGTGATGCTTATGCGAAAGACAACGTTTGGATTTTTATTGGTCGTGAAGATGTGGTTAGTCAACCATTATATAAGCAAAATATGTTTCATGCACAACCTTAGGAAATGGTCCATGGCTTATATAATGTAATATTCTTTTTTGTAAATGGTAATCACACGTCAGAATTTTTCAGTTTTTCAAAACTCCATCTCCATGATAGCTTGAGCGGCTTTGCGAACCCAACATCGTTGCGCTTTCACCATTCCCTTTGACCAAAAATGTACATATTTCGGCGGAGTCCAGTGCGACTATTTCACACTACAGCAGTGACGCTGAGAGTGCGCCGGGGGCCTCCGAAACAGAAAACCGTGTTGACCCCAGACGAGCTGGTTAAACATGCAACTACAGCGACCCTTGACGAGATCAAGAACGGACTCGAATACCGCAATCAACTGCGATTTGTGAAACCGAACGAGTCATGGCTTGCAAAATCTTTGGGACTGAGCCCGGAATCGCCTAAATTTTGTGAGGACACCATCGCCAACAGAGTGAAGATCAAGAACCTGCTTTCCAATAAGTTTGGCAAGATAAATCGTTCTTTCACTGCCACCGAGTTCCTACACTCACCACTAGACGTGGGTGATGTTGTGGATTTATCGTGCTCATTTGAGAGTAGCGAACTTGCCGTGGTGGTTGAATTGCCCATATCGCTAGAGGATCCTCGCTATTCCTTATTAACCCATACTGGAGAACTGAAGTTCATGAGATCGTCGTCACTTTCTTCACGTATTCCGCGCTTTTTTCCAAAAAAATGGTTTGAGAATTGTGTGTTCAACGAGCGTTATTTCCTACGCGACGATTCCGTTCTATTGACCGGATCTCCACGGTTTAAGGAAGAGGACGCCAGAGGAACAGGTGGGGTTGTCGAGAGTGCCATCTCAAAGGCGATTATCCAGGGCGACGACTCATTGGAAACTTACATAGTGCCTTCACTGTTGGCTGGAATTGTTTCTTATGAATTGTCCAAACTTCTGACGGAATCGTGGTCGTTACTACCCGCAATGAACATGAAGCTGGAGCTAATACATACCGCAATGCAAAACTCGGAATCCGTCACGAAGGTTTCTATTTTTCAGATTGTGGATGCGATTAATGCCACCGACTTGTCACGCCTGTCTCGCCAAGTTGTGGATGCCGACGCAGAGGTAGTTATACATGGGTTCAAAGGGCTCTCCAAGTCTGCTGGTGAGGCCATGCATCTAGAGTCTCATTTCAATGAGATGGCTTATGGCCGGCAACTCGGAGAACTTGAGATACACCGAAAGATATATGCAGATATATTTTACAGTCTCGTGCTCGCTTTGCGGAAGAACTCGCAACTATTCTACAGCGACACAGACGCTCTGAGTCCGGTGTCTGTAGCTCTCATACCGCTGGAAACCATAGTGAGGCTAGATGCATTGGTCACAGACATGAAAGACGACCCATATCTCTTCACGTTAGTGACAACATACATGGGTAAGCTTCTTTGCAACGAGGACGTTTCCGAGTTTGATGTGCCCGATGATTTTCACGAGGTAATCCACATGATGAAGCTGTATTGTGGTGGCAGTATTGCGGATGAAAAAATGGAGTCTTTTGTGGTCAAAGTGATAAGATCGCTACCCAAGTTCGGCGAAATGGATATCTCGCGTGCTCTGGTCTATGACATCTTGCTGAGACTGGGAGAGATTTCAAATACTGATAGCCCAGTGAATTGGTGGCTGATGAATCCTTGCACTTCCCTTAAAGCTGAAATGGAGCAGGAGTATTATGACTCAATTACCAGTGAGATTCTTGGCCTGCATACCACTACAGATCGCGCAAAGTCTATTCGCAAATCGTTCCGCGAAGAGGTAGTGTATTGCATCGACGCTGCAGACGCGCACGAGATCGATGACGGTATATCAATCCGAAAACAAGACGGAAAATGGACGGTTTCGGCATTTGTCGCAGACCCTGCATCATATCTGTCACCCGACTCACCCATCTCACAGATTGCATTTGAACGTGCATCAACTTTGTATTTCAGAGACGGATCGTCTGTTGGGTTGTTACCTAAAGCACTCGTCGATGCATCTCAACTTGGTCATCAAAAAGATACTCGTGTGATGCGGTTTGCCTTTGACTACGATTCTATTACTGGCGATGCAGACTTCGAACAGGCTCATGTCAACGTTGGAACTGCCTCCTTGTTTGTAAAGATCACATATGATGAGGTTGACGAGATTCTCAGCGGAGACTTCTCAGACGCAATTACACAAAAACTGCAGGAGCAAGGTGTCTCGCTGGAGCATGTGCGCGAAGACCTGGAATCACTGCATCGCGTGTCGACGACCTTGCAGAGAAAGAGAATGCAACAAGGAGCACTAAGCAACACGTGGTTCAATCGTATAAACTTAGAACGTGTTGAGGAAGTTGAAGATAATATCGAGATCAAAGTGAAGCCCAATAATATCACCACTCCATCTCAGACCCTTGTTTCGGAGATCATGATTGCGTCCGGTCGTATCTGTGGCCATTACATGGCGTCCAACAGCATCCCTGCGGTTTACAGGTCGGTTCCTGCTATTCCACAGTCTGATGCGGTTACGAATGAGATTGATGCTATCCGCACAGGAGCTACAGCACCTACGTTTGCGAACCTGATGCACCTGTCAAATTTTGTGGGTAAATCTGCATTTTCTGTGCTTCCATCGCCACATGCGGGACTTGGAATTCCTGTTTATGCCAATTGCACCTCTCCGCTGCGGCGGTTCTGCGACATGCTAAACCATTGGCAGATACAGGCCCATCTGATGCGCACGGAATTGCCACTTACAGAAGAAAACTTGTCATTTGCAGCGGTACACCTCGTTTCACAGGAGAGCATCGCATCCAAATTGGACAGAAGATCATCGGCATTCTTTATGTTCAAGTACCTGGAGCACGAGTACCAAGACCCTTCACGTACGTTAGCGGTGATGGTTACCGGAATGGCGTCAAAAGAGGGAGTCATTCCGGTGATGCTAAAGCAATACGGAGTCCGTGCCGTCATGCGTGAGTGCCTCGGCGTCGACACGTTGCATAAAAAGAAACCACTTGCGAGTCTCAGTGTTGGTGATACGATAGAAAACACCAGAATCGTTGGACTTGATGTCATTGAGGGAAATATGATATTAGAGTCAGACATGTATTAGCCTGCAGCAGGCATGTATGATTGAATGAAAGATTGTATATAGAATAGTGATGAAACGGAAACATAGCATTGAAGATTTGAATATCAGTAGCGCCACAGTATTTATCAGCTTTTTGACAGTTCTTAAAAAATTACGAGAGAAAAGGTTAAACAACAATGTTTTGGAAAAGTCTCAGAGGTTCAATCAGTCATTTAACGAACTCAGCTGTTTTCAGCACAAGTAGAATGACATTTCTGTGGTTTTAAAACCTCTTGAAAGCCCTTGTAATCGTTTGAAATTAATCATTTCCGTTCAAAGTCATTGGCTACAACACCAGACTTGTCACACATCTGTCTGAAGATTGTACTCTCGTCCTGAAACAAATCCCATGGCTTATCGAACTCGCTGATCTTCCCATCATCAAGCACCAATATCCGGTCGTAGTTAACAATCGTCTTCAATCTGTGAGCCACGCATAATATGGTGCACGAGGCAAACTCACTGGAGATAGTGGCTTGGATTTTAGCGTCAGTATCGTAATCCACTGAGGAAGTGGCCTCATCCAGGATAAGGATTTTGGAGCCACGAATCAAAGCACGCGCCAGAGCAATCAATTGGCGTTCTCCAAGTGAGAAATTTGCTCCATCGTCCTCGACGTTCTGTCCCAGATGAAACTTATGCAGATTGTCGTCGTCCATGGCCTGCAATTTTACCTGCTTCAAAATGGAACCTTCAATTAGGCCACTTCTGCGCAGCGCGTCCCACAAGAGCTCATCTTTGTGCTCATGGAAAGGATCGAGATTGCTTCGGATAGTACCCTGGAACAAGACAGGGTCCTGGGGGATGATGGCCAATTTTGTCCTCAAATCGTGCAACCCGATAGTAGAAATGTCGATACCATCGATCACTATGCGTCCCCCGGAGTCAATCTCTGAAAGTCGGTACAGTGCAGTCGTAATCGAGGACTTTCCGGCACCAGTACGGCCACAGATTCCAATCTTTTCTGAGCCTCTCACTTCCATGGTCAGGTTTTTCAACACAGTTGGTAATTCTGGCCGGTAACGCAAGGACACATTTTCGAATTCAATCTTGCCTTCTTGAGGCCATTCGGGTGGTGGGGTTTTCTCAGAAATCTTGAAAGGAGCTTCTTGATCCACTCTGAAGCCGTAGTAATCCAACCTCTCTACTGAGTTCATCTGAACCTCAATCTGCATGGCTTGGTTCAACAACATGCCCAACAAACCAGCGAGCATGAGGACGTTAGTGAGCAATAGACCCACCGAGGCAGCCGAGATGTGGAAAACTCTAAAGACACAGAGAAGAGCAATGATAAGAACTATAGTGGATGCCAAGACGGCAACTCTAATAGCTAGCCAGCGCATAGCCGCGAAACTCACATAATAAGCCTCATTCATTGTATCGATCAAGGAGTCATTGAGAGAGACAAACCGTTTCTCAGCCTGATATGCCTTGATTACCTCCATGCCCTGCAATGCCTCATTGAAATTGGAATACACGAACGATCTCTGCAATGATTCAATCCGCTTGATTTCACGAGCAGAAGCCTGGTAGTAAGAAGCGAAGGCAGCGTAAAAAAATCCTAGAAATGGTACTGCAATTGCAAACCATGGCAAATAGATGATGCAAAGAACCACAACTCCTATCAAGGTCCCCACCATATTTCCAAAAAGTACGATTAGCTCTGGAAGCTCTTTATCTACCACTTCCGTATCTTTGGTGAACCTGTTTAGGACTCTTCCCATGGGAGTGGTGTCCATGAACGACATGGGTATGCGCATCAGGCGACGTATAGCCTCAATATTCAAGCGTATGGCCGCCGTGTTGGTGAGGTACAGCAGCACAAAAAACTCTAGGAAACCGAAAATCATCGCAGCTATGGCAAACATCACGTAAATACCAATAAAGAAGCCGTTGCTACGGTCAAATTTCTTCTCCGTCCAAAAAGTCAACCAAGTGTTAGTGAAAAGCTGGCAAAACACAGTACAAGCCCCTGTAATCAGTAGCAAAGGCGCAAAGGCCGCGCCAAATGAACCTGCTCCCATTTTGATATACTTTTTGTAGATCCCAAACTCAATGGCATTGACAGCTCGGTCTTCAATCTGCATCAATGTGCCATCGAATTCTTCGGGATAATCCGAATCTGGATCAGCTTCACTGATAGATTTGGGGACAGTTTCGATCCGGATGAGCTCTTTGTCATCTTTCAATATCCCAGGGTCGTGGTTGATTATTTCTTCTTCACCAGCTTTGTATTCGTGTTTCTCACTTGCCCTCAATTGCATCAACTTGGAGAAACCTTCGTTACGGGCAAGCAAATCCCCAGTTGTTCCAACGTCTATTGAGCCATCTCCATTCATGAATATCACACGGTCAGCAGCAGAGATCAATGATAGTTGATGAGTAGCCAGGACACGAGTTTTGTTCTTCAGTAGTCCCAAAATGCACGCCTGCATGATATGCTTACCTACACGTGCATCTACTGCACTGAGTACATCGTCTAGCAAAAGAATGTCCGGTTCAGCATAAACCGCACGGGCCAAATTAATTCGTGCCTTCTGGCCTCCGGATAGCGTAATACCTCTCTCACCAACCTCGGTCATATCTCCAGCAGATAAAGTCTCCAGATCAGCTTCCAAAGAGCATGCGCTGATCACGTTGTCATATTTCTGCTGGTAAAACTGCTTTCCAAAGATGATGTTCTCTTTAACGGTGGCATTTTGGACCCACGGGTTACCACACAGCAAGAGATCGCCAATGGATGCCACATGGCCCTGGGTACGGTGCATGAAGCCAGAAAGAGCATACAATAAAGAGGATTTACCCGAGCCAATGAGACCCGTCACTACCACAAATTCGCCCTTGCGAAGTTCCAGGTTGATGTTGTTCAGTCCTGGAAAACTCGTTTTTTCAGGGCCTTTCAGCTCTGGATCTGGCTTGGCTTCAACATTGGGAACCTGCCCATCCTTTAGGTCGGCCTCCTCTTCTTCTGCTTCGAACGTTTCCCACTCGAAACAGGCATCAACTGCACGTAAAACAGAGCCAGAACTCTCCAATGTTTTTTTGATCAACAAGAGTTCAGAATCCAAGTCTTGCTCGTCAATATCACCTGAACAAACGTATTCCAAGACACGCTTGACAGCCACCAGGGCATCCGTTGCAGAACTAAGAGCCACTGGAATCATAATCAATTGTGTCGCAAATTCCTCGAACAGGGACAGCGACGAGAAGATATCAGCAACACTGCGTGACGAGTTGATCCTATAAAGCACGAGGAACGATACCAATGAGCAAAGTGTAGGCAAAGTGGTCGCGCAAGCCACCATAATGCACATGATCGTCTGAATCATCAGTACATTGTGCATTTCCGAAATACGGACGGCCGTAATGTTCTCCAAAAAGGACGATTCCCACGCGTAGTACTTGATCATCTTGAAGTTCTTGAGCAACTCTTTTATCAAATTCACTCTTGCATCCGTGAACTTGTTGGCAGTAACTCTAAATGACATCAGCTGCTTGACAATACCACCCAGTAAACCCCCAAACACAAAGAAGGACGCGATTCCTACCAACGCCGTAGGTCCAATGTTGACGATCAACAACACGATGATCACAATCATCGGGAGCGGGAAACCGAAAATAAAAGGAAGATACGCCACGGCAAAGTCAATTCTGGACAGATCCGTCCCCATGATAGTAAAAACTTTTCCGGTAGGGAAATCGTGGCGGGACTTGCCGGTCTGCCTGAAGGATTTCTCCAACATCAACTTGGTAAGAATAGCCTTTACTTGAGAGCCAGTCAACATTGCGAGATAGAAGTAAATGCTTTGCATGACTCCTTGAAGCAACACAAAAAGGGCACAACCGAAGGCAAAGCCCAATCCCTTTCCCACATGGGGTTCCAAACCATTGGCACGTTTCTCCACGAAGCTGATTAGAGACTTTTGCAGCAGAGGAGTCGTTGTGACAGCAAGATCAGCAATTGTCTTGAAGATGAAAGCAACCGTATACTGGCGGAAAAATGTTTTGTACAAGAGCAGGGCAAATCTTGGCCATGGATATACGAAATCTGCAAGGTCTTCCTCCTTCCTGATCGTGGACGTTTCAAACGATTCACCACGGGCAATACGTTTTGCTTCAAGGTGCTTCTGGCGTCGAAGAGCCAGATCAGGCTCAAACTTGGCAATGAAAATGGAATAGTAATATTCGACCTTGAGATCTTCGGTTAAATACCACAGATCTTCGGGCTCAAGGGTTCTCCGGTAGCCTTTAGTGAGTAGTGGGTCCAGCCAAGTAAAAAACAGTTTCGAAAAGATATTCGCACGGTTGAAAGGATATTCATGACGGTCTTCTTGTTGAGTAAATGGTGGAATCTTTTTGGAAAATGCCCAACTGAGCATTCTTTTTTGGCGTATAGGTTCAGACATGGTTGCACGAGGAGATTGGCCTACAGGAGATAACAAATTCGAGACAAAATCTCGAAAACAGACGGTTTCGTAGCCAGATCACAGCAAAAATAGATTGAAATGATCTTCTACTGCTGGTCCACTGTCTGCTCACAGAGGTATAGTTTCGATCAGTAAGAATTTGTGTAGATCAGCAAGCAAAAATGCATAGTGGAAAACGGACACCCACCATTGATACGGTAACAACAGTGAATTATATACGGCTGATAGACGTGCCTTGGGTGGCAACGGCAGATAATATTGCATCGAAGAATGAAATGCGGGTATATGCAGGACAGGAGACGCCCCTGCCCGGGGATATATGCATCACCAAGTCAATCGCCAGAATCCCGAGACTTTCTAGTAGACTATTCAATGCGGAAGATTTACATACAATTAATTTCCAGACTCAGGAACGGCGATGAACCCCGACGACAGTAAAGGTTTCTTTCGCAAAATTGTTCAACTCGGTGAGCCAAGGTGCCATGAAGGGGCTTCAGCCGTGCAGGTCGAGTGGCAAACCATAAACAGCCCTGGCAAGCGGCTGCAGGACGCTTACGCTTCGATGAGGCTGGATATTGGGTTTGGTAAACTCTCAATCTAAAATTTTGGCCTGCCCGTCAGATAGAGGAGACCTTCTATGTGACCAGCACAAAGGAATGGCCCAAGGCAGTACACCTTTTGGTCCCAAGACCCTTTATTGTTTCAGCCGCACCTTCACGTGTCGTCAACATTGCGCGGCGCTATGCATCAAACCAGAAGTCGGACAAAACTAAACTCCGTGAAAGTTTCAATATAATATGCTACAGTTTCGGATGTTTTACAATTGCGTACTCTTCGGACTTAAGAACGTCCTGGATCGTAGACGCCCCTTTTTTAGCGCTTATTGCCGGGCTGTTAAACTGCAAAGCAGGTCGTGTACAACCAAGCAAAATAGCCGCTCACATTGAGCGGCTCAATGCTCACAGAGCCACTCAGTCGGATGGCAGTAAGCTTATGTCCGATACTTGTCACCCGGAAACGGCAGGCAATAAAGTACAAAAATTTAAAGCAAGAGAGTTAAGGCCTTGTCCATGCGGTTCGTTATTCGGATATAAACTTCAATCTTGATAAATTCTAGTTTAGATCCCTGTTTGGTGATCCTCAAATCCTAATCTGAATCAGACGTTATCATCCCCGGTTAAGCAAGACTTGGCCTGCATGTCAGACACAAGCCGTTTTTCTTTGCGCCAAACTGAATTTTAGAGTGGGAAACACCCGACAACCCACGCTTTATCTATTCCCGCCCACTCTTTTGTTCATTTCCTCGGTGTTTGCAATCGCAGAAAAATCCGAGCTCGTCGGAGTTACGCACCTGCCAACGACCCCGGCTTCCCAGATCTTCCCGAGGACCGACAGCGAGCTAGCATTGAAAAAAGGCGGAGCCCAAGTTGCGGTTTAATACTTCCTCTTTTCTAGAGTAAGAGAGACAGGCATGATGGCGACACAAAAACCTCAACGGCGGTTAATTACTTGGCTGTTAAACAAGCGCGTGCCTCCCATACCGTCGGAGGAGGAAAAGCGCGTGCTTCCAGAGGCTGCAGCGGGCCTTATAAACCGCACCTTGGTTATATGGGCCTTCCCCTTCATGATGACCGGGTACAAGCGCTTGATTACTGAAAATGATCTTTATTTGGTGCCCGAAAATGCCAAAGTGGACAATATGGATATCATCTTCCAGCGCAACTTTTCAGCCCGTATGGCCAAATCAGCTCCAGGCGAATACTCTCGCTGGATCTTAATGCTGTCGTTATGGGACACTTTCAAATGGGAATATGTCTGGTGCATTTGGTGGAAATTGCTTTCTGATCTGCTCAGTGTGACATCTCCCTTACTTTCCAGAGAGCTCATCCGTTATGTCGAGACCAGGACTAAACCAGTGGGTGTTGGTGTCGGATATGCCATCGGCACTACCTTGTTCATCTTTTTCAGAGGGCTCCTACAGGCCCATTTTTTTACTGGAGGTCAAAGTGTCGGGATAAAAATGAGATCTGTGCTTACCAAAGCTGTCTTTGACAAATCTTTTCAATTGGACGAGGCTGGTCGCCATGAATTCCCAACCAGTACCATTACCTCAATCATGGGAACCGATCTGGCTAGGATTGAGTTTGCACTTACTTATATGGGAAACATCATCACCTTGCCTATTACATTTTGCATCTCATTGGCATTCCTGATAGTGTATATTGGACCTGTCTCCCTTAGTGGGGTTGCGGTGTTTCTGCTAATTATGTTTCTGGTTGTCTATCAAACCAAGTACCTCATGCAGTTTCGCAGAAGAGCGTCTCTTTTCACAGACCAGAGAGTGAGCTATGTCAAGGAGCTACTCAATAACATCAAGATGATCAAGTACTATTCTTGGGAGGACTCGTATATTGCCAAAGTCACCAAGATTAGAAATGCCGAAATGAGTGAGCTCATGAAGATCCAATCTGGAAGAGCCATTGCAGTGGCTTTGACTCTGTCAATTCCATATCTTTCTTCTATGGTGGCATTTCTGGCCATGTGGGGAGTCGAGGGACTCCGCAGTGTTGCCGATATTTTTACTTCATTGACATTTTTCAATGTTCTTGCTCAACAGGTCTTGATTGTTCCCATGTCTTTGTCGTCTACGGCTGACATGATTGTGGGTTTAGAACGTACCAGAAAGTTGCTTCTGTGCAACGAGATCGACCCTGCTGAAGATTATAAAAATCTGGATTATCCTGAGGACCGCGGGGGAGATAGTGCTATCATCATGAAAGAAGCTAGTTTTGCATGGGGCCATTTTGAAGACGAGGATAACACCAAGAAGAAGAAAACTGAGAGCTTAGAGCAGGGAACGATCACAATGATTGAACATTCAGAGTCCTCCAATAAGCTTTTGGAAAATCTGCCTCATTCGTCAAACTCGTCATCTTCATGCCAACCGTCCACACATTCAACAAACTCAAACCACTCCCAAACAAGCATTTCCGAGACTGAGAAGCTCTCTGGCTTGCCAGACCCATCCATAGGACATAACCGGTTTACCGGACTTCATAACGTGAACCTAGATCTCGCCCGCGGAGAGTTTGTGGTTATTACCGGCATGATTGGGTGCGGAAAAACGTCACTCTTGAACGCTATGGCTCGGAGAATGAAGCAGGAATCTGGCTTGTTGGAAGTGAACGGTTCATTGCTGCTTTGTGGATTTCCTTGGGTCCAAAACCAAACTGTAAGAGAGAATATCACATTTGGCAAGCCGTTTGATCAGGACAAATATGACACTGTGATCCATGCATGTGCCTTGGAGGATGATCTAAAATTATTTGAGGCAGGAGACATGACAGAAGTTGGTGAGAGAGGTATCACGCTCTCTGGAGGCCAGAAGGCAAGACTCAATTTGGCCCGTGCGGTTTATGCTGATCCGGACATTCTTTTGCTAGACGATGTACTCAGTGCAGTAGATGCACGTGTGGGCAAGCATATCATGAACGAATGCATTTTAGGAATATTAAAGGACAGAACTCGTGTCCTGGCTACTCATCAGCTGTCGTTGATTGGTGCTGCTAATCGCGTGGTATTTCTGGATGGTGATGGTGAAGTGGCTATAGGGTCCATTGACGAGCTTAAGGCAACACGCCCAAATTTCGTGAAGCTAATGGAATACAGTAACCAGCACGATAAGGCGAACAAGGCAGCTGAAAGTGAAGAAGAACAATTGAAGACCATTCAGGTCATTTCTCGCCAGCAGAGTAACCTCAAAGAGTCAGGTACCCTAATCAAGGCCGAACAACTTTCTCAAGGAGTGGGGCTTTTGGTCTACAGACGTTTTATTTGGCTTGGTGCTGGAAAATTGGGCATTTTTGCAATTCCGTTGGTTCTCTTAGCAGTTGTTCTTTCGTCTTTCATGCAAATGTTTTCCAATGTGTGGCTTTCATTCTGGACCGAGTCCAAATTTCCGATTTCCAATGGTACTTACATTGGATTGTACGTGCTTTTCACGTGTTTGATCTTGATTTTTGTGGCAATTTTATTTGCTTTAATGGCCTATATTACCAACAGGTCTGCTGAATTGCTCAACGTACGTTCTATGATCAAAATCTTGCATGCACCAATGTCATACTTCGATACTACTCCCATGGGAAGGATCATCAACAGGTTCACCAAAGACACAGATGTTGCGGACAACGAACTGACCAACCAGGTGAGACTTCTGATCTATGCTTTTGCGCTTATTGTTGCCACACTGATCATGTGCATCATCTACATTCCGTGGTTTGCCATAGCCATTCCGCCGTTACTACTGGTTTACGTGATAATGTCTGATTTTTACTTGGCATCTTCCAAACCCGTCAAGAATCTGGAGGCCATCAAACGTTCATTTGTCTACAATAATTTCAACGAGTCGCTCACTGGAATGGAGACCATCAAGGCTTACGGCTTGACTGCCGTGCGGCGGTTTATGGAGACCAACGCCCAGTCGCTCGACAGAATGAACGAGGCTTCCTTCCTGCAATTGGCCACTAGGAATTGGATTGCTGTCTACATAAACGTGATTTCCACAAGTGTGGTCTTTTTGGTGGCTATCCTGAGTGTCACTGGTGCTTTTTCGATCGGCGCAGCCAGTGTCGGATTGCTTATGTCCTACACCTTGCAGATTTCTGGCTACCTTTCGTTTGTAATCCGGTCAATCACTATGGTCGAAGGCTATATGGTTTCGGTTCAGCGGTTGGTGGAATATGCGTATGATCTGGTCCAAGAAGCAGATTACGAATCTTCGCCTGGAAATGAGGTCGCCGACTCATGGCCTACATCCGGCGCCATCGAATTCCAGAACGTTTCCATGCGTTATCGTCCCACTTTGCCGATTGTTCTTAAGAATGTCAGCTTTGCAGCTGAGGCCTCGGAGAAAATTGGCATCTGTGGCCGGACCGGTGCAGGAAAGTCGACTATCACGAGTGCTCTCTACCGATTCGTGGAGATAGAGGAAGGCGGAAAAATGCTCATTGATGGTGTAGACATCTCGAAAATTGGACTCAGGCCCCTTCGATCAAGGCTTTCGATCATTCCGCAAGACCCGGTACTTTTTAAAGGAACGATTCGTGAGAATTTGGATCCTTTCAAGCAGAAGACTGATAACCAGCTATGGGATGCTCTGAGACGTAGTGGTGTGGTCGAGGAAACACAATTAGCTCTTGCAAAGTCTCAGAACAATGAAGGTAAATTTGAAATGCACAAATTCCATCTGGACCAACACGTTGAAGACGGCGGCAGCAACTTCTCGCTGGGAGAACGTCAGCTGATCGCATTGGCTAGGGCACTTGTGCGTGATTCGAAAATTCTCATTCTGGACGAAGCCACTTCCTCAGTGGATTATGAGACAGACTCAAAGATTCAGAAAACAATTGCGACAGAATTTGCGGCTTGTACCATTCTTTGCGTTGCACACAGACTGAAGACAATTGTGAATTACGATCGGATCATGGTGCTGGACAAGGGTGAGATCATTGAGATGGATAAGCCGTGGAAGCTGTTTCAGACTGGAGGAGTCTTCAGAGATATGTGTGATAAGTCTGGGATAGTTGAGGAGGACTTTGAAACAAAATAAAGAAATCAAAGAGGAAAAGGGGAGATCAGAGTTGATGGACCTACATGCTGTGAGTGATGCAGGTTGTCATGCAAGTGATTATGCAGGTAACAGCACAGTCCAAGTGGCATTAATAGTACAACATGCATGAAATGAATTAATTTAATTAATAAAACGACAATTATGTAGTTTTATTTATCTAATTTGTTGACGGGTATTGGTATTCTGCAGCTCTAGCCGCTACATTTCAATTGATAGCGGAACTGTCGAAACTTCTGCATTCTTGTTGGAGCAAACGACTAAGATTCGTTGTAATGAAGTTGATTCGATTCTTTAACTACATCATTCTGGGACGTCCCATCCCTAAACGCTTCTTTCCAGTCCCAGACGTTACACCTCTCGGTGGAGCAAACTTGGGCGAGTTGACCAAGGGTTGAAGAGGACTGTTGGAATGACCCGTTGCTGAAGAGATCGAAACCTCCGAGTTCGCGCCCCTCCTCTCCATGTTAATATGCGGCAGTCTATTGAGATTGCGTTGCCCTTCCTGCCCTTCGAATTTTCTCTTGAAACGCCCGGATAGACCACTAACTTCTCTTGGAGCGTTCATTGGAGCATACAGAGCCGTAGTGATTCCAGACCCCACGATTGCAGCACCACCGATAGCCTCAAGCAGTTGACGTTCTTCATCACTAACCGACTGAAATTTCTTCGTCATTGCTTCATACAGCAGTTTTCGTATACCCAGGTCAAGAGTGTCCAGTTTTGGCTCCATCTTCCCCAAGCCTTTCAGCAAAGGAGAAACCTCCAGAGACGTTTCAGAATCTATAGCCCTCCTTTCAAACGAAGAAAGCATCAGAAGTCTTTGACTACGAGTTGCAGCAACATAAAAACACCGAACCTCCTCGTCAATCGCATTTTCATCACCTTTTGGTACCGTGAACTCCTCGTCCTCATCTGCCTTGAAGGCATTGTAATTTGGGAACACGCCCATGGTTAAACCAGGAACAAAAACAATAGGCCATTCCAGTCCTTTGGCAGCATGAATAGTTGAGATTGTCACCTTTGTTTGGGCTTCTTCTTTCTCGGCTGAGTAGAAATGAATAGACTCCAAAAAGCTGTCCAAGAAAGACTGTTCAGTTTCGGTTTTTAAATCTTCCAAAATCTCTTCAGCAGGCTCAAATTCACGAATCTGGTTCCTTAGCTCTTCCAGATCATTTTCAGGCAACTCATCATCTCTCAGTTCTCGTTTAGACCTTTTGGACTTCTCTTCTCTGACACAATTAGCCAAATCGGTAGTCCTAGCAATTCTATCAAAAGCGGCTAAAACACCATCCAATGGATTTTCAGCAACAGAAATGTCTTCTCGACATTGTTGAATTAATGAGAGATATTCTTTCAGACCCGAAACAACCCCGGAGCCAAGTTTAATGCCAGTGCCTTCAATAACTCCTATGAGCATGTCACTAACACCCACATTGTTAAAGCCAACACTGCTCTGGAATTGTGATAATAACTTTTCCAAAGAAACAGCACCAACTTTTCGAGCAGGAAAGTTTATTGTTCTGGAGAATGCCAAAACATCCAGATCACTCGAGACAACCCTCAAGTAGTCCAACATGCTTCTCACAACCTTCAAATCCCAAAAGGCCTGGCCTTGCACAAGATGGTAAGGGATTTTCTTCTTCATAAGCTCCTGCTCAACAACTCGTGACAAGAACCGCGATCGCAAGAGTATGGCGACATCTGAGTATTCGAAGAGATGTGGCATTGCTTTGAGCATAGAGATTTGGTCGGATATCCAACGAGCCTCGTCATTATTAGTTCGGTGCTTTGAATGAACAACAGGTATTTTGACACTGCAAATGCTCCTTAGCGATTTGGAAGTTCTTTTCGCAGTCTGGTGACCCATAATCGCCTCTGAAACATTCAAAATCGAGGCTGTAGACCTGTAATTGGTATTCAAATTCACCTGATGCAAGTTTTCATACCGTTTTGCCATACTGCGGAAACTGGCTGGATCCGCACTCCTAAATCCATATATGCTCTGATCTGGATCACCAACTACAGTGACGTTGTGTTGAAACTTTGTAGACCTATCACCAAGCGCAAACAGAAGATCCAGCTGGACCTTGTTGGTGTCCTGGAACTCATCTACCAGCACATGTCGCACAAAGTCAAGGCACTTGCCGTTATCTCTAGCTAGTCGAAGACCATATAGCAAAATATCGTCAAAATCTAGGAGACCATGTGACTCAAGGTAAGAGTCGTACATCGTGTAAACCGAGGCAATTTCAGCAGAATGACGTGGAATTGCGCGGTAAGCATCTGGAGTGATTCCTTGTGCTTTGAGCTTGGAAATATACCCTCTGGCTTTGGCCCTTTCCTTCTCACCCAAGTCTGGACAAGTGTGTTTCATAACACTCTTCGTATCTGTCTCATCAGCAACGCCAAAATCAGGTCTCAAACCACATTTTCCATGATAACGTCTTAATAATCGGATGCATATGCTATGGAATGTTCCGATAAACAGCTCTGAGACCGGAACTTCAAACGGACTAAGCATTGCCGTTAACCGCTCTACCATTTCATTGGCGGCTTTCTTGGTGAACGTCGTGACAATTATCTTGCTAGGGGGGATTTTCTTTTCCAAGATCAAAAATGCAACCCGAGAGGTCAGAACTCTCGTTTTCCCAGTTCCGGGACCTGCAACGATCTGAATGGGACGGCTAGGATCAGCTGTGACAGCGGTTAGCTGGGCTTCATTGAGGCCAATGAAGAGGTCTAGCAAGTTCGGTTTCATTCCGGCTGTGTTCAAGTCCACAACATGCGACTTTGCTAAAATACTTTCGCACGTTTCGTCAATTTGCTGGCCTTTTCCGCTATTTTTTTGGCGATTTTTCAGTGTTTTACGCGCGCCATGTGTTACTCTTTGCGCGTCTATCTTAATGTTTACCGTTGGCGATGGCCTCGGCGCTCCACGCCGCACGCTTATGGGCGGTTAAAGTTGAGGGTAAAACTACATCCAAGATTCACATTAAAAAATACCTGATCTTTATTTTTTCGCCCTCTTTCCATTTACTAGCTTACCAGCCGAAGGTTTCCTTTTCTTTACCATCGAAGTCAGATCATTAACGGCAGCTGGAGCCGGCGCTTCTTTAGGCGCTGCTGTAGGAGCAGCTTGGCCCAAAATCCCTTCAATAATACGGTCTTTTTCTTCCTTCATCTTTTCTTCTGGATCCTTTTTGAGATCTGCAAGACGGACCTTCATGTCCTGAAGTAAATCAGTGTCAACACCTGAAGCCGCAGCGCGCATACTTGCAATTGCTAGCTCCATCTGCTTGATAGCTTTGGCAGTAGATTCCGGATCTTCGACGCAAAACTCAAAAGCAAGTGATAATTTGTAATGTGACTCTGAGAGAAGACCATTTCCAATTGGATATAGTAGTTCGCGTAGCTTCAAAGAACTTTCTAGGTCAGTTGCTGCCTGCTGGAAATTCTCAGCCTCCAGCGACACTTCGCCTAGAATGTCATACACATCTGCTAATTTCTTTCTGATGAGCGTCTGAGGATCAGAAGGTTCTTCTGATTCGGATTGGAGGAGTGGCTCTGTCTTTTTAACGTCATCTTTCTCATCGAACTCTGCCAATTGAGCCTCAAAGAGCGTTCTTGTGAGATCTAGGATTTCCCATGCAACCTCAAAATCTGTCTGCTCTTCTTCCTCTGCTTCGTTTTCATCCTGATCATCTTCTGAATCAGATTCCTCTGCTTTTTGTGGGCCCTCATCCTCGCTAACATCGTCCTCTTCAGCAAGAGGAACTTCCTCACTAAACTGAAATCTCGAGTCTTTCTCTGTTGGAGCTTCTTCATCATCGGGTTTCTCATCTCCGCCAGTCACACCACCCAACACCTGTGAGTTTGCAACAGCACACTGGAACAAAGCCTTTCCGTATAAGAACAGCAAATCTGCATCCTCTGAACCTGAAGCGGCCGCGGCCTTTTCACACGCTTCAGCGTACTTGTCAGCAGCAGCACTATAGTCTTTGGAAGCGTATAGCGATGCTGCCGTGTTTATGAGTTTCTGAACGTCTTCTGGATAGGCCATTGGAAAGCAATTGAAGCAAACTCAGGAAAAGATTGTATTTGTGTGGAGAAAGGCACTACGCGTTCATGGTGCAGTGGGTAATTATATGTCGTGCAGAGAACAGTTAAGAACGTTTTTTGGGTCGTGGACAGTACACTGCCATTTCCTACCGGGCACAAAATCACGCGTCGCAGTCTGGAATTAAACGCGGCATCCAACAAACAAAGACAATGCACTCAACACTGGACATTTTTTCTGTCAACATAGTTCAAACTACCCGAAAACAAGCACTCGGATTGATTAAGGTATGACAGTTGAGCGTGAGTATTTTTTTTCCTCATTGAATGCCGTTTCATGAGGATTCCCTTGTTTCCTTCCAGAACACCCGCCCTCTAGGTTTCAAGTTCCAGCCGACTAACGTTATCCAAAAAAGACTCAAGTGAAAGTCTGGTATATCCAGCAGAGGATATCAAGCAGGAAGATCACTTTGGTGATTCTTCTGCTGCTGCAGTGAAGATAATTCGCCGCAATCTTAATGGCTACGTGGGCTTCGCCAATCTACCCAAACAGTGGCACCGCAAGTCCATTAAGCGCGGTTTCAACTTGAACGTGATGGTAGTGGGTGAAAGCGGTCTCGGTAAGTCCACTTTGATCAACACTTTGTTCAATCGTGAACTTTATGCTGAGAAAGAGGCCCGTAATCCGGGCGACGAACCGGCCAGCTCGGTGCGCATTGAGACTGTTTCTACGGATATCGAAGAAAACGGCGTTAAACTGCACTTGACTGTTGTTGATACGCCCGGATTTGGTGATGCTTTGAACAACGTGGATTCATGGAGAGTGATTGTAGACGAGATCAACTCGCGTTTCGACCAATATCTGGAAGCTGAAACCAAGATCAATCGCACCAACATTGCTGACAACAGAGTGCATGCTTTGCTTTACTTTATTGAGCCAACCGGCCATGCTTTGAAGAGTCTGGACATTACGTTCATGAAACAGGTTCATGAAAAAGTCAATCTGATTCCGGTCATCGCAAAATCAGACACCATGACCGAGGACGAGGTTCTAGAGTTCAAGACGCGTATTCTGGACGATATCAAGAACCAGGGAATCAATTACTTTGTTCCTGAGCAATTCGACAACGAAGATGACGAGACTGTCAGTTCCACAGAGGAGATCCTGTCACGCATCCCATTTGCCATTGTGGGTTCTACCAAAGAGCTACAAACTGAGGATGGAAGGATTGTCAGAGGCCGGAGCTACCCATGGGGTATTGTTGAGGTAGACAACGAAGACCACTGCGACTTCATCAAGCTGCGTCAATTGTTGATCCGCAATTTCCTGGAGGATCTCAAGGAGAAGACCTCCAAGATTCTGTACGAGAACTATAGAAGCGAAAAACTCAAACGTCTTGGAATTGAACAGGATGACTCTGTTTTCCGCGAGTTTGACCCTGTCGTGAAACAGGAGGAGGAACGTGCGTTACACGAGGCTAAGCTGGCTAAGATGGAGGCTGAGATGAAGTCTGTTTTCCAGCACAAGGTGAGCGAGCGCGAGAAAAAGCTGCAGAAGTCAGAGGCTGAGCTTTTCACGAGGCACAAAGAGATGCGCGAGAAGCTCTTAAAGCAAATCAAAATGCTCGAAGAGAAGAAGCGTGATCTCGAGAATTTGCGTGTGGCGCCGGCTTCTGAGCCTACCGCCAGCCAGCCCTCAAAGTCGCGTAAGGGCTTTTTGCGTTGATTTCACCACTGGCTCGTAGTATTTGTTGGTATTGTTCAATCCTTTTCTACCTTAAGTTCTATCTATATGAAGTTTTAGTAGCAATTGCCCGTTTGAGAGTAGGTAGCTAAAATGCCTGTCGTGCCGTTACTAGTCACCGACAAAAAAATGACAGATAGTTATCGTGTGGATTGCCGTGTCAATGAAGCTTCTTTCCGGTGACCCCTCTCCTTTTTCTTTCCAATTACTATCTTTTGACATTCCTATTTCAACAAAGCCATGTCTCAGACTCCAAAGCCTTCTGCCCAACCAAAGGCGGTTATTCCCCCCACTATCAAAGATGTGGTGAACACCACCCAGTTTGCGTGGTTCATCGGCCATGCCATCACCCTTTTCTCTGGAACCTTTTACTTTCTGACTTACCGTGCGGGTGGACAGTTCAATTCGTTCTGTTTTGGCCTGCTTTTCCTATCTGTCGTTGAATCGTTTGGAATTATTCTCTACCAAGAGTATTTGATGGGTTCGCTGAGCCTCCAGCCTCTTGCACTTTTGACTGATGACAACGTGCAATACGTTGCTCTGGCGTTGGCTTTTCTCACAATTCTACCCAGTGTTGTGTTTGCAGTCGTTCCTTTCATGATTTTTGCTGTTTTCCATATCCTGAGCTATTCGCGTTCTACGCTGTTTCCCGTTTTTGGAGTGCCATCTGAGTCTAAGATTTCCGTGTTTGTGGCTAACTTTGTCCAGACACACCATGACAAGTCCGTGTATATTGGATCCACTTTTGAGCTGATCACGCTTGTTTGGTTTCTTTTGGGAGCTTTGTTATGGAGAAAGGGCTACTGGCTTGGATTGCTGATCTACGCTTACTTCATCAAGCTTAGATATGACAAGTCAATCATTACGAGATCTGTGCTCAAGTCATGGGAAGTCAAGGTTGACGGACTTGTTTCACACCCATCCGTTCCGGTCCAGGTTAAGTCTACTTGGTTGCAATTGAAGCAACTCCTCAAGCAGTTTGGTGGTCCGGCTCTCGACTCCGACGCTTCAGCTGCTAGAGATTAAGGGGAAATGGAGCATACGGTGGCCTCCTGTACAACTACCGGATACGTCCTGAGATCTATATAAATGTGTATGTGGATCCTATATATGTGCTATAATTTTGAGGTAGGTCTCTCTGGGACACTGTAGTGTAATGCATTATTGTAAGATTTTTCATTCTCCACACTCAATTGCAGAGAAGATCATTATGTATATCTTCTTTCTTGAACTAAAGAAGCAAACATCTAGCATGAAGTACCAAACAATTACCGTTTGTGTTTGGGAGCTAGCGTTTTCAGCATGTGAAGTAGAAAGTCAGCAGCAGCCCCGATGCGAAGGGCACATTTCCGGGGACGTTGATGAAAATTATGGCCTCGGCTCAATGCCACTGCTACTCTGTTTTCTCAAATGCTTGGTTTATACGTTAAAAAAGATACAGAAGAATTGCAACAGTTCAGACATTCATCGACATATCGTGAAGGCAAACACATCAAAGTCAGCCTTTATTAAGGGGTTCTCCTTCTCCACTAGCCAGACTCAACGGGAGAATCATGAGAAGCAGTGTGCTGGATATAATTGGCCGTAGAAATTAGTCGGCGCTGTTCATCAACATCCCAGTTCATATCGCCTTTGCTGGTACTTCTAAAAAGCCCCAGGTCTTGACCCGAAGCTTCATCCTCGGCGTCTTCATCTTCGGAGTCCTCAGACACTTCCTCCTCATCTTTGTAAAGGGGATGGTCCTTTTTGGCATAGCTCTGGCCGTCATCATTCGGATCCTCGTAGTCGTCTTCCTCGCCTAAGGATGCATGTGGATGTGGAGGTGGTGGAGCATGGAGAGTGCGCCACGATTCTTCTTCTGAATCGTCGTCTTCGTCACTAGATCCAAACTTATCCGGGAAGTTGTTCGTTATTTGTTGAGACATGTAGCGCGAAAACTTGTCACCAGAATCGTCATCAGAATGGCTTCCATCCTCATTGGCACCAGAGCTGTAGTATTCGTCACCTGCTACACCGAAAGCCTGATCATCGTGTTCAACTGTTTGAAACTCTTCGTCATCATAGTCATAGTATTCATCCTCACGACGTGATTCTCCTTCTTCGTCATCATCGTCGTTTTCGGGTTCCATTATCAGCGAATCGCCAACGTCATCCTCTGAGTCCCCAGCCTCCTGCTCAACAACAGTATCGCCCAGAATTGAGTTGTACTTCTCCCGTGTCTGCACCAAAGTCTCATAGACGTAAGACTGCCACGTAGAAAGCGTGACAGCATCACGCACAGTGCTGAAGCTTGCTTCGTCGATATAAATCGTTGTGAACTTCACCACCTCTTCTGCAATCAAAGTGAGGTGGCCCATATAACCGAGTCTCAACCCGGTCTGTTCTTCATAGTCATCACATCTCTTCTGGCCATCTATAATCAACTGCGTAATTGCACCCCTGGTGAACAAATCAGTAGCCAAGAACCTATTGTATCCCAGATCCATTGGTCCGTTCAAAATCTGCTGAACTATGTCAAAGACCACGTTGTGTAAGAAATTGTTCCATGGAAACTTGAAGAACATGTTCAAAATCACGTTGATCACATTGCTATCGTAAAGGGCTATTTTCAGCTTATCACCAACGACAGGACTTCCGCGAATCTTGTCACCAATAATATCTTGAGAGGGTTCATCATCTGTGACACTCTGTTCTCCGGTTGATTCGGCTTCAACTCCTTCCACCACATTCTCGGTATCAATGCTGATAATCTCACCAACTTCAGTGTCAGCAGCCACACTCAAATTGCCAATATCCCTGGAGATTTCGTCATCGGTAGAAGCAACTGATTTGGGGGAGCTAGGATCTTTCAAAGATTCTTTCTGCAATGCCTTGAGTCTGTCTCTTTCGGTATCGCGTTCACGCACCGTCGGTTCACCGTCTTCGTGATTGAGAAGTGCCATGTTAGAGCAGTGCAATAGTTCAGCCACAAGCTCACAGATTTTAAATCTCTCAAAGCCCAAAGGCTCAATAGTTCCGAACGGAGTCTCCAAAATGCGCTGCACCTTCTTTCCAAGCATTTCAGTGAAATCTGGGATAGCCTCAGCGAAAACTTTCACTAAAGTTCCGAGGTAAATTGGATCACGTAGCGTGGGAGGGTGTGATTCAATAGTAGTGTAGAGAACAGGCACAAAATCATAATCTGAATTGTTCTTCCTGATTATCTCAATGACAATTCCAACTGCATTCGATAAGCCAGTTCCCCCGTTCAGCATCATGGCAACCAGTTTGCGCACCATTGGCTCAGAAACAAGCTCTCGGCTCAGTTCGTTGGGACCAATTGTGGTGTTATCCGTGTTGGAATTTGCGGAAATGGTGATGAAAGCCTTCAAGAAGTCACCAGCAGCCGATTGAACCGTAGAGGGGATATCTGGACCAAGATGATCGATCAAACCAGGAATAAGTCTTTGTTCCTGGAGTATATCTATCACACCTGTCGAAGCATCCGGTTTGTCCGTCGAAATCACTTTCAGTAGGAAGTCCATCAGCGGAGGAGTGTCTATATGTCTCATGAATCTCTCCACTAGCTGCGGCTGTTGCAGAATGAACTGGATCATCTCGTCCATCTTCATGTCTAGTAAGTGTTCGTTAATCTTCATAAAGTATGTTGCAGAGAACATCGGCAGCGGTGCTGGCTTGTCCAGGATGGTCCACAGGTTATCCAGCAGCGCTGATTTTTCCATAAACTCGTCAGTGATGGACCACACGTCGGCGCTTAGAATCTCAGCAGCTACCTGGGCCCGACGTGAATGGGCCTCGGCTGCCGTTTCTTCCTGGTCTTCGAGATCATTGTCATCGCCGTTGAGGTCATTGTCATCGCTGGAATCATATTTTGACAGTTCACCGGAGTCGTACTCGGAGTCAGAATCCGAATCTGTTTCATTTGGATCCTTTTCATTAATCTCAGCCTCCGTCGTCTCTTCTTCCTCTGTTGGATCGACTGGATCGGCCTGCTCTTCAGGCTTGACATCCGCATTTTCCGGCTCAGTCGATTCAATTTCGGATCGATGGGGATTTTGCTCGATGGTCTCAAGATTTGGTTTTGCAACAGTTTCAAAGTCGCTATCCTCCTCATTTTCGAACTTAAGTCTCACTTGCTCTTGCTGGTAATCATCGTCTTCAACGATTAGCTCAACCAACTGCTCGAGCACATGCGGCTCTCTCAGATATTCAATTAGTCTTGAGTTGGAACCCAGTAACTCCGAAAGCAAATCTTGTTCATCCAGTAGCTGGTCCAAGCTGAAGTCGGATTCCAGTAGCTTTGTCACTGGCGACGAGTAGTTGTTCGCAAATTTCCAGAATCCAGACATGATGCGAGCCGGTGTGTGAACAGGATGAAATAATGGGATAGAATGTATTCGATTTGATGAATTCTGCCTTGTCTTGATAAGTTGGATAAGCAGAAAAATGCCTTGTTTGTTCGGAGCGAAAGTTTCTCGATTGTGGCACAAGCACTATCTTATATCGAAGGAATGGCTTGTTCGATAGCAAACGGCTCAGAATCTCCAAAATCAGAAATATAACACTTTCTTCACAAAAAGCAGCTTATAGGCTTCTTTATGGTTTGTTTCAGAGAATTTTGGCTTGTTTCAAACCTGGTTGTCTGATCCCTTGGTAATCTCAACAGAAAGTAGTGTCGATTTATATCACCAATCACAGATTTCCCTCTCAAATCTAAAGAATGAAGGCTTTTCGCTCCCTCTTTCTCTCTGAGTTCTCCGATAGGAATATGCGGTCGTAAAAAACGTTAGATGATGCCTGGTACAACTCTCAGAGACCAAGTGGCATATATGCTAGTGACCCAGATTTCAGATTCAAAGGCTTGTTCTAATATTGAAATTGTCACAGAGGCTAAGAACCAAATTTGCAACAAGAAATCAACGATAGCCGGGAAAGGTGCCTCCAAAATGCCCACAAACAACGGAGTAAAATGAGAAGGCCCTCCTGCAAATGGTCAAACAGCTCCCGCGGTTGAAATGGGATATACTCGTCGGCGTTGCGCTGAAAAGTCCGTAATAGCAGGTCCGATGGCGGTGCTTTTGAATCAAAGATACAATGCCTGTTTGCAGCCGTGGGAATGCCGTTGGGTTAACTCTTTGCCGTTGATCACCACCACTAAAAAGGCCAAATGGTTCAACGAATCGGACGAAGAGGTCGTGTGGAGTCAGGTTCTGGCGGATGATCCTGGTCGACCGAGGGTATTTCCGAGGAAGTATCTGGGTATTTTGGGTATACACTACCTGAATCTGCGAAGTTGGGGAGTGGTGAAAGGCGTAGTTTTGCGCAATTGCGGGAGATCCTCGGAATCTCGACGACCTTTTTCCGAGGAAACGGGAGAACGTCCAATGAATCTTACCACAATGGAAAGAGAGACAGGTCGAGGATTTGTATCCAAAAAAGTGTTTTGAGAAGTTGGATACCAAAAACTCGAGAATTCTTACGTTGTGAATGAAATCGATCTAGTTTGGCCTTTTAAAAGTTTGGCGTGGTACAGATATCGTGCTTTTGAAGCAATCTGACGGTTTCTATAATCAGCAGATGATATAATATGCGGGTTTGCTCACTTCCATCACACGATTTTGCTAATTTTGTAACTCTTTTAGACAGTGACATGCTTTGAGCACAAGCAGATAATCTTGGAGGATTCTGAGAATTTTTTTGGGAATAAGTGTATATGATTTCGGGGTATTTCTAGTGGATTCAGCTTACCCCAACTTTTCATCACTTTCCCTTTCAAATTGGAAACTTCGATTGCCTTAGTTTTCTTCCTTCAAATTTCCACCTCAAACTGCTCCAACCAAGCAATGTCACGGTCAATCACGACCGGAATCGTCTCCTTATCAAACTTCGAATGAACAGTACTACTCAGCGAAACAGTACCGCGATACTCGACGAGCAACTTGAGAACATCCAGTACCAGAGGCGAGAAATCACCATACCAACGGTAATTCCATGCAGCCACTTTTGTCACTAGCTCAAGCACATAATCGGCATCCAGGAAAGCCTCCTTACGGGCCTTGGAGTTCAGTCCTTTGAAGCGATCGCCGTTCTTCTGAGTTTCAACATAATGGTTCAGCAGAACAGTAGCAGCAAAGATGTCGAATCTGGCATTGAGACAAGTTTTCAAAGCACTGACTCCTCCTTCTAGATGGTGAGTTCTAAATGAGCTCAATCCGAGCAGCTCCCACTCCAATGCAGAATGCTTGATATCGCTCGGATTGAGTGATCTTCGATCAGACTCCCATTTCAGAACGACCCTGAGATCATCGTAAAGGACGATAAATAAAGTGTCTAGCCATCTCTCGCACAGTCTTTTCTTGCGGAACCTCTCGACCTGTGAACTACTTCTCCGTCTGGGAGAAGGCGATCTTTCCTGATTGTAGCCATTGCCGTTAGCAGCTTCTGGAGTTAGAAGGTTCAGTTTGGACTTGGACTCTTCTTGGAGTGTTATACGATATTCGTCTTCCATCACAAACACATGTGACCGCAAACGCAGCAATTCGTCCCAGCCAATTTGTCTCGTCAAAACAGCCAGGAAATCGTAGGCCCTTTTGAAAGTCGGCTGAAGTAAAGTAGCCTGGTATATTCTCAAGAACAGAGGGTCTACTGCACCAATCTCTGAAGCTGGAGCAAATGTTACTGGCCCTCCAACTCCAGAGATACATCCAGACGATTCAGCCGTCTTCCAAATTTCGTCATAGGAGCCGTCCGCGGGAAGAGGAAAGGAGAAATCGGCCGGGTCAATTGCCTTGAAGATATCTTTCTTTCTTGGCGAATACATGGGACATGAGTTCAGAGCCAACAGGGCTGAAGAGTAGTCCAGTTTGAAGAAATGGACTTCCACAAGTGTGGCCCAACAGTCAAACTCAGCAGGTAGAGACTCCACCGCTCTAGTGGCAGGAATGAGAGCCAAATCAGGCCTTCCCTTTGAAAGCAGGTATTTTGCCTGTTCGTTAAGAAGAAGCCCGTCGCGAGGATTTTGAATCAAGCCTTCGTGCATCTCTTTTACAGCTTCCACCTCGCTGTTTTGAGAGAAAAGTAACTTCACCTTTAACAGTCTGAATTCATCAGGGATTTGCCCAGAAGCGCTCAACGCATCAATCTGGTCTATCGCAAATTGCTGGAGATTTGTGAGAGAAACCAGTCGCGTTAGAGCATCCACCAAATGGTTCTGGAGCAAAGTGGGTTTCTGGTGGATGTCTGAAGCACCGCAGAGCGGTCCTTTCGGCAGATGACGAACCAAAACCTCAACTGCAGTCTTTGCTGAGTGTGTGGATGCAATTGGGTTGAATTTGACCATCCCCGGTAACTGTCTTGCGATGTCGTCACCAAGAAGAACACTTCTGATCAAACACGAGGCCGTAGTCTCCTGCCAAATCGAGCTTTTCAGATCTCCATGAACCGTATTTTTCTTGCGATCGGCGTATATGAATTGCGTAGTTGCTACCGCCCCGGGGAATTCCATTCGAATTCGCAAGTCACCCTTTGAGAAGCAGTTGTAGGCACAGTAAGTCCCAACCTGGGGATGAGCAGAGGCACTAGCTGAAGACGATGTCTTCGTCTTTGTATTGCTCAATTGAACGGTGGTCAAATACGCAATAGGGGCCGCTGTCGCGGAAACATCAAGGCCTGTGACATAGTGATAGGCACCCGAATCTGAGTTTGTGGACTTGTGATAACGCGACAGGTGCACCAGATCTGGGGGGCCTAACTCCTCCAATTGTGGCAAATTGTTCGTGCGAATTCCAATGGACTCACCGAAGTTCTTTTCGTCAATTCGCGGAGTTGCAGACATTCCGGAGATACTTGTGGGCACAATTGGGCTATGGTGCTTTGTAGCGAGAGCGCGTGGTGATTCCCTAAGCCAAGAGGAAGATCCTTAGCCTTAGCCAAGAAATGGTTATGTGCCCTGTTTTTCACTATGGGTGTGCAAGTTTTTACCATTTGGCATGATTTTTTTAAACAAAAAACTCTTAGTTGAAACAAACACATCCAATTGAGATTAAATCTACATTATTATATCGTTATTGAGAAATATTTGGACGTATAGTTGGATGTTCCAAACTCGTGGTGTATGGACATTTGGTATGGTACACGCATTTTTCAAGGTGCTTTTGTGGAAGCCAGAACTATTGTCACGGCTATTCTCCATTTAATATGGGTATGCCTGTAAACTTTTCAAATTTCAGCTTCATATTCTCGTCGCCGACACCCTTTCCAATCAACACTAGTCTGGAGGTGGTCAACTCCAGACTAGAGTCATAGTCGTCGGCATCCACGATCTCGTAGGTCTTTCTCACACCCTGGATCACTTTGAAAGAGTCTTTTGAGTCATTGACTAATAGCAGACCCTTGATACGATGTATTTCCTCGTCCTCGTTCTCCCACAGAAGCTCCTGAAGGAATGACTCGACTTTTTTGATTTGAGCCAAGTCGAGTTTGGGGCCAAAATCAAGACTCACAGTAGATATCCTCGGATCGTGGAAACCTGTGGTGATATTTGCAATCGACTCAATCCCCCTATTTTCGTAGGAATGCAAATCTAGTATGTGATCCAGCGATATATCACCGTACGATGTAGAGTAGATAGGAGCAACTCCGTTGATTGCAGACACACGACGCCGTAATTCTTGAATCTTCTCCTCGCTAACTTTATCAGCTTTATTCAGAAGTAAGACATCGGCCACAGCAATTTGAACATGTGCAGTCGTGCTTCCTTCCGCACTGGCGGGTCTATCCTCAGATGTGTGGAAATGACCTCCCAGATCATCCAGAGATTGATCGATATTCTCACAATCTAAGACGGCGATTATGCCATCAATGTACACATTACTGGCTAATCCATCGTCTAGCCAAAACATTGCCGCAATTGGAGCCGGATCTGCCACTCCTGAAGTCTCTAATAGCACATGGTCGAATCCCGTATTCTTAGCAACTAGTCTCTCAATTGCGGCCACTCCATTATCCTTCACCGAACAACAAAGACAACCATTGCCGAGATCTAGCCATTCCTCGTAAGCTTGGTTATTTTTGTCTTTAACGGTAAGGGCCTTTTCGATTGGCGCCGAATCACCGAACTCGTTCAAGATCACAGCCAGTTTTCGGTCACCTCTTTTAGCTATCTGCTCCAGTAGCGTACTATATATGTTAATATCCACCAGTCTACTCATCAAAAGTATGCAACTAACCTTTTTCCAGATCCCAAGTACCCCGTTATGATCGTCACCGGTACCTTTTTGCTGGGAACATCCTCCAGTTGCTGTCTCTGTTGTTGCTGCTGTTCTTGTAGTCTCTTTGGGGCTTCTAGCGGTTCCACAGGAATCAGACAACCAGTATCATCAACTAGCATGGGTATTTCATCTTCAAAATCTGACATTCTTGTGAGCGGCGTACGTGATATCAATCGCTTAAGAGTAAAGAGTACGAGCTGGCCTGAGTTTTTCGAGATAAGAGCTTGTGTGGTCGTGTAAACTCCGATCTGAACTGATTATGTCAAAATAGTAAGCACAGACTAAACTGCAATTTTTCACTTTGAGAAACTCATATAAATATAAAATCTATAGATACAAATATGATCAGGTTCTAGATTTCAGCGTAGACAGGGTAATAAACATTACTGTGGGAACGACAATATTGTCATTGATGTCGGATACGGCCTCAAGTCCTGCAGCAATCACGCAAGCCACTGCAATGTCTGGAACAGAGTAGTCAATGCCTGCCACTTTATCGAATGCAGCGAGAGTCAGTGTAGAAACAATAACAAATGCAATTGTTCCCTCGGCAGACTTCTTGGAGTCCCACCAGTGATGACGCCCAAATCTGGTTCCGACCAGCGAGGCACTAGCATCTCCAAGTCCAACCGATATGAGTCCAGATACAGCTGCTTCAGTGGAAGCGTTTCCACTCCAGAACAGTGGAAGTGCAATTCCAAGCAACAGGAAAATATATGAGATGACCAAGGGACCATTTTTGTCCCTTTCATCTCGAAATTTGTCGAGACTGTCAGCTATGAAAGGCCCCAGTGGAGGCAGTCTCAAAGCCCGCAGTAGCTCAATTAGAACAAATAGCCCAATCACTCCAATTAAAGCCAACGACACAAAAAATGGGTCTGAAACCAAAGGATATGTCAGTATGGCCACGATAGTAAAATGCCAGACCTTTCTGCGAGTATCAAGAGCCCATGAAGGCGATAGTCTAAAAACGAGTGGTACCAGCAATACGAGCGAAATCAACCAAGCACCCAAAATCCTGAGACGGTCTCCTTGTTGAAAAAACAAATTTAGCCATGTCAGAGGATGCTGACCCAAAGCTCCCTTGAGCTGGTAGACGGATGCAAAGAAGAAGGTTGAACTAAAGCTGAGATACAGCAAGGTCAGTAGTCCAGTTCGCGCATGACCAGGCTGGGCAAGATACATCTTGTAAACGGGAGTATAAAGCACCAGACAACCAACCAAAGCAATCGACAGCTTCTGGAGAATAACCATGGTAATCTGTGAGTACGAGTCGACCCCAAAAACCAGCGATACCAGAAGAGTAGAAAACATCTGCTTCTCAGCATTGGAGAGAGATGATCCCGCATAGAACCCAAACCCTTTAGATATCAACAAGTGCAGAACCGGCGCAGCAAGAAACTGAGCCAATCTTCTATCCTCTATTCCCGCAGCCTGATACTCAGCGGCCACTGCAATTAGTAGTTTGGGCAAATCAGCCATTCCAGTCACCTGACATACAGATCCCACCACGAACGGAAGGTAGCTGGGCTTGGTCACCAAACAAACGAGCAACGGCAGCAGCACTGCGTATATCATATCGAAATCTGGAAATTGCGGTTCCTGAGCAGTATCAGGTTCGTCAGTCAAAAGCTGAGCCGAGTACTGTTTAAATTGGTGGTTAAAGATCACTGCCACTTGGGTGAGTAGGCCAAGCAGTGTCAAACCCACGGTAATTAAGTTTTCCTTGGCATCAGCATCATCAATGTTGTAGAGATAAAAGAGATTAATGATGAAAAGCAGTCCCATTACCTGGACAAACCTCTGAGGTGTTGTTGCCATCTCTAGTCTTTCGACGATATATTGGACCATTGTTTTGGCATCTGAGTCTTCCTCGGTGGGTTTTTCGGCAACCTGCTCCACAGCAGCCGGTTCCACCCGTTCTTCATTCACTCTTTGTCTGGTTTTCGACCTAGTGCTTTTTCTGGGCGGCATTTCTGGGTGGTGCGTGGTGTTTATGCTGATTGAATGATTAGGATGAAATATCGCAGGCGTGTTAATGTGCTGCTGACGTCGTGCGCCGTCGCATGAGCCGCACATGACAGGGAAAGATGGGGGCAGGTGGGGGAAAGACAGACTTGCTGAGTTATATATGGGTGCGAGGATGTGAAGAACAAACAATTAACAATTTTACTATTTCGAGAAGAATTATATATTTGGTGTAATTGTATTTGTAGAATGAGGGGCGGAGGTGGGGTTATATCAGGTGGAAGCAGTGTAAGCAAGCACACCTCGTGATACTGCTCTTGTATTCCAGATGATAAACTCTAACTGCAGACTCACCAGTAACAACCAGTTCTCTTGTTTGTAAATTAAGTCGCTCCAATACACTTCTTCCACCTATTTCACTGTTTGACCGGACGAGCACCAAAGATATCACTGCCAACACGAACACTCGTCGAACCTTGGCGAATGGCCTCCTTATAGTCAGCACTCATTCCCATAGATAACTTGAGTGAAATACCGAATTTAGACTCCAGTTTCTTCTGCACTTCGACCAGAGTCTTGAAGTCTTGGTTCTCGCCCTGTGATGTTGAAGCACCAAAAGAACCAATTGTCATGAGTCCTTCGAGAGAAAGACGGGGACACCCCGTCAGAATCGTCTGGGCCAAAGATTCACATTCATCTGGAGCAGCGCCGCTCTTCTGGTCTTCGCCGGAGGTGTTAACCTGGATATAAACGTTGATCACGGGAAGGTCTTCGGCACGAGTGTCATTGAGCTTTTTGGCTTTTTTCTCGCTATCAATCGTCTCAACAGCATACAAGTTGACCACATTCTTGGCTAGATCTTTGCACTTGTTGGTTTGGAGTCCACCAATGAAATGCCACTCTATGTCACCAGGAAGCACCTTGGCCTTCTCAATCAACTCCTGGACATAATTTTCACCAAAGTGGCGATATCCAACGTCATATAATGCTTGTATATCACTAGCTGGCTTCAGCTTTGAAACGCACACTAATCTGGTTCTTCCTGCACTCAGGCTTTCCACCTCCTTCTTAATGGTGTCCGCATTGGAAATCAGCTCTGATGCCCTTTCTGCAGTATACGTCAAACTCATGTCTCCTCTATATTTTGAAGCAAGTCTAATACCTCTGAATGTTTGTCTTAAGAACGGTTTTGTCTTTATGAAACCACCGACCCAAGATTGGAAGAGCATGTGAAACGGTTGAAGGTGAGGTTCTAGAGAATTCATTGTCGTGGTATCCGGAAATATGGATAGTCGTGTTATAACTTATTTATCACCGCATACTGCCATTTTTCAAAATGTCTAGCTGGACAGAAGTGTATAAACCGTTTTACAGCCGCATAAACATATATGTTGTCTTGCATCACAGCACATATGACTACCCTATGTCTGCTTAAAAACACTCACCGCCGTAGAAAGGATGATTCCAGCAACTCTTGGTCGGGTACACCGCATAGTCAGTCGGAACTGCTGACCATCTGGGGCAATCTCGAGCCGGCACAAGCATCCGGAGACTCCTGTGGCTGTGTGAAGGATTCCAGCACCTACCACATTGTTTGGATTTGGATCGGCGTTATCAACCACGGCAAACCCGAGCTGTGAAAGTATTCTCGAGCTATTTTGGACTGAAAATGCCGTAGTTGTTTTGAATATCAGTTGAGACTCGCCCTCAGCTCCTAGTGCAGAACCGATCTGGCCCCACCGCGAGAAAAAGGAGGATCTTTCAAGCGGAGCATGCGCAACTGCCTTTGCCAATACTACCGGCAATCGCAGCCGGATAGTTGAAAAGCCTCCCGACACAAAGCTGAGGTTGAGAACTGGGGCCTCCGAATCGCCGAATTCAGTTCTGATCGTGGCCTGGAACTGAAGTCTGGTTCTCCCGTTTTCAGGCACGAATGCGTCTGGAACTTTTGTCACATTGATCATATATGGCGGGTCATCACTGTTGAGGAACCCAGGCCGGATTTCCATGACCAGTCCAGTAATCTGAGAAGGAGATTTGTTCACAACCTGAAGGTCTCCACTAAGACTATTCGTCTCACGCGTAAGCCTGTAGATGATCTTCAGCAACGAATTCTCAAAGAACACACCCTGGTCGAACCGCAAAAGTCTGGTGTAGCCTTCCTCCCAGTTTGGCGACAAAGCTGCCAGTCCCTTGGTTGGACTTGCAGTGCGGGAACGGTCGAACGGGTTTGATGAGCCCGAAGTGCTTTGGGGCAAGATCACGTCCTGACTGCTGAACGATCTTGGAAGACTCTGGAGTGTGGCCGAAGAGGCAGCATGGTTTCTTGGGGGAGGAGGAGCTGGGGCTCCTTTCCTGGGATGTGGAGCAGGTGGAGGAACGGCTGAGGCTGAAGAAGATATCCCAGTAATGTCCCTTTTGAGCGAGTCTGGAACTTTGCTATATCCTTTCTCGAATATCTTGACGCTTCCCAAACGAGCAATCAGAGGCGACGTTTTATTGGTGAAGGAAGGCATTCCCACCGTCACTATCTTCAGCAGAGATAGACCATCATTCCTTGTCACAATCTTGAGATATTCCAATGCTCTTTGTTGAATTTCTGAGTCAATTGAAGCACTTTCGGACTCAAAAACATCCAGAATCAGAGGACGAAGCTCCTCGTACTTCAGAAAGAACTTCAAGAAACACGACAAAATCATGGCTCTCGAGGCAAATGAGCACTGGTAAAATTTGGCATACACCAGATCAAACTGTTCCTTGGGAGAGGCCGAGGACTCTATCAAATGGCCATACTCTCCAAGTAGAAAAGCTCCCACCTTCAACATGGGTTCCGGATAGCTTGGTGCCTTCAGATGTCTCACCAGAGTCTTGCATGCCAAAGGCTGGATACCCTCGTTATTCACCACGATCTGAACTATTCGTTGCCAAACTTCATCAGCTACATGACTGCCTGCAACGGCTATCAATTTGAGAGCAGTAGTGACATACCATGTAGCATCAGTAGCGAACTTCTCGGCTAAAACTGCCACCTTCACAGCCACATCAGGACGCATGCTGTACTCAGCCACCCCCATGTACGCAAGAAGGTCTCTGCATATATTTTCCACCGAGGTTGAATCGCAGATGGCATACACCAGGTCCAGGGCTTTCTGCCTCACGGAGACATCTCGATCACGGAGCAGTCTCATGACCTTTGGAAGATGTTCAACAGCTTTTTGTGAGCCTGAAGCCCCACTTCTGGCTGCCACTTTGGTAAGAGCATCCAGTGCTAAGTATCTGGCATTGGTCTCACCAGCCTCCAGCAAACCACCGAGGGCCCTGATCACATTGGGAAGTCCCTCTGGAGATGCATCTACTCGAGAAGAAAGTGAAACAGCTGCAAATAAAATGGAGTGGCGAGTATTTCTGTATTCCAGGGACTCGTGGTAAGTGGCTGGTGCGAGTTTGGTGCTGCTGAGAGTGGAAGACAGTACTTCACCTAGAACTGCCCCATTGGCAGGGTCCAAGGGTGTTTCCGTAGGATCAGGAATCAGATCCTCCAGTAGTCCCATCAGCTTAACAGTTAACCATGGAGCTGGGTTTCCGTAGTACAAATACTCGTCCGGACATTCGCGGTTGACGACTAGTCGATGAAGCCTTCCGATCACTAACGGAACAGCTGGTTTGCACAGTATTGGGTCGATTCTCGCAATGAACTGAGTCAGAGAAACGGCCGAAATGGCCACCCCGAGGTTCTGATCGTCTATAAGTGCAACTATACGTGGGACCCAGCCGGGATTCCTGGACAAAGTCTGTGGGTCGGCTCTATACAGAGCCAGCATGGTCAAGCACGCCTTTTTCCGCACCAATGCAGGTGTAAGTGGCGATCTGAGCAAGTTGAACACATCATTCTCGAAAGAAGCTCCTAATTGGCCAAATTCCGCCGAACAGGACAAAAATTGCAACGCCAACGCGTTGAAGTTGGAGTTGTCCACTGCCAGATCGTGTCTCACATGTTCAATCAAGGCCCCATCAACCTCGCGATTTCCCGAGACAAAAAGTAAGGCTGCCATGTAGCCAATCTGCTTTTCCGAAAACACCTGTGACGAAATCAGCTCGATCGCCTCGCGGTAGCCAAACTTGATTCGATGGCCCAGCATGTATATGTACATCAGCTTGCAGATGTACTTCTTCCGCTGGTATCCGGATAAATTTCCACTCGAAAACTGTTTCTGGATATTCACCAGCTCTGCTTGTACCCTTTTTTCTTCTTCCTCATGAACTTTGGCATTGCGGATGTCTGCAATGAACTGCACGAGGCCTGATCAACATGGTTGTTAGCGATTGCAAGGGCTTAGGTTTGGTGGTCCAAAGTGAGGGCTACACAAGCCCAATTTCAGCCATTCTTCAACAAATACATACCTTTCATCGGTGGTGACATCTTGCCAATTTATTTTCGGTGACTTTTCGCTTTGGTCAGGGATTTTTCAGTACTTGGCTGGAGCTCCGGATGATCTTAACGGAAGGTACGAGCCGGAGGGGAAATCATGCAGGGGTCACGTGATGGATAAGACACTACTTCTACTTGTTGTACTTGTTGTAACTTGTTGTATCTACTCCTTTCAAAAGTTGATCTTTTATCTTCTAAGAAACTTGACACCAAAAGTTTGTGATCAACATTTTCACGGGTATTAACCTTCGATGCGCAGTCAAGACTCCTACACACGTTAGAAGGCTTCATCAAAGGATTCTATGCAGTCACATCTCTCCTTATATGTTTGCATTGTCAATGTACTTCCGCAAATCCTGCTGACTTCCGCTCCTCGTCACCAAGTTCTGAGCTCCGTGGGTGTATGCAGTTGGAGGCTGGTAGTCATCGAAATGCTCCTTGTATCCGACATTGGGTGAAAACATCCCACTGGAGACACTTGGGGACCCAGGAATCGAGCCTGGAACACTGCGTGATTGATCCATTGCTGTGGTAAATGATCCAGCAGGTCTATAGGACTTGGTCTTGGTTATTTCCACTGGATTCGTCATCACCACCGAGTTGCGGAAATGGTGTGGTGCCAGTTGCTGCTGCTGTTGATGTTGCTGGCCGTTAGGAAGTGGCATAGAACCCGTCTGAGGCGACGTAGGCGACCAGTAATCGTTGTCAATTGGGTTGAAAGCCGCCACATCTTTCTGGTTCAGCAATGGCGAGGAATGCTGCTTGTCGGAGTATTTGCGATTGGGTTGGAACTCCGTGAACGTCAGCAAAGAGGATTTGCGGTTTTCCAGGCTGTGAGGTGAAGGAATGGCTTCCATACGTTTGCGTGGCTTGGACGGCGCAATCACGTATGGTTGCTGTGGCGGAGGTCCGCGGCTTCTTGCATTGTACTCGGCATAGGCCCTTTGACGTTCCTGCTCCTGGGCGGTAAGCATGTTCTGGATTTGCTGGTGAGGGTATTGGGGATGCGTGGATTGCTGGTACGGAGCTGGGTTCTCGGTGTAAACGGAGGACGCATAGCTGGCTCTGTAGTCCGTGTCAACCTTGAGGTTAGGCTTTTCACGAACCGGAGCCACCGCTGCAGCCGAACTCACAGCTGGCAATGGAGGCATGTTGGAGTTGTCGAACCCAGCTTCCTCGAGCATGCTCTTTTTGGATTTGATGGAGTTTTCCCTGGAGAAATACACCTTGTAGACGGACTTCATTCTCTGGATCTGCTCATCCTCTTCTGCAGTCAAAGGAACGTTGTCCTCCTCAATCACGTCGTGGAGGTCTGGCACATCGGCCTCTTCCGGGTCGTTTCCGTGATGAGAAGGCATTATGGAATATGCAGTTTTAGCTGGTGAAGGCTGGATGGAGCCAGAAGAAGGCTGAACCGAGTGAGAAGTTTTGGCCGGTGACTGGTTGAGCGACCTTGAGCTTTTGGTGGGAGATTGGTAAACTTCAGATTGATAGTTATAGTCATTGTTCTGATCTTCAAAATTCTTTTCCTCGAACTCATTGTCTAGCTCATTGTCATGGTCTCCCGCTGACTCATATCCCACTGCCGATTGATACTTCAGAGGTGACTGTCTGACAGGTGATTGGTCATACGCAGGAGATTGTCTTTCAGGAGACTGTCTCTGTGGTGACCCTCTTTCTGGTGACCCTCTTTCTGGTGACCCTCTCTCTGGTGATTCATACCCAACTCCAGCTTGCCTCTGTGGGGAAACGTGTGTGAATCCCTGGCCTATGGTTCTCTGACCATCCATCTCCTCATCAAAATTCTCTTCTTTCTCTGTTTTTTCATCAGCATCCCCTTCCGAACTGGACGTGAATGGAGACTTTTCCTCAGTTTCAAGGGGAGCTAACCTGGTGGCTGATACATTCTCTCCAGAGAGCACGGACCGCTCGTAGCCTGTCAGTGGTCTTGAGGTAAAGCTCGAGGTGCGTGATCCGATATCAATTGACTGAGAGGCAACGCGGTAGCCCTGATAATCAGAACCAAGTGCACGCGCCAGATTGTCCAAAGACTGTTTGGAGCCCACATCATGTGTATATGGCAAAACAAACGAGTCGACATGCTGGCCATAAGCATTCAATGTCGAAGAGTTGTAATGCGAATACATTTTGGTGTTATTGGACTGGTAATGGAGATCCTTGCTCTCAATAGCGCCAGCTGGATACCGCAATGCCGAATTCGTCTCAAAAGGGTTATCTCTGGAATAATATTCAGCCTTGTCTGGATAGTCGGGCAGAACTGTGTTGTCGCCATCGAAATCGGGATCGTTATCTTCGGCATCCTCCCGCTTCGCCCTCCGACGAACTTTGAATAGCACGATAGCTATGACGATCACAACTACCACCACAGGAATACACACGCCCAGCGCGATCTCAAGTGCATCATTCGAATCGGCAGGCTTTTCACACTCCTGCTTGGAGCCCGAGCATTTTCGTTTGAAGAGGGACATGTCGATGACCTCTTTCAAACCCTGGGTTACACGCGAAACAGGCCTTTGGAATGGGTGGTTTTGGGGCTTTTTTTGGTGGGTAAAGCGAAAGCAGAACAAGAATCTGGCAACTTCGTTGGCACAGACCGAGATTAAACGAATGACAGGCAAAAAAACCGGGTTTGTTGATGGTTTTCAAGATACGGGAAAAACTCTTCTGATCCAGCCGTTGTTTTGATTTCAGGGCGCCTCGGACGCGGGAGTGCACTGGTGCTAAAAATATGTTTATGTGGCACAGCTCGTTGCCGTCCCAAGAGTGTAAGTTGTCTGATTTGGGTGATCTATGGAATTGAAAAAAGAAGAAAAAAGATCAGGAAATATCAGGTAAATGCTGGATAATAATAGTTTGTATTTGTCGTTCCTTTTCCTCTCGTTATTATCTCTAAATCCAAATACCCGCCCTTTTGAGCCACTGAAATAAACGCCGGACGCGTTCACCAGCCACAATCCTAAGGGGGGGTTTCACACTGCCGCAATAGGCAGTCTAGGCCACACTCCAAAAAAAGGCCCGAACTGGGCATCTAGCCTCAAAATACATCTACCTATACTACGCAGCTTAAGCTGATGCTCCTACAATCGATAATCAAACGGGCAAACACATGCCGGGCCCGAAAACATTGGGGCAAAACTCTCTCGGTGCAAGGCAGAGAGAGAGAGAGAAACCACCCAAACGGAAAAGGTTCAGGGTGAGTGGTTAGAAGGGGTTCCAAAAACTGGGTAAAGTGCCATTGGCAAAGACAGACCCCGGATGGCTCTGGTAAAAGGCAAGGGCCATGTACGTGAGAGTCTGATCTTCTGGCGACGTTTGGTGTAGAAGAGAAGAGAGAGAAGAAGGACAGGCGATGATTTTTTCATATAGGACAGCAGGGCCGGGTAATTACAATGATTTGGTTGACGCACTGCTAGGTGCGGCTTCCATGTATTATTTATGGTATCAGTATAGGCAGTAGAGTGCCTGAATATGCTGTTTTTATTTCAAAATTTACATGAAATGTCCAGATTTGAAGATTAGGAGCTTGTTACTTCTATAACTTCAGTCTAGAACTAACTTTCAATTCTGAAATTTGCAATTATTTCTTAAATCTACATCTTTCTAGATTATTATCACAATCTACGTCGTCGTCTTGGGATCTTGTGAAGCAAGTGTTCCCGCCCATCTTGGTTCAACTACCAAAATGGTAGCCTGAACAAGTTCCTCACCTTCAAATGATTCAATGACTCCTTTAACACGTATTTTACGCCCTTGCTTGCTCAAAACCTGAGCCTTCAGAACAACGTAACCGTCCGCAGGTGTCGGACGAAGATAATCCAGTTCCAACCGTGCCGTCACGCCGAGTCCGCTTGCAAAGAGAGGGAACGCGCATCGACAAAGTGATTCGTCTAATAATGTTGCTAACAGTCCTCCGTGGATTAACCCTGGATGACCACACAGACGCGATCCCAGATGGTAGAAACATACCAGTTCATTATGATCCATATCAGGAGCACGCGGATCTCCTTCATATTGCGAAAAAACCACAGGGGCTTCTCCTATCATTCCAGGACCGGACAAAGTTGCCCCTGTCAAAAGTGCAGCGTTTTTGTGCTCTTCGGTGTGAAGTTTTGATCCAACTCGATGAAAACCTGATGCAGCATCCATGAGTTGCGCCGCATAGGGGTGTTGGAGAATAATTGATTCATGAGAAGACTCCATGAAAATAAAGATGGACAGTTGAAGAATTCTATATCAGATCTGTATAATATGTTCGCTTTGGTCAAAATAATTGAAAATCTTGCGAGGATAAGGTGAGTTCGTTTACTCACTCGCCTCGGCAAGGCTCTTCGTTTGGACGCAGCTCATGCTCAAGGGTGGAGGCGGGGTACACGCCTGGCGGGACCCTTGGGCCGGGTACACGCCTACTTCGAGATTTACTTTCACTTCCTTGAAATTTTTAATTTCCAATGACTTTATTCATATCAACCGTATGACCTTCCCTTACACTAGCGACGCCTTCCTGGCGCGATGAACTCCCGCGGTTCCAGGTCATGGTCTGCGGGTCGCTTCAGCACAGACCTCTGTCCCCTGGGATCTTCGAACGCAAACACCGTGGAATCGTTCGCATCTTTGCCCACCAACATCACCATTCGATTATAGTACATGTCCAGAACATCTGCTGCTGCGTCTATTGTTGTAATCGAAGAGCCATCAGTCGGCACGTCGCTGCCAGTGCTGCCTCTTCTCTCTCCAATACCGTAGTTGAAGTCCCTCGGTACCACACGCCAGTTAACTCTGTTGAGGAATTCTATTTCCAGAACATTCAGTTCGCTCACATGCACTCCTCCAACCTTGGCATAATGGTGGTTACTGCAGAAGGAGTCGCAAAGACCCTTGGCTGCAACGACAGTAGCAGTCAGCAAGAACCTATGAACAGTCAACGAATTCAGCGAAAAAGTGGGATATGAACTTGAAAGCAAGTCGATGTAGTATATCGACGTTAACAAAATCGCATTCTCTAGTGAGGAGTATTGGGCCAGTCGCGTTAGGTAAGAATGAACAGATATGGCAGGCGGAGCACGTGAATGGAACCTGGTGAGTTGGTTGGAAGTAATCTGCTGGCGAATATCGTCGTTGATTGAAATAAGACTGTCTAGCATTCGTGACACCAGCGTGATGAGGTCTTCGCGAGGACATTCGATGAACCGCTTGGGCAGGACCTTTCGTACCGAAATGGGGGGAGCCTCAGAAGGGACACCGGCTGGAACACCCCTCAACATATCTGTTGTTTCGGATACCGGTACAGTCCTCATATATTTCGTATCATAATGGAACTGGGAACGAGCTGGCTCCAGGTCCGAGCTTGAATCAGAGCTATTGCTCTCTGTAGATGTTTGAGGCGGCACTTGGTGTATCTTAGCACCGTCACTCACACTCTCAAGCCGCACCGATTCTCGAGCAGAGTCTCTAGCTGACTCCCTGGGCTGCATTCTAGGATGAGATGGGGATGAACCTGAGGATGTAGTCGAAATCCGCGGCGAATTTCGTATGGAAACGTCCATTATGAGTGTATATGTGTAGTTTTGCTGTGAAATTTGGTCAAAATTTGGTGTGGATTGATCAGCTTGGAATCTCAAATGTCTCTAAGGTGCTTTAAAGCTGAAAATTTACTCCCTCGGAGTTCATACGATTCAGCCCTTGTTCTTGTGCTACCCGTGAATTCTCCAGTACCTCTCTGCGGACCATCGTCTGGTAACGAATGCTGCACTCACTATAAAACAGTGGAAAGTGATTAGAGATCAGCCTAATAGCACCGGCTTGAATATCAGTAAGTATTTGAGTGAAACCGAGTTGGAAAACAAATCGTATTGGGAAAGTCGGCAGGCACTGTGTTCTCTGGCGCAAACGATTTTTGCGCCTGAGTGGAAGATAGTGGTTATGCACGCTTTGAGTGATGTATTTTGCGGAAAAGCGGAGAAGCGAAGACAAACGTGGCAGATTTGCTTCAAAGACTGGATTGCTGGCGCGGTGTCAAATTGTGTGTGCCTTGTCAGAGGAGGTGAGGCGCAAACATCGTACAGCTTAACGTCTTGTTCGGTCCTCCCCACGTGGTGATCCGTAAATGTAGTGTGAAATACAAAAGCGACACTCTAATCTATTTATGGTTATACTTATACTCATTTCACACGGCAACTGGAATGAAGTTGAGTTACTGAAATGAAAATTTGAGTTCTCGAGAAAAGTCCCCGTTTATATCTGAAAGATTGGAGTTCTTGAAATGGTAAGAGTACGACGGTCCTGTCGCTTTGATGGAGGTGGCATCGTACTACAAAGTATCGTACTACAAAGTATAGTACTAGACTATGGTTCTAGGTTATGGTCCTATTAGTTTTTCTTCTATAAATGATCACGCTCCATTTATGTGTATACCTCAAACCCAATCAGGCAAACCCGAGACATTCTTGCAACCAACGATTGCCAGGCCAGTTAGTCCATATTTTCACCAGGAGTCGGTAGAATAGTCCAATCTTGATAAACTAATAGCACTTGCAAGTGAGAAGACACTAAAAACAGGAATAACATACTTTGGTGGCAGTTTACCAAATGCAAGGGACGCGGGGAGGGAACCAATGCAGAGACCGATTGCACTTGTACTGCCTTTGAGACCTGCTATCAAAGCAGGGTTAAGCGAAATGTACTGAAAAAGTTCCACTGACATCAATGTTAGGGAAAATAAACCAGAATAGCCTATGCCATCTACCAGTAAGTATGCGACAATATTCGGAATAGCCCATGCTTCCAAAGGTATGAGCACTTTAACGTGGTTGAACCTTTTGAACTTTCTCATGATAGACAGTTCCCAAGCAAAGAACGTGAATAGGAGCAGAACCCCCAAAAAAATAGGTTTTCACGAGGTGGCTCCCTCGGTGAGACCGGTGACCAGCAACAATGATCCCGAAAGCATTAATGCAACCCCAATATGGTCTAGGTCTTTCAGACTTTCTGCGTTTACCGAAGCAGGCTCAATGCACAAGGAACCGAGAAACGCAACTAGAAGGGCAATTCCACCCAAAAGATAAAATGCTTCTCTATATCCAAGCAAGGTCAATGCAAAGACACCTCCGATTACGTATCGCAATCCAACAGAAGTAACCATCGGGAGGAAGAGATTATGAGAAACACAAATAGTGGGTGACTGATATATGGTTTCGCCGCGGCTCTGATGTAGAAAAACGGCGCTAGCACGGCTGAAGACATTTGCTTGTCAACAACAGACTTCGGTGGCTTCACCTCTCTACACCGATTCTCATAATTACCCACAACAGTCCTACCTTTATACAATTGATACTATGACAAATTTGCTAAACTTCCCTGGGACTGTAAGCGCGAACTCCGTATCGCGCGCGATAAGAGCTGACGGACGGAAAGTATGCCGGTTTTACCGTCTTTTTCCCGGAATAGTACCGGAATGCATAATAATATGAGAAACCGGTACACTAAAACCGGTCCTGCCTGCAGTCGTCTGCACTCCACGCAAGGCTTGCCCACACCGTTGAGTTTTTATTTTTTTGCCACAAAACCGGACAAAAAAATAAAAGTCAACTTCAAGCCAAAACATTCCAGTCTTTGTGAACAACTGCTAGGTGCTTTGTTCCTTTTTATGCGTTGTTTTCATAGGAGCCAGGTGATTTCCATCAGAAGGAGTGAGTAATCTTGCATATTCCCAAAGCTAAATGCAATCCACTCACGACACTGGCTGGCAAGGCCGGTGTGACTTCTGTTGTGGAAATGAAGAAGCCTGGGGTCATCATCAAAAGAGCCCGAAAAGGCAGGTGAATACTATTGAGAAGCTTTAGATCTGGACACCCATTATCTTCTTGGGTTTTGTAGTCTAGAGCACCTTTCGAGGTAGTACTTGCTCTTCAACTGGTGAAGCCAACCCTTGGTACAACAAACAATTCAATTCTATACTACCGTTTACTATTCACTTCCCAAACAGCTCGTTATTACACAGAATACATCCTCAACACGCACATGACCCGTTGTCCCCATCAACGTGAATATTCACAGCATCCGTGTAATCGTCCGCAAACTCGAGGCTCTCCTCCTGCTGGAGAGCATTTCTAGCAACAACATCAAAAGCCTGTTCCACATTAACTGCTTCCTTGGCACTCGTCTCAAAGTACGGCAGATTGCCTAGTTGCGCACACAGCGCTTGGGCTTTCTTTCCACTAATCAGCCTCTTGTTCTCCTCCACATCAATCTTGTTTCCAATCACAACAAAAGGAAAGTTATCTGGGTCTTTCACATTGGCTTGTACTAAGAATTCATCTTTCCATGAGGAAATGGACTCGAATGATTTGGTATTGGTAACGTCATACACCAGCACACAGCAGTCGGAACCTCTGTAAAAAGCCACCCCCAAGCTTTGAAATCTCTCCTGGCCTGCTGTGTCCCATATCTGCATTGTGACTTGCTTGTCATCTATGGCCAGGTCCTTTGGCAAGAAGTCTGCTCCAATGGTTGCCTTGTATTGGTTAGAGAACTTGCCGTTGATAAACTGCTGCATCAGCGAGGTCTTGCCAACACCAGAGTCTCCCAAAATGATCACCTTGAGTATCGTCTTCTTTCTGCTAGACATATTTTCTAGTTTGCGATGTATTATTAACAAGGAAGAATACTAAGGAAAGAGCACTACAGAAGAAGGGGTGGCTCAGTGTGTACAAAAAAGGCTGTCATTTTGGCGAGAATTGGATTGGCGCACTACCTTGGGCCAGGTCCGGGGTCATCTTAGGTTAGAAGTCTATGGGGTTGCATTTTATTACCATTTGTGAATACATTTTTCCCTCTAAAAATACCTGACGATTCAGCTCGGTATGCTCAAAACATTGAATTCACGCCCTGCTCCCATACTCTCTGGCTGATGACAGCCAAAGATTGGGATAAGCAAAGCGACTGATGTCTATTTGAGAACATCTCTATGCAAGAGAATTTGAAGCGGGATTTCCAGCTCAAGTCACATAACTGACCTGGAGCCCTGCAACATTGTGGCTGCTCTTTTGACTGTGAATAATCATCCTCTATCACGAAGTCCCATCGCTATCAATGTCCAGCACATCGATGAGATCATTCTGGCTGCCCAAATAGTCAAAGTTATTCGTGTCAAAACGGTTCCGGTCAAATCTAATGTTTCTCCTATTCTGTCTGCCTCTGTTAGTTTCCGATCCGCATTGCCATGGGGATTCTTGCAAAAAAATATAACTTACTTGGCCCGTGAAGACACTCTTCACTTTGTGCATTATTCCATATGAGGGCAGCTGCTTCCACCCTCTCCGGTTCAGCACAATCCTCTTGTATATCATTCCTCCGCTGCAATAAACTCCAAGTGCTGCCAAGAAGATCAACAGGAAGATCCAGATGATGGCCAGATCGTCCTTCTTGGCTGCAGTAGCACACGCGTGGATTGTCCGCACGTCGAAAAAGTAGTCACAGTCGTGCAAAGCACCCACAAAACTGATCTGAGCCTTTGCCATGATCTCACGATCACATGTGAACGATAACAGAGTGGAACGACGGATTTTTTCTCCGCCTGGAAGACTCTTGCAGAAACTTCCATCAGTGTACTCCATGACCAACTTACGACCACGAAAACGCGGCGTCGTATTGAACTCTCCAATCGAGTATTTGACCCCAGAGGTGTCCGTGTAGTATCCACCAATCCGGGAAATGTTCTGTGCATCCGGGAAATCGTCGCCCAGGCCTGCAGCCACTACGGCCTTCTTCAACGGTGAGGAGCAAATTCCCAGTGTGAAGTTAAAACCGTAATCAAACCCTTTGGCATTCCACGCCTGAGTCATTCCCTCGGAACCAAGCGATCCCAGCGGGGTTAAGTCATAGAAAGCCCCATTTAGCGGGTGTTTCAGTGTACACGGATCCAGACCAGGCGCCTCGTCTTCCTTGTCTTTGTCTTTGTCAGCGTCCGTTTTCTCGTCTAAGTTTGCGTTTTGTAGTTTCTGGATAATTGAAGTAGCACCCTCAGAAAGATCCAGCACTTGTAGGGTGCCCTTTGCGGAGTCTGAGAAATAAGCCACTGTAATCACCATGCTGATTACGAGCAATATCAGCACCAAATTCGTCCTGTATATCATTGTGTGTAAAGTGGTCGGAAGACCGTCAAAAAAACTGGGAAACAAATCAAAATGACACTGTTCTTGCCTGATATACCGAGCTCGAATATACCAGTCCCGTTACCGTGCGGAAGAAGACTACCGATGACCTTCCAGATGATCAGCAGGGATTGACACAACTCACGCGGTTAGGAGCCTCGGACTGGGTATCGCATACACAGTTAAGGTAGGGTTACAAATTTCGGGTGATTTACATATTGAAAATTGATTTTAAGAATACAATATTGTTGTGAGTGCTCAGAAATTCATTATGAAGCCCATATTGCCCAGAAAACACTCATATTACCCAAACCAATCCTGTTAACCGACCGCTGTATCTGTAGGCTTTCTGCGTTAATCAATGATTGTCGTGCGTGAACCGTCTCTGAGTCGTTTAACCTCCCACATTGTTGTCTCACGACCTTTGTAAACAAACAAGAATCGCGTCCTGATTCTTGTTGTTGAAATCTTCTCTAAAAACGCACCACCACAAGGTTATTAAAAAGGGTTTTCAGTATGAAGCATTTCACCTCACTGCTGAAACTAAAATCTGCTGGACAGGATGTGTCAGATGCAAGAATTGACCAAAAGGAGCCTCTAATTGAAGAGATAGACTCCAAGACCATCAGTGTGAGAGGCTCCAAATACGCCACCTCGTACATATTTGATGGTGTTTATAAAACCGATACCGACCTGTACGATTCAGGATTGCAGCCTTTAGTTGAGGGCTCCCTATTGGCAATGGAAAACGATTCTCTTGTTGTTGCCATGGGTCCTTCAAGGACAGGGAAGACAACGACGATTTTTGGGTCTGATGGAGCAGTATCGCGTACCCTCTCTAGCATTTTTGAGCATATTGCAGATCAGCCACGCGTTGATGTTCAGACATTACGGACTTTGTTCAAAAACAACCTGATTGGCTCAGACAAAGGCCATGTTCAGACCGAAGGCTATGCAGTGACGATGTCTCTGTTTGAGATCTATGGGGATTCGTGCAAGGATCTGCTCACAAACATGGAAAGTCAGTCCAAAAATGCAAATGTTGTTATTGATGCCGTTGATATGAAGATTAAACCCAAGGGCATCTCACAAGTGCTCATCACAGGACCACAGAACGCAGATGAGTGGATATCAAAGGGGTTGCGGTATCGTGCTGCTAGTTCTATTGCAGCTAAGA